CAGCTGAAGACACATCTTTGGACTTCACATCATTTAAACTTACTTTTTTTGTATAATTCTCTGTATTTGATGTCTTTTGCCAGCTCTCAGTTTTTTGTTTAATCATTTCTTTGTGGAGCACCCTGTCTTACAAATTAACTTACTGACACAAACTGACTTACATACTGCTACTTCAAGTGTGAGGCAATTTTTATCTGAAAAAGTAGAATCCAGAAAAGGATTACTTTATTGTTATTGTTACTTTTCTGCCAGCATATCATTATTTTTCTTAAAGATACTCCAATTAAAACTGTTAGTTGAGAATTAAGTGCTGAAAAATTATGTATTCATATTGTTAATTTAAAGAGTCATGGTTAAAAGTCTTCCTTAATTTTGATGTTCTGTCTGAAGTAAAACTGGATATTAAATATACGCAGTCTAGACATACTTCAGCAGTTTAATGTGGGTCCATACTGTGGGTCAGTAAAGATGTATTTTGGAAGTATTCCTGCACCCTGGTGGGTATTTGTTGCAGCCTCAGCTGACAGAAGTCGATCTAAATCTCGACTCAGCGGCAGAAGACAGAAAAAACCTTTAAGACTCTGTCCTCCACCCCTCCCTGCTGCCTGTCGCTGACTATTTCTGTGACTCTCCTGTGAAACACTTCTGACGTTTAACACCTGTTAACTTTTATGTCTCATGAGAGGAGTGGCTGAATGGAGGAGCATTATGTTCAGCGCTGGCCAAATCCCCAGTAGAGGAAAGACCACTCCCTGAACAGAGAGGCAGCAGCGGGAGTGTGTATGCATGCATCTGTGTGTGTGTGTGTGTGAGCCCCTTTTCTTTCCCTGCAACCTGAAATGTCATCCCCCAACATTTACCTCTATTCCATCTGACAGCAGCGTGAAACCACCGACCGTCCGTCCGTCCACTAGCTCTCTGCTGGATGAACTTCAGCACTCCCCACCATCAGACCTGCTTCAGAGACACAGTGAGGAGATGAATGGAGGTTAAAGGACATTAACGTTACTGGTATTTAGTAAATCTTTGTAAGAGGGTTCATTTTTCTTACCTTCTCAATAAAACACCAGGCTGCTGCAGTGTCTCCTGCCAGAATTGGAATTACCTGAGCCACCAGCTCCATGGTGTCTCATAAATAGTTCTTTACGACTCTAAATTTGCACTTTTTACAGCAAATTAACTCCAACACTCAGTCAAAGCATGTGCCAGCTTATTTCAACACATACTGCTCTCTTCTAGTCTTCATTATAATCCCAAATCATATTTAGAGACAGATATAAACCATTTTTTTCTGATGGCTTTGTTCACTTTTCATTTTCCAATAAACACATTATGTTGACTTGAATAATATTGTACTTCCCAGCTGCCTGTAACAAATCTTGTTTTTATCAGTTATAACACAAGTAAATAATTATTAACTTTTACAATTGTAAGAGTACCGTATATAAAAAAATAAGGTATGTTATATTATCAATACTGCAAATGAATACTTTTACCTGAGTTACTTCAGACTGCATGTTTTGATGCTTACACTGCATTCACTTTAAAGAGGCTTCAATATTTCTTTAAATAAAAAGTGCTACAGGAGGTTGTGGCACTTTTTATTCACCATCCAAGACGTAGTAAACATACTTTATGATTTCCTTAAGGGAACTCCCAAAAGAGTTAATAAAGTTGTATGTAATCTAATCTAATAGTGGGTGGTGGTGGTGAACTAGAGAGTGCTGTATTGAAGGGTGTTCCTTTTTTGTCTCCTTTATTAGCAAACATAAAGGGAGAAAAAAAACAGGAGCACTTTTCAGTATAATGTACTCCAGTTCACCACAGTTTTAGTAATTAATTAAAAAAACAACTGTCAACAAAAACTGGGAACCAATATGCTTCAATTTTTATAAAAAAAAAAACTTACTTGGATTTTAAAAGAGTTGATTATTTTTATATCAGGGCTGTTGTATTTGACAGTATTATACTGTCCACTTCTTCATAATCTCATGGCTGATTGACATTTATTTTTAAGTGTTTCTGAAAATGCTGCTTTGAAAGTTACTTTCTTCCAGGAGTTCCCTCTGATTTTATAGCCCTGTCAACAGCCTTTAAAAAATAATTAAAAGTATATATATATATATATATATAATATATATATATATATATATATATATATATATTTTTTTTTTTTCCTAGTATTTTGCTCTTTCATTTAATTGCCTTGATGTGTTTTTTTTTAGATCCCAGTGAGTGTAAGTGTAGCAGAATCTGTACTTCCTGAACTACACAGCACATCTTAAGGAGATATAAGATAAATACAACAGTTTGACGCCAAAAGATTAAATTAAAGCTCCTTTATAAGGACTTCCTGTTTAGTTGCTCCTTGTAGACTGAGTGATATCTTTCATGTCTTCACTGATCTGCTGTAAGTCAAGTTTCTCAATAAGAGGAAAACCATCATCCTGCTTTTCTCTAACGGTAAAATTTAACTCTCTGTGAATATCAGCTGAAGGAAAAGCAAAAATAAGTTTGCTCTCAATCAGGTCATCTGACATCCCTCACAGAAAAAAAATTACTGCATAGAAATGGTCACTTCTGTTGCTGATGGTTTTGCTTTCCTTTGTGGGTCCTAAAAACACGTCACTGTTTGTTTAAGCTCATTTCAGAAATAGATTTTAAACTCCTCACAGTTTTTGGGGCTTTCTTTTGTGAAAAAGTATGATGCAGCCGATGACTGTTTTTATTACTGATTCAACAGCAGAAAAGTATCAAGAAATTTGTCTGTCGACAGCAAGAAAGAGGGAACTATTCCTGTGAACTGGCTCCTTATTTCTGTTGTTTTGTTTTTCACAGAAAATCATCAAATTTTTCAGTTATTATCTGAGATTTTGATGCATAAAGGTTTGGCCTTTTTGCTCAATGACAGAGCTGAGACAAAAATAATGTTATAACATAATATGAATGCTTTCTCACTGATTGCTCCAGCATGAGTGTTCCTCTGTTTCACTTTCAGTTCATTTCTCCTGGGTGTTTGTGTCTCTTGTGGACTTTAAGTGGTTTTAACACGTCAAAGATGTAAATTAAAATAACAGAAAACTGACTTTTTTCATTTCTGACACACAAAAATACTTTCAGCTACAAACGATTCACAGCACCTTAAAACAAGTCAGCATCTGTCCAGGTCTGTGCAGCTGCAGTTAATCCAATATTTCAGATGGTTATCTCGCGTTGCTGCCTTTTCTTTCGATCTCAAACTCTCACTCCTGATGTGAGGTCCCTGCTGAGCAGAAAAAAAGTGCAGCAGCTGAGCAATCCTCCATCTCAAGCATAAAACCTGCCCAATAAATCTGGAGCTGATGCTCTGCGGCTGAAACCTGCTCAGCAAATTCAAAAATCATTTGGTGACTACAATGCGAACGACTATAATAAAAATGACGTTTCAAGTCGCTCCAATGGCATCAGTGAGTGAAAGGAGCGCTGTTTGTCTGCCAGGCCTGGTGGCTGAATGAAAACTGATCCAAACCTTTAAATGAGAGCTGCTGGGATAATATTTTAAGGCTTGGATTGCTGCACCAGGAAATACCTGGGAGAGGTGCACCTTTAAGGAATCAAATTTAGCAATCCGCAGGAATGGTTGGAAAACTTCACCGGAGGAGTCAGGCCCTCCACATCCTCCCTCCGTGCTTTTTTGGATCCAGTCAGTTCAGGTGCGTCGATTAAAGCTCCCCGACGTGTTAATGATGGCGGGATATTTCATTCTGAGTTTGTCAGTTTTATCCTCCATTAACAGACAGGAATGTCCTCTCCTCTTCTCCGCTCTGAAGCTATTGGTTGATGCTTTTGGATATTTACACGATACAGACAGGACATCCATTTAGGAAACGGAGAGGAGATAACATTTGAGACATAATAAGGGCGAATTTAGGGAAAAAATCAGAATATTCCAAACTGAGCAGAACTTTTTATAAACAAAGGTTTTTAGATTTTAAACTTTAAAGACAGAAGAAACCGGCGTAGATTTTCACACGAGATTGTAAAGGTGTTTGGGGGTAAAAGTGCAAATCTAAGATGAATTTGAGTATTATCAGAAAATAAAACTGCATTTATTTTAACCAGTAGAATCTACACATGAGAATTAATAAAGAAAAAAATAAAGTTTGAACTTTTTCTCTCATGCTGTGGCAGAAACTGTCAAAACAAAATTTCTAAAAAGTTTAAACCTGCCCGGATGAAAAATAAAAAAATGAAGAGGTACTCAGTTTGTTTTTACATTTATGAAACAAATGTCTTTATGTGAACATGTAGGAAAGAAACCGAACAGCTCCATCATTATACACTTACTGGTAATACTAAAACAGTACAAATAACTACATCGAGACCTCCATGTTGACGGTAGGAAACAGTTCAGTGTCTGCAGCAGGTGTTGTTTTGAGGAAGAGTCAGCCTAAAGAAAAACTGTTGACTGCATGTGTCGGCTTTAATACTGCTAAAAAAAACCTCCTCTGTCTCTCTTTGTATCAAGTATAAAAGCAAAAACTTAAAAAAAAGGGAGCAAAATCATCTCCTTTCATTCACAGAATGAATAATAAACGTTTTCACAGTGAATCCTCCGACATCTGTAACAGTGATATCTGTGGAGCTGTTTTTAGACATCACTCTGGCTAACTTCAGTTCACCCTCTTATCTGAAAGCTGGACTGGGCTGCACATTAGGCCTCTGATTAGCCTGGATTCAGCGGGCATTACTGAATAAACCGAGGAATGATGATCCAAACCATATGGGCGTAGTGCAGTAGAAGGTATTCCGGGGGGGATTTCTACACAGATCCTCAGGTTTACACTGCGCTATCAGAGGAGAGTGTGTAATACTAACCAGAGCTTTTCAATACCCACAGTCAATGAAGCAGAAACAGATTTACGTGCAGAATGACTGACTGCAGAGGCTCCTCGCCCCCCTGACAACAAAACCAACTCAGATTTGGAGAGCGGGGAAAAAACACGGCCGTCTGAGGTTTTTTAGCGTTTGGCTCTCTTGGACGGGGGCTCCTCTGATTTCTGTCCTCCCCGCGTTCGCACAGCAGGGGGGCTGGGCTCCCTTTTGCGGCCCCCCTTCGCCGCTGCTGCCTGGCCTCTCGTCCTGCTGCGGGAAGGAAACAAGGAGCAAGTGTCAGACCGTTTGTCTCGAGTGTGAAGGCGCTGCAGAAATTTGTCTTTGTTGATTCACGAGTTATTCATGAGGAGTGTCGCAACAACCAAGCACACGGACGGGAATGAGAGGGAAAATGTTCCCGGGATAGATTTCTAAAGACTTCTCTGAGGACTTCTGTAAAGTCTACGCTGATTTAAGCTGTTTTAGCATCAAAAAAAGGAATATTTTTGCCTCTTTGACAGGATTAAAATGATAATTTTGTGTTGTGGCAAAAAATACTCCTTTAATACATATGTCTAAAGAAGATAAGAAGACACTTAAAGGGGTTGAGTGTTGAAATTGATGTTTGATTTTATCTAAAGACAGGGGTGTGATAGAAGTTTTATTTTTGCGAAGAACTTAAAAAAATGTTGTTTTTTTAATCTTGAGACTTATCGTCCCCTAAAAAGTCATCATAGATTTGATACACTAGTCTACGATAGTATGAGGGCAACATTAAGAAAAAAATTAAGACTTCGAGATTAAAATTAATTTATGAGAATAAAGTTGTAATAAATTAATTACTTACGAGAATAAAGTCCTTATATTCTAACTTGTTGTTTAAGATGACAGTTGTTGAAATGAGAGCCATGAAGCATTTCGTGAAAATGTACTTCAATAAAGATTTCTCAAACAAAGAGATACTTTATCTTTTGGAAAATCAGCACCACATTATCATAAGTATCACAATGATTTTATTACAACTTTATTCTCGTTCGTAATGACCCAATTCTCATAAATTAATGACTTTTATCTCTAAGTCTTACTTTTTTTTTTTTTATGTGGCCCCAATACTCCATGGAAGTAGTCCATTATGTTTACGGGTTACATTAGTTAGAGGTAACTATGATTTGTACTGAATTAAACTCACTGAAACGTGCTCAAGATGAAGCTTCCATAAAACCCCTTGAGGATAATGAGCACAGCTTATTAAATGTAGTAATAAGTTTCCTTTAACTGCTTTAATTAAACATGTTGGTTCTCTGGATTTGAGGTGAAACTCGACTCAAAATGAGTCTAAAGAGTTTCCCATTTAAAAAGAAAAACATCTTATTTGTCAGAACTCATAATTCATATTCATCCTGTACCTGCGCTGTAATCCCAGATGTTTAATGCCCCTTCCTTGAAAACAGCTTAAGCCGTGTAAAATAATTTGTTGTTTTTATTTTGTGACTTAATACCTGAAAAATATTTAGAGATTCCAGGAAGGCTTTTGGTAAAATGTTCTCTTTCACAGAGAAGTGGGTTTTTTGGTCAGATTCCCCTTTGAGCCCGTTCGGTTCTGCTGAAGCATCAATGAGACAAACTCACCGCGTGCCAGCTGCGGTCTCCTCTTTACCGTTCTGTCGGCTCGCCCGGGTGGACGGTTTGCTTGGCTTGTTTCTGAGGAGAAATGCAAACAAATATGAAACAACATTTGTTGCTTTGGTGTTACATTTCCCCTGCTTTTATTTAATAGGATGTGACAGCCATGATGCTGCTTCGGAGTGTAGAACTGCAACATTCAGAGGTTCACTCAGTACAAAGAAAGAAGATGGTGATACACCTGCTGCAGCTTTGACTGAAGATGAATTAGTTCTGATTATCATGTCTGCCTTATTGATCGTAAATCCTCTTCATGTAAAAAAAAATGACTGTAAGTCAAAACCGGTGGCTTCAAGTTTGAGTTTTCCTGCTTTTATTCAGTGTTGCTGTTGTTTAGGGGTGGGAGAAACTAATCAATACAGCTTAATAACACAATATTTTGCTTGGTGATATATCATATCATCTCATTTACTATTGATTTTTCAAATTAATTGCTAATATGAAGTCAAATCTATGATAATGGAAAAATAAAATCAACTGTTTGTCCAGTGAGGTTGGCAGAGGTGACATTGTGGAGCAGGAGAAATTGAGTGCAACAAATATATATAAAAGGTTTGCAAGATGTGATACATTAAAATAAAATACAGCATAAATAAGACAAACATAAAGGAAAGACAAATGCTAAATTAGCTCAAGAGTTGAAATAAATTGTACAAATCGCAATAGATTGTATCCCAATACTCACCGGTTTGCAAAATGTTAAAAAATCGCAATAATATCCTGATAATATCGTATTGTGGACCAAGTATCGTGATAATATCGTAAAGTGGGGCCACTGGTGATTCACGCCCCTATTGTTGGTACTAAAGTGATTTCTGACTCCGATCTCTGAAATTACCTTTCAGCCTCCAGGCGAGACGCTGCACGTGTGGTCGCTCTGGTGGCTGTTCCTTTCCCCTCTTCGTCTCTCTCACCGTCCTCCTCCTCTTCCTCATCATTCTGCTCGCTGTCTTCTGCTTTTTTGTCTTTTTTATCTACAAGGATAAAGGTTTGATTTCCAAAATTCATCGGCGGGGCTCCACATACCGTATACTCAAAGTCAGACATGCACATACACACAGCTCTGCTCTGTTACACATTACAGATGAAGAGTGACAGGGGTGCGAATATCCCGTCTTCAAATGGCAGCATATAAGAGCCAAGAGTTCAACTCTTTTAAAATAACAAAAATAAGAAAAACATTTCGTAGTTTTAGCCAGAGTAATGTCCAAACTTAAAGGCTCATCATCACACTGACAAAAGGAAACAGTCTCATCTTTCACCAGCAGACCACCTACATACATGTGCTAAACATGAAGAAAAAACAAACGCTGGTTCTCTCAACAAAGAAAAAAATCGACAAATACTCGAGCTTTTTTTTCCTCATTTGTGACTAAATGTCTCTGGCTCTAAAGTTCCTCACCTGTGTCCTCTGAGGTTGACGAAGCCTTCGACAGCCGCCCTCTCCGGCCGGGTCTCTTCGGAGTTGTCTCTTGATCCTCTTGTGGCTGCTGCTCCTCCTCAACCTGAAGAGAGGACCATAAAATATTCAAGTTCCCGAGTTTGAAGAGTTTTAGGACAACTTTTGTTTCATTTTACACACATCTGGTTTCTCCTCGCTGTGCGTCTCCGCTTTGGTCTCCTGCTGATCTTCTGCCTGCTCCACCGACAGAGAAGAACCTGAGCAAAGAACAAGATTGACTTCAGAGGCGAAAATGAACATTTTCCTCTTTTCTTAGACATTATTTTTTCTGACATTTTTAGACCATAACTTAAAGAGAAAGTGCATAAGAGTGTCTGCTACATAAATGATCATTTAAAGACCCACTCCAAGAAAATTGTGTTTTTCTTGTTTTCTGCATGTTCATATGTCATTTTTCTGATGCTACAGGACATCCCATGAGAGATTTAAGTGCGAACTTGCACTTCTGAGTATTTCTGCATTTAAATCGCTGTGAATACCTGACAGACCCAAACAGCAGGTTCAGAAACAGTGAGATTTTCCATGTCACAAATCCAAGCTCCGCCCCCGCTATGCAGCCACACTTGGATAAATAGAGAGGACGATCGCGAAACAAGCGTGTGCGTTACCAGATCGCAATACTCGTAAGAAAGCTAATTATGATATTATCTTTCATCATGTCCTCAAAGACAGTAGTGTACGAGAGCTGAATAGCTCCTATGCTACCTGCCACTTCTGCTGCACAAGCAATATTAGGCTACAAGCTAGTGTAGAGACGAGTGTCCTGAGCAGCGCTGTCTCCGCCCATGACTCAAAGTCAAATTACTAATGATCTACTGGAGCTCTGCAGAAGAAAAGTCCTTGTAAATGACACAGGTAACAAGATTTTGGCTACAAACTTCATAATCACAATTTAAAGACCACTGAGAACAATTTCAGTAGTTAAAAAAAAAAAAGATCAGAGTGGGACTTTAACTAACTTGTTTTGTTTTTTCTCACCAGTGTCTTTGTCAGGTTGTTCCTGTTCACAGTCGTCCTTCTTTGCCTCATCTTCAGCTGAGGTTTCCTGCTAAAAGATCGTTTGATTACAAATTAAGAAACAAACACAGACACAAGTACAAATCTCAACAGACGAGTGAGCGGCCTGGATTCAGAGGATTCAGCTTTCATCTTCACCTCAGCAGGTTTCTCTGTCTCCTCTGACCTCTTCTTCTTTAGTTCTGGTTCATCTGTGAGGGACACAATATCAATGAATCTGATTATTAGTTCTGATCAAAAGAAACGACCAGAAAACCAAAAGACTCACCCAAATAATTTTAAAGCTTTCTCAACAGGGGAAAGAAAAATGTAAACTTGAGTTTCACTTCCAGCTATCAAGGTTACTTTCACATGTTCTTCAGTCTGGTCATGTGTGCTGATATTTAGCCAATTTGGTGTCACTTACAGTGTGTTTGTAAAAAAAAGTTGGGCTCATAGGAACACTTTGATTATTTAGTGAAAAAGGAAACCAAATATCTTAAAGGAGAACTCTTGATTTTATTTCAAACACACCTGTGTCTGTGGTTTCTTTGGAGTCCGGGCCTCCTGCAGCTTCAGTTTCCTCAAGGACAGGATCGGACAGATTCACCTCACCTCCTGTTTGTCCGCTTTCCTCTGTTCTGCTTTCCTCTTCAGTTTTCTAATGATGAGAAAATGTTGCACAATTAAGATTATTTTACACTCAGCGCTGAAATATTGTGAATCTCAGGAGATCTGTAATCTGGACTGTGTGGTAATAATAAACACATTTGTGTGCATGTCACACTTTTGTCGACACACCTCTCTGATCTCCTCTGGCAGCTTTGTGGAAGTTTTGACCGTGCTCTCCTCTTCCTTCTCATTCTTCTGATTCTCTGAGATAAAAATGAACAAAAGCAACACCGCAGACGTCAAAGAAACACTTTGACAGGCCTCCTGACATCTTGAATATCTCAGCTGACCTAGAGTTTGAATTACAGCAGGATAGTACGCTCACATGCTTAACAAGGAATCCTTAAAACCTTAGGAAACCTAAACAAAGACCTGAATATTCATCCATCATCAAAAAACTCACACAGTGTCAAAGTTTTCTCAGTCCAAGGGGAAAGTCTTACCCGGAGTTTTGCTGACTGCTGCTCCTGAACGTCTTCTCCCGCGGCTCGGAGTCTCCTCCAGTTTCTCAGCCTCTTTAGTTTGGTCTTTCTCTGCCTCCTCTGCAGCTTTGGATGATCGGCCTCTGCGTGGTGTTTTGACTTCCACAACCTTCGCCTGATCAGATTCCTTGAAATTAAAGAAAATCAAAATCAATCAGATCAAAATAAACGGCTGTTCTTTGACGGCAGCTGTCATGTATTCAACAGGTTTCAACACCCAGAACAACAGATATGACACTGACCTCTGCAGCTGGCCTCTCCTTACTTTCCTTATCGTCTTTTTCATCACCTGGTAAGACATTCAAAAATGTAACAACACGTTATGTTAATAAAAGTACAAAAATCAGTGCTTCAGAAAACTTTATTATAAAGTTAGAGATTTTAAATATTTAAAGAAATCTCAGGTACCTGATTCCTTGACTGCTGCGACTATCTGGTTGGAGATCTTTCGTTTGCGTCTTCCTCTCCCCTCCATCTTCTCTTCCTGCAGAGGAAAGCGACAAGTTACCACAGAGGGTCTTGAAACCTTCATTTCATGCACATGTAACAGCTGAATTTTGAAAATGAGTGTGGCGGTACCTTCTCTGAGAGGTCAGACGCCTTCTCGTCTTCCTGGCTGTCTGTGCTGGAGACATCACCTGAAATAATGCCACCAAATAGAAACAGCTGATATCAGCACTGTAGAGGGACTCGAGTGAAGTGGACGGTCAGAGAAAATGTAACCAGACTGTATTTATATCTAGTTTGAACTTTACAGAAAGGTACAGATGGCGCTCAATGACCAGAGATGGAATTAGACTCACTGATTTGTTTGACGAGCTTGGATTGACCTTGAGGTTTCTCTGATCTTATATCTGTCACCTCCTCAGTCTTCAGCGAGACGGCTGATTCCACCTGAACGTAAATTATAAAGATACATTCATCAACACAGCAAAACTCTAACCTGATCAAATTTCTGATTAAAAGACCTCATGAAACTAAATATAAATCAGATTCAGCTGACGTGTTCAAGCAAAGAAAAAAAAAACAAAAGGCTTGAAGCCCACTGAGCATTTTTTGGTCTAAAAGAGGTCTAATAGACGTCTAAATGTAGCCTAGACGACTGGTCTAAAATCAGTCTACCACAGGTCTAAAAATGAAAGTTTATAGACGGCTATCATAATTATTTTGGTTAAGTATTTGGAGATCAGTTCTGCAGCTCACAGTTGCTTATTGAAATAAATAGTTTTGGAATAATGGCTTTAAGTGCGACGTCTACAGTCTAAAAATATAGAGAATCTAAACAGTTAAGATTAGGTCTAAAAAAACTAGATATCTAACAGCTGTCTGTTGCTCAGTGGGAGAGTCACTTCCTGTGCTTTTTTTCATTATATTTTATATTCTAGTGACAAATTACTCTAGATTTGGGTTTTGTGAGCATGAATGAAGTCGAACACTTACACTTTGACTGTCACTCTTCTTTGTTTCCTCCTCTGTCTTTGTCTCAGATTCCCCTGGTCCTGAAAAAAAAACAACCCGATCATATTGACGTGTTTTCAAACACGTACATACGTGAATTAGACAAAAGAAAGTACTTACTGTTCTCTACATCCACCTCAGCCTTGTTCTCATGTGCCTGTGTTTAAAAGTGATGCATTTCAATATTCTGGAGTCCAAACAACATTTTGAAACCATTTAAACTGTTAGTCATGTTTGATTCTTCACCTCAGGGATGGTTTTCATGTCGGCGACGCCTGGCTCAGCTCGCTCTGAAGTGACAACAAGATGCTGAAATTAAAACCCAGGCAAAGAAAACCAGATGAACCAGACGTGTTTCAGGCACTTACCTTGCTTACTAGAAGCTTCCTCTGTGGAGTCAGAAGCAGCGGCCCCTGAGCTCTCCTCTGTGACTCCTCTGACTTCTTCTGATCCAGACACTACAGCCTCTGCAGCTAAAACACGGTCAGAGAGTTCAGGAAATGAGCGCTGTGGGATTTTATCAAGTGACATCGCTCATCCAACTAAACACACCATATTAAAGATATGAAGAAATAAAACAAAGCACATGATGCAAGCTAGAGCTTAAACAGGTAAACAGAGATATTACCCTCTATTCCAGCTGGGGTCATCTCTGCAGAACTGTCCTTCTCCTCATTTGGCAGCAGGATCTTATCTGAGGTGGTGTCAACCTCCTGTGTTAAGACAGAGATGTGACCGTTTTTAAAAAATAAGTAGTGAAATTTTGTTTCTCAAAAGGCTGATTGTGTTTTGGACAGAGGTTTTCAACACCGTGAAGAAGGTTTTTGCAATGAATATCCCACAAGACTTCAAGGTCCCAATACTGGGAGTAATACCTGAAGGTTTGGACAGGAGGTCAGAAAAATACATCTTAAACAGATTATTGACGGCAGCCTTTAAGTCTATAACCATCAGATGGTTGAAACCAGAACCTCCCTCATACAATAACTGGATTCAAAAAGTATGTGATATTTATCAAATGGAGCAGATCACATTTTCACTAAGGATCTTTTAATGAAAGATGGGAACTTGTGGTACCTTTATTGATGCAATGACAGTTAATGTCAATAGTGTAAGTACTCTCTATCCATATCAAAATACTGTCATCCTGCCTCTGACTAGAATTTGTGCCTACAAATCTGTACTTTGGAGTGGACATTGTTTATTTGCGATGATTACTATGATAATTCTCTTTGATTTAATCCTACACTATCTATGGATGTTTGTAAAAATATACATACAGCTGGAAAAAGGAAAAGAAATGTATTGTATTGAGATGTATACACTGTATTGTTGTGGTTAAAAATTTAATAAAAATTAAGTTACAAAAAAAAGAGACTAATTAAAAATGCAGCATGTTTTGTTTTGTACCTGCAGATTGTCAGACTGAGAGACTTGAACCGTTCCCACTTCCATTTCCTCCTCTGGAGTTTCAGACAAATCTATAAGAATGAGAAAGTTGTTAATCTGGGGAAATATTCTGAAACAGCTACAGTGCCCAGCATATAAATCAGTACACCCCCTTATTAAAAGTAATGTATTACTCAACATCTAGATGAGCAAAACTACAATTTCCAAAGTTTTGACAAAGCTGAGTTTAACATCACATTTTATTTACCATAAAATGAAAATAAGGGGGATATGGTAACTAAAATTCAGCTTTGCTCCCAGAACTTCAATTGGGGTGTACTCACTTTTGCATCCTGATTTTAAATTGAAAAAAAACCAAAAACTTTTCTGTATGCAACTTAAAAAAAATCTTGTTTGCAATTAATGGCCTACATTTGGGGGATTATTTTGTTGTATAATCTGACAGAAAATGTTGATTTTGAAAGGAAACTGAAGGTTTTCTGACAACTCTGAAGGGGTGTACTCATTTATGCTGAGCACTGCATTGACACAAAGACATTTCACGCCTTTCCACGATTGTGTTTCACGTACCTGCGTTCTTTTGTTGTTGCTGAGGTGTGACTGGTGATGGCTCAGGAGCTGTAAACAAGGACTCAGAAGTAGTTTGCACGTTGATCGGAGGCTCCTGCTCTTCCTTTTCAAACGAGGTCATTTCCATCGGTTGCGGAGCAGCCTGGCTCATCTCCGGTTCTTCTCTCACGTCTTGGCAGATTAAGGTGGAGGACACGGTGCTGTCGGGGTCCATGGAGAGCAGAGTCAGAGCTGCTTCTTTCATCTTCATATCAGCGTCCTGCATCTCGGGCGTCGCCTCCACTCGCTCGCTCTCATGTTGGAGTCTGGCCCCCGCTGAGGTGCAAACGTCCATCAGAGTCAGCAGAGCGTCAGCCTCCACGGGCACAGCCGGTATCTCGCTGAGCCGTGCCTCTGTTTCACCCTCGGGTGGCTCAGGTGTGATGTCACTCAGTGCATCGCAGGTATCGTCAGAGAACGAGGTGGTGACGGTGGTGGTGACGGGGTCAGAATCTGTGCTGGCGTCCTGGAGAAGAGAGTGTTTCTTGGGCGGCTCCTCTGCGTCGAGGCTCTGAGAGGAAACCGAAGACTTTGAGGATCTCTCCGACTTTTCAGGTTTGTCTTCTCTGGCTGCTCTCTTCTCATCCCGGCTGTCGTCTTTCTTCTCTTGGCCCTTGTCTTTCTTCTCCAGTTTTTTCTTGGTGCTCTTTGTTTCTGGTTTCTCCTGTGGAGGTTCCTCTGAGGGTTTCCGCTGCTCTTTTGTGCTTCCATCTTTTTTCTTCTCAGGTTTGCCGACAGCTGCACCTCCTGAACTCTTCACCTCTGAACTCTGAGCTTTATTATCCACCTTTGATGACATGGAGGTCTTTGCCTCTTCTTTGGATTTGGATTTGGATTTTTCCACGGTTTTTCCTTTTTCTGTTGGTTTGATCCTTTTTGGATCTTTTTCACCTTCAGAGCTGGATTTGTTCGACTTCTGGCTGTCTGGATCTGCTTTCGTCTTCTCCCTCTCGTTGTCTTTAGTTTTGGGTTTGTCTCCCGGCCTGTCCTCGGTGTGGCTCTTTGACCTCTTCAGCACTTCCTTGGAGTGTTTCTCCTTCTTTTTGCTGCTGTCAGATCCTGCCGGCTCCATGTCAGAGCGATCCTCAGAAGAGCCGGTAGAATCGGGGCGAAGAAGCAGCTTGAAATCACTTTTAGCTGAACTCTTCTCTCCTTTGGTCTTCTCCTTTTCTTTGCTCTTGTCTTTGTCCTTTTCTCTGATTTTGTCTTTGTCCTTTTCTGCTTTCACAGCATCCGTAGATGAAGCTTTCACCTTCTTCAGGGAGGGATCCTTCGGACTCTCTTCTGCCTGTCCTTCTTTTGAAGTTGAGCCCATCTTCTTCTCACTTTTAATCTTGGGCTTCTTCTCTCCTTTCTCTTCAGAGGACCCTTTAGCACCTTCCTTCTGCTGAGGCTCATCCGCCTGATGCTCTGATTTTTTCTCCTGTTTTTGTTTCAGTTTGGCACGTTCGTCAGACAAACTGCGTTCTTTCTCTCTGCGTTCCTTGGATAGAAGTTCTTTGCGGGAGAACCGATCAAATTTCCCCACAGAGCGTTGTCTGAGGGCCTCTTGGGAACCTTGCTCCAGCTCCAGGATGAACGAGTGTGTCCGACTTTTGTCCGGCAGCTTTTTCGCCTCGCTGGAGTCTTCCGAGATGCTGCCGCTCGTCCTTCTGTGCCTCTCGTCAGATGATGCAGACTCTGACAGATTTCTTATCAATTTCGGTTGCGGCGTCTTTGCCGTCGTGGATTTCACCTCCTTGTTTCATAAAAAACACACAATAAGTGTCAATTCAATAGTTTGATGACACTCATGAAGAAATCTGGATTATTCATGAACACATATACATACCACTTTCTTGGGTCCTTCTGCATCTCCTTTCTTTTTGGTGGAAACTTCAGTCTCCTTCCTGAAAAATGAAATAAGTGTTTGATTTTGTGTCTGCATATCTCAATATTTTATTTTCCAGCAGCTGAAAGAGTCGATTCGAGAGTTTCAGAAGTCCCACCTTGAGTCGAGCTTCCTCTTTCTGCTGAGAGCCATTTTCTTCTCCAGAACCTTCCTTTCTTTGCGAGCCTCTTTGGCTCTGGGGCCGTCCAGTCCAGCAGAGTCTGCACCCTTTTGTTTTTTGTGTTCTGCGCAGGAAATTAAGGCGGTGATTGATTTTCTCAAAGGATTCAAAAGAAGAATACTTGATAACTTGCTTGACAAACATCACATAACATAAAAAAGTAGTATGAACAAAAAAGCTTTGACTCTTCGAATACGCGACCCAGAATGCTCTTTCACTTTAATCAAAAACATCTGGAATAGAGATGGACAAATAAAAGTCTCAGAGAGTGCTAGCCTTCATACTTTTTCATGTCATCTAACACTTAGCGCATCTTGCAGAGATGAAGGAAGTAAAATCAAATATGTGTTCATTAAGAAACCAAATTTGAGCCCATAAATGAGCAAAGGAATGACAAGCACCTTGTTCCTCAGCCTGCAGAGCTTTCTGTTTCCTCTTGTCCTCCATTCGCTCTCGGTTCTGTTGTCTCTTCAGTAAACGTTCCTCTTTCTCCTTTGCCTGTGAGGACACAGCAGTGGACATTAAGAGAGACAGCAGGGATCCAAAGCATCGTCAAAATCAAGAACTGGAAGTTCTGTGTGGCTCAAGGTCGTCTGAAGTAAAGTGTAACTAACCAAACTTTTGAACTAAAAGAAAACAAGACAGAACTCACTGCAGATCTCCTACGCTCCTCCACCGTGATTTCATCATCTGAGTCGCTATAGTAACGGGAGTACAGGAAGGGCTTGTGGACATATGCCTTACGACGAGGTTTTCGATCTTCTCCTGCATCTCCTTGTTTCTTCTCTGCTCCTTCACCTTGATCTGTTAAGAGAAATCACACACACATCCAACCAGCGGGTAAGAACATGTTTCACACTTTAGGATGAAGTCAGGTGCTTAAAAACTGTTGAAAGGTCGATCTTCTCCTGCATCTCCTTGTTTCTTCTCTGCTCCTTCACCTTGATCTGTTGAGAGAAATCACACACACATCCAACCAGCGGGTAAGCTCTCCCCTCAAATGATGACAGGTCGCTGGTGTGGACTGAACTCACTGTGATGTCACTCAGGCCCTCCAGGTCAGAGTCCTCCAAAAAGTACTCTGCAGAACAAAGACGTGTCAGTTTAGTACTTTTACACAACTTAAAACTACTGTTAACATACGGTGCAGAGAATATTTACCATTAAGCACATGGAGATTATTTAGTTCATGATCTTGATCATACACAGAGAGTTTCAGCTCACCTTCCTTTATCCTCTCTCTGGCTTTCTGCTTGGCCTGACTTGTAGATTTAATCAGATCTTCATCCTGCTTCTCCTCTGTTGGCTTCCCGCTTGTTTTGCTTGGTGTCTTATCTTTCTCTTCCTCTGTCTGCTCCTGAGTTCCTGACTCCTCCTCTTCCATCTTCACCTCCTCTATCAGCCCATCTTTCCCCAGATCCATCTGTTCCTGCGTGTCTTCTGTCTTCACCTCCCATGCCTGGTCTTCAGATGCCAACTCCTCGCCATCCTCCAACATCTTTCTGTCTTGGTTGCTGTCTGCTTCATCCACAGCACTCATGTCCTGCTCACCCTCTTCTCCAAACTGCATGGACTCATCAGGGTGTTTACGTCCTCTGTCTGTGCTCGACGCTCTGACGCTGGCCTCCTGGTTGAGGGAGGTTATGGTGTCTAGGATGGACATGGCATCGCTGGAGGCTGGTGCAGATGATAAGGCTGTAAAAAATATTACAAGCCAGACACTTGTATTAGCTTTCTGGGGATTATTCAGATTATTATGTTTTGTCCCTTATTGATTTTATTATTTGTTGTTTTTGTGTGTTTAAGAAGTCTTTGTTTATCATATGGAATTATAGATTCTATCTAAAATGTTTACTGAAGAGAAACTTGATAACCAAGTTTCAAAATGACTTAATTATTTCATTTCTGAGGGTCAATTCTGAGAAAATATGGGAAGATTTCTTCTTCCACTGGTTTATCAATAATCAGAGGCATCCAAACAAGTGGATTGCAGTTTAGTTGATACCCAGCAGTCATCTGTAAGCTGACCTGACTGTGAGCTGACCACAGAGGAAATATAATTACATCATTCCATGGCCACAAACATTGATTATAACCATCCTAAATGAAAAAAAAACATTAACAGATCAAGTATCCACGCACCTTGCTCGGGAACACTGCTGTCTGGTTTGGTCTCTGGTAAAGGCAGTGGAGGTAGCGGCTCCTCAGAGCAGCTGCCAGGTGACAAAAACTCACGGACCACCCTCTCCACCTGTGGCCTAAAGATGTGGTTGACTTTGGGATCCACCACCTGGGCCACGATCCTGTCCACTCCCTGCTCCAGCATCCCAGATCTAAGAGAAAAAGGGTGGATAGAATTCGAAAGAAAGCCTCTTTGTTCTGGTTTGAGAAATATAGAGTATACATCCTGCTACTGAACAGAAGATGGTTTATTTAAATCTTAAAAGAATTGAGCAGATAATAAAAAAAAACACAAGATAGGGGAGAGTTGGGTAAGATGAGCCATTTTTTCATATTTTGGATCATTACATCAAGTCAATCATAGTTTTGTCTCTAACTAGTGTATCTGCATATAATTCCAGATGTTGTACATCCAACAGAATGAGTGTAAACATAACTGTCTTGATAATATAGCATGCCAAAAAAATGTTGTAGCTCATATGGTCAACTTACCCCATGTATGAGGTAAGTTGACCAAAGGAGCACTGTAATTTAAACTCACCTTCTCTCTCCCTAAATAACAGTCACTTCTTCACATTCATGTGTATTTTTATCTATTATACACTATTCAACTGGTACAATAATTCTTTTTTTTATTATTATTGCAAATAACTGCTAAACAGCTGTTTTGTAAAAATCCATTTTAACATGAGAATGTCTTTAAGTGATTCAGAACATTCACAGCTGTATTTTTGAAAAGAAAAAGTAAAACATTTCAACAATCTGAACTGAAACTCTGATCCTCTCATCAGACTCCTTTACTTTCTCAGGTGGACCACTGGCTCAACTTACCCCAGAACTACTATTATGACTTTATTAGTCCTCTAAGCTAAAATGGTGGACTTTTATGCTAGGTTTTTGACCTCATTTTGTAGCTCATAGATACCACAATTGATAATAAAACAAATTTAAAATGATCTTTTTTGGTCTGAACACAATTCTAATAAAACTTATGACAGACTAAATTAACTTTCAAGAGTGAAAAATATAAATATATTTTTAATAAATATCTAACCCTTTCACTCAAGTGCTTCCAACCTTCACAGACTCCATGAATTGATGCCCATCTCCTCAATATTTGGTCACATGATCAATTTCTTTTCTCTAGGGGGTGGCTCAACTTTCCCCACTCTCCCCTAGTCTCTTTCCACTTACTGTAACACCAGCTGTCTGATGTTGTTTCTGAGTTGGTTCTTGTTTAAATGAGGGCTCCATGTGTGGTTGGAGAGGTGATTGGAGACAAAATTGTCCACTCTTTGTTTGAGGTTCAAGTAAGCCGGCTGCAAGAGAAAAGAAAAATTCAGAGATACATCCGACATCTCTATCTCTCCATCCTTTTATTCATAACATTTCAATTGAGTCGCTAAATTTTGTAACTAAATTAGGTATAAAATGATGGCTTTCTCAGGGGTGGATAAAAAAGCCCTTGCTGAATTATTGAACATTTCCTCGTGAATAAAAGACAGCTGATACTGTTCCATGAATACCTGAACTTATATTCAGTCCATTGAATGTTTACACAGTCATCATAGGCAGATTAGTGACTCAGTGCAGACACCTGCTTACAATTTTACCTACTATAAACTTACCCTTACATGTTATAGTCCTACATCATCGTGATGTTTGCTGAAAACACACTAAAATTTCTCGTTATAGTCATTTTTTTACCTTTGTGTCCACGTCTGCCAGACAGTCCCTCCTGAACTGGTCAAAGAGCCCCTGAGTTTTCAAATGATTGACGATCATCGAGACCAGCTGGGGATCCCCCGGAGGTAAACCAGCCATTTCTACACGCAGTGAGGCCTATCTGTGTCTGGGTTGACTAATAGTTAATATCGCCAGTCAGAAAATATCCAATTCGAAGGCGCCGATCTCCTGTTATGGTTTCTGAAGTTCGAAGCAGGATTCCCCCCGGAAAGACAACGCCTCCTCTGTCCGTGACCCGGAACTACTTACAAAGCGAGCGCGGTTAACAAACGGAAACGTTAGAGATGGAAAAAAATTGCTTGGCGTGATATAATTTTAAAAAGTGACTTAAGTGTTTAAGGTTTTGGCAAAAAAGCTTTTTACTATGATTTAGATAATGTTTATCCTTCAATATTCGAGGACCAAATATTAGAAACCCCTTGTGGTTCAAACATGTGTTCATATGGCGACCTCTGGCGGCGGCACTGCTTAGAAATATTTTGATTTCTTTTTTCTCTAAGATTAGTCTTTAGTATTTCTGTAACACGGCTTGCCTATTGATCAAACGCCAATGTCAACGGTCGAAATCTCTTGGCAACGGTCATTAAAGCTGCATAGATACCACCGTAGTGTTCGATTCCATACCGTTTAATCGAAGGTGTCTTGTATCTGACTCTCATGTACTCGTGGTCACTGTGATGAGTTTTAATAGCGTATGATCCGGATCATGACATCTGCCCGTGAAAATAAAGAGGCCGCCTCCCAGAATTGGGCCAAGAACCAAAAGCCTAAAAGGTTTCTGGCAGCGGTGGGATTCGAACCCACGCCCCCGAAGAGACTGGAGCCTTAATCCAGCGCCTTAGACCGCTCGGCCACGCTACCGTGTGTTCATAACGCCGACTAGTGGCAATATGATCATAAAACAGCTTTAGGTGATTAATTAATTTTAATTTGTGCCTATATTTAACGTTTTTGTATGACTACATATTACTTAACTTTTTAACCATTTATTTATATACTGTTGATGACTTTTTGTGATAATTTGATGCCGTATTACAAACTAAATGCTTAAAAAATCTCCAAAATAAATAAAATAAAATAAAGTACTGTTTCAGCCATGACTTGAGCAATGATATACTTTAAGAACATTTATTTGAAATTTAAAAGCATTACTTGAGAGAAGGCAACATCGTTTTAACCCCAAACACCCTCTAAACACCTCATTTGACACTATTTGAGAGTATATGCAGTTTGAGGCAATCTAACAGTAGCCTGGCTGGGCCATCCTGCAACAGGATGGCCCAGCCACGCTAATCTAACAGTAGTACTTTGGTGTCAACACCATCAGAAAGAGAATAAAGTTGTGTTCATTTAAAATTTCAGAGGAGAAATACAATAAAAATAACATCTCTAAGCAACTAGACATAGATAATGACTTCACACTGTACAATATAAAAGTGAGGGAGCCCATCATGCCAGAATAATGGCAGTTGAAAACCCATGGCAGTGAGACCAAAACATACTGAAACATCCAGTCTCTTGTAGAGGACAGATTCAAGACCTCTTAGTGGGAGGTAAGATGGCAGACCAGGGCGACTCAGGATTTCGTGGTTGGGCAGACAGGGGGCAGGACTCTGCGGGAGTTAGAGCGCACCCATGGGTGGTCAATGACATTCGCTAATGGGAGGCGATCGATTGGGTTGTGGCGAAGCAGCTTTGAGATCAGATCCCGGGCGCCTTCTGAGATGACTTTAGGGAACTTCAAGTCCACCTACAAATGAAAACAGATAATTTACTCATTCAGTATAGTAAGCAACTGAACTCAGCCCATGACATAACTCTGACAAAAAACACCTTTCCCTTCCCATGAAATCTCCACCTTGTTTTAGAAACTATAAGCCCTGAAGCCATGTTGTGGATTGCAGGGCACAACATCATTTTCACTGAAATTAATATTTTGCTATATATAGTTTACCAATATGATTCTACAAGAAACTAGTGTTTTTGTAATCTCATAAGTAAAGGAATGCTGTAGTGGAACTATACACCATTGACTGATTTGAAATGACTTAACAAAATCTAACCTGGTTGTCCCTGGTATCGCTCTTGCTATTCAGACTAAATAATGATCAATCAAGGGGCTGTCAAAGGGTTTTGACCAATCAGAGAGAAGTTTAACATACTCAGTAAGAAAGCCATGTATTCAATTTTACATAACAAAAACGTTTTTTTATACTGAAGACAAAGTTCACACTCAACGCAAACCTTCATAATCCTTTTGTATGTTTCTGAGTGGCTGGCAGTTTCGAACGGTGGGTTGCCGACCAAGCATTCATAGCAGAGGACCCCAATACACCACAGGTCCACCTTCTCACTGTGAGTGTGTCCCTCAATCATTTCAGGGGGGAGATAATCCAGTGTTCCACACATTGTTCGGCGCCTGAATAGGATAAAGACATACAATCAAATCTAAGTAACATGACACATCAGTGATGGCAGTTCCTGACATAAAACACTGATGGTTCAATGTTACAAAACTTTATGGCTCTGAGGTTACTCACCTGAGAGAAGGTGCATGGACGGACCAACCAAAATCTGCTATTTTGAGCTCTCCACGATAGCCAAGAAGCAGATTCTCTGGTTTGATATCACGATGGATCACTTTCCTCTCATGGCAATACAGAAGTGCATCAGATATCTCCTCCATGTACTAAAAATGCATGATTAAAAATTGAAATTGTTAAGATTTATCACCCAAAGTCATAAATGTGAGCAGGTCCACTGTCATTTGAACACTGTCCATGACAAAAGTATAAACTTCAATGTTTTAAAAGCAGCTACAACTCTTACCGTTGCTGTACACCGGTCATCAAATCTTCCACATCTCTGTAACTCCTTGTACATTTCACCACGTGGAGCATATTCAAGCACCAAAAACACTCTCTTTCGGTCATGAAAGTAGTTGTAGAAGCGCAAGATATTGGGGTGCCTGAAGAGAAAAGATACAATATGAGGGGACTTTCAAACATTTTCCTAAATCAAATTTTTTTTTAAAGTCAAAGCACTGGTTTTAATAGAAAATGGAAGACTGTGTTAATCTCATATTGACATTGACAACACATTCTCATAAACGAAACACAAATACTTGAGCCAAGAAGGAAAAAAAAAAGTACTCGAGAAAATATCCTAGTCAACCAGCAACCTTTATTGAGTCTCATCGTACCTCTTCTCTGTTCATGTTGTCTTGCGCCCTTTCTCTGAATGTTCTTAATGTTTATTCAGTTATCAAAAAAGCTCTCAAGCCTTCAGACAACTGCGGAACAATGATTCTACCAACCTAGTAGCTCTCACTTCCTGGTTAGTTTGAAGATGGCCAACACTTGGTAAACATGAAAAACATTTTTATACTCACTTGAGATGTGCCTGAATCTCAATCTCCCTCCTGAGTTGATGCTCCACTCCTTCTTTTTCCATCTGTGACTTGAACAACACCTTCAGCGCCACGACAGCTTGCAGCTTCTTCACCCTTGCAAGGTAGACATTGCCAAACTTTCCCTTCCCCAGTGGTCGACCAATGTCAAAGTCATCAATGGTGATTTTCCTGGTGAAAGAATCAAGATGTGTTACCATATGTATCATTCATACAGAGGGAGTGGTAACCCCTTAGATTTTGGTATGCAATAAAAAGCACAGAAATGTTAAGCTGAAACCTAATTTGAGAAGTGTAAGGGAACATACTTTGTGACAGAACTGGAAGATGGGCCAACACGATCTCTACCAGGACCTTAAAGAACATATCAAAAAAATTAAAATAGGCATTTGTCCAGATGTCTAAATGTCATCCATAGGGATTGAGCTTGAGTTTACCTGTGATGGCATCTGATCGCTGCTTCACTTGAACACGCTGTGGACCTACCACCATGCTCGGAGTTGTTAACTAATATGAAGAAACAAACACATTTATGAATGTATTCCAAATTTTCATTAATATTCATAACCAGATCAACAAAGCTAAATATCATACCGTTCCTGGAAAACCTCTGGGCTCATAATTTTCCTTATTCTGTAAAGACAAGAAAACACATTAACTTTCAGCTTATTAGGGATTTGCAAGGCAATATTCAGACATCTCTATTTTAACTTTAGAGTTATAATTAGTCTAGATGATGCTTGAAGACTGTGGGGCGAGCAGGATGGTTGACCTTTCAAATACCACCATCCCACGCACACTTTTTGATGGTGCAAGCTAAATCATGACAGGATAAATAAAGATAAATGAAAGTTGAACCAGGCGCAATAGGGTTCATCATGTACAAAAGCTTCCTCCAGAGAGTAGTGCTTTGTTGCATTAACTCTGAAAACTAGGACCTTTTCATAAACTTACTGAGTCTATACCTAGTCTATACCTTTCTCTGGTTCCTAGTAAACACACCATGTAGAGCCATATCTAGACTCATGGCAGATATGTACTATGATTGACACATTGATGAAGATATGCACTTCAACAACACAAAAGGATGACTTTGCTGAAACACCTATTACTGGAGTTACAGATATGTCATTTTAACTTTACTTATTACATGGAGGATATTTATGATTATGTACTGAACAAAGTAAGCTATAATCTGAAACGGCCAAATGTGACGGTAGGCCCTGTTAAAGTAGGCTGGTGTTGGTAGCATTACCCCTAAATGTTAGTTGTGATGCATAGACTACCTGAGTGACACATTAGCTTTTATTTAGTTGATTTTAATTGTAGACACGATTTGTTTGTGTCGTTATGATTTGCATAAGATAAGTTGGTGTTACTTTGAGTTAGTCTTGAAAGGTACAAACCAGTCGCTAACGTTAGCCAAACAGCTCAAATACGAGTGACAACTTCGGTGGTATGTTTCTGCTTGTACAAGTCGTTCTTTTTACCTATGTGTTTAATTTTCTTGATTGTTTATCGAAAAATTAAAGCATAACTCACCTGCATCTTGTGGAGATATGAAATTTCAACCTTAAAACACCGATGGAAAAACCTAATAATGTTGTGTGCTCTCTTCGCCGCCGCCAACGTTTTCAAAAGCTCCACTTCACTCACACGATTGGTCGGTGTACTGCACTCCAAGGACTCCCATAGGCCAGAAGGGTTGGAAGAGAAAGCGTGTGATTGGTAGTAATCGTTGCTAGTCTCAAATAAACCCGCCTCCACTTCCCATGACTGCCTGCGTTTACCGTGGACTGGATCATAGACGTAATATACGTAGACGCCTCAGAGCCTGACGCTGCGTATTGGAGCCCTCGTATCGGCGTGGCCGCCATCTTGGATGGGTCCCCCGTGCGCCTCCAGTGCATTAAGGTAGGTAGGAATGTCCAACCATGTTGATAATAACTCTCTGAATCTCTGCACGATTTTCACACTGTTTGGTTTGTTACAACGGCAGGGATGTAGCAACAATACAGGAAAATGTCACAGAAAGAAAAATAAAAAATATATATTTTTCAATCTTATTTGTGAACTGTAATCCTACGTGATCTGGTTTAAATACTGCGTCAGGTTTTTCAACCATCGAGTGAAAAAAACGGGCATAGCTGCTCGTTCTCCATTGACCCCGTTTGGCTCTTGGTTGAGCCTGGAGGGGGGAGACCCATCCAATATGGCGGCGACGCTGGCTGACCCTCCAGCGCGTAATGAGGCGTCTACGTATATAATGTCTATGGTACCGATTTCCTGAACCATTTCTCGTTTTTTTTTTTTTTTTTTTTGTAAAAACAGGTACTACTTCCGAAAGTAGTGATAACGCACAAATATTTCACAGAAGCACAAATTTTCTAGCTTAACACCGTAAATCAGATAGAAAATATATTTTAAAAACTGCGACTTTTCCGCCAATCAAGAATAAAATCAGTAATTCAACAATAATTAATGTTCTATGATTAGTAATGTTGATTGATGAAGGTCTTCTGATTGAAAAATTGACAGTTTTTAGCAACAGTTGTTTTATTTATATAACTCTTTTCAAAAACAAGTCACAGAGTGATTAAAATAAGAAAAAAAGTCAAATAAAATAAAAGTGAAAAATAAACAGGAAATGGCAGCATAACACATGATTAATAAAACTTAGATCATAAGAATAAAATAAAAGTTTTAATCATCATTCATCTTTTCAAATCAACTGAGAAATTACAAAAGCCAATAGATACTCCAAAACTTTTATTGTTCAAAATATATTTAATGAAAACCATTTCTAATTCACAGTTTTAAACCCTTTTCAATGGCTGGTTGTAATGCAATACAATTCATCTGAAGAACACAGACCTCCTGTTGTTGCTTTTTTCTTCATCAATAGACAAACACAATAATAGACATGTTTCTTATTAAATATCTTTTTTTAAAATTACCTTGGACAAAAACAGGAAATTGAAACTTGACGATAATCAATTTAAATTCTCTCTGTTTCTCTTTATCACCAAAGCAAACACCTGCTCCTGACAGAAACATGTCCTGAATGCGTTCATTGTTGAAAACAAGTGAAGAAACAGGAAACAGGTGGATTATTGCCAGCAGTGTGCCCCAATTCTCTATCTTTGTCGTTGACATCTTGTTTTACTGTATTTCAGTGCTGAAAGTTGCATATTTTCTTTTGCACTACCAATCTGTTACATATTTTGATTGTTTTTTTCCGGATATGCCAAGCTTTGATTTTACACAGAGTGAAAGTGAAACTGTGAGCCACACTGAAATCACTCGACAACGCAGTTCTATGTTATGACACTGTATATCGTCAACCAATGAACTATACACAGTATTTTTTATCCTAAAATGTTGACAACATAAGTTGTCATTAATTTCCCTGGTTCAACATCATAACATTGTGGTCTGGTTGTTTTGTGAGATACTTTACAGTAACGTTCTATAGCACAATGAAGCTCTATAAAAGTCGGTTATTATTCAAGTTTGAAGAAAAATGATGCAAAGTTATCCTATCATTACAAAAATTAAAGACTAAAATATAACTATGGACTGACACTGAATAATATTCAACATTAATTTCCTGAAAGCAAAGATACCAGGCAGCTCTGCAGTAGATTGGCAATCGCCTTGCGATTCAAGATGTTACCAGAGTCTTTAACAGGAAAAATCCTGAGACAATTATTGTTGGAGTATTTTTTGGTGCATGCCACACACTACAGTTTGATCCTTCAAACTTGTGATTTATTTTTCAAGTTATATGCTTGAGAGAATAAAAAAATATAACTATTAATTATTCTACTTCTGTAATGTTTCTAGTGAAATTATCAAATTGTATCAGTGCACATTAATCTGTATTGTTTTGGACTGTGCAGTTAGTGAAAACTAGTGAGCAGGATGGTAGAAGGACAGCCAGTGAGCGGCGCAAACTTGGAATAGGATCATTCATATCTAGCGCTTTGTTCTCATTGTTGCTGTTATCTTCACCTGCAGCCTCCTCACTGTTCTGCTCTTCCCCACCATCACCATCCTCTCCATCTGCTGCTGGTGGACACAATCGAGGCTGGAAAACAACATCCAAGAACTCCAACCGACGAAGTCCACGGAGCATCCTGCAGCTCCGCACTATCTGCATCTCACTGAGTGTGCAGGCCCAGAGGCAAAGACCCTTCAGGTCCTTCAGGCGGCTGGCACAGAGCAAGCCTGGCCCTACCTCCTTACCACCCAGACTGAGCTCCTCCAACCCAAGCCATCCTGCTCCCAACCCAAGGGAGGCCATCTGTAATTGGTAGCCTTGTCGCCCAGTGATACCGATCTCCAGAAACTTAAGACCTGAAAGCCCTTCCACACCATGGGCACCATCCTTGGCAGCACAGCTCCTGAGCCCATTGGCAGTCACACGAAAGGCATCTTTCAACTCCAATCGACTGAGCCTTTGCCAGGATGCAAGACTCTGCAGATGCTGGTCCGTGAAAGAGGGCACATTGTTAAGGACCAACCTCTCGATACCAATCCCTGATGGAGAGCGAAGCCCTTTTCCTTTCTTATCTTTTCTCTGTTGTTGAACACCAACACTAGATGTGGCTTGGGTTGGAGAAGCAGGGGTTTGGTTAAAAAACTCTCTGGGTAACTCACACCCACGCAGCTCAAGCACCTGCAGGGACGGAGGTAGGATTTGGCAACTGGGCAAGCTTCTAAGGTCTGCATGCAGAAGGTAGAGCTTACTCAGGCGAGGGCACTTTGTGGACAAAGCTTTGAGCCAGGACTCAGAGAGGAAGGTTCCTCCTCTGGCAGAGAGCAGCAAACCACGCAACCGTAGGCATCTTAGTCCACAACCGAGGTACTGACGCAGCAGGAGCCAAAGAATGCGGGATGTCACCTAACGCACCATTTAGAGTCCATGACATGTATGTTGAAGGTTGGGGAGAAAGGTGAAGGAAATGTGTCAGTCAAACAAACATGTGGAGGTAAGTCTGGTGGGAAATGGTGAAAGCTTTGAAGTACATCTCCTTTTTTTTTTTGCACACATAGGGATTGTTTTCAATTAAAGAGCATCTTTCAATACTTTAACAACTGTTTCCATCGCCTGGCAAATGGCCAAGAATTCAGGAATACACAAGATTTTACAAGTCAGATATGAATATTGATCCTCTTGTGTTTCTACATTTGTTTTGGATAGAGGCAACACTGTACAAGAAAAGACATCCGATCAAATCTTACCCCTTTCCATGCTGTTAGGTCGACATGTCTCCACAGCCTTTGGTCTTTAACGAGACGTTTCCATCTATGGCACACTCTTAAAACAGAAAAACAACAAACACACCTCAGAGGAGACACAACAAAGACAGTTGACTCTGACTTTAGTTCCACAATGGGGAGAGAAGCTTCCCTTACCTTCCGGCTCTGACGAGCTCTCGTACGCTTAGATATGACAGCACGTCGATCAAAATGTTTTCAGGAAAGTAATCGAGGTTACAGGCTTTAAATTCATCCATTTTATAAACAAAACTCTCTACACCTCACACTCGGACAAATATCGCGACGCACACGGGTTGCGCTCACAACAAAACTCCCCAGGAAACAGCTGCTCGGTAGCTGTAGGACCTAACGAGAGAGAAGAAAACTCGTATTTATTTCTTTTGTGTCATTATTGCTTTCACTCTTCTAAATACTCGCCCTTCCTGTATTTACCCTTCCAACTTCTGATAGCATTAACAAGGTAGAGCTTATTATAAAAACACCCGTCACACCGAGATTGCCACCTAACGTTCGTTATGTGAACAGTCCAGTGCGCCTGCGCAGCTTACCGGACAAGATGGCGACCAGCAATGGTGGAGGAATGGAGGTGGATGGGGCAGGCAAGTATTTCTAATTTATCTGTTAATTTCCTGCTGGTATCAACATCGAAGTGAAGGCGGGTGCTGGCATGTGTGGTTAAGTTTAGCTGTGAGTGGCTGTAGTCGCTGACTCGTCGGTGTTAATGGTGGTAGGCAGAGAGCTCGCTGCTGTAAGCGGGTTATCGCTGTCAACAAATTCATCAATGTAGATGTTTGAGCTCTGTGATACCATGCAGCCGGTGTTTCCGCCGCTTATGTTAATCTAAATCTATCTGCACGGGCATGTTTGAGGTCTGACTGCCTGATATTAACATAAACCCTGTCCCAAGTTAGGGCTGGTCCGCTGGCCATGAGATGATCCGGTATCCCGGCCTCTTCACTTAGACCTGCCAGCATAACATTATTAACATCTACACCTTCCATTGTGATCTAATACAACAGATGTAAGATAAATCTTTCTGTTATGAAGTCTGTACGTGATCAGTTTGTGTTGCTTTATTTGAAAATATTGGGTGTGGGTGAAGTAAATCATATTGAAAGAGTGTTTCTGGTATTTTGCCCCTCCCCTCGTATTTGTCATGAAGTGGTCAAAATAATAGGAACACCTTACAGTATAACGCTACCAAAACCCATTATATCTTAAATTGTAAGTACAAAGCACAACAATTCACCGCCTGATAAAAGTGAAAGGTCAGACTCCTACTGGTAAAGTTAAGTTGCTCTATAAGACTGTATTACATAGTTCTGCTGTCTATCATAATATGACCGGTTGGTGTTTATCCTTATGAAGGATTATGCTGGTAGTTATTGTAGTGTGTATATGTGTTCCCAGCAGTATTTCTATCACCAGTTGCCTCATATGCCAACGGAAAAGGGATAGAAATGCCTTCATAGGTATAGTATTGGTATGTAATAATTAACTAAATGACATAAACTCTGAACGCAGATTGAACCTGGCTAATTCAAGGATTTGAAACAGGATCTTTCTATAAGGGCTTCACATTGTAGCCACTGTGATGTATGGGTGACAGTGTGTGGATCTTGTACAGTGTTGTTTTTTCCCCTGTATAAATCACTGTCTCCAAAGGAAATTCCCCTGCAGCCCAGTCTAAATTTTACCTTGCTTTAGACTGATTTAATTTAGTTAATATTTTAGGAAGACTGATGAAATTTAATGTCAACATTTGATCTAAAAGTTCAGTACTTGTGTCCAAAGTACAAAGCATGTCATGTTTTTGTGTCTCTCTGTTACTCTAGCCAGCCCCAGCGTTATGGCATCAGGGGTCACCGGAAGCGTTTCAGTGGCCTTACACCCTCTGGTTATCCTCAACATATCTGACCACTGGATACGCATCCGCTCACAAGAGGGTCGACCGATGCAGGGTATGTATGTCAGCACTCTGCAAGAAATATTCCTTAACCTGTAGGCGCTAATATGTTCATATTGGAGTAAGGTTTAGCTGGGTTGTTTTGTGATGAAACATGTTATAGTAGATGTTGTTCACGTTTTTGTTTCAGTGATTGGCGCCCTGATCGGGAAACAGGAGGGGAGAAACATTGAGGTGATGAATTCCTTTGAGTTGCTGTCTCACACCATAGATGACCGGGTGCATATTGATAAGGAATACTACTACACTAAGGAAGAACAATGTAAGTGGTTTATATATTCGAAGTGCAAGAATACAACTTTGACACAACGTACTGTATGTGACTTTTAGCTTGTTTTAAGAGGTGCCTGCTTTATCATAGATGGCCTCAGTTAGAGATATTCGCTGGAGACCCAGTCATCGATTATTATTCAGATGTGAAAGGTACTTGCTAAAGTTTTTCTCTGACGTTTTCATCCATCTCTCAGTCAAACAGGTCTTCAAAGACATGGAGTTCTTGGGCTGGTACACCACAGGTGGCCCCCCTGACCCATCAGATATTCATATTCACAAGCAGGTAGGCACAAATTAAAGGCATTTATGATCCTCTTTGATCTGCAGTGAGTCCACTAGTATGTTGTGTTTATGACTCCTTATTTGAGCTCTAAACTTCCACTCTCCACCAGAATACTGACTGAAAAAGCTCAAGATCATGTGATTGCTATGATCAGTAGATGCCTGAGAGATGTTGAGAAAAGTTAAATACCCGGACATGTCCTGCTTGTCATATCATGCGTTGTGATATGCAGTTGATAACCTGGAATCATCTTTAGGAGAAATGTTATTTGGAGGAGTGATAACTACAGCATAGTACTTTGCCTTTTCAGCTACAATTTGTAAAATTTATCATTTGAGAAAAAAAAAAATCAAATTCGAAGCCTTGTGCTTTTTAAAAAAATCTCATTTGTTTGAAATCTCTTGTAATGTGTGACCCCTCATGCTGTTCATATGTTCACTTTTTCTCTCTCTGTTCCAGGTGTGTGAGATAATCGAGAGTCCTCTGTTCCTAAAGCTCAACCCGATGACCAAACACACTGATGTGAGTTTCTTTGCACATTTGAGTTCAAAAGATACAGCTGATATTTTTAAGAAAGCAACTTAAAACCCAGTTGTTTAGATTATCTGTTGTTGCATGCTTGATCCTTTTCGTATTTTTATTACAATTATACTTATTAGTGGTAGTTCCTTTTTTCTGTATTCATTAATCCTATTTGACCAGCACTATGTGACCTCTGCTTTTGAAATATGCTGTATAAATAAACTTTTACAATTATTATTTTTATAAAATCTTGGTTGCGTATTTACACACATCTGCTGTTAACGAAGTCTCCCTTTCTCCCACAGCTCCCTGTTAGCGTTTATGAATCTGTGATCGACATCATCAGTGGAGAGGTAACTTTATCGCTCATGTTACAAACATGTACATTTGATTCACTGTTCATACCCCTTGTTTGATGTGATATGGTTTTTTCTTCATATCCAGGCCACCATGTTGTTTGCTGAGCTGACATACACTCTGGCCACAGAGGAAGCAGAGAGAATTGGTGTTGATCACGTCGCCCGTATGACAGCCACCGGCACAGGAGAAAACTCGACAGGTAAAGACGGGCTGACGTAAAACTCAAAACACAAGCAACGTGCATACAACCTTAAATCAATACAAAAATGTCCCTCATAAATTAAAAAGTACAAATGTGCATGTAATTTAATCTTTTTGTCCTCTTTGTCCTCTCTGCTAGTTGCTGAACACCTCATAGCTCAGCACAGTGCGATTAAGATGCTGCACAGCCGGGTGAAGATCATCCTAGAGTACGTCAAAGCCGTGGAGGCAGGTGAGCGGACAACAAGGTCTTTTAATGAGGCTGTGAGAGCAAAGAATGTGCAAATAAGTCTGGAAAACAGCTGCTCTGAAATGAGATGTTTCCTTTCCTCACTTTGGCACCATTAAAGGGGGCCCCTCGAACACACCCCCATAATTACAAGCTGCACCTTGATACCATCTTCACTGCATCTTCTGACCTCATTGTTTTTGTGCTTCTCTGTCTTGCCCGTCTTCCTGCACCACAGGAGAGGTGCCATTTAACCACGAGATCCTTCGAGAAGCAAACGCTCTGTGCCACAGACTGCCGGTCCTCAGCACCACGAAATTTAAAACTGACTTCTACGATGTAAGAAAACTTAAGTCAAGGAGGCTGTTGAAATTACTTTACTGTTTTATTTTGGGGTTTTTTTAAACAAAAGGTCAAAACTTACAAATCCTCTGTCCAACTCTCAAAAACAGACTCTCCCAGCCTTTGTTTAGATGTTGTTAATATCTGATCACATGAAGCTTATTCTTCATTATTTAACAATATCACACCAATACACAGATAGAAGAGGTAACAGGGATAAAAGCACACCTCATACCTCCGCCTCTATAAATAAACTCAATTCTACTACAAGACAGAATGACAGCCAGGCCCCATGTAGCTACTCCATGACTCTGTATTTTATAAGTTGGCTCTATTTTTAGCTGTAAGTGAAATTTAATGTGCCACCAAGGATTTCCAGCACAACGCTGATTTAATAAGCACTGCTGTAGGGTTCAGCGATGTGCCTTAACAGCTTTAAATGCACAGAAATTACTTGTTAGTGGGTATTTCTCTTGGGTTTTGTCTTTTAATGTGATGTACCGACTCTACAAACAAGACAGTATATTGACAGCGATTTTATATTTCACTATAATCAGCTGGGAATAGAGTTGAAGCATCAGGATCAACATTGCAGTGATGTCTTGTCATGTATAGATGTTACTGGCTACTTGATTAGTTCATGTGGTGTATATTTTTAGTACTCATGGTCAGTGTTTTTACATGACTGCAGGACTAATTTCCATCGTTATTGAAGTTGAAGTTAAGAGTATCGAACAGTTAAGAAGAAAAAGAAGATTAGATCGTCTAACTGTGAGGATCCTGTGAGCTATAACCAAACGTTTTATTTTTTTTCTCCCTGCAGCAATGCAACGACGTGGGCCTCATGGCCTACTTAGGTACCATCACCAAGACCTGCAACAGTATGAACCAGTTCATCAACAAGTTCAACGTTCTGTATGACAGACAGGGCATCGGCCGGAGGATGAGAGGACTCTTCTTTTGAGGCGAAGCAGAGAGATGAACGAGCACTGCAGTTTCTTTTTTTTTTTCCTCTGTTTTCGTTCATTTTTCGGTTTCTTTGTATTTTGGTCAGCTGAAACAAAATTCTTAAAGCAGCAGTAGCTTTTCAAACCAGTTTACCATTTTCAACTACAAGTGTATCTAAAGGCACTTAATCACACCAGTCAGCAAGAGATGCGTACAAACTCTTCCCTGAGCGTGCACAGAGATGAATCCACTGTACATGAACGTTATATTATTTTACCGTTTGTTTTATTGTTTCATGTTTCTGTATGTAATAAATGATCTGCTGATTTTTTTCATGGGACTTTGGCTCCTCTTCTTTATCCGCTTACATTATTTTAACCAGGTAGACATCAGGCCAGCGATAGATGACGCACACATCCTGTAAAAATGTAATGAGCTGCACTTTTAAACCAGCCTGTGAAAGTGAAGCGTGTCGCTGCAGGTTTACCGTTAGAGGTGTTTGCACTTAGCTCGGCTTTTGAAGTTGCGCTCCTGCTGTTCGATCGCCTCTGGCCTTCAGTTTACATGTACACGGCAGGAGAGGAGGTGCAGGGGGGGCGGATAATAGTTAAAGGGTAGGAGGTCCAACAGGAGTCAGCGTTTTTATGGGTATTAAATGTACAGCGGAAGTAGAGGTAATAACCACCAGCCTGTAAGTGAGCACCTCTACATAAAGTTGCTCTGCCATGTTGGTGCTAAGGGGGCAAATATTTTCCGTCCTTCACCTTCTTCCACCTTGAAAGAATAATCAAAACACAAGACCAGTCAGTGTTTGGTGACACTTTATTGTCCCATTAATCAAAAAATCAGTCGTATTACATGCTTGTGTTGGCTGGAAACAAAGCAGAACAGTGTTAGGGTGAATACATTTACATTTTAATAGGTTTAGAACAAAAAGGCAGCTTTTCAATGCTCTAGCTTTTGTTGTTTTCCTTGAAAGTACATTTACAAGACGTTAAAATCCCTGGAAACTGTTGAGCTGAGAAAGTCTGTCTGATTTTATAGGAGGAACACTCTTCCTCCATCACCTCCTGGAGGATTTACTGGCCGTCCTCTGCGGGCTCGTCAGCAGAAGCAGCAGGCTGAGGGTACTGGAAGCGGGCTGGGTCATACAGATCATCCCTGGGGTCGTAGGGCATTGGGTGGTAGTATGGGTAGGGGTAGAGAGCCACTTTCTTTGGGGCAGGCGGGACTGGCTCCTCCACAGGCACTTCCTCTTTCTTTTTCTCCACAATAGGAGGTGGTGGTGGGAGGGCCACCACCTTACCCTTTATGGGCCTGGGTGGGTGGTCGATCAGGCAGTCGGGATCCCAGTAGGGGTCACAATCGTACTCCATGCCCTTGAAGGTGCGGATAGGGGCCGGGGGGGACTTCTTCACGAGGACTGGTGGAGGTGGAGGTGGGGCAGACTTTTTAGGAGGAGGGTACTGGAGCACCGCAACTGGTTCTGGGGCTTTCTGGGGGATGCATTTAGGGTGATAGCGGGGGTCACAGAGCACGGGTACTGCACCAGTGGGCATGTAGACGATGTGGGGCTTACAGAGGGGGTCCTTCTTGTTGCATAGGTAGAGGACGTCAGCCTGAGACATGGATGGAGCAATGGGAGGAGGAGGGGGAACAGTTGCAGGGGGCTCTGTGGGCTTTGGGACCCCTTTCATAGGAGGTGGAGGAGGGAGAACGACTTTGCACTTCTTGTCTGTGGCTGGGTCACACATCCTCGGCAATCCCAGTTTGTTCTGGTAGTAGGAGGCGTTGGGGCCATAAGCGTGCTCCAAGAACCTCATCTGCTGGTAGAGCATCCGGATCTTGTCGATCTCATAGAGCTGAGAAAGAAGGGGAAAGGGGCAACTTTATAAAAATTAAAAAAAAGACATTTATCACGCTTGAGAAAATATCACGCACTGTCAAATATCTACTTTTTTATTGTTGGGTTTTCATTTTCTACTCTGGATGTTTTTTTCTTCTAACCGGATTTGGAGCTCATTTAAAAGCAAAAAGGCCCTTATGAATAAATTTTTAAAAGGTCAGTGTTCTCCACAAAATAAAGTCAGGATTTAAATTTCAGAACAGTCATGATACTGTACTTTGAATGTTCCCCACACCCCAAAGAAAGAACCAAAGAAGAAGAAAAAACTTCAGTCAATAACAGAAGTTACTGCTGCATCGCTCATAAACTGTTTAAACTCTTACAACCTGGATAAAACTCAGAAATCAGACTTTTCACTCTTTCTTATAAATCTGTCAGGGCTTTGAAACTTAAGCAAAGTCTTTAACATCCTTTCATGAAAACGGATTTATTGTTTTTGCAGTATTTTGTTAAAAAGATGATATTTTTTTTGCAGTTTCTTTCTTGCACTTGAGCCTCTTAATTCTTTGTGAACCAAAGAAAAGCTCTTTTGAAGGATATTTTGAAAACATCTTCATCATGAAATCTTGTAAGATGAACAACAGACTCAACCCAAAGTTCAAATCTGATCACAGCGCTGAAATTTGAATAAAAATGCGGAGGAATAAAAACTGAAAGAACTTATTGTGAACAGAAAAAAAGAAACATTTAAAGGGACAAAATAATAAAAAGCTTTTGTTAATGTTGACTTAACCCACCACAATCACTGTGTAGAATGTCTTCAAGGATTTAAAATGTGGATTTCTTTAATCCCTGCCGTTTTCTACAATCTCTGTCTTATCCATTCACAAATTATCATGTCTCAATGTGTGAAACTGACTCATGTTCTGGCGTCTCACCCCCTCAGTGTGTCCGATGCTGCTGTAGTAGCGGTAGTACGCCTGAAAGTCTGGGTTTGATCTGTACCATACGGGGTCCACGTTACGCTTGGGTCTGGAGTGAGTCAGAAAGTCGTTTGCTTTCTCTGAGTCAATACTGAGACCGCTGACAGGGACCATCTCTGTGATACAGGGAGACAAACCTCAGTCACTCAGAAAATACTCATTTATAAAAGCTGAAATGTTTGTAGAAGTGCACTCACCTTCTTGCTGGATGACGTTTAACAAAGATTTGGCCTCCAGAAGACCTGGAAGAGGAGACAAATCATCACATACATATTTTTTGACCATCTTTTTGTTTGAGTTTTGCACTTAAATAAAGAATAAAAACTGACCTGGAAGCAACATCAGACAGCAGAGTGCCCCCATCAACCATAATGAGGAAATCATCTTGAACTCCTGCTTTCAAGACAAGTTCACACATATCTAATTATCTGATAACTCAAGCAAAAAGTCTGATTCACATTCTAAATTAGGAGAAATTTTATGTTGAAAATATCTGTCAAGAGAAAAAAATCATCTTTAAATTCACCCCTTCATTGAGTTTGTCTCACTTAAGTCTGCAGTCTGATTTTATCCTTATATTAACCTTTCAAAATAAAACACACAGCAGCTGAAAGTGAAGAGGTTGACTCATCAAACTGAATAAAATATGGTTTCATTCAGTAAAATTTCACCAACATCATCTGACTACTTTGTACTCACCTGCCTGAGGAGGCTGCCTTCACTCCCCCCAGAGAGCCGGGTGGGTTAAATACAGATCTGTGAGTCAGACACCCTGAAACATGACCTCCTGTCCAATGGGGCTCCACCAACTCTGACCCTCACCTTCAGTCTCCACCTCTCGTTTCATACAGTTTAATAAGGAGCCTTTGGCGCCAATTAGGAATAAAAGCCCCCGTGCTTTTAGCAGTGAGGCCATAAAGGGAACAGACTTCAAATGGAAACTCCCCATTAAGTCTGGGAGGAAAGTATCACCTGCTGGGGCGACTGCAACTGTGGGGGAAAATGCTGCCTACAAGCACATAACTCTGCCAAAAAAATTATTAAGGATGACAGCATGTACCACCTTAGAGAGCTGTTGGATTTCTAAAATACAGTCGGCTCCAAAGGTGGTTATTTTTGTACAAAGAACATCTGCTTTCCTGAAGGATTTGTTTTCAGAGACAAGGTCATCATCTCTGAGCGACAAGGAGGCTTTTTATGTCCCAGCACGTTCATGATTACATCCGAGGCTTGCAAAATTAGCACTGAGGTCTCATTCTCACAGGATGCTGTCACACTAACATGCCATGTTTTTACAGAGTATAAAAACTTACATTGTTTAGTATCGGGATTGTCAAACAGAAAACGCCATTCCTAGAAATACTTCTGCGTGAGAGCTGGCTCTGCACTGCTACTGCTGCTGCCTCTGCCACCTGCAGTTTGCTGCTACACTTTCTAAGCATCCTCATCTACAGTCTTGCAAACATTGGAATAGAAATATCACATTTAATAAAGTTCAGCCACAGTGGAAAGCTGTGACATGGATACACTTATGGAAGGACTTACAATACAAGAACTTAATTTATCCCCAAGAGGAAATTAATTTGTCTGAAATCTCAGATAAAATCCAGATAAACCACGTTATGATCAGACCTGCTGAGTGGTGGTAAGGCAGTGGGTCTGAAAGCTTCTTTGGCGTTAGCATACAGCTAACAGGGTTTCGTTTTCTCTGGTAGGACAGTTATCAAACTTTGTAAATCCAGTCAGGTGAGAGGAGAGGGGGACTTGGTTGAAGTCTCCTGATATCATTAGTAGTGCCTCAGGATGTTGAGTTTGTTTCCTAGCAACAGTATGATGGAGAACAACACACAGAACTTCAGCTGTTGCCTTGACTGGGATACATACAAGTATTGTCATAATGACTGAACTCCCTTGGAACATAATATGGCTGAAGAGCGACTGCCAACAGTTCAATATCTTGACAACACAATCTCTGCTTGACAGTTGTGTGAAGAGTTGCACCATCTTTGGTTAACAAATAAAGCGAGACCTCCTCCTTTCTTCCTGACACAAGCTTTAGCATCTCTCTATGATCTTATGAGAGTGGAGCCAGGTAGATCCACACTGGAGTCTGAGTTGTTTTGACACAACCAGGTTTCAGTAAAACACAGGAGACTGGGACACCATGGGAACTTTGAAATAAATAAAGAAGGAAAATAAAGTTTGTGTGGACTCAAACAGGAAGTGGCTGAGGTTGGGTTTAAAGCCAAGAGATCACACTTCACCCAGTTTCAGCTCTTTTGGGGGAAACTTAGCAGTTTAAATATGAAGATAAGCCAAACCAGCTGTGAGGACCAGACACCTCCACATGAGCTTTAGATAAGGAGTTCAGTTCACAGCGTTGGATTTCTTGTTTGCACTGTCGGCTGAGCCTTTTGATTTCTCAGGGACATTTGAAAAGGTAAATTTTTCTTTTTGACTTATAAATAAGGTTATTAATTTCAGATTTGTATCTAATTAAATTGGAGCATACTAAATCAGTATGTTTCTTTATGTTTATCCCTCTAAAATACGTTTCATGTATCTGCTGTTTAGTGTTAAGATTGTTTCCTTACTGTACTTGCGGCATGTGGGAAAGTCAGGAGGCATTGTGCAAAAAGATTAAGACCTTTTGATTCTCCATGTAAAACAAAAAAAAATTAGAAAACATGATCTGGCCCCTGATGGCGTATTATAGGAATAATAGCATTAAATCATTCTTGACCAAAGCAGGATTTTTAAAGCAGAGGCCTGTACCTGTTTCGGTCGCAGAAGTCCCAGAAATAATTTATAGAGTTAAACCATGCCACTTAAAACTCCATGTGGAATGTGTTTTTCTATTGCAGTTTGGAAAATGAAACTGTGACAGAAAAATGCGTGTCTGTTCCTTTAAGCTTTTAAGCAACACATAGCTATTTAGAGTCGAGGACAATGCCTCTAGGCTTCAGGAAATTCTGACGTCCATTTGTCACCATTTTATGGACCAGAGGATAAGAGAATAATCATCGGTTGTGTCCCTGTAAGTCAGGGAGTTTTATGAGAAAGACGTGTAAAAGAGTTTCGGAGGGCAGTCATTATATCAGTGCGGCTGCTTCGCCAACAAACCAGGTGTTCAGAGGGAGCTGTGGCACACTTAAAACTCCCCATTTTATGTGCACTCCTCAGCCCGGCCCAAATCAACCACATCAAACCATATTGAACCATCCATTTATTATAACTTTTTGTCACAATACAAGGCTCAATGTTGAATCTTGCCTGACTTGCATTGAAGCATATAGAATATACAGAAATGTCTCAAAGAGACCTGGAAGCTTTAAGCTCTAGACTGAATTCGCTACACAATAACACGCCTCACAGCGTACACACATATTTACAAGCAAATTTCTGGTCAATATAAAACACTATGGACCTCCTACAGCAGGAATACATGCAGAATAGTCATCCCTCAAAAATGTTCAGGTTGTGCTTGACCTTGATCACAAAAAATGCTGCAGGAGGAAAACAAGAGTCCCAAGTTTAGGTCTGTGGAAACTCCACCGTGAAGAGCTGAAGATCGAAGAGTTGACCGCCTCTTTCTTCAGACAAAGGTGATGCGGGAGCGAGCCTGGTTGACCTGCCACACATTCAGCTCCTCGTACTCCTCCAGGGCTTCCTGGAATTGAGCGGGGGTGAATCCGCGAGAGACGCAGCGCTGCTCCGCTTCAGCCATGCGAACCACTCCACCTGCTCCGCCGCGGCCCGTCACTCCTTCTGTGGCGAGCTCACGCACCAGCGAGAAGATGACGTCAGCTGGGCGCTGAGTCCTGAACATCAGAAGAAAAAAGAGGTTGTCAGAGGAAGAATTTCGACTTTTAAATGCTGTAAATACTAAATCAAGATCCTCTTTTTATTAAAGCTTTTATGCAGATTCGGCTTTTAGCTTCACATGTTGATAGTTTAGATATTCTTCCGATCAAACAGCAGTAACTCAAACATCTCCTAATAAAAGAACTGACCTGCCTTGGATATAAAAGGAGAGTCTAAATCAATAACTGCTCGTGTGCTCAGACTTCTACCTCCTCTTATCCTCCCTGATATTTCAAAGCTCGGAGTTGAGAACAGTCACTGTGTAAGGGCGTTTCAAACACTTCACTGCCTCAGAGAACATGCTGCCGTGTGAACAGGGCTCTATAAAAAGCCAGAGAGCTTTAACAGCTTCCTCCAGGATACACAGTCACTCTTACAGGTATACAAGGAACTCATAAAGCGTCAAGACTACATCTGGTCACATGTGAGGAGCCGGGGCCGAACAATGGCTGCTGTTAAAGACAGGTTAAGGGGTTTTGAGTCAATACGGACCTTGTGGTGTTGGACTTGTCAGCTTGCAGAGAGTCCTTGGACATCTCCATGAGCCTCATGGCCTCATTGACATCTTCCTTCTCCACAGTCTCCTCTTGACGTAGGCGAGCCTGCAGGAGGGCCACAAAGAGACAGATTTGAATCGACACATTCTTCAAAACACTTCTGTATGATTTTGTGAATTCTGTTTAGAAGCAGATGAATCTGAACAACGAAGGCTGCGCTGTGCCGGCACTGTCAGACCGAGACAAGTGCAATGCCCTCTGGGATGGCCGGCAATTGCCCAAGTCTCCGCCTCTCAACACCAGCTAATCTCTCGTTCGGTCGCCGTTTCAAACGTCATGAAATATAAAAAAACACTTGAGGGATAAAGTGTTTGATTTTTGCGGGGCCGACACTTCAGGCCTTGGTCAGTTTTGCATGGGTTTGCACAGCTGCTCTTTACGAACACACGCTGACTGCCCACCCTGCAAAGCTGGCCAGGACCAGACAAACATTCGTACCTGGTTCACTTTCAAACACCAAGAATCATGTTCAAAGTAATAAACAATCTGCTGCCCGGAAATATCCAAAAATTGTTTTTAACAGAGCTGAGGGTGATCATCTGAGGGGAGACTTTAACTTAAAGCATCAGCGGACACAGTCAACATGAAAGAGATTTTGTGTTTCTGTTTGTGGGATAAGGTTGTGGAATAGATTAGGTGTGGCGCTCAAGCTATGTCTAAGCATGACCCAGTTTAAAAAGCAGAATAAACACATGGTTCTCACAAGGGCCTGACCGATATGGATTTTTTTGGGGTAAATGCCGATACCGATATACCGATAAAATTTATATTGAATTTTTTATGAAGTTCTATAAAAAAATACATATACTGTAGATTTACTGTAGTCAACTGCTCTTTACACCGACAGGGAGACCGACTGATCAAACCCAGACCAGAAACGCATTTTCAACTACCCACCCCCTACAGGATAAGTCAGGGAACTCTGCAAATGGCAGAACATTTTCAAAGTGAAACCGAATCTTATTCTCCACATTTTATTTCTGAAAATATCTGCGAAAATCAGCTGATTACCAATTAGTCTCAAACGGGCTAAAATTGGCCAATTTAATCGGCTCACAGATAAATCGGTCGGGCCTTAGTTCTCACCGGGTACAGTGAGGAAGAAAGGCTTTAACTATTGGGAGTTTTCAGAAATGATTTCTGTTCTTATTTATTCCATTTATGTTCTATTTATTGTTAATATAATGTAAATATGTTGGAGACTGACTGTTTATTGAGTAAAGGAGAAGGGGTAGGTTTAAAAGAAGCAGAACGCTTCATCCTACTGCTTTTCAGACAAGTTGGGTTCGCTTTATTAAAAAGTCATTTTATTGTTTTTTTTTTTTAGCCTTGATTATTGTTGTTTGTTTTCAGTTTACTTTCTTGTGTTGCACATATGTTTGAGAAAAATAAATGAAAATGAAATATGCAGACGAGTCTTAAAGTTAAAAACAGTTCAGTGGCAAACACACACACACTGTGCAGCAGATACACACATGCAGGATTAACACAATTTAGGCGGTGTCTTTTAGAGTCATGTCAGGAGCCTGCCCTCTTGTGGACATTAGTGAGCAGCACACTGTTTTCCTCTCTGCCTGAAGTGCTGGTTTTGCAGTAGGTGGATGACTGCTACCTGCACAAACAGCACTTTTGGCAGCGGGGACCAAGACGACTCGCAGTCACTCGATTTCAGGTATTTACAACAAAACGACCGAACACAGCAGAGACTTTGATCACTGTGGTTTGACAGACTGCTGTCCAGCGTGAGAAAGAAGTGCTCACACTGCAGTAGACCAGGTTATCATCACTACCTGCACTGTAAGCACTTTATCTCACACGGGACTACCGAAGAAGAGACGGACGACCGCAAATCTTCATGAAACAATCTCACTTTCCTCTGATTTGACCCGATTATCCTGTGAAAGTTTCCCTTCAGCAACAGCTCACAGGAGTGAATTACAGTCCTCACCAGAGCTGTGGACAGTCGGAGGATGGAGAGGAGGGTACGGGCAGAGGTGAAGGTGGTGTCTTTGCTGACTCTGGCCTCTTTCCTCATTTCTACGTAAGCCGCTGTGATGTAATCGGCCAGGGCCTCGGGCACCACGGGCTGCTTCTTCTTGCACAGAGCAATGTAACGCCTGAAGGGAATAACGTGTTCAAATTCTGTTAAAAACACTTATCTTTCAGGGTGTGGTCTTCATATTTACGTTAAAAACATTTCTCTCACCTCATCAGCTTCATGTCGATGGGCGTAAAGTGGGTAGGCGGCTGGCGGCAGTGCTGGTGGACGTAGGTGATGTGCTGCGCCAAACGCAGGTCAGCGTCAGCATCGGGCTTGTCCTGGATCAGCCACAGCAGGTCAAAACGGGAGAGCAGAGCCGCCGGCAGCTGAATGTTCTGCTCGATGCTCTTCCGGGGGTTGTAGCGGCCGTACGCGGGGTTAGCGGCGGCCAGAATAGAGCAGCGGGCGTTCAGGGAGGTCATGATGCCGGCCTGGAGGGAGCGGGAAGCATTAGTGGGGGTGTAACACGGTCATCAGGTCTCTAAATTGACCATCTGAGAAGGTTAATAACAATGAGGTTCCGTTCACCTTAGCGATGGAGATGGTCTGCTGCTCCATCACCTCGTGGATGGCTGTACGATCGGCGTCGGCCATCTTGTCAAACTCATCAATGCAGCAGATGCCCAGATCAGCGAGCACCAAGGCGCCACCCTCCAGGGTCATTTCTCCAGTCAGGGGGTCACGCATCACCGCGGCGGTCAGACCAACGCCAGACGAGCCACGACCTGTTGTGTACTGACCTAAAAACCATCACAAAGACGAGAAAACTGACGGATCAGACCAGACTGTGGAGGCTGTGATGTTTTTTTTTCCCCTTTAAAAGAGCCTTTTAAAAATAAAACTAAGACTCAAATCAAGTTTCAAAACGAGCTCAGAACTACAGTGTTCCTTTCCTCCTCTCTACAGACTTTCCCCAACTTTTCTTTGGTGAGAGAAGCACATCCAAAGTTAATATTTTACCCTTAAACTCCTTAATGGGAAGAAAAAGCACACCAGATAAAACATTAAACCAGATTCACGTCTCCTGCTCCCAGCAAACAAGACTGCACTCACTTCGTGGAGCCAGACGGTCAATGTAGGACAGCAGCTGGGACTTGGCCACTCCTGGGTCTCCCATCAGGCAGATGTTTATATTGCCTTAAAGAGTAAAGAGGTCAAACGTGAAGATTTGTTTCAGTTTCTTACATGATTGTCATGGTGATAGTCACAAAATCAGTACCATAACCTGAGTGACTGATTGTGAGGACTGGTGTTACACTCACCTCTGATTTTCATGCCTTTGGGCGCCTGTTCCACACCTCCGACCAGCAGCAGGAGCAGAGCCTTCTTCACGTCTTCATGCCCGTAGATCTCAGGTGCGATTGAGCCGGCGAGTTTCTCATAAAATCCTTCATCTGTCACACAAACATATAACCAAGTTGATTCAAGAGTACAAAAAAACAAAAAAACAAAACAAAAAGGATATCTGAATCGGCATCTAGCAGCTCAATGGTCTTCATGCTGATCTAATGTCAAACCTCTGATGCTGCGCAGCTCCTCCTCGCTCAGGTCCTCGTTGCCGAGCTCATCGTCCTCAGTCTTGTTCATTAGTGTGATGCTATGAGCCTCCATGTAGGTTTCTGACAAAAGGCCCTAAAACAACCAAAACCAAAATCAGGAGATCAGAGTGAATTTTAGGAGCGTGGACATCATCATCAACAACAAAGGCCTTAAGTCTTGAGGTTGTTTCTTCAGACCTGGACAGCCTGAGAGTATCCGGAGCGGAGAAGAGGGAGGAAGATTCCGGTGATGGCTACATGGTCTCCCGGCTGGGCAAGGCGTGTGTTTTCGCCACGAGCGTACACAGACATGCTCCTCGGAATATTTCCCACTGGCACCTGATCGCTCTGCGGGAAGACAGAAGAAACCCGTGAGATGGAAGAAACTTGACAAAATCGTTTCAAACAGCATCAACCAACAATGAGTGACAGTTTGAGTGGATCTGGTTTCCTACATGCTCCTGGATACGCAGCTCCTGGAACTTGACAAATTTGGAGCCTCTGGTCTGCAGGTAGAGTCGACCTCCTGACTTGTTTGTGACGCACTCTTGGCTGGGGCACATGATGAGGGGCATGAAGGTGGGGGACTGGATCTGAGGGATACATAAAAAGGGATCTTATGAGCACCAAGAGACAAACATCAGTGTTTCCTCGGGATGTAGATAAACGAATGAATCTGATCTTACTGGTTGATACGTTTCTGCACCACACTGGTCACACGTGTAAGTAGCGACAGCCATCATGGGTTTGACCTCAGTGGCACGGGTCACTATTCCTCGCACTGCCACCAGGTGCCCAATGCTGTCTGCTCGCACATCACGCACCACTTTGGGCTTCGAGGTGCTGGGAGATTTGAAGTAGAGCTCACTGTGGACGGGAGACAAAGTCCATAAAAAAAAAAAAAAAAGGTCTTCAACATCAAATCAATCAAATACGATCTTCACATAAATCCAACCCCTGATCCGACTTACAATCTCCTCATGAGCTCAGGTGGGTATTGGTTACGAGGGTCTCTGGTGTCCGCAGGGTCGCGGCCCCTCTGCTCCATCATCAGCCTGTGCTCAATGTACACGTCCAAGGAGTCTTTGGCCACAATCTGAAAGTAGCAAAAGTGATGGATGCATCAGTCAGTGCGTTTAAATGTGAAGCTTAAATCGGACTAAGCTCATAACTCGTTTTTTTTTTTCTCCGCCCAATTGGACTTCTCTCCTTGTCCGCATATTCAGCTGAGAAAATTAAATTATTGCCGTAAACATGTCCTCCTCCTGTCAGAAGTGACTACAACTGCTGCTGGGCATTTTCGATCAAGAAGATGGAGCATTGTTCAGAAGTTTTTTTTGTCGTACATGATGTACACGCTACTTTTTCTGCAGATGAGATGCACACTACTCCTCTTCTCTGGTGTTTTTGTAATGGAGTTACTGGGCGTGGCGCATGCACACATGCATTGTCCAACCATACTCCAACTACGCTGGTTACACGGTAGAGAAAATCGAATTCCAATCGCATTATCTGGGTGTCTTAATCGAAGTTCTCAAACTCCGATTATAGTCAGACTAAAGTGTTTACATGCAATTCAGTTGTCCGGTGTTAATCAGAATAAGGCAATAATTCAGTTTTCTTGAGTGTCATGTAGACATACTGAGTAATTACTGACGACTCACATCTTACAATCAAAAATGACCTCACTTGAACATAAAACAAGCTAAACTAATTAGCAAACATACATCTCTTTCTTTGTACTCTGGCAGCAGCTCATGGATGGCGTCAGCAAACAGGCCCGTGTAGCGCTTTGCATTCTCACAGACGCTCTCAACCAGCTCGGGGTCTTCCTCCGCCACGTCGTCCAGATCCACAAAGAGAGACACCTGCTCCCTGTGGGCCAGCGCCACCTGTACACACAGACGAGTTATTTGATGAGCCGCTTATTTGCACAGACCTGTGGGCACAATTTCTCATTAATTACACATCGATGACGCCTTCATCAGTTGATTTGACAGTCTTTGATATAATGTGGTATGTTTACACCTTATTTGAGGTTAAAATTTAACAAAGTGCAGAACAGGATGTAAAAAAATTTGAAACAACTCATTACCTAAAAATGAGAGGGCACTCGATTTAATCATTTTATGCAAAAACATTCAAAAAAAAAATAAATTTTTAATATATATTTTTTTACTTCCAAGATGGAAAGAAGCAAAACCATCAAAAGATCAACAATAGTCTGTTTTATTACATTTACACTAAAAAAGAAAATTAATTGAACTGCTTTGTTAAACTTTTCTTCGGCTTTAGCTGTCTTCAAAGTGCTTGGTGTACAATAGAGAGTAACATCAAACAATACCACAATATACTGGGAGGCAGATACAAATTAAATCAAAACATGTCTATAAAAGGTAGCTTTAATAACTATAGCTTTATGTTGCAGGGTTCTTATATTGTTGGGGTTTCTTACGACAAAAGAAATCTGCCTTCAATTCGGAGGCCTTGTTTTTAACTGAGCTTTTGTTTTTTATTTGTTTTTATTGCCACGTCGGTAGATTTGATTACGATTAAAGATTTGTATGTTTACTCCTTATTTTAGGTAAAAGTTTCAACTTCATGGCAAACAGTTTAGCAAAGTGCAGCAAAATATATACAAAAATTAAAAACAACTCATTCCCCAAAATAAGGGGCCACTCGATTTAATCACTTTATGCAAAAACGTTCAACGATATCAAAGAAATCCTCTTCCAACCTTAAAATTTTTAACATTTTTTTAACCTCCAAGATGGCAAGAAGCAAAACCATCAAAAGATCAACAATAGTCTGTTATATTAGATTTCCACTTAAAGAAAATTTATTGAACTGCTTTGTTAAACTTTTCTTTGGCTTTAGCTGTATTCAAAGTTCTTGGCGTACAATAGAGAGTAACGGCAAACAATACTGTAAGGATGCCTAGCCCAGGTTCACACTAGAAAGAATCGAAGGTCCACACGAATGATCATTTTGACAAGCTTTACTGATTACATATCTGGGTTACAGCTTCAGCAGGCCACAAGTGTGACCAACAGTGGTGCTAAGTGTAGCCACCCCCAAGTGTAGCAAAGAGTGTAGCCCCCATGTGTGGCAAAGAGTAGCCCACCCCCAAGTGTGGCCAACATGAGTGTAGCAAAGAGTGGTCCAAGACCATTCAAGTATATATAGCGGTTCACAATCCTAAACATACTGTTGGTGTTTAGTTGACCCTAAGAGAAATCCATGTATGGTAAAAACAAAGGACAACATATTTCAAAAGCCTTAGATGAACATGTGGAAGGTCCCAAGAAGGAAATATCATGGCAAACATATTTTGGGGACCTACATGGTGTAAATAATGTGTACAGGGTTCCTTGCTCAGGGATGGTTGTAGGAGGCCCCCGGCTCCAGCAATCTAACACCAAAGTGTCTGGGGTATTTGAGTGACACAGCTCCACCACTCTAAAGGCTGACATGACTGGCTAAAGAAACTCATCCTAACAAATACCACAAAATACTGGGAGGCAGATACAAATTAAATCAGAACATGTCTATAAAAAAAGGTAGCTTGCTGCATGGTTCTTGTTTTGTCTGGGTTTCTTATGACAAAAGAAAATGTCCTTGTTTTTAACCGAGCTTTTGTGTTTTATTTGTTTTTATTTCCATGTGCTAAAGCTTTACGACTGTTTGTCAAACTTCTGTTTTTAAAAGTGCCATAAAAATAGTTATTTTTTTTATATATATGTGCATGCAACAGACTTCTTACAGACATATTCACTTGTGTGTGATAATGGCAGGATGTTTTTCTAAGTCAGCTGTGAAAGCTTTACTATCAGCTAACTTTACTTACAAGTTGAGCTCCATATTTGAAGACCTTCTTCCCATTGTCATCCTCTGAGTAAAACTCCTGGAGGAATCTTTTGCACTTCTCTACAAAACAAACACAAGAAAAAATACCTTTAGCGTTTTTTTTTCACAGCAGAAACACACAGGCCAAACCCAGCAGACAGCAGGCGGTGAGTTTACTCTCAGCTGTAAACAAAAACATGAAAAGAAACCACTCTTTACCCACTTACCTTCATTTTCTTCGATGTGAACGTTGTGTTTTAAGTTAATAATCTGTTGGAAATGTTGATTTAAACACAACTACAAGTGGGCCTTGAGACTGAGAGCTAATTTGTTGTCCTGCGACGACCCCCCTTTGTTGAGTAACATGGCATCCTGTAATCTCGATGAGTCACTATAGCTTTGCCGTGGAGCACAAACTGGCACTGATGCTCCACATGAATCAAATTCCTCCTCTCCTGTGTTCACACTAGCACAGTTTTAGGGACAGCGGTGAACTGGCCCTACGCAGCAGCAGAAGCAGCAGCAGCAGATCGCTTCAGAGTCAGATGTAAATACAACAACAGGCGCGCTCAGTTCAGTGTCCATCTTTTGGAGAAAATATCCCCCCTTACTTCTCGAAAGAACCACAACTACTGACTATATCAATTTCCACGTTACGAGAAACAAAACTACTCCTAACACGACAAGTTAAATATCCAACTTACTTTGTCGCGGGGTAAAAAAATCTGCAGTTCTGGTGTGTTATTTCTCTCTTCGAGGATGTTATTGTAAACAAAGCAGCACATGGCTTTGTGCCTCGTCACTTCGATATCCCTCCGCAAAAGCTTCCGCTGTTGTAAATAGTCCTTGCTGTTGTTTTCAACCCACGGCCAGCCATCTTCCTACGTTAGCTCAAGTTAGCTTGGCGGGGGGAGAAGACGAATGGCTTGGCGACTAAAACGACCCCTCTGCTCACAAAAATGGTAGTTTTTGACGGTGATGATTTCCGGTGGTTAAGAGATTTAATGCTTTAGTATATTCACAGACTGGATGACGACTCGGGTTAGAGCAGTGATTCTCAACTGGTCTCACTCTGGGACCCACATTTTCCCATGGTCCTGAAGTTGCGACCCACTTTTATAGAAATCAAACCAAGTAAATTAATCTTTTTAATTAAAAAAAACTTTAAAGACTCCAATCTTTAACAGAAATCCACTTGTTTTACTGAGTTGTGCATTTTAGAGCACACGAAGGGGACAACATGAGGACGACAACTACTGAAGTTCCATGTGCAGAAAATTTTGAACATCTATTAAATGTCGCATTAAATATTTACTTTTGGGTCGGAACCCACCAGTTGAGAACCACTGGGTTAGAGTAAAGTTTCAGTAAATGTCTTAGTTAGGCGACAGAGGTAGGTCCTTGTTTACACACACTGGCTTTACTACTTTATTCAAAACGTGAACCAGTGTTTCCAAACAGTTTCTTGCTTCTAAACAGCTTATATTCAACCTGTAGTGCAGTTAGGTCTTTCATAGATAAGCCATAGAGACCACATGCAGGGCAACCAGCTGCTGTTTTAATGTATCAGTCACTTTAACCAACTCATCTAAACTTTGGACCAGTTTATAAGCCTTTAAAGAGCTGAAATCACACTGATACTTTTGCAAAATTAAGTCTACTTTTAGTAGAATTAAAGGAAAAATATTACCTTGATTTGAGGGTCAAATTGAGCTTAAGTAAATAAGAAATAATATATTTTATGTGTAGTGTCCTTTACATCAAGCGACCTCAAAGGTCTACATCTTAAAAGCAAACAAATTTCACAGTAAAGGAATATAAAAACAGGTTATTGGTTAAAATAAAAAAAAGAGAAACGTCACATTAAAAGAGTCAAAGCAAGATAAGCAGTTTTTTTTTTTTTTAAATGGGTAAACCTTTAACTAGGGCCTGATCGATATGGATTTTTTGGGGCCAATGCCGATTACTGATTTTTGTTAAGCCAAATTTTTTATTAAGTTATAAAAAATATATAGTGTAGATATACTGTAGGGTACTGCTCTTCACGCTGACAGGAATACCGACAGATCAAACTCTGACCAGAAAAGCATTTTCAACTGCGCCATCTACTGGATAAGTCAGGGGATTTTTTTTCAAATGGCGGAACGTTTCCGAAGTGAAACCAAAACTTCTTCTCGGCATTTTATTTCTGAAAATATATTGGCAAAAATCGGCAAGTTTTTGTCAGTCGGGCGGTACCTTTAAAGTCTCTTATAGACCTAGAAAATAGCCATTATGAGTCAGGGTTCATAGATTTTTTTTCAGGTCAATAACGCTAATTGTTGATACCTATGAGCAAAAAATTGGTGTAAAAAAAAAATGGTGTAAAAATTTTACACCAAATTAAGAGTGTGAATCTTTACTTTACAAAGCTTCATCCCTGAATAATTCGAATTAATGGAGTGTTTATCCCTTAAGAAACTTTTTTAAATCAACTTTAAACCTGAAATGCAAGTGTAAAGATTTTCACCTCAGCAAAAGAGGACAGAATAGTTTGTAGGGCATTAGGCAAGATATAATGGTGAGTAAAAACAGACCTGGATAGACACATATGCAACTTAACCAAAGTAACTCCCTTTTTATTTATTTTATCAACAGTTATCAGAAATATTATCATAATCCCCAGGTGAAATTGCTTTTTGTCACAGGCAGATGAGGAGATAATTAATAATAGATAAAATGAGGAAAATTAAAGATAAATAGATAAAAATAAAGAGAATACATAAAGATAGATGGGGACAAAGAAAATAAATGGAGTAAAACCCCAATAAATATAACTGTACCAATGATAAATATTGGCCTAATAAGCAGCCAGATCAATGATCCATCTTCCTCTAGTTGAAGTGTTGGTAATACATGATCTCTGTAGCCCTTTAATGCCTGAAACCCCAAATTATGGCCAGAAAATTCAATTTTTTAAGAGCTGAAATGTTTTTCACTTAAACTGAAAACAAAACCAAATAAATAAATAAAAATGTCCTAAAATTTAACACACACATTTATTTCTCATTTGATATATTAGATGTTTTTGGAAACTAATAAACTAAAAGAAAATTTGTATCAGACTGTATTCAGGTGGGTTTTTTTTGAGTAATTTGTTGATCATATTGATTTGATAGAAGTGTGTATCAAATATGATACAAAGACATTAAAGGGTTAAGACTCATTTTATTTTTTTATTGTTCCCTTCAAACACTGAGATCAGTCACACACTCTCATTAAAGAAAGATGCTTAAAAATAGTCCCTGTAAAATAAATAAAGATCAGTGTAAACGTGAGAAAGATCTGATAACAATCTAAGCAACAGGCTAAGATACGTGATCATGTTTAAGCACTTTTTTGCAACATACAGAATATACCATATAAAGATATTGATCTGTAAATGCAGCCTGTTGTAGGTTGGTAAAGTTTGAGTAAACGAAGTTTTAAAGGTGACTTTTACTGCATTATTAAATCAGTAATCACTAATGTAAGTGCTGTTCACATTAAACACATGTTTCTAACTTTTTAACCTTGTTGGAGCTCAGTTATCCACTTTTTTCTTCACTTTTGTTGCAGGTTATTGTTGGACATGTGCTTCAGAGTGGCGCCTGCTCCTTTGTTTAAGCGGATCCATCCGGGTCACCGAGCAGTCATACACTCACAGACAGACAGGATCTATCTGCTCACTACAAAGTTTGACAAACTACACTAAAGTTTTTACATCTCTAACACCCAGACATGTTTTACTGAACAAAGATATGCACACAAACACCCATAACACGTTAAAGTGAGTGAGTTAACGCAAACTAGGAGGTCACACTGTTGGGTGTGTGAATGAGTTACAACTCTGATATTCAAAAGACATTGAATTAAAGTGAGGTTTGATTGCTTACAACTTTAATCACCCCGATCATATAGAAAGTAGTCATATTTCAGAGGAAGTATGAGCTAAAACTGTACAAATGTGAGTAACCTGTCTCTGCCATGCTGTTGTTATGAAAGTTTCCCCCTACCTTTCTCAGCCGCGTAATCCTTACGAGCCATGGCTGCAGATTTCGACCCTCAAACGAAGAAAACTTGATCCCAAAACACTTCAAAGTACCACCGAACCAAAAGGTGCGCGTAAAATTCACGGTTTAGTCAGTTTAAAAAAAGCACCGTGGACGTGGATTCATTCAGTTGAAGCTTGCGGGTCTCTTTCCAGTCGTGCTCCAAAAGAAGTGGCGCGAGTCTGACGTCCGGATCAGCCAATCAGATCACGTCTCGTAGCTAGAATGGGCGGGCCGTTGTAGTGGCGCGAAAATTGTGGGCTCCGCCGGGTCAGGTGACTTGTAAAACTTCCGCCCCGATAGTCGGGATTGGCGCGAAAAGCAGTGATTGGATTTAACACTGAATGACCCACATGTGAACTAAAACATCGAAATCATATAGTCATGAGATTAACTAATATATACCTAAACTTTTAGGTGTTCTGATGGGCTCTTAAAACAGATTTATCCTCTAAATACTCTGTGTTTCTTTGTACAAATGTTCATTACATAAAAGATAAGATGTCCCTTTCATTGTCCCACGAGGGAAAATCCCAAATTGACAGCAGCATAGTATAGATACAAAAAGAAAAACATTAAAACATAGAGAAACTTAACGTGTGTCTCATCACTTTTAGAATCAAAAATATTTGTTTGAAACTTTGAATATTTCCAAATTTCATCACTGTAAGTTATTAGGCTGAATGTGTTTTATTTAGGTTTTAAAAAACAAAGTTTAAGTCTGTATCTTACTTAATATTTAATACATAAAAAAATAAACTAAAGGGTCCTTGAAGACCCCAAATACTGAATGACCCACATGTGAACTAAAACATGGAAATCACACATTAATGAGTTTAACTAATATGTTTAAACTTTCAGGTATGATGAGGGGCTCCTATCACCTTTAGACAGATTTATCCTCTAAATACTCAGTGTTTCTTTGCACAAATGTATACCACATAATGTATGCCTCATCACTTTTGGCATCATAAATTCTGTCCTTTTAGCCTTTGTTTTACTTATGTTTTCTGATATAACCTTTTATTGTATTTTCCTGCTCATTTTTGTTATTCCATTTTATCATTACTATTACCGCCATTATGATTTTATTATTTAGATTGTCTTTTTATATTTACTATCCTGTTTACTGCCCCCCCCCCCCCCCTTTTTTTTTTTTTACATTTCTTTTTCTTACCTATTTGATGTTTTTGTTTTGGTCCTCATGGTCTCATTTTATGTTGTAGAGTTCTTGTATTGTCCGGGTTTCTTATGAAAAATTAAATTGGCCTTCAATTCAGAGGCCTTGTTTTAAGGGGGCTTTTGTTTTTAATTAGTTATTATTTCCATGTGCTGATGTTCTGTGCTTTACGACTGTTTTAAAAGCACTTTGTAAACTTCTGTTTATAAAAGTGCTTTGAAAATAAAGTTTTCATTATTATTATAACCACTGTAAGTTGTTAGGCTGAATATGCAGTATTTGGGTTTTGTGTTATTAAAATGATTTGCTCTGAATATATGAACACCTCTGAATTTATTTTAAATTTTATTTCACTAAAAGTAAAAGTAAAGACACTGGGAGTGGGAAAAAAAAAGTTAACTTGACAACTTTTTATTTCAATATTTTAACACAGGTGATGTGTTTCAAAGTCAAGAATGTCATTAACAATTTAACATTCATGTGATTATATTAATTTCTTTTTGTTCTTATATGCACAACTGAGCATGTCATAACAAATATCAATAGAAAAAAAATCAGAATTGCAGTTAACAGCAGGTCAACAGTGCTATGAATGTGATACAAATATTTTGCCAACTTAAAGTCTAAACTTCAAATAATCTTCGAACTGAAGAGCAACAACTTTTATCCACAAATAATTCAACCATTATTTCTCTTCCTCCTTTACAAACAAAACTGACTTACAAACTGTAGGTCTAAAGTCAAACTCAGTAAATGGTTATTCCAAATACTTGATAACTTGTCGTCAATATACCCCGAAATACTGGGACCACTGAAAACAGAAGTGCTGTTGAGTCAAAAGAACTTAAATCTTATGAGTGGTCCTGGTCTCGTGTCCTTCAGTCAAACAGCTCATCGAGAATGCTGGTGGAGGTGTGATGAGTGGAGCGCTGCAGAGGGAAAAAAAAAAACATTTTTAAGTCCCTTTCCCACCTTCTCATCTATATTGCACCAACATAGAGTAAGTGTAAGCCACAAGGTGCAGTTTGAACTGATAACATGGATCAGAAATAATGCTTTGAACATCTCAAATATTAAAGCAAAAACTTTCTAACTTTCATGTCAAATTTAAAGGTGACTCCATCATCACAGGCACATTCAACCGTCTGTCAGTGTGTTTGTCATTTGTTACAAATGTCATGGTCAGCATGTGGAAGTTATTTCTTTTACCAGTGTATATTCAGATTCAGGCTCTGAGTCATTCTTCGCATTTTCTTCATTCTCAGCTTCTGCTCGTTCTTCGTCTTCATCCTCAAACAGAGAAAGCCTGAGGGGAAAATACAGTTCACTCTGAAAAGGATTGTTAACAACACGATGCATGTAATCCAGTTTTTTAATGACTAAAAATGTCTGTAGAGAAACCGTGTCAGTCTTACAAGGTGAGGTGGGAGTTCAGATCTTGCTGATCCACATTGGAGCTGGTCTGGCGGGACGAGGGCTGCCGTCGTCGAGGTTTTACAGGCCTCACCTTTCGCAGCTGATACCTGTCGAGCAGTAGGAGGGACATTTTGGGCCAAGCTTTCATTACAGATTCAACTGTACGGTGAAAAGGTTTCAAACAACTTCTCAACTCTCCTTCCTTCTGCACTTTAAAGTATTTATCTACTGTCTGCAGCTGTATTTGTACATGAGATAACAGATGAGGGAAATTGTTATAAATCACTTTTTCAACCACAGGAAGAAAGAGTGAGGGCAGGATCTTCACTTGTGGAGTCAATTATGTTTCTGCAGCTGCAGCTTGCACACAGCGAGCTTTTTCCTCCTCTTTCACAGCAGCTGACTGATAAACTAAGCAGCCTTTTGTCTGTTTACACTGCTGAACTTGTTCATCCAGAGCAGAACAGAGAGTGGCTGACTTCTGGCTGCTGCATGGTGATAAATGAAGTTGATACATGAAAACTTTCACCATTTGGCGCATTAGAGGCAGTGATATTGAAACCTCGGAACAAGTTGGTTTGTCCTGTTTTGATGATAAAACAACTACTCACCCCGCCGAGAACTCATCCTCAGACTCTGGTTCTGGTTCTGGCTCTGGCTCTGTTGGGTCGCTGCCAGAGTCTGACTCTGCTGCGCTCGGCTTTCTGGAGGTTGGCGGCTTGGTGGGCTGTCTCTGAGCGGTGGAGGTGAGGGCAGGGGTGTCCAGGCTACTGTGGATGCTGCTGTTGTCCAACCAGGATCTGTTGCCTGTGCTGGGCGCAGAACCTACAAGAGACCAAAGTCGATTACAGGAGGGTTTTACAGAAATATTTCTGAGTGAAGAGTCTCTGTAGTTTGAAAAATACACAGATAACAAGTCACTTGGTCCTTCACCGTCGAACGAATACTTTGAAATATTGACGCACCACATGATAAAGGTTTATTTTCAAGAGTCAAGCTATTCCACAAGGGTTATTTGTTTAATAAAAACATCCAGCATGAATTAAATCATGGACATTAACACTATTTTCTGTTTTTTTAAAGATACATTTGAACTCATTTTCAAAATGAAGTTCTTTCTCTGTCTTGTCACATGAAATCTGAGCATTATCATGTAACATTATACACATCTACATACCTTTCTCACCCTGAGGAGTAGTCCTCCTGCGCTTAGTTGCAGGGGTATCAAGTGAAGGCACATCACTGCCTTCCTCTGCATGCTCTCTGGCTCGAGAGGCTGAGCGGACCTCCAAAGAGCGCCGATACATTCTCACTGGTGGACAGGAGAGGGCAGCATCGGGGCACTCAGACTCCAGAAACGCAGCCCTGAAAGGAGATGGGAGAGAGGCACCGAGGTATGGACAATGAGAGAAACCCGATATTTGATATTCAGGCCAAAATTCAACCAAATTCTCCAGAATGAAATATTAGGGTTAGATGTTGACAAGATTTCTAAAAAAAAAGTCCTTATTAAGGCTTGTTTTTAATGGATATCTGTGTTTAGTAGGACAGAGTCACCAATCAAATCAAGAAGAACCTTTATAATGATGTTTGGATGAATAAAAGTAACAGAATAGGACTTAAAAATAATTAGATGAGCATCATTTTTCTTGTCAGTTTTCTCTAAATCTTCATTGAGGTCTAAAAGGCTTGACTCTATAAACTCAATCCATCAGTACAGGGAAGGTTTTTTCACAGTATTCATGTGCAGGTCTGAGTTTCTCACAGCTGGGCGCGGTCCTGCGGCAGCAACTTAAAACTGAATTCGCTGAGGATCACCAGGAAAGTCACATTTGGATGCTGCTCTTCTTCGTCCGGTTGGTCCCGGAATGCAAAATTTATACCGTCCCTAAGAGCAACGAAAGACGACAGCCCTGCATGAAAAACAAACTGCAGCAAAAAATGAAACATCACATTGATTTTCTTCTACGTCCCCCGTATTCGGACTGCTTTCACAGCTGTCAGATGTCAAGATGTAAAGTCGAACTTCGCGGGCCCATCTGTTTTTGTTTGTCGGAGACAGGTGTGATACTTACATGTGCAGGGCTACCAGTGGTTTGCGGGCACGGTGAAGATCGATGCCAAAGCTCATGGCAAGCCTCTTGGCCAGAACTCTAATCTCATTAAGATCCTGCGGGCTGTGGTTCTCCGTCAGCATCTCCGAGAACAGCTGAGCACACAAAAATAACTGAGCGCAATCACAGTCTTCAGACAAAACAGCCTCAAAACTTTATCCCTGGTGTTCAAACAGCACACGGTCAAATCATTCGAAAGCTGCTATTAAAAAAGAGAAAACACTCAACGAATTTATTATCAGTTTCAAACAGTCTTAACATCATACTACTATCAAACTACCTTAAAAAAACAAACGCTAAAGAATCTGAGGATCAATACTGTGTACATGCACACCTGCTGCAGACTCAGACAAACGGTCTTGGCGCTCTGGACCGGACTGATGAGCTTGGTCTTGCTCACTGTCTCTTTAATGATGTCACCGAAGTCTTTAAAGTACTGAAAATAAAAGAAGGAGGTTTTGTTAGGATCATTTACAGCGTGTTCTCAATATCTAAAAGCGTTAAAATAATCCACTTCCTCTCAGTCATCCACTGTTCACTCTGACTCATTTCTAGCACTTCACCGGTTCTATAACAGACTCTCGTCCTCCGCCACCCTCTCTGGCACATCCTGTGTTTTGACCCAATGAAATTCTTCAAATGATAATCCTCACGATGGACTCAGGCTTGAATGCGAGCGCCAAAGTTGGCCCTTAAGTTCAGTTCATGTGGTTAAAACAAACACAGTTGTACTGGACTCAGACACTGGCCCAAGTCTCAAGGATAATTTATGTGAACTTCAGCATCTTCTCTGGGAGCAGTGACTGTACCTGGGCTCAAATAAGGAAGTGGGCTGCTTTATGGTTTGGCTATTTGACTAACAGACACGAGTGAAGAGGTTTTGGTGAATCTGTGAGCTCTATGACGAGGATGTTTAAAGAGATATTCCCGCGTGAAATTTAAGTTAGGGTCAAACACACCGTAACACCGAGTTAGACACCTCGTCAAGAGATGAATGTTGCCGACCTCTTACTTCTCTAGTTATACCAACTTTAGTAACAACCGCAGACAGCAAAACAGAGAGCCATGCGCTCAACCAAAAGTCCACTCTATAGCCACAAATGATGCTCAGAACAGCACCTTCTTCAACTTCATCAACAGTACATATAGGGTCCCAGACATAGCACTAGCCACCAAACATCTTTTTTACTTTGCCTGATTTCTTTAATAAAGAGACTAAACTCAACTCACCTACTCTCTTCCAGCAGCCGCTTGTTTGTACGGAGACCTCAGACGAGTCCATTATGGACTGCTGCGGGGTGACACAGCTCAAGGAAGAACATTTATGATGCCGTAGTTCTTCTGCCTTAGCATCTCGGTCTGATTACATTTCCCTAAAGTAATGATCATAAATGTTCTTCCTTGAGCTGTGTCACCCCGCTGCAGTCCATAATGGACTGGCCTGAGGTCTCGCTACAAACAAGCGGCTGCTGGAAGAGAGTGGGTGAGTTGTGTTTAGTCTCTTTGCTAAAGAAATTAGGTAAAAGTAAAAAGATGTTTGGTGGCTAGTATTATGGCTGGGACCCTATATGTACTGTTGATGAAGTTAGGTGCTGTTCTGAGCATTATTTGTGGCTATAGAGTGGTGTTTTGGTTGAGGTTCGTTTATGGCTCCTCAGACCGCTGTGAATTGCTATTGTGCGGTCGTTACTAAAGTTGCTATAACTAGAGAAGCAAGCGGTCAGCAACATTCATCTCTCGAGGGGGTGTCTAACTCCGTGTTACGGTGTGTTTGACTCTAAATTAATTTTACGCCGGAATATCCCTTTAAGTAGGGAGGTCAGTGAGGGGGTTGGGATAGAGTCCCCAACATAATAAAACCATCCAAAGCAGCAGGATGGACTGAATATGAACAAATGTCACCAAGTTCATGACCTGAGTGGTTGCCACTGAAGCTTCTTGGTAGATTTGCAAACCAGTTGTGTGCTTATGTATCAGACTGGGTGCTGATGCAAGTGTGTTCAGACAGGGAACAAACTACAAGTGTGAAAACAGTCTAGGCAGGATTGTGTCTTATCGTTCCTGTCTTCCCTCCTCTGCTAATGTGAAAACACAACCTTTAAATTTACCATCTTTATATTCACTGCTCTTCTTTGCCACCAATATAACAGAAAACCTGTCTAGAGAGGGGAAATGGGAGCTTAACCATCCATCCATCTAAACCCCTTTCCTCCATCTCAAACCTTGCTGTAGTGTTTGAAGACATCAGTAGCCGCAGTGAGGTCCAGCACGCCATAGATGACCAGCTTACAGTAGCCGGCCAGCTGGTTGCGCTTCCTCTGAAGAAGAGTTATCCTCACCTCCTCCTCACTTTCAACTAAAGAAAGAGAGGACAGAGAAGAATGGAGCGACGGGAAAGAAAAGAAGATCGTGTGATTTGGCAGTGACAGTTGAGATGAAATACATAGACTGTAAAAGCAGAGACGAACACTTAGTAAGTGTTTATGAGACACAGGCAGAACTGAATGCTGTGATGAAAGAGCAGGTTTTGGCTTGGGAATTGGCAGTACATTTTGAAATACAGAACAAAAAAAGACTTGTTACAGCGGCACATTCTCAAAACAAGACATCAAAAGCTATGTCTGCAGGCGTAAATGATGGTTGGCTCCGCTGGGAGAGTGTTGGCACGGTTAAAACTCAACAGTGTACTTCATACACACTACACATCCAGAAGGAAACACCGTCAGTCTACTGCAGTTTAAAATTAGAGAGGATAACTGGATCCTTTAAACCATGAAGTGCTGATGTAGAGGGACCAAAAATGAACGCAAACATGCAGAGTAAGTGAATACCGTTGAGCTCAGGGTCGGTGTCAGAGAAGACATAGTCCAGGAGGAAAGCAGCCATCTCAGAGCGCAGGGAATCAGACGGCAAGTGGACCAAAGTTTGGAGAGCGGGTTCAGACCGAGCCGCACTTGTGCTGTACAAGAGCAGCAAGTCACAGAGCAGCTCAAAAGCCTGTGGAAAGGACACACACATTCATGGGTCAAAATGAAGTTTTTACACAAACGGCCTGTCTGAGAACTCCTTCTGTAATGAGAGGCAGAGAGTCGAGAAAACAAAGGAGCAGTTCCTCTCCAAGCAAACTCTGGAGCAGTTCCCTAGAGGTGTTTAACTAAAGCAGACTATCTTAAAAACCAAATACAGGAATTGGCATAAAGCGCAGTACTTCTGTGTGTCAACACCTTGCGCGCTGTCTGTGCAACCCTGCCAACACACTGCAGTCTCCTGTTCTCATTAGGGCTCACGTTCTTCTATGGTACTGATCGATTTGTCATGTGACGAACAAAATCTTGGACCGCTCACTGCCTCTGCTGCTCATACTGGGCACCTTCTGGTGAAAACACCAAAGCAGGAGCAGAAACCTTAAAGCTGTGTCAATGAGGTGTTGCTCCATTGTTAATGTGGTGAATAAGCCGGCCAAAGGGGACAGATTTCTGTGATGATCAGTTTCTTCTTCTTCTTCTTCACTAGTGTTTGTTTGGGACAATGCCGCCACAGTCATTACAACAAGTGCAGTGTGAAAACAAACGACATGAAGGTGCAGAAATGTCACTACCTCACCCAATAAATCAAACTGAGTCCCCCGGACGATTAAGAGTTATTACATTAAGCTCCTCTTGTGGCACACCTACCTGAGATTTAGGATCTTTCTATTATTTTACCAAAGCCGTCCTAAATACACTTCAGGGTCTGTTAAAGAAATATCTTTAAAGCTTATAACAAGCAGCAAGTGGCAAAACAAACAAACAAACCTGGTCTCTGGTCTCGGCTTGGTTCAGAGACAAACAGGACTGACAGACTCTGCAGAATGAACGCACTTCCCTCTTCAGATGCTTCAATTCTGCCTGCAACACAAAGTGACGGAGGGACAAATTTATCTGATGATTACGTGTGTGTGAAGAACAGCAACAAGGTAAAAGGATAGTTATCAACATCATCTGAACATCAAGACTGCAATTCAGCCTCTATAGGGTCAGCTGTTCATGACTACGGGCCTCATCAGACATGGGTACGATCAAGATCCACGTTAGAGAAAAGAAGCGCAGCATCTCATTTAACAAGAAGGTTTGAAGACTGTCAACTCAGAGGTGGTTTCCATCTGTCGACGAATGAATCCAAATTCAGGATAATTTCAGCACATTTCCCCCCAGTTTGAGTTCTTCCTCTGACAAATAAAAACGGGTAAAAGAGAATTCCCCTGTTGCTGTTCTCCTAAGTTGGTAAATGAGTTACAATGACGTGTGTCAAAGAGGGCGGAAAAAAAAGAGGAAAATTAGCACAGAGTGCAGAAGGAGGATGAGCCGCAGAAATGAGCTGTAATGAAAACAACAAAGTGTGAACCCCTGGGAAACAAACATTTGTGTGTGCCGTTTCAGCTGAGATACACACAAACACACTCATAAAGCCAGATGAGAAAGCTCCACAATAGAACCAAAAGTTTTTTTAAACCGTTATCAGACTGTAGAGGTGATGGTAATCAATAAAGTGTGCTGCTTACAGCGTCACTTCTGAGGTAGGTCAGCTGGCAGCTCTGAGAGTCCATTAAGAGTGTGAAAGACTAAAATAACAGTTTGATCCGATACAAACTGAATCCAAGTTAAGAAAACTGCATTTAAAGAGAGAAGAAGCACCTCAGATGGTGTGGAGTTGACTGCATTCACTTTGGCCCACATCAGGTGAAAGGCTGAGCACTTCAGAGCTGGCACCATGAGCTGGAATTACACAGAAAGAAAGTTAAAATCTGAGAAAACATAAAAAAAAGGCAGAACTGTTCTACCGTATTTATATATATATCTGTCTAAATGGAACAACATTTATTCAAAGGCTGGGGGTGGCAGCAAGATGAGGACTTGGAGAAACAATTATTTTGCCCAAATATAAAAAGTGTTTTTTCAGTTTTAATGAATTCAGACAGGGTGTGACATGAAGTCAATATCAAGAAAATGTTAAACAAAAAATATCGTTCAGAAGAGCTGAGGCGACATCTTCATTAATCAGGGAACAGGCAGGACCAGAAGTTTGGAGGGAAAGTTGCGGCTGAGTAGTTTGTTGCAACAAACTCAAAGAAAAGAAAAAGGATCCAGAAACCGACTGCAAGCAAACAGGTTCCTGATTCGATGCACGTGAAGTTCAAACCAAAGGACCAGATGAAATCACTTCTTCATATCAGCGGTGGTAAAGGGCTAAAGGTGGTAAAAGGCAGTCATTTTGGTTTAGGGCTCTATCTCACAGCTAATGCTAATTAAATCACAGTCTGTTGTACGTCCTATGCCTCAGTAATGCCACCTACAACCATACCTGGGCAGGTAAAGACTGGAGCTGTGTTTTTATTTTGAACAGCAAAGTGTCTGAGTGTTTGCTGCAATTATGATGAGATAATGTTTCATTTGCCTCCAGAACTTGTTGATAATGACCAATATTGAACTGTAATCTTCTAATCTTAGATTTTCCAAGGATGAGAACCACCGAGTCTCACAACTGCTACCATCCCAACTCTGCCCTCCCCCCTCAGGTATCAAAGTGTGTCTCTCGATCACTGACCTCCTTATCCAACTCTCCAGACTCGATCCTGCTCTTCAGAAGCTCAAGACAGGAATCAAACAGCTTCCAGCCAGTCACGTCCTTGCCGCTGGATGACACAAACGCACAGTTACATCTCTATTAGGCCCTCTGTGTATTAGGGTTAGCAACAAAGGAGCACACATACCCACCTGCTCAGTGCTGCAATCCTTTTCAGCGCACTGGCTGCGTTGTAGAGTTCATCATCATCGGCAGTGCCCTAGTGAACATACAGGTGTTTCTCAACTTTTCATAATTCAATTTCAAAAGATTAACTTTCTTATCTTCTTCTGCGACCATGTAAAATAAAACACTGTCACATTTTTTGAGCCGTAGGCCATAAAAATCAAATTTAAAAAAATCATCCGAAACATTTTAGCGGACATGCAATGAAAAGAAGAACATTACACTTTCAACTTCTTAAATACGTTTTTTACAATTATTTTTGTACAATACTTGCACCTATATATACACACATAAAGTTCACAGATAAAGAGTAAATCAAATCACTACCAAAGTCACATTCTTTCAATAAAAGCACCAACATTTATAACTTCGATCCAGGTCTTTAGTTCTTTTCCCACTCTTGTAATTTTTGTGTGTAATCATGTGTTAAATCGTTAAATACTGGGTGTATTTCCATATACATAAAGAATATCAGAACAGTCTAACTGATTCCTCAAAGCTCTGTTTATGACAGATTGTGCGTGGCAAAAATATTTTGTTTTAAGACAAAATCTTTTCTTGAAGCCTCTGAATGTGGCGATCTTTAAATTTAATGGAATTTACAAAGAAATGTTCAATTCTTTCCTTATATGATATAAATGGATTTACAAACCTTCCTTTTTTCATTTAGCACAAGCTGAACTTGATACCCTACCTGCAGCAGGTCACTTATGTATGTGCTGAAACAGTCCGTCAGGCCGTCCAGCAGCTGGCTGAATGCCAAGTGTGCGCGGGAGGAGAAAGTGTAGCGGTCGGAGCTCAAGGCGTTGACCAGGTGTGCGCAAGCCTCCAATACTGTGACTTCGGTGTGCTTCTCCACAATGCTGCATACCTGGGACAGCAGCAGGTCCAGATACTGGCAGAGGGGAGAGGGATGGGGGAGGAGGGAGGTGAGGAGCAGATGAAGGTATTACAGGTGAAACAGAGGATAGGTGAGACGAGCAGAGAGCAGCAACGACTCACAAACTGAGGACATACTGATGACTAAAGAAGAGGTTCGAGAGAGAACTTAGACAAAATAATGAAGACAGGTGGGCTTGTCATATTTGTTTGAGTGGGCCGCGCAACTTGATGCTGAGCACTTGTAGTGTTGTGTTACCACCGCGCATTTCTACCCTTCAAGCCGGGAGCACGGATACGTCATTTTGTCACATTCTGTAGTTTTTCAATCATTTCTGGAGTCGTGGCGAATCAAATCATCATACCCATCTGTCTCTGATAGGCTAATAAAGCGCTCAGATTCATGCTCGGATCTTGCTACATGCTTCGTGAGGAAAGTAATCAATGATGAAGGCAGAGAGCAGCCTCCAGCCTTAGCGAAGGTAGTGATACTGACAGAAATGATGTTGACGACCCTATTTTGAACATTCTGGGTCACCAATAGGGATTTGTGGATGAGAGGATTGTTTTTGGACGACAACAGAGAGCTGGTGGACCTCCAGTCTATGGCTGTAAGCAGTGTGAACAACCTCTTCATATTGAGAGCTTTGGCTCAAACTATCTGTGTTTTCTGTGAGTGTTGCATGACTTTGGGTGAGCACAGAGATGAACACACTGTCAGCCACTTCTTTATTTTTTAGTTTTTCGTGCTGCTTTTGTATTGGCACTACACTAAGGCAGCTGTATACCATTTCAACACTTTATTTTTTATATTTACATTTGTATTGAATGGACCCGCTTCTTTCTCCGGCCTAGTTTAGAACCAAGTGACCACTAGATCACTTTTTAGAGTCTCATGCAGTGACACATCTCCAACAATTCAGAGCCCAAATCACCTCGTTCATCTCACGTATAACTCTTAAGTGGTTTTAGTTTGCATTCCTGATCAACTGAGTTTTGAATCACCCAAGTTGACGCTCAACTTAGCCTGACCTGACTGATCAATGTTTTCATTTTTTGCTTTTCTTCCTTGATATCTGGCGTGTTTATCTTGCCTCCCTGTTTGATAATTTGAAGATCATTAACTGGGAAGTCATCACTACAACAAAAAGCCCTAAAAATCGCCTCTTTGTGGCAGCGGCTCAGTTCTCACGCTTCTCCACTTTCACTTCTCCTGTGGATTTCTCAGGGAAATATTTATCAAGTATGATGAAGTGGGAGTAGGAGGATCCACGGGAGAGAGAAAGAAAGTCTGATTTCGAGGGAACACGATGTAACTTTTGAAGAACATTTGATCTGTTTTTATTCAAGGATATAGCTTATGGCACTTCCTCATTTCCCTCCTACCTTTTCCAGCTTTGGAGAGCTGCTGTACATCTCAAGGTCAAAGTAGAGAGGAGCTTTGAGAAGGAGGCTCACCTTCGATGAGTCTGCTGAATACTGAAGGTCAGTGAGAAGAGGAGGATGAAGGCGCGGCGGTTTAAAAATACCATCAAAATAAATATACATACATAATACTCAGGGTAATTAAAGCCTTTTCTTCAGTATGAGCTAAAAAAAACGTAGAACTCAAGTTGCACAGTGTGCCTCATTAGTGCCATGTTTTAGCTGGTAGCTCATTTGATGCTTTGCCAACCCTCCTAATTACTCCTTGGCAGCTTCAGCCGTCAGTGTCTGAAGTGTAATTAAAATATGTAACAATGGTGTTATCCAGTATGAGGGTGTACCTTAGCCAGCAGCTGTGGTAGTTGGGGGATGAAGTGTGTGGTGATTCGCCTCCTGTCCTGTTCCTGGATCTTCTTGTCCTTCATACTCAGGACCTAAACACACACGTACTTTCAGTCACATCATTTCAATGGGGAGGAGGTCATAACCACTGAGGTAGAGTAGCAGTGTGTGCGATTTCTCTACTTCTATCAACAGGATCCACTTTTTTAATCAAATGTAAAGACCTGTCTTCAAATAAAAATGTGCTCATGCGTATAAAAATCTAAATTTGGTGCACAAGTGTAAATCCCTGCTGTAATACTGGGACTTTTTGTATGACAGGTACATCTGAAGTGAAACAAACATGGCATCTCCCTCGCCCCCCGCGCTCTTCAGAGACTTGTCATGCGTTTGTCTGCATGTGTCCCGACCTTTTTGCCCTGACTTCTCCCAACAGGTGGGGTTGCCTGTGCCGCCTGTCTGATCGCACACATCATCAGCTCTATGAGAGCCCCCTCCTCCTCATACGACAGACCTGCCAGCACAGAGATACAGTTAGGTGCAGAGCTGAGTGGGTGATAGCTGAGAGTGCATAATGCCAACTATAAGAGTTCTGCTTTACTATTGACTACAATCTCTAAGTGTAGATATTTCTGGTAGTGCGAGACTTCAGTTTACATGCTGTACAGTTTCATCAGAGATTCACAGTTTGGCAGCCACTCAAACGTTCATCTGTCTATATAGAAATGTGGTCTAAACGTCAGTCCTCACCACAGTCCTGAAGCAGCAGTGCCGTCATGGTCTCCCAGTCTCTGAGCTCAGATCCTGCTGAGGACCACAGACTGTCCACCAGGTATGCACCATGCTCATGGAACTGTTGAGAGGGGGGCTGAGTTAATTTTGATTATCCTCACAACTTAGTGTTTCTGAGCTATGAGATCTTTATTTTTTGTAGTCACTGCAGGGTTCACAAAGGAAATACAATCATGATGTTTAGTGTACAACTTTCAAAACTTCAAAACTTTCAAAAAACTATCCAACTAATGTATCCTAACTGGGCTCAAACCCGAGGTCTGAAAGGGAAAGAGGACGTTCCCCTTAGGGACCAATCAGAAGGATAGGGTTAAAGGAGACTGGGGTCGCAGACTTGAGTCAGGCAAAGACTTGACTTTAAGACCGAAAACTGACAGTACTTGACTTGGTAAACCAGAAATATTAAACACAGTTCTTTACTGAAAAATCTCCCTCTGAAATTGCAGGCAGAGCATCAAACTATCATTACAAACCAACTCTTGATGAATTAGAGCAGCGCAGAACTGAATAACATCAATATGGTAAGATTTTCCTTTACTGCTTTGTGCAGCTCTGTATTTCGTGTTTTTTTTCTAATAATTGAGAATTTCAATCAAAGGATTTCCTATTGATTATTTTGGTCTTTTAAGTCTCTTTCTGCTGTTAATAAAACTCCTCCTGACAGCAGCTCGGAGAAGCAGAGAGATGTGGTGGACAGACACTTTCCTATCCTAGTGAACCTAATTATCTTACTAACACACAATCAATAATAACTGACAATGTTTAATTATGATTAAAATGAAACACAAGTCCCACAATAGAAATATTTAGATTTGGACAAGACCCAGAAATTTTCCCTTTTAACTAAAAAATCTGGAGTTATATTAAAAATTCTATATTCAACCGACTAATTTTTTTATCACACGGCAGTCATTACCGACACAATACCGAGCGCAGACTGTGCCTTACAGATTTGAATGGTATTATGAAATGATTTAACTTTTGATCAGATGGAGAATGATTTGGAAAAAGGGGAAAAAAAAGAAGTCAAAAAAGAGACGTTACCTCACTCTGGATGTAGAAGGAGATGAGGATCTGAATGAAGGATGCATGGACACTTTTATCTGTCTCCACATTCTCACTGGAAATGACACTTCTCAGCCTAAGACACACAAAAACACACACACCAAGTTTCAATCACATTCAACAGCAGTAACTAAAGATCTGGACGGGCTGCTTCGATTAATGTCTGAGGCCCCATTTATATGGTGATAAAGTTCTTATCTATACATCACAGTGTAAAACAATAAATAAATAAAGTACTGTATTAAAATAATCCCTCAAAAAAGTACTCTAAAGTTGACATTTGACAAAACATCCCATAAAAAAGAATTATACATCAGATAAAAACTAGTTTGACAGATCTAAACTCGGCCCCTCCACCTCTTTGTGTGACATGATGGACCAAGGATGAAAACATACTTGCTGCAGAGAAAGAGACCAGCTGCAGACGCCAGGCCTCTGTGTGAAGCGTACACCAGCGGATAGATGTGACCGCACTCTTCCTCCCTGAGGCCTTCTTCTGTTCTACAATCAAAGGTTAGTTAGTTTGAACAATTAAATTGGAGCTTTTATTTCCCCAAGTGTTATGGACCAATAGTTACAGTTTTTCCCCTAAGATTTTTTTAGTTAATTTATCAAACTTCCAGTAAAAAAAAAAAAAAATACATAGTCCAAATGTTGGGATGGATGTTGAATATCTTCATCACTTTTTCTTTTTTCTTGTCATTAATCCCAAAATCATCCGATTTCTATGGGACTTGAGTCTGTGGTGCAGTTCGTCTGCCAACATGAGAGATAATGACTCACTCTGTGATTCACCAATGCTCATGACAAAGACTGCAGTCACACTCATGAGTCACCGTTGCACCTCTATTGTTCAACACTAAACTTATATTGTGTGCAAGCGGGGTATATTTGCAGTGAGTGGTTATTATCACTTTACATTCCAGGCAAGAATACTGCCAGGCTGAACATGCACTGCTTTTTTTTTTTTGTTTAATTAAAATGATGATTTGGGAAAGTCTTGACAGGATTATTGTTCAGGGACTGGACAAAGCAGCCTCTAATTTTCTAAACGCACATGTGGAAAAAATATGAAATCAAATGTACTTTATTTGGCGTGTTGAAATCCCTGAATTGGATTGTACAAGAAAACCCCTCACTTCTGAATCAGCAGCAACAGATTGACCACTTCCACTGCCACGTCAGAGTCCTTGTCCAACACCATGCTGAGCATCCTCTCCTGCACACATACAGATTCGAATATGTGGTGCCACACAGTCAGACAAATGCCCAGTCACACCAGTAGACCGAAAGACATGAAAGAGAAACACAGAAATGAGTGAATGTAGCCAAAACCAGAGACATGCAGGCATGCACACAAACCCAGTGATTACCGCTCAGCCATGGCATTAAACCATTTATCTGCTGCAGCACATGTGGATTAGGAGGGGCTTAAAAGTGTTTGATAGGCGCTAATTAAACATCAGGAATTGGGAACAATTAACACACCCAGACACACGCCGAGACAAAGGAAGTGACTGCAACAAAAAAAGAGGAATGGTGATTCAAAAAAGGGGGTAAAAATGAGGGGAGGGGGCACACATCAGGAGACAAAGACAGGCAAATAAGCACACAATACAATAAGGTGAAACAATAGTTAACAGGGAGATGGCGAGGGAAGCAAACTGACACAGACAGGCAGACAGAAGGGAAAAGGAAGGAGAAGAGAGGCATTAAATGAGCTGTGAATCCAATCCAGGGGGACGCCTCACTTTAAATCTGCTGGTAAAAAGCTCCAGGCGGCCAATGAATTCCTTCTCCTGGTACAGACCCTGCAGGGCTCGCACACACTGCAGACGCACTGGACTTTGCTGAAGGAATGCAGAAGAAAAACCATTATACACAGATACAAACACACACTCACACACGCACATCTATAATAGTCCACACAGACTGCTGCCCAAGTCTGTTCACAGCGGGCATTTCTCTTTGTGTTTGTGAGTGTATATGAGCTCCACTCGGGCAGAGCAGAAAAGCAGAAACACTTTAAAAAGGTAGTTCAAAGTCTTAAAGCTGTGTGAAGTAAACCGCTGAGACGTGGTGGAAAACGATTCTGCTGCTGGCGTGATGTTGTTTGCCGCGTTTTCAACAATATTAGGGAGAAAAAAACTTGTGGTTTGAAAATTGTCAGAGAACTTCAAAATAATCTGAAACTGAATCTGGTGTGTTGGATGTTATTAGAAGATGAGGGTGATTTTGATGGAAAGTACATCTCTCTGTTCACAGCAGTTCTTGTCATTGCTATCTCCACTGCTGCTAAATGAAGGACTAACATGCTAGAGGCACTTTGTTTATGTCGTCTATCGCCCAATCAGAGAGCTAACCGACAATCATCATCTGATAAAAACAGCTTCCTCCAGTTACAAATGCAAATTCATTGTAATTGGTTCCTCTACAGTCAGTAAACGTGTTAAATGACTCCAGCAAAGACCAGTTCTGCACCCTGACTGTGTTTGCATTTTAAAGGCATCCTTTCTGGGTTTATCATAATCCCCAAGATCTCAGTTCAAGCGATTGATGGTACATTACGCTGACAATCAAGTCTGGTTTACTTTGGCAGCATGCGCCGTGAAAGGAAAGCTTTTTTCTCGTAATTCATTTTCGATTAATCAGTCTTGGCTTTAGCATACTGGCAGCATCAGGGTTCACAATCGTCAGTTCAGGAGGAAAAAACTCTAAAACTGCTTTTTCAGACAATCCAAACAGCATGAGGCAAATTTTTTTTCCCTCAAAATGACATTTTTGATCAATAATGATTGTTAACTCCATTTGCATGCCAACATCTATGTATAGATAATTAAACTGTCCTTAAATCACAGCAGGGGGGCTGATATCAAGTCTGTGAATTGAGTTCTACCTGCTTTTGCTCTCTATATTGGGGGTGTTAAGGTAGACATATTTGTACCAAACAATTTGGGTATGGCATTTCAGTTAAGAGCAGATGCATACTGAAACAGTTCAGTGCAGGACTAAAGGTTATTTCAATCCAAGGTTCCCAAAAGGAACAGAAAACAGGAGTGAACATCTTGTTGGTTATTGGATCATTAGTTTCTCAGTAAATCACTACAGAAATGACTGAGTCAGTAGGTATATATGTATGTATGTTTACCTTGTCGTGTAGGGTCCATCCAAGATACTTAAGACATCCGTCGTTCAGGAAATCCTCTGGGTCCGTTTTCAGCCAAATGCCCAATTCCTCAATACAAGCCGCCCGGATCTCAGGAAGACGGTCCCGGTATCGGTGCACAAACACACCCCGAAACAGAGCGTTCATCATGGAGGATACCTGCGCTTCGTTCTCCTGCAGCTGCAGTACAAACATACAGATTTGTGTATAAAAGCAAAGTCAAAACTGTGAACAAATATGTCCCCCAGTCCACCGGACTACACCTGGCGCAGGCGCTTGACTCATTTTCACTGATCTGCTGTTAATCATAGCAACTAATCCACATCTCCCTCATATCACTGACTCAAGCGTCAAACCACAGAAGTATCTTCAGTCAAAAACATGACCAGCTGCTTCACTAATCTCATCTTTGGTGAGATTGCTTACCTCTTAATGAGCCTGAATCTCCATGTACTGCCACTAATATTCTCTCTTTTAAAATGAATTTTTGTAACTCATAGTCTTGTGCTCCATGGCGTGATTGTAGTTCTTCCAGCTTCTTATAAGTAATTTGCAAAAACATAATCTTATCTGTGCAGATGAAAGGAAATATGTGCAATGTTGGTGTTCATTATTCTTGTCATGTGGTCCAAATCTGTCCTTGTTTTCATTTTAGTCTTTATCTAATCAAGAAAACCTTATTGAAAAAATCCACCTGCAGAATGCGTTACATTGATAAGGTCTTAATTTCCTGGTCTGCATTTTCAAATGTGAAATCCGCTCCTCTCATCGCAGTGTTTGCATGAGTGTATTTGTCACCTCGCTGATGGAGGCCTGCAGCTCTTCCAGTTGTTCAGTGTCTCTGTAACGCGCCATGTTGTTGTTCTTCATGTCGTATTGCCGCTGTGTGGTCTGTCGCTGGACAGACACTATCGTGGCCACTTCCACCAGCCTGGTCATCAACTTCATCGCTAGTATGAGAGCAAGCAGGATGACAAGACAGAACGTGGTGTGAAAGGATGTAGAAAGGTAAGTAGTACCTCCTAGGTTATATATTTTTATCCAGATTCAAGACTCAGTGAGCAAAAGTGGCACAATCCGTGGGCAATAGATGTGTAGTATGAATCCTCTACAGCACCTGTCTCGTATTTACATTAACTGCAGGGTCTTGACCACATGCAGAGTGTGCTTACCAAGCAGGGTACTGGTGTGTCTGAAGGCCCTGACCTGCGAGTCAGACAGGCCAGTGAGCAGGGCCAGCAGGGAGGGGAAGAGGTACTCATCATAAATAAGGCTGTTCTGACAGGACCGCACCAAAACACGAGCAAACTCAAACAGGCCGGCTTTGAAGTGCTTCAGTTGCGAGCCTGGGGTGCTGAGAGGATAGTTCACTGAATCCTGGAGGAAGAGAGGAAACAAAAGAAATGGAGGAGGAATGTAACACCGTGGTTGGTAAAGTAATAACAGGCACAAGCTTTGGGTTTGTGCTGCTAATTACAACACTGGCAAAACAAAGTGATTAAACTCATCAATGCACCCATTTATCCTCATTAGATTTTAATTAGTATGTTCCATCACGCTAGACTCAATCCCTCGAATCATAATCACCTGGGATATGAAGGTTGTTTGACTGTTGCAAATTTCAGCAGGATTACAGAAAGTGAGAAGATAAGACAGAGACTATAAATGAGAAGCAAAACTCTCTGATTTGTGAGAAAAGATCTTTGTTTTTAGCAATTTTTTAAAACTAAAGTCACCTCGTTGAATTCTTTGGTTAGTGTGCTAATGATTTCAGCATTCTGCATCATGTCAAACATCTCTCTGGTCACCACGGCTGGAGAGAAAAAATAAGAAAATTAATGTGGGATCAAATCCAATACCACGATGTGACTTCACTTTATGTTTATGATCATTCCACCTTTAAATACTCACATAATCAATAGACAGTCAATCAACACAGCACTAAGACATGTCATTGTTATCATGCAGGGAGATCAATAGCTGACTGCTGATCATTGCCTGAGCTGAAATTGAAAAGATAATCTCTTGAACTTTGACTCCCGACCCTCAACGCGTTGGCTCTCTCTTGACCTCTGACCTTTGCATCCACAGGACCGAACAATGAAGTTGATGAGCACCAGCAGCCCCGCCTCTCGATTTCGCTTGTAGCTGTCCAGCCACTCATCTACCACGGTCTGAATAGTGACAGGGAGAGGGCAACCAATGATGGTGCGAGGTGCAGATCAAAAGAGCAGATGGATATATTAATGATGAAAGCATTTGAAAGAGGTTATTGATCTTGGCTTTAACATTTCCTCCTATCGCTGTCGCTTATGTTTCTCAAATTAACATTTCTATCTGTAGATTTTTGTTCATATTACAACATCTCCTTTACAAAACTATTTCTGGTGCCATGGCACCATTAAAAATCTCATGTAAAGGTTAAAAAACAAGAAGACGCTGCTCCAGGACAGCTGCTGTGTTGCGAGAGTACACCACACTCAAACTGCTATAATCCTTTCAAAGAGGAAATTCTTTTAAAACTTACTCGATTTTCTAAACGTGCAATGTGAAAGTGGGCCTTTACCCAGAATCACAGTCTCTATTGTGTCACGGCTCTCCACTGTAGCGACAGACCCTTTTTATTACAGCTCAACACACTTTTTTGTCCCCCTTCCTTTTGTTATGTGTTCTTTCTTTTTCAGTCTTTAACCGGAGGAGACAGGGCCCGACAAAACAAAGGTTGGGATGGAAGCATGCTGTCAATCATTGACCAAATAACCCAGCATCAAAACACCTTTTCCTTTTTGCGTATCAAAGGCAATTCTGTTGGGTCACATCAGTCAGCCGCTGACAGAAGATATAATCTGTCCCATTGTGAGCTCTTAGAGTCCTGTTTCTCATATCACTATACATGCCTCCTTCACCACCTCCCAGCATTTATGTTTACATCCCACCCACTTCCTTCTGTGTTCTCCATCTCAGGTTTGCTCACCACCATGGCAGTTTTTCCAGAGCAGACCGCATCATAGATTTCCTCTGCACTGATGTCCTGGACAGGCTTGTTCACACTCCCCACAGGTCTAGAAGCCTGCCTCGATGTCCCTCGGGAGTGCCTCTGCTGTTGCAGGGAGGAGTCTGGAGGAAGGAGGCTGGATGACACCCTTGATGCAGCTCTTTGCTTGGGTCTCTTGGGTGGCTTGAGATGAAAGAAAGATGGGAGGGCAGCTTGGCAGGGGGCTTTAAGTGAATTCATGTTGTCAAATGAATTAGTGGTAGCCATGGCAAGATGAGGTGCATGCTTGAACCTCAGTGCTGCATATATTTTGACACCAGTTTAGCCTTTCTGATCTAAATAAAAAGTGTGAAACCCTTGGTAATTTGCACTGTGGTTCATTTGCATGAAAACAGCTGTGATATACTCCATTTCTAAGCCTCTAAATGAACATAATCAATATCATTTCATTTTATAATTTATTTTTGCATAGCCTAAAATCATAAGAAATGTTACATTTGGACATTTTACTTATACCAAGTAGGTCTAGATCATACTCTTTGCTATATCTTATATATACAACCTACATTAATGCGTCTTTGAGCATCTGGCACTGTTAGTGGCAAGAGACTGACAAATTGGGAAAGAACAGCGATGAGCACAGCAGTGAAAAATACTAATGGCTATGATGTCAGTAATCATAGAAAAATAAGTGTAATATTAACAGTGATGACGTTTAATAAGAAATTAATGGAAAAACTCTGTAAAGAAATAAAATCACTCACCTTAAGTCCAGTGACAGCTCGTTTGCTCCTCTTGGCGGGTTGCAGCGTGGCTTCATAGTCACTCCCAGAATCTGAGAAATCGGCTAAATCTTCAAGACTGGACACACAATATACATAAAATAAACAATGAAGACGAATCCAAGCATCAGTCTGACATTTTAATCATGAGACCATCAATTATTTAATAATTCTTTAACTATTTTAACCCCTTTTGTTGGTAAGATATCAAATGTCCACCCTTTTTACATTACATTTACTTAAACTTGTGCTTTGAGCCTCTGTTTATGGTTCTATTGTGTTTTATTGTATATAGATAAACACTATGTGCCAATAAAAGTTTATATAAATCTCCTGTAAAAGGTACCAAAACAGTCACATAGTTAAAACAAATCTTTTTGACATCTCTTACCCAAGATAAATTGGATTTGTAAAAAATTACCTGTCCATAAATTGGTCGTCATCCGCCATTTTCGGCCAGAAAGACTTGAAGGATAGCAACACTTGCCGCGGTGAGGCCTATGGTACGGGAGATGGGACAAAATTACGTACAGAACTTCGCTAATTTAACACAGTTAGTTGGGTAGTTAGGTAGTTAACACTAGCCTGATCAAATTACTTCATTGGCATCGTTTTTAAGATTTTAACACCCACTTCAGACGTTCAGCTATCATTCAAGACGATTACTTTAAGACTTATGACCTGTGATATAGCGGTAGTTTTGAAGAGGAAATACGGATGCTATCGTTATTGACTCCAAATCAATTTCTGCTGTTAGCGTTCAAGCTAGTTACCGGCTAACTAATATAGGGAGGTTTTAATAAATAGTAATTAACAGTAAACATAAATTTGCTAACTTTTTATGCTAAGTTATTTACCTTAGACGTACTTTTTGATGAATGTGTGGATAAGACGATTTTCTCTCTTCGACGATCAAAGGCGCGAAAAAAAGTAACACTATTCTTTATACTGATTGGTAGCAATTTCTTCAAAGCGAAAGATGATTGGTTCTTTCAGAATCTCACTTGATGGCCATTGGTCATTATAGATAACCCGTTGCTAAGCTGGCAGTGGAATAATTAAGCCATATACACATAGCTTCGTTTAAGCAGCACACAAAGTTTATTTAATATATTTATTTAATTTAGTTTATTTAATAAACTCCAGCACACCACCAACAGCTTTGGCTATTAAATTATAAAACCAGCAATTTTTAAGAACAATATCTTTTAAGTACAATTTACAGCTCTTGTACCGGGTTGCATTATATTTCCCTGATGTTTATGTTATGGCTGATGAGTGAACACAGTCAATAGGCTAATGCTGTAATATGGATCTACATCTATTAAGTTTTTCTGTATTTATTTTCTCTTTTTCGATCTCTTTTGGTCACAAAAAATTCACAGTATTAAGTCTGTCCGTCTACTCTGTTTTTTTTTTTTTTCCCTGTTTCAGTTTTTTGGATCCTGAGGAGGTGGGCTCAGCTGTTCCTCGCCCCTCCACCGCAGGCTCCTCATCCCTCTCTCCTGTTGGTCCATTGTTCAGTGTCTATAGGACCAGGGTCAAGTAAGCCTCTGTGAAACACACAACTTCTGGTCCTTACCTCCAATATAAAACACCAGTAACTCAACTGTAACGTGAAATTTCGCCTGAAAACCAGACTCAAAACCCACGCAGCTCAAGGAAGAACATTTATGAATTAATTTTACGCCAGGACATCCCTTTAATTTGAGGAGAGTTCAGCTGCATCAGAAAATATACTTATTAAAAAAATAGTAAATACTAAAAATAGTAAAGCCTACTTAGTGTCGTCTTTTACTGCAGTTTGTTTTCTGTTTATTTAATTTATTGTAGCAGTGAAAGTGCATTGTCAGCTTAAAATTGTTTTAACATTTTTAAAAGGTGTCATATTATACAGACTGACTTTCACATATTCTCTTTTTTGCGATCCATTTGAAATCATTTTGCTTCTGTCAGAAAGAAACTTCTACTCAAACGTCCTTTGTGCTTTTATTTTGAAATAATCCACTTTCCCGGCCATTTCCTGCTTATTCCAGTGTTCTTGACAGTCGGGCTGTCGGATGAGGCGGAGGGACGGGAGTGCCTCGTAGTTCATTCACAGCCTCTTTACATGTACGTACAACAGTGGATCTCCCCGGGAGGACAAATTAAACGGACACGGTGTGTGGAAACATATGCGTGATGTAAAATACATCCCGGATACATCTGTTCAATGCACCCACTGTGGGAAACTATGACTGCTTCAATCGAGTGACGATTTTGGATACTTTGACTCTTTTTACTTTTGCGTGCATCTCGACCGGACAGCCTTTCATTTATTTATAAAGGTGCTGCACCCTTAGTCTGGTTTTCAAAGGCTACACCCCCTCTGCGCTGTCTATTTCTGAGCCCTGCGGTGAGGATGGATACCCGGCTATGTTTCTCCAGGTACCCGCTGTTAGTGCAGCTCTGCACGGTGTATGCTCTGTTGGGGACCCGGAGCCCCGTGGCTTTAGCGGGGAGGAGCTGCGCAGACACCCGGCAGGTGTACGCGGAGAAGGGGTACAGCACAGGCACTGCGCCGATGACTCAAATCTCCGGTAAGACTCTGCAGCCAACATTTAGTGGGAGTTATCACGAAACCAAACAGCTTTGGGACTTATGTGTAGAAGCCAGTCTTAATCTGTTATCAATGCTTTGGTCGAGTTTTCTTAAAGGATGTTACAGAAAATGTCGCAGGTGAATGATTGGAGTGCGTCAGCGTGCTCCAGGGATAAAAATAGTCTCATACATTATGGTCAGTGTAAACTCACACCACAAATTATGAGGAGAACCACAACCCTAACACAAGCAATTCACCTGAAGTGGCATTCAAAAGTGCAAGGTGGCTTAAAACTCACAAATGTTGGATATCATGGTGAGTTTCCCCTCTGGAGAAATTATGCAGGGTGGTTTAAACCAAATTATACCCACCCCCTCCTCCCTGTGTGCGGTTTAAATAGGATGATTAAGGGGATGAGCAATTTGCCAACACCGGTGCAACAAAGAACCTCGCCCCTAATTAGTCTTTGCCTACTAGCCCACTGTTAAATCCCTGCATACAGCCATAGGCTCTGTTCACCGGTGATAATCTTATCTGCAGAATTAAAAGATATCACATGGATTACAGACTGCTGGATTTTGAGCAAAGTGAAGTTCTGATGAGAGGGTGGAATAAGGAGATTATAAGTGGAGTTGAATGTCTGACACACTGAGGGAGGAAATTCTGGTGCACTTCAGTGTCTGAAAATGTAGCCTACTTCGAGGAGGTTCAGCTTTGCATGTAAATCAGTGAGAGAATGACTGTGTGTGTGTGTCTGTGTGTGGGTTAGCCCAAGACAGACCTGCAGCTTCATCTGCAAAGGGTCTGAAATGTAAGAGCAGACTCATAGCAGATCTCTGGGGTGTGAGGGTTGATTTGGTGGAAATTTAGCTCAGCGTGAGTCCCAACTGCAGTATTGATTGATTATGTGGGTGTAAGTGTGCGTGTGTGTTGGGCTATCACTGCCTGAGTCTTGGCTCACTGTCCCGTGGGCCAGGGGAGCAGATGGCCGGGAGAGGGAAGGATGAAGAGAGGCAGTTTAGAAATGGAAATAGAGGGATGAGAGAGGACTAATAGTGAGACACACAGTGAGAACAAAAGAGGCAGAGAGGAACATCAGTGAGGGTGGAGTTGGGAATGACACTTTCTTCCCTGTATTAACAGCAGAAATATTCATGTTGGATGTAAAATTGCAGGGGGAAAAAAATGAATTCAAACCTTTTGCACATGCAGAGTGCTGCTGCCAGTGTGTCTTTTATTGTCTTTCTCCCCTGGTTGTCGTTTGCATATCATTACCTCTGACATATCAAAGACCAAACCTGAGCTGACAAAGACAGACAGATTGAAACTGAATAATTCATGCAAGGAAATTACAATTTTTCTATCACACCCTTATCTTTGGACGGATTTCCCCACAGTGACTGGGCAGACTGATGCGTGCAGGAATCGACTCTCTGACTAAAAACATGTGCTTTAACCCGATATTAGAACTACTGGCTGAGAGTGGGTCTGGGTTTTGTTTTGGTATTTATAATCACTTAATTTTCAGTCTTTTGTAGAGCAGAAATTCATAAGAACATTTGATAACACTCAATAAGAAACCACCTGTTAAAATGCATCATGAGCTTATCTAAAAAGACTTGTAAATACAAGTATAAGGCTTCATAACAATCCTCATAAGTGATTATAGGTAGTGTGCTCAGTAAAAGCAGTTATACAAGTTTATTCCAGTCAAGTAATCCGATTGGTTAAGAGGTCTTCTATTATGACTTTTATGTAGGGTACAATGACTCTTACACTTCTTACAATCACTTTGTTTTAGGTGTTATAAATTAAAATGCTAATTAACTAAAGATGGTCCTTGTCTAGACTGATCAAACACACGTTATTTGACAAACACACAGTCCAAAAAATTAAAAATAATGTTTTCCTGTCAAGATTCGAACTAGTGTTACTGGTGGAGACAAATCAATGATTAATTAAACTTTATGACTTTATGCTAAATGTTTATAAAAATATAAGCAGTATCACCCTCAATGTCATGCTGTTATTGAAGATATCAGCTCTTTGGTGTAACAAAATCACAGCCATGCAGATATTCGTATAACGGCACACTCTCTGGTGTCAGTTTATTCAGTTTCTCCTCATATATCTCAGTACACGTGTAACAGATCCTAACTCTTCTTCTTGTCATCCAGGTGAACACCTACGCCTCTGCCCTCAGGACTACACCTGCTGCTCCAGTCAGATGGAGGAGACTCTGGCCCTTCAGAGCGAGCGGGACTTCCTCAGAGCCGTTGAAGAGAACAGCCAGTTTCTACTGACGACCTTCACCCAGAGACACCGCAGGTTTGATGGTAAGAAGCTGATTCTGAAGCCCGGAAAGTCATCAGTCAAGTTAATGGAAACAGTTGATGCTTCATAATTAGCTTTAAAAAGTTTCTCCCTTGAAGCCAGAATGAGTACATCTGAAGGAACACAAATTGCACTCTGCTTCTCTTGGTCTCGCCCTTCCCATCCTCTGGGTTTGAGCGACAGCTGATTAAAAACTTATTCAGGCTCGCCGCCTGCACAGTTCCTCTGATGGCGTGATATCTGAGCCACAAAATTAACACTGGCAGCCAAGAGCACAACGATGCGTACATACTGCAAAGCTCCTAGCATGGCTCTAATTTATTTTTAATCAACTCATGAGAGCTGCTGAGATTCAAGGGCTGCTGCTCGAATCTTTTCCCTCTTATAAAGTTATTGGATTCACAGGAGAGAGATCATAAGAGTTGAGCTAATGGCTTCAGTAAAGCAGGTTGAAATACAGAAAAATCTGACGCTCATACTTGTACTTGACTCTTGATCCTGTCTTTCCCAAGATGTAACCTAATAATGTTTTGATTTTGCTGTGTCTGGTTGGTAAATGCACGACTTTTACTCCATTTAGGGCTGCGAAAGACCCGTATTGTTAGTTGTAGCCTGTTTGCCCACCTTTATATTTGCACATTAATCATGTATCTTATTGTCAATGCAATGCCCAACAGTGTGGGAAAGTGTGTGCACCCCCAATCCCACCTCCAATTTCATCATTTCCTGTGAATAAACTCACCAAGCCCACTTGAGGTAATCCTGCTGATGTCATTTTGATGTCATACGCGCCATGATCTCAGAAAGCCAGACGACACTGTCACACAGTTTCCACAGTTTTCATGGCGGAAAAAGGCAGAAGATCTGACCTCTCTGTGTAAAACAGGTGGAATACCCCTTTAGAAAAGGTTTTAGGGTAGGAAACTTATCCAGACATCTACAGTAACTGCATTTCAGAGAATCCAGCCCACGCTGTCTCAATTTTGGAGACTTTACACTTTCTCCTTCCACCTGCTGTGGACTGCTGTCACTTTTTTCCCTCCTCATCTTTTTATATAATGTACACGATGAATCATTTAAGCACATCGATAGAGTGGGAGACAGTATATGAGTCCTGCAGACCTAAATAGAGTACATGTTGTTACACTCGTTTACCAGCATGCAGGATCTGATGTAACTGTCCCTATGAGCTGTTAATCTTGCAGTAGGGGGGCTGACTGAGCGCCCACATAGGTAGAAAACCGGCCAAGATATTAGAGGGAAAAAAAAGGGAAGGTGGGTGGCAGATTAATATCTTATCTCTGCTTGTGCTGTCTCTTTGCAGAGTTCTTCAGAGAGCTTATAGACCTGTCGGAGAAGTCCATGAACCAGATGTTTACCAAGACCTACGGTCGCCTCTTTACCCAGAATGCACACGTCTTCCAGGAGCTGTTTGTGGAGCTGCGCAGATATTATTCTGGTTTGTGTAGCCCACCTCTCCGCACTCTTATATCTTTAGTCATCTAATTAATTCACCTATTGGGTTGAATTTGACAAATGAAATAAGGGTGGTCCATCCCTCATCTATGTTTCAAAGTATTCAGTTAATGGGATGTTATTTGACAAATTTAGGGAGTAATATTCAGGCTGGGATGGATTTTTGAAGAATATGAATGCGGCTATCACCACCCTGAATAAAACATCTGTTTGAATGATGTCTGTTCAAAAGCTGTGGTAATTCCTCATTGGAGGGAACAGGATAGTGTCATTTTAGGAGTAAATCCACGGCAGAAAAAAGCTGAGTTTTCCCTTTAAAGGAAGAATTAAAATGCAGGGGACAATTGCAGAAAAAAATAGAAAGATTTGGAATCCCACAGCTGACTGTTTCTATTTCTGTTCCTCATCGCTCAGTTTTGGCTCGACAGCAGCTCTCTGGCGTGTCTATCCGCAGGCTGTTGCTGCTTAGTCAGGCTGAGTCGATCTGCCAAACGGCATATATGGCTAATTTTGAGGCTGCTCAGTAGACTGCAGGCCTGAAAGCTGTATTGTAAGTGTGTCTGTAAAATCAGACATATAAGCATGAAAAGCTTTTAAAGGAAGAACAAAATAAGGAAAATAGTGCACTGAACATTTTGAATATATGAATCAATGCAGCATGTATTTTGATCTTGTACTGCCAGTTTGAAAACTACGTGACTTTATTTTTGGATTTACTGCAGCAACTTTCATCCAAGAGAGTGAAGCATCTGAGCACATTTTACAATTTATTTATTTAGCAAGGATCCATCCAGGAATCAAATTTGACTCCAGTTTTCCCTTCACGGCAGCCAAAATATGCAGCTAACCACATCTCAGCCTCTCTTCTAAACTTTAAAGTAGGGCTGTCACAATTTCAGAAGACTTGACCTCAAAAATAAGTTTTTCATGTTTTTAATTTTGATATTTTTTCTGTCTTTTCTTTAGATTGCTTTATTTCCTGTATGGTGAAACTATGCTTTTATTTTAAAGTTATTTCCTGCAGATCGCAAGTAGCGGATCTGGACAAAAACAATTAAAGGACCAGTTAGAAAGTATTGAACTGATTAGAAACCTGGAGAGATAAGACTGGGACGGCCCTGTTTTAAGATAAATCTGTATAAAGTTATCATACTCTGATGGAAATACTCAAAATAAATGTAGTTGTTTCAGGAAATCTGCATTTCCTTTCACATTCTCTAACTAACAGGATCATTGGTTTTACCAGGTCTCAGGTGCTCTCTGCAAGCAAATAATCTCCCAAGGTTGCTCTTCTGTCCACAGGGGGCAGTGTAAGCCTCTCAGAGGTCCTGTCAGACTTCTGGTCTAGACTGGTTGAACGGGTCTTCTCTCTGGTGAACCCCCAGTATCAGTTCAGCGAGGACTACCTGGAATGTGTCAGCAAACATGCAGAGCAGCTGCAGCCCTTTGGGGATGTGCCGCGCAAGCTGCGTGTACAAGTATGCAACTGGACAAATCCACTAAAACGACTTTGAAAAATTATCTTTTGCTTTTATATGGATTGATTATGACCAAGTGTCCCTTTGGTGTCTCTTTCTCTTCATGCGCAGGTGTCGAGGGCTTTCATTGCAGCCAGATCTCTTTCTCAGGCTTTGGCTACCGGTCGAGATATTGTCAACAAAGCAACAAAGGTGATCGCCTCTTTATACTGGTGTCTGTGCTGATGTGGAAACTGCGGAGGTTGCAGGATAATAACTCAAAGGACTCTTCCATCTCAAATATAAATCTGTTAAAGTAATCTGTTATATTATTTATATGAACTTTATTAAATGTTTATCTCAAGTTCTGTCTTCTTCATCTCTGTTTTGTAGTTGACTGCAGATTCAGAGTGTGTGCGCGGGCTGATGCGTCAGTGGTACTGCCCTTTGTGTCGAGGCATGCCCTCTCTTCGGCCCTGCCACTCCCTGTGCCTTAATGTGATGAAGGGCTGCTTAGCCAATCAGGCTGACCTGAACACTGAATGGGATAATTTCATTGGTAGGTGAAAGTTGCATGAAGAAGAACACATCTTGGCATGCCTATTGAATTTAAACTTGTGTGAACACTTCACTTTTTTTGCAACACTTAAATAAAAATGCATGAGTTGTGAAAAAAATCCACCTCTTACATTTCTTGCTAACAAAGACACGAGCCATAAAGACCACATTTTTTTCAACCACGCTGTCAATATATTTATTTATACCAACAAAAACTGGCCATTTTAACCTGCAACATAGATCTTAAAGGGGTTCTTTGTCTTTTTGAGGCCGCCCCAAGTGGACACTGTTGGGACTGCAGTTTTTTGCACACACTAGTCACCTTTAACAACATACTGGGACCAAATCAGCAAGTGGATTAGGTATTCTACTCTGTCAACAGGGGGCGCCAAAACAGACATATAGCAAGCTCCTCACAGATGCTTAAAAAAAGCCCCAATACCTCTAGTGTCAGAGGTTTTGTATCCCTCAGACAAAATGCCCAAATACATGTAAATGTGTTGTAAATTTTAATGACCATTATGGATATGAACGAATCTGAAACACACTTCCTTTATCGCCCTCTGTCTTTCATTTACCTCACCTCATTTCCCCCTAATGAATTCCTCCTCTATTAATCATTCATGCCCCTCTGCTCCTTCACAATTGATCTGTCTTCCTACGTGTCCTTCCTCCCCTCATCAAACCCATGCGTTCTTTTCTTCCCTCCTTTTCATGTGCGGCGCCGTCTTCAACCTTTCATCACTCAATCCTTGTGTACTCCGCCTGAACCTCTTCCACCCCTGCGACGCCTTCTCTCCCGCCACCATTCTCCTTATATTTCTGTCCTCTTTATATGATATCGGCTCACTCAGTAATGTCTCCATCCTCTATCAGACGCTCTGTACCAGGTTTCAGAGAAGCTGGAGGGGCCGTTCAACATGGAGCTTGCAGCCGACTCCATCTCTGTGAAAGTGTCGGAGGCCATCATGCACATGCAGGAAAACAGCGTCAGCATCTCCACTAAGGCAAGAAGAGATGCATTATCTTTTCTCAAAATGTCTTATTGTGTATTTCAGTCTGTTGGTCTCTGAAAAAATCAGGGTGCACTTGTAAAATCTTTGAATATTTGTCTCGGAAATCTCTCTGACGTGCCAAAGCTACTCTCTTGTGAGTTTTATTGACTAAAATTCTTAATGACTCGATGAAAAATTAAGAAGGAATTAAAGAAGAAAGCTAGGATTTTCCACTCAGAGAACATGACAGTCAGATTCAACATGGCAGGCGTCCCAGCAGCTAATCCATCAGAGACACCCACATCATATTGGAAACAGAAAAGGTTTGTGGTCGCAGCGCTGTCAGGAACAGGCTGTGCTTTAAAGCTTTGACTGTTTGTTGCTTTTCACTGACAGAGTGTGAATGTGGAGGTTGTGGAAAGCTTTGTCAACACTGTCACTCTAAAAGTTTCAGCTGTTTTACAACTTTATTCGGCGTGGGCTCTGGCTTTACCTGCTAGTATGCGAGTCCAACACGTCACTGAATCCTTCGCCTATGAGGGTTTTGCAGGCTAACACTAGATTTGCTGGGAAAAAAACAGCTAAAATGTTGTGTTACGAGGCCTCTTTTGTTTTCAGTGGAGCTTTATCACGATTTCGAAGTTGGGGGAGTCTGTATTTGTCAGTCAGACATGTTCACAGTAGAGAGATGACATGAAATGGTGAGAAAAATGAGGAATGACATGCAATCAAAGCTCCTGCCTTATTTAGCCTGTTGTGGTACGTGGTGAGTGCCTGAACCCCTGAACTCTGCTGCGCTCCTATTTTATCCCTTCATAAAGCTGAAGGTGAAAAGGCAAGATGAAGCACAGCGAGTGGGTTGGAAAAATAACTGATCCCAAATGGTTTTTCTGTAAATTTGAAAAAGGACCAAACAGAGGAGATTCCTTTTAGTACCCACAGAAAGATATGGCAAAGTTAAGCTGTGAAAGTGCACATTACACAGCTGTTTATATATGCTTTGTGTCCTTTTAAACCAGGTGTTTCAAGGTTGTGGAAACCCACGGCCAACTCCAGGAAGGTCCAAACGCTCACCCAAAGAGTCAGGGGGCAACAGGAGACCCTTCCGCACCTACACCCCAGAGGAGAAACCCACCACTGCTGCAGGCACCAACCTGGACCGGCTGGTGAGGATAAACCTACATCTCTAAAAATAAAGTACTTGTAGTGACTTTGCTGACCTGAATTTTAGTCACTGTCTGGGTGCGGGAGTGAGGTGCTTTTGACGCGCTTTGAGTACAATTTAATGTCCAGTCCAAGGTTGTTGTTGAAATATATTTTCGCCATTTATTGATAAAATGAAAAACAAACAGAAATAGACAGATATGTCAAAATTTTGACGATGGTGATGTACATGATGAGATTAAGAGTGGTGTTGGAGATTAACGGTAAAAATGGTGTGCTCTTCCCGTTCCCCAGATCACTGCTTCACCTGTGTCCCTTTTGTAGCATTTACCTCCCCATTCACCTGAAGTGCCCCCTGTGGTGATTGTGCGAGTAACAAAACACAACCTAAAAATAATATAGATAAAATGGCTCATACAGCACTCCAAGGTATTTAAGCACAAACAGCCCCTACATATACATATTGTCTCCGGCAGCTGTGTTCATCTACTAGCTGCTTACCTTTTTTGTCTCATCTGACAGGTAGAGTACAGCTGTTTTAGTTTTTCAAAAATCTGACCAGTGGCCAGTGCGGGGGACCCAAATCATTTTGAGCTGAAAATAAAATAAAAAACAGAGCTTAAAGATGCTTCAACTCTCTGTGAAGTTGTGCGATTTACAGCTCAAAAATGTTGAAACTGTATCTGACTTCTACATGAATCAGGAGCAAAAGGCAAAAGGAAGGAGAAACAGCAAAGTAAGTCTTTGCTTGGTACAAGAAACTAATAAAAAAGAGAGCTGCAGTCAGAACCCAGATGTTCCTCTGTGGCCACAGAGTGATAAAAGTGCTGGAAAGTAAATGAAACTGAGGGCAGAGGAGGGAGAAAGAGAAAGCAGGTATTCATATCTTTTCATAAAAAACATGGTCCAAGAGCTGACCCCGAAACAGAGTCGTGTCAGTTCTTTGCTTTGACCAGCGTCAATACGCTTCCTCCAGCCAGCCATACCGTACAAGGTTATTTTAATACCAGCTATGACTCACAACCAATTTCTATCCCGCCTCCCTACAGGTTACAGAGCTGAAGGAGCGTCTGAGGCCCATGCGTGGTTTCTGGGTGTCCCTCCCACACACCATCTGCAAAGACGAGAGGATGGCTACCGACGTCACTAATGAGGACCGCTGCTGGAACGGGCAGACCCGAGGGAGGTGAGCAAGATCATAGAGGAGGAGTGGAGGGAGGGATTCGATGGAGGTGGAGGAGTGAGAGGGAGAGAAGTGGTGGTGCAGCGGTGGAAAGATGCAACAGATGGAAGCGGGTTGATTTCACCGGTTACCCTCATGCTCATCGTGTGGGTCTGCTTACTTTTACGCACAAAGAAACAGTGTGACAACATTTATCTGGGCATAGAGTGTACAAGTGTGTTTGTGTGTATGAGCACGGAAAAGAAAAAGATGAAAATCAGCCTGGACGATTTAGTATCTGTGATGGTTCAGCTGCATTAAATGAAGGTTCTTGAAAAGTAAACCCATTTAAGCAGCTTTAGTCACAAAGTGGAAGACAAAGCATGACAAAAAAATAACACTTGTCATTCATATTTGCAGTCTCAAAGCAATCGGAGGCCCTTTTAACATAAACAATAAGCATTATTAAATATTAGATAAACCAGTTTGTCATCTTCTCATCTGATTTTGTTGCTCTCATCTCCATCACCACAGTTGTGAGCAGCGAAACACTTCCATTTTCTTTTTTTTCCCCTCTTAAAATATGCACAGATACAGCTCAGTCAGTAGGTGGAATATCTCTGAGCAGCTGAACATTTTGTCCTCAAACTAAATGTGTTGAAAGCAGGAGATATGAGCAGGTGTAAGGATGTGAGTGGATTTGACAAAGACCAAACTGGAAGACGGTGGCCTGGAGGAACTCAAAGTGTTGACTGGGCCTTCAGGTTTACCAGATCTCAGTCCAACCAAGTATCTGTTCGATGTGCTGGACGACCAAGTCTAAACCTTGGACGCCCCCTCTCTCAGCTAACGAGACTTAAATAGACAGTCAACACAACGGCATAGAAAGCTACAGGGTGGATGTCTGTAAAGAGGTAGCGTTATGTTTTGTTTATATTTTGCAAACAGATGTCAGAGGTCTGATCTATATGCGAGCAAAGTTTCAGATTGTAAGGTTAATGTGTGTTGAAGTAATCCACAGATGAGACTTCAGGGCGTTCCAAAAGTCACATGAGAATTGAACGAGATCAAGATGAGATTTGCTCAGATCGTGACATCATCAGACAGCGAATCTCCTCATTAAAATAAGTTTTTTTTAGATGGCAACAGTGATGGAGACTTCAAGAACGCTGGGTTCTGGAAGCTTGAGGTCTCTCTCTGAAACACAACTTTTTGTTCATCCTGCTGCTTTTCAAAAACTCATTTTTAGGACACTGTTATTTTACTTCTGTCAAAGTCCCTCTTTTGGATGACCCGGATGAAGTGATCCATTATTTATTCAGATTGATGGTGGGGAGGGAGAGGGTCGCTTTTGGATGTTAACGTCGCTCTACATGTAAACACATCCTCATCAAGTTGTCCCTGTCTTTCACTGTAGTCTCTTCTATTCCATCAAGTAGACAGCTTTACACATGCCTCTGTGTCTGCATGCTCAGGTACCTCCCGGATGTGACAGGCGACGGGCTGGTCAGCCAGATCAACAACCCTGAGGTGGAGGTGGACATTGCTCGGCCTGACGTGAGGACCAGACAGCTGATCATGGAGCTGAGGGTGGCGACCAATAAGCTGCGACACGCTCAGAGCGGGCAGGACATGGACTTCATGGACAGTGAGTCCGCGACACTGTCTTTGTTTGTTAATCCTGGATGTTGTATGGAGATGATGATCTCTAAACTCTTATTTTTCTTTGTTTCAGGTGAGGAGGGCAGTGGCTCAGGAGGGGGAGATCATGGTGAAAGGTACAATGATGACTGGCCAGGTTATGGACCTTACTCCCCGCCCTACAACAAACCCCCTCCTAATCCAGCCTCCAACCCTGCGAAGCCACCCCGGGTCAGAGAAAGAAACGGCTCCAAGTGGAACAGAAACAACAACCACGGTCGGGTCAGATCCGCTAGCAGCCGGCTCACTTCTTCTCTAGTCCTTTTGTTGTGGTTGCCTTCTGTGGTCAATTTCCCCCTCATGTGGAGATAGCTGGTTATTACAGTTTGCAGGCAGTGGCAGTGCCTGTCGTTTTAGGGATCTGAAGCACATTGAAGAATAAAGTCATTCCATTTGGGTACACCAGCATAATAAAAGAGACAAAAACAGGCCAAATTAGCAATAATCAAGAACCTGTTTACAGCACAAAATAGTGATAGTTATCAGAGTAACTGTTCCTCTTCTTCCCAAATAAGCTTTACCAGGCATTGATAAGGACAAACAATAATGTATATTAAGTGTTTTTAATTTTTGGTGCCATCTATGAGATATTCAACCTATTGGAGTTGTAATGCTGGATAGTGTATGAGCCTTCTGTGAAAACGGAACAAGAGCACCACAACCAGGGTCTGAAATTAACATGGAGACTCACCGCCCAGGTGGGGGTAGATGAAGAAATCTGCCTGATCATGTTTTTACCAGCCAAAAAATAATAATCTGTGTTTCAATGTTTATTACTGATCTATGAAGCGCTTTTTAAAATACTCAGATGCTTTACACAGAAATGTAGATATACATCCCCCTTTTTTCTTCATCGTTCCTCATGAAGACTTTAATATGCTTTATACATTAATATGTATAATGCTCTGTCCCTACTACACACACACACACACACACACACACACACACACACACACACACACACGAACACACACACTGGCACTTCTGTGTGTGTGTCTGCTCTTTTGACTCTCTTCTGGTTTCATTCAATCACCTGAAAGTATTTAAAACTGTGATTTGTTTTCACCTGAGATCTATTTTTACACTCGCTGAGCCGCAGGAGGAGAAAGCTTGATGTTTGTTACACGGCAGAGTTCCCACAACAGCTAAAATATTTCTGGGAAGGATGTGGCGGTCAGCACGGCGTGTGTCTGTAACAGAACGAGCAAAGATAATCAGACGTACATGCGTAAATATCAAGCCTGTTGGAGGCAGTAGAAAGCTTTTGGCGAGTATTTTGAGCCTCTTACCCACTCCGCCCCTCAAGCATGTGGCACAAAGAGTCTCTTGACGCTATCCCTGCAGATACAAGATATTACTGCGTGCACACAAGTGTACGACCAACCTGGCATAGTTCAGATGGTGAGTGAAGAGGCAAGACTCAGAAGTTTCCAAGAAAACCTCTTTCTAATTATTGCTCGACTACTTAGGATGCACACATTCACCCACCGCATGGCTCATCTGAAAATGACTCCCACAGTGGAAACTCTACTTATATTTGGTACTTGGCAGGTGTTAATTTCAGACCCTGAGCAGAAATGTTTGGATGATAGAGCTTGGTTCATGTGAACAAGTTTAATTTTCAGTTTTATCAGGTTGAGCTTGTTTGCTGCCTTTTCTCACAAATAAGTGAATGAGTGAATTAGTTGATCCTGGTTTTTAAAAGGCTTTATTGTGTTAATTCTTTCTAGATTACCTTCTGTAAGAAGTAGAACTTGATTTAATTCATCATCAATTCTCCGTAACACATTTTGGAGATTTAAGAAGTGAACCGTATGACTTCTGGAAAAAGAAAAAGGGGCTAATTTTGAATGTATCTAAAAGCTCAAACAACTCTCCGGGGACTCGTAAGGACAAACTGTTGTTTAATGTAATATATTAGTGTTTTTAATTTATTTGTAATATATTTCTTTGTTCTTAATGTTATCAAGATTTCAAAGACATGGGTTAAGTGCTTACTGTTGTTTTAGAAAAAGTGTTTTACTTTGGCGATCTCTGGTGTGGAAAAGGATTGGTTAAGTGGTGTTAACCAATCAGAGAACGCCTCTTTATCAAATTTTCTTCCGAGGCTTTCACCATAACCAGAGACTGGAGATGGATGAAACGTGTATGAATGTGTGCGAGCGTGCACGTGTAAAATTGTATGATGGTTTTATATTGTTCGACTCTCGTTCTGATTCGAGTGTTTTGGGGTCATGCTGATAAGATGCTGGTATGTTTTCTTAATACTGCGCTTTTCTACTTATTTTTCCTGAAAGAAAAAGTCCGAGGAAAAAGTGAGAATGTGGCGTGATGAGGAATCTGACTGAATGTCGCAGAAAATCTGTAAAAGCAAACGGAAGGACAATGGCTCTTAGTTTGTATGTGCTCAATATGATTTGACAGAGAAAATGACTAAGACTGAAACAAAAACCATGAAAAGTGGCCGAGCTGCAGCGGGTAATGCTTATTCACTTAGTTGCTGCAAGGATTGATTTCATTTGTTTGTCCATATGGAAAATGTGGAGCTTCAACCAGCACCTTTAGTTTAGACTAACTTAGCTTTACCCACCATAAAGACCAGAGAGGGTAAGTTACTGCTGTTCTGGCTCAGTCCAAAGGTGACAGAAAAACTGTGTCTGGTTTGTGCTGAAGACACATCACCTAAATTACGTGAATGTGAGAGCACTTTTAAGTTTGATGCCAGCAACAAATCTCAAAAAACTTTGTTTGGCTAAGTTGCTTTGCAGCACTTTGTGAAAGTTTGGGACCTTAGGGAGACCAGTTTCTTGAGTTTTAAAGTGAAATGTCCCGGTCTTGCCTGATGAAGGTTTTCTGCTGCATAAGTTTGGGTCTCCTTTGTTGTATTTCTTTGTCCCATGATTGGTCAAATGTTTTAAGTGGTGACAGGTTATGGCTGTAAGTAGACACCCTTTACTGTGGAGTCATGCTGTTGTAATACATGAAAGTTCATTTTGGCATCTTCTTGCAGTGAACTTCAAGGTCTTTCCTGAAAACAACAGTCTGGATGGCAGCAGATGTTGCTCCAAAACTTGCACGTAGTGTTAAGTCCTCTTTAAAGCTGTGTGCCAATAAGCCAAGTGATTCCCCTCCTATTTAGAGCAGAGGATGCAGCATCCATAATTTCCAAAAAGGTCAAATTTTGATTTGTTAGACCGGAGGAAAAATGTCCGCTTTGCCTGTTCCCTCCTATATGGCCCAAAGTCTTGTAGATGATGAAATCCCCAAATTTATTGCAATGTCATCCAGAGGAACATCACCCAGTGTTTTGTTGACCCTGTCCTAAATTTTTCAGTGTTGCTGGCATCAAATTTAAATGTACACATTTAACATTTTGTACTGTTTATAATAGAGTATGGGGTTTAAATGATCTGCAGACCTGGATTCTGTCACCTGGGGACAGAGCGAGGCTAACTGTGACTAAATTCCAAAAAAAGCTAAACAAACAAGCTTTGCTGGCTGCGGATCCAACTTAAATTGTGTTTCTGTGGGTGCGGTGGTAGTTCCGTTTCTCATCTTCTCGGCGTTTAAGTGGGAAAGTTTCCTCCAGCTAGGGAAATTCATGTCAATGAAAAACGCACTACAAAAACAATGCAATAACGTTGTTTAGATAGATGAGTAAAAGACGAGGCTGTTGTGAATGTAAAGATGACCCCTTGAAAAAATCCAGCTTCTTTGTAAAATGAATTACATCTTTTTAAGACATTGACAATAGAAAGAAGAGTTTCAGTGCCCTCCTGAATCCTTTTGTGAAAGAATTAGAAGCTTTCAAAAGATTGCAACTTGCAAACTGTCTAAACCTGGTCGTATTTAAAGGAACTCCAGCAAGATAGCAATTTTAACACAGTATTATATCATGCAACTCCAAATAAAAAAAAGGAGTATTTGAAATTTCACATCACCTGAACTTCAGATATTTCTGTAATAAAAAAGTGCACTCATTCACAGCTCACACATTCCCCTTTTTGTGAAAGTATTGCACAAGTTTTTAATGTTATTGTAACAGTTTTTTGGTATGAAACAAGTGATATTTTCTGCTTCATTAAAAAACAACAACAACAAAGTTTTCTGAGTTTGTTTAATTTCCCATAAAATCAAAATACAATAATCCACACACTCTTTGTTCTCTCCTAAACACCTTTTTTAAAGACTTCTTGGTCCTATTCTAGCAGCTATTTTATCATTTTACTCATACTGTGTCTTCTTATTGATTGATGTTTTTGTTTTTCTAGTATTTTCACATCTTCCATTGTTACTGTCTTTTTCATTTTAAAAGGTACAAGTCCTCTTCTGCCCCCAAACTATTGATTTGACTTTCCAAACAAAATATGTGATACACAGGACAGGAAAACATATGCATCAGAATACATTTTTTGGAAATACATAGAATACATAACTCAGAATCATAAGACAACTCATAGAAGGTTATAGATGAATTAATTATGTAACTTGAACTACTGAGAGTTTAAGGTGGGGTAGGCGGGAATCCGTTAAAGAAGCATATTTTTTGTGGTGTTTATGAAAAAAGCTTTTAATATCAGTCAATAGCTATTAGTTATTGATGATATTTGGTAATATAACGATATCGCTGTGTTCTGTTATGTCTGTGTAGTCAAATTTTAAATTTTTTGAGCTCTTTCTGACTGTAAACAAAGCCGTTCTCCACCTCCCCCAACCTGATTAGTTGTGAGGCAGGCGCTGTTTCTTAGTGCTGATTGGTTGTGGGGCAGACGCTGCTCCCCCATGTTGTGAGGCACGCTCCACGTCCTCTGTTAACGTTCACAAGCCCAACAAAAGTTAGTGTGCTACAACATTGGACAGTAGAAAGCAACCAGAAAGTACAGAAAATTGTCTGAATCAGAGACTCTGGGGGAATAACGGGCGCTTAAAACGGAGGTAGACCGGACAAGAGCTAAAAAGCAGGGTGGACATCAATGAAGCATTTGGGGGACGCTTCAGGATTTTAGGGACCCTGTAACCTTTCTGCTGGACAGTTAAACCGCTTTAACAAAGTAAGCCAAGTGTCTGTAACAGAAGTGTTTCTTGTCAAATGGGACCTGCTGCATGTTGTAACGCCGCTAAACTGTTGACCTCGGGTCCTGGAAACATTGTGTTTGCTGGTAGTCTGTTGGCATCTACAGTAGCACCAATGCTGTTTACTTTCACGTTGACTGGGCCTCATTTGTAATCATCTGAATTATTTATCTGCATTATATCTGAATTTAGTTGAAACGATACGAGCGAGCAGGAGCGTCTGTTTGTGGGCGGGGCTTGCTGGAGCAGAGAGGGAGGGGAGAGGAGGAGCTGAGGGGAAAGCTGGTTGGGAGGGTTAGTGTTTACATTCAAGATTTCTCCCAAAAACTGGCACTTCCTCAGATCCTGCCTACCCCACCTTTAAGTAACCTTGGTCCTTTAGCTACAAGGACCCTCCCACTACAGAGAGCACAGAGACACTGAGGAACCTGGCACAAAGCGGTGCCTGGACGTGAACCCAAAGCCGGGGTACAGAGGTTTAGTGAATGTAGTGTTGACGGTGTGCAGATGGATTAGTGTGTCAGAGGAGACTCTGTAGAAGGACAGAGTGCCGGCATCATGGTCCAAATACACCGCTACTCTGTGAGTGACGGTGCAGGAGGGGGATCTGATGGAGCGGATGAGGGAGGAAAGGGAGGGACGGGTAATAGGTTTGACTTTGTTCTCATGCCAGACAGAGTAATCCACCTCATCACCGTCACAGCAGATCAGACTCCAGGACTGATCATTTTTTCCGAACTCATTGTTCAGCTCGTCTTTCCTGCTGATTCCTCTGTAGCTCACTGATATAGCAGCTCTCCCTCTCCACTCCACCTCCCAGTAACAGCGACCAGTCAGACCGTCTGTGCACAGCATCTGAGGGGTGTTAAATCTGTCTAGATGATCATCATAAGCCTGACACGCCTCCACATGTGTCCACTCTCTGTTAGTGTCAGACAGTTTGATTCTTCCGTTTACTGTGTTTGAGTCGACTGTGAGTTTGCAAGAATCTGGTGAGAAGAGCAAGTCACATTTTCAGCCAAAGTAATTAATGGGTGATAAATAACCAATGACAGACTTTAATATGTGTGAAGTCTTCATTTTAAAAATTACTTACACTTCCTTAACCCTGGTTTCAACCATTGGACTCCAGAAGGCTCCACTCTGAAAGAAGGAGGGGAGTCTGATTAGCACAACACAGGTCATGGATGTATATGAGGTGGTAAAATGAACTCCTGAAGGAGTGTAGTCAGTATCTGAAGCTGCTACTGGTGCACATTTGCTGTGAAGGGTCAACTAACTCACTACGACTCCACACTATAAGAGATTCCTGTGGCGGACCCCCCACAGGAATCTCTGGGGAGAGTCTAAGGAGGGGGTACATGGGACAGTTCTGGAAAGCGCTGCTAAGTTCATTTAAATAGGTGTGCCTCCACCTTTACTGTTGTCTCCATCTACTTGTCCATGCTGGAGTCAGACAATTATTCATACCTTAGAGTTTTCGGCTTTGATTGTGGGTTCAGATGAGAAAACAGCAGCCCCACCATCGGGGCTTCTAAAAAGTTGTAGCTCAGATCCAGCTCTCTTAGTTGGGAAAGATTGGACCTCAGAGCTCCGGCCAGAGATTCCCAGCCTGCAGCTGTGATCAGACAGCCAGACAGCCTACAGACACACAAACAACAACACACATGGATGATCAGCTGGGGGAGCAGCTGCTGTACAATCCAACACTCACCCTACCAGAGGAAACAGATGATTAAATATTAAACTGAGAAAACCAGGGAGTTAACAATGAACATGTCACCGTCATCGACAAGTTTGAATGAGTACAACTGTGCAAACAGCTCCTATAACTGCACTTTTTCACCGCTGTGTTTGGAGCTAATCCCTAACGTCACTGTGCAAACATGCTTCTCTGTCAAAAGAGACCTTTTATACTGCACTGCATTTTAATACACACATATAATGTTACTGTCAGATGTATAAACTAAATCTTTGAAAATTCTGACATCATGAGATACACGGACGTTGGCGTGATCATCCACAGTGTTTGCCAGTGTCCCTGAACAACTCGTTCCCAGAAACAAGACCTCCCTCAAACCTGCGTCAGGCTCTGCTGTCCTATAAGGATGGCAAAGCCCAACATCCATAACTATAAACAGGTGAGTTAAAAAGATGCCTCATCACTCTGGTTATTTGAGTAGTAGAATACTGAGAAGAAATAGATGTCTTATTATGTACTAGTCTTGAATTTGCCAGATGAACACTGTGATGCCCACTTTTTGCTTTTTTGGAGGCAGCATCAAGCAGTTTTAACAACCCAGTCCACGTTGAAGAAGTGTAATTTTAAATATATTTTAAAAATTCAAATTCCAATGATGGTGATGGTAAAAGAATTCAGAGGAAGGCTTCCGGGTTGGCTCATGGAGTAGTCACACGCACGCGAGATCGCTCTCCCAGACAAACCGCAATTTATACCCAAGAGTAATTTAAAATTCAATATTGTTTGATAAAAAACTTAGATGGATTGGGGAAGGACACGCCGAAACCAAAAAAACGACGAAAAAGAGCCTCCAAAACAGAAAAACACGACGACAGCCAGAGACAGCAGCGGCAAAGTGGACCAGGACAACATGGCGCCTGCGGACATAATTAAGGCAATCAACGATCTAAAAACTGATCTAAAAGGCGACAACAACACTCTGCGACAAGAAATCACACATCTTGGACAAGAAATCAACGGTAAACTGGATATGCTGGGGGCAGAAGTCCGTAACCTATCGGACCGAGTGGAGGAGGCAGAGTCGCGGGTGGAGACGGTGGAGAGATGGGCGGCTGAATCAACTGAGGCCTTGACCTCCTGCCTGAAACAGCAAAAAGTCCTGCAGCAAAAACTAAACGATTTAGAATCACGATCGAGACGCAATAACCTCCGCATCTTCGGGGTGGCAGAAGGAGAAGAGGGGGGAAACTCGGCGCAGGAGTTTGTCGAGGCGCTACTCCGGAGCAAACTACCGATCCCGGCCGACATGGAGCTAAAGATCCAGCGCGCACACCGAACCGGGGCTCAGAGGCCAGCTCCAGACAAACCCCCGAGGGCATTTATCGTCAATTTCCAGGAGTTTACGACCAAAGAATGGGTGTTAAAGGAAGCCTGGGGGAAAAACAGAACGGAAAAGATCCAGCTGAATAACAAGCCCCTCTATTTTGATCACGATTACACTGCAGAGGTGGTGAAGAAACGCAGAGAATATAACGGGATTAAAAAGGCACTGAAAGTGAAAGGAGTGCGTTTCCAAACACCTTATGTCAACATGCGCATCCACTGGGAGACGGGAGCCCGGCTATACGGCAGCGCGGAGGAGGCGAGAGAGGAGCTGAGGAGACGCGGGATCACCGTGGAGGAGGCGACGCCGACCAACGGGGAGACCGACTGGGGAGCGCGCCTGGGAGAGCTGCTGGGGTCGTGGCAGAGAGTAACGGGATCCCTCGGGGCAGAGGACGACGTGACCCGGAGAGCGCGGTATAAACTTCAGAGTTTCCAGAGTGATAACACTGCTCAGAGAGACGAACCCCAGCGCAAGGGAGGTAAAATAAAGAAGTAGAAACCATCACAGACTGGTAAAACTGCTGCCACTTTAAAACCGAAATATAAGAGCTGAACTGGACAAATATAAGGCTTCTTTCTCAAGGCTATAGGCTATTGTTAAATAAACGTCTGGGAGTGACGACCTTAAATTCAATGATTGACGTTGGACTTTAGGATGGTAGGGTTTTCTCCTTTAGATGGCCAAGCCACCCTATGTATAGGGCCCTATCTTAGGGATGGGATTTTCCCTCGACCCACCAACGGGGTCTCGGTGAGGAGTCACCTCCTCCCAGTTTGGAGGTCTGTTTTTCTACTATGTTCAGTCGACATTGTTCTGTCTTTGTTTCTTTTTTGTTTTTCTGGGTTGTCTGGGGGACAACACTATTACAAAGCCATTCATTTCTTCTTATATTTGAGTGATAATGCCACATAAATTGAAAATAGCTTCACTGAATGTTAACGGCTTGAGTAATCCGGTCAAGAGGAGCAGGGTGCTGGCAAAAATGAGGAAAGATAAGTCCCAAGTAATATTTTTACAAGAGACACATATGACCAATTCAGAACACAAGAAACTAAGCAATTTTGGATACTCTAATACATATTATAGTTCATGTAAAAATAGCAGAAAGAGAGGGGTCGTGATAATGATATCTAATTCATTACATTTTGAGCCGATTAAAACAAAAAGGGATGATGAAGGTAGATATATATTAGTCAAAGGCAAGATGGATAATGTTTTGGTCACATTTGTGAATGTCTACGCTCCTCCAGAGTGTAATATATCGTTCTTTAAAAACTTATTTGACCTAATTGTACGTGAGAGTGAGGGGGTACTTGTTTGTTCGGGGGATTGGAACACTATTTTGAACTATCAGCTTGACACAACAAGCACGAGCAGACAGGGATCCCCCAAATCAAAATACCTAAATACTCTGATAAGAGAGACAGGCTTGATTGATGTATGGAGAAATATCCATGCAAGAGAAAGGGAATATACCCATTACTCAGCTACACACAAAGTACACTCTCGGCTGGACTTTTTTCTGATAAATACTATAGATAGACATAAGATAAATGAGTGCAAAATTGGAACAGCAGATATATCCGATCATAGTATTGTTTACCTCGATATACACCTAAACAGTAAACCAAGAAATACGCTATGGAGATTGAATGTAGGACTTTTAAACAATAAATCAACAGTGGAAGAAATCCAAAAAGAAATAGGAGAATGTATAGATGATAATAAGGATGACCATGTCGACCCGACTATTGTTTGGGACACGGTCAAAGCAGTTATGAGAGGGAAGCTCATATCAAGAACGGCCTATCTAAGGAAAATGCAGAGATCAAAATATGATCAACTAGAAAAGGAATTAGAAAAACTAGAAAAACAACTTCCTAAAAATGAAAAGAAAGATACAATAGGAGACCAGATTAAAGCTATAAGGAAACAGATAGAAAACTTAATTAAAGATGAAACAGAAAATAAAATGAGATTCATGAAGCAAACCTTCTATGAATCAGGCCCAAAGGCCACCAGAATACTGGCGAGGCGTCTTCGGACACAACAAATAACAAACTCAGTCCATAAGATAAGAGACCCTTTATCAAATACACTAAAATACGACCCAGAAGAAATTCACAGAATGTTTAAAAACTACTATGAAACTTTATATTCACAGCCTGAGAAGGCTGACGAAGAGAAAATAAAACAATTCCTGTCTTCACTTGATCTCCCCTCAATAGGCTCAGAACAAAATGGATATCTGACTGCCCCGATCTCTAAAGACGAATTGGATAAAGCCATAGGTAGACTGGCGTCTAATAAGAGTCCTGGGAGCGACGGATATCCAAATGAATGGTACAAAAAATTCAAAGAAGTCCTAGCTCCGATATTACTGGAATCATTCAATTGGACTCTTGAGAAAGCTATAGCACCACCGTCCTGGAAGGATGCTGTGATAACCGTCATTCCCAAAGAGGGGAAAAACAAGGAATACTGTGAGTCATACCGCCCAATATCGATTTTGAATGTCGATTACAAATTGTTCACATCCATAATTACTAAAAGACTGGAATGTTTTCTGCCCGACCTGATACATGAAGATCAAACAGGCTTTGTTAAGGGACGCCAAACACAGGACAATATCAGGCGCACCCTCCATATTATAGATCACGTTAACAAACATCATACATGTGCTGCCCTGATCAGCTTAGATGCCGAAAAAGCGTTTGACAGGGTCAGCTGGGATTTTTTATATAAAGTATTAGAGAAATTGGGATTTAATGATAAATTCATTAAATGCATTAAGGCATTGTATACTGACCCATCAGCTAGAGTCAAAATTAATGGACACCTGACAGACACCTTTAAGCTGCACAGAGGGACACGACAAGGTTGTTGTGCTAGCCCCGCCCTTTTCGCAATCTTCATAGAGCCACTCGCCCAAGCAATTAGACAGGAAGATGAGTTGACAGGAATCATGATAGCAAGAGATGAGCATAAAATAGGGTTATTCGCTGATGATATAATCACCTACCTTCAAAACCCAAATTCAACATTTACCAAACTAGTAAAAATAACAGAAGAATATGGATCAATGTCAGGCTACAAACTAAATATGTCTAAAACTCAGGTTTTAACTTTTAACTATAAGCCAAATAAAAAATTCAGGAAGAAATATAACTTAAATTGGAATGCTAGGTCAATTAAATACCTAGGAGTGATAATAACTCAGGAACTTGACAGAACTTATGAGACAAACTACAAGTTAATAAACAATAAAATTCAAAGAGATGTAGCAAAGTGGTCAACACTAATAATGGACTTCAGTTCAAGAATTGAGGTGGTCAAGATGAACCTCCTGCCTAGGTTGTTGTATCTTTTTCTGTCGCTCCCAGTTCGAATACCAGACACACAATTCTCAGCATGGGATAAGCTAATATCCAGATTCATTTGGGCTGGAGCCAGACCGAGGATAAGACTCAAGACCCTTCAGCTAGACAAAGAAAATGGAGGATTGGCACTGCCAGACTTAAGAGGGTATTATTATGCAGCACAGTTAAGATATGTTGTGTATTGGTGCTCTCCGAATTATCAAGCCCGATGGAAGGACATTGAGATGAGCCAAGGCCAAGCACCTCCACAGTCAAGGTTAAGTGGGAAAGAATACAGAGACCTTAAGGGAGAAAACTTGGTCGTGAGAGGAACATTAGAAATATGGTATGAGGTGGTGAAAAAATATAAATTAACAGGAGATTGTAAACTGTTGATTTGGCCCTCTTGCACCTCTAGGTTCAGACCAGGAATGTTAGATAAAACCTTTGAAAAGTGGAGAGACAAAGGAATAACAGCCACATGTACACTTATAGATAAGCAACATTTCAAATCATTTACATCGCTGAAAAATGAGTTTGGATTAGAAAATGAAGATCTATATAGATATTTCCAATTAAGACACTTTTATGAGACAGAAGTTAAGAGGGAAATTTCTGTGGAGGGGAATGATGTGATTGAAATATTAACAGGCGCGTTCAAGCAAACCCCCTTAAGAATTGTCTCAAAGCTATACAAAGGTTTGTTGAAGCAACAGGGAAGAAACACAATGTATATAAAAGAGAAATGGGAAAAGGAACTCGGCATTGAATTATCTGAGAGTGATTGGCAGACCATGCTCAAGACCCAACATACATCAACAAGTTCTAAAACATGGAGGGAGTTCGGTTGGAAAAATTTGACACGTCTATTTATTACACCAAAAATCAAAAATAAACAATTAGGTCAACAACAGCATTGTTGGAGACAATGTGGGCAACTGAATGCCAACCACTCTCATATATTTTGGTCATGTACGAAAATACAGACATTTTGGGATGAGGTCCTGAGAGTCATGGGTAAAGTTTTTGGATATAATTTACCCAAAGATCCCCGGTTTATTTATCTTGGACTGATATTAGAAGATGTAATGGGTAAAGAGGACATATACCTGTTCAAGATCCTATCTCTTGCAGCTAAGAAAGCCATCACAAGAACTTGGCTAAGAACTGATCCACCTGAACTGAGTGACTGGCTGACCATTGTAGAGGAAATCCGATCAATGGAACAAATGACTTACAGACTACGAATTAAAGCTGAGCTATATGCTGTAAGATGGACTAAATGGCACCTGTATGTAACTGAGTAGTGTTTGCCCCCCTTGTTCTTGTTCTTGTCTTGTTTTGTTTTGTACAATATCTGCGTGTATGTTTGAAAGTTTGCCTTAAAAGATAAAAATAAAGTTAAAAAAAAAAAAAAAAAAGAATTCAGAGGATAACCTAAGCTTTTACAGTTAATTAAGAGGAAAACTGGTGGTCCAACCAGATTTTACCAAAGAAATGACTTTTTAGAACTCAAAACCACCAACCTAAACAGATTTCAAATCATCATCAGTTGAAAATGTTAATGAATTCTGACCTCAGTGTTTGTAGTCTGCAGCCTGAACTCTCAAAACTGTTAGACAGCAGATTCACTCCTGAATCCCCCAGGTTGTTGTTGCTCAGGTCCAACTCTGTTAGACGACAGGACTTGGAGCGGAGAACGGAGGACAGAGTTTCACAGCTTTGTCCTGACAGGCCACAGCAACTCAGCCTAAAATGGATTCATGAGAAGACATAGTCAAATAAATAAGACGCAGGTCAAACAACAGGACAGACGGTCACCTTTTCAAATCAATTTGACCTAACCTCAGAGTTTCCAGTCTGCAGTGAGGATTCTCCAGTCCAGCAGAAAGCTGCTTCACTCCTGAATCCTGCAGGTTGTTGTTACTCAGGTCCAGCCCTCTCAAATGACAGAACTTGGAGCTGAGTACTGAGGACAGAGCTTTGCAGCTTCTTTCTGTGAGGTTACAACCACTCAGCCTGGAGAGACAATAGAGTGAAAATTATTTCTCCTGTTGAAAGGTAACAGAGTATTTATTGATGACTAAACTTACAGAGCTTCCTGTGATGCTTTGACCACGGGCATCAGCCTCTGAAGAACATCCTCTGAAGCAGAGTATTTGTTCAGGTCAAACACGTCCAGTTCACTTTGTGATGACAGTAAGATGAAGCCCAGAGCGGACCACTGAGCAGGAGACAGATTATGAGCAGGGAGCTTTCCTGAACTCAGGGACTGTTGGATCTCCTCCACCAGAGAACTATCTCTCATTTCATTCAGACAGTGGAACAGATTGATACTTTTTTCTCCAGGAGGACCCTCCTCGATCTTCTTCTTGATGTACTGGACTGTTTCCTGATGGGTCTGTGAGCTTCCTCCTGTTGGTGTCAGAAGACCTTGCAAGAGACTCTGACTGGTCTGCAATGACAGGCCCAGGAGGAAGCGGAGGAACAAATCCAGGTGTCCATTTGGACTCTGTAAGGACTTGTCCACGGCACTCTGGTATAAGTGTGTCATGGAGGTGCTGCGCAGTCTTGCTTCACACTCCTGGGAGGTCAACATTTCTTCTGACAGTAAATTCACACCAGAGTTGATGAATGTGAGATGGACATGAAGAGCAGCCAGGAACTCCTGCATGGTCAGATGGATGAAGCAGAAAACTCTGTCCTGGTAGAGTCCTGTCTCCTCTCTGAAGATCTGTGTGAAGACTCCTGAGTACACTGAAGCTGCCCTGATGTCAATCCCACACTCTGTCAGGTCTGATTCATAGAAGACCAGGTTTCCTTTCTGCAGCTGCTCAAAAGCCAGTTTTCCCAGAGACATGATCATCTCCTTGTTCTCCAAGTTCCAGTGTGACTCTGTCTCAGCTACTCCATTATACTTCAAGTTCTTTCGTTTGAATTGAACCACCAGGAAGTGGATGTACATCTCAGTCAGGGTTTTGGGCAGAAGTCGGGCCCCTTCTTTGGTCTTTAAAACATCCTCCAGGACTGTGGCAGTGATCCAGCAGAAGACTGGGATGTGGCACATGATGTAGAGTGTCCGTGATGTCTTGACATGAGAGATGACAGTGCAGGCCTGCTCCTCATCCCTGAATCTCTTCCTGAAGTACTCTTCCTTCTGTGGGTTAGTGAAGCCTCTGACCTCTGTGTCCATGTCAACACACCCTGATGGGATCAGACTGGCTGCTGCAGGTCGGGTGGTTATCCAGAGGCGGGCAGAAGGAAGGAGGTTTCCTCTGATCAGGTTTACCAGCAGCACATTCACAGAGGTGCGCTTTGAAACACTGGTCAGGATTTTTGTTTTGTGGAAATCCAGAGGAAGCCGACACTCATCAAGACCATCAAAGATGAAGAGAACAGAGAAGTCCTCAAACCTGCAGATTCCTGCTTCCTTGGTTTCAACAAAGAAATGGTGAACAAGCTCCACCAAGCTGAACTTTTTGTCCTTCAGGACATTCAGCTCCCTGAAGGTGAATGGAAATGTGAGCTCTATGTCCTGGTTGGTTTTGTCTTCAGCCCAGTCCTGAGTGAACTTCTGAGTTAAGACAGTTTTCCCAATGCCAGTCACTCCCTTTGTCATCACTGTTCTGACTGGTTCTTGTCTTCCAGGTGGTTTGAATAATTCCTCTTGTTTGATCGGTATTTCTGACCTCTGGGTTGTCATGGCTGCTGCTTCAATCTGTCTCACCTCATGTTCATCATTCACTGCTCCAGTCCCTCCCTCAGTGATGTTGAGCTCTGTGTAGATCTGATTCAGCAGGGTGGGGTTTCCTGCTCTAGCTATTCCCTCAAACACAGACTGGAACTTCCTCTTCAGGTTATCTTTCAGTTTCTGTTTGCCAACTGAAGTGGGAGTTCCTGAAAAAAAGACCAAGAATTTATCCATACAGAATCCCTTAAGTTATTAGTGAAAGTCTCATTTACACAGCATGTGAAATCTTTTCAAAAATCCTCTTACTTCTCTGCAGCTGGTCAGCCAGCACAACCTCATTGCTCCGCCTCAGGAAGTCAACAGCGATGTTTCAAACTGCCTCACTGCTTGGCTCTTCAACCTCACTATTCCTCTTACTCGCCAAGATTTCTGGGTAACAAAGATCTTCCTCAAACTCCTGCAGCTTGTCATTCACAAAGGCAATGATGTTCATCCGAAGAGGCTGCCCAAAAAAAAGGTACATGAATAACATAAAAGTCAGTGTCAGCCCCAAATACAGGATAAATAGGGAATTCACTGCTCTCAAAGAGCATCATGGACATAGTTTTGAAAAGAACAAATGTACATGTACAGACCTGAAATACTTGGTTGATCTGCTTGCTGGAGACCTCTGAGTTGTCCTGGTTAGCTCTGTAGAGGAATTTTGAAAAATCCATTAAAATAATCTTAGTCTGATGCACAGGTAAAAACAAGGTTTGAGGCCTCCACAAAATTATTCTGGTTTAGAAACTAATAAGTCTTGAAGAAACCAAATGGACTTAACATTTAGAAAGACAGAAGATTTAAAAACAAAGTAAAAATGAAACATATTTTTCCAATGATTTCTGTATTTTTTTTTTTTAAAGGAACACTTTATATTAAGGATAATATGGTGGTATATCTGGTTAGGTGAATGTGTGTATCTATCTATCTATTTATGTCTCTATATATTTATGTATATGTTTTTACATATATGCATATAAACCTGCAGCCAGGCTCAATTAAACAAACAATTAAAACAAGTAATGCTATGTTTAACCACAAGAATAGCTTACCTCTGTGCAGCAAAAGGTTGTTGTCTTTTGAAGTCAACTAAGCGGTCAGTTGACATGTCACTCTTCAATGATAAAAAAGTTGGTATGCTCCTGAAAGCTATTCCAGGTCCTGCAAGACAAGGAGAGACAAAAGAGAGGAAATTTCACCCTTCAGTCCTAGACTACAGAGGATGTTGATTAATGCATCACCTGTCAACAAGACAGGAGTACTCATCAAAATTCAACTAAGTTTTAGACAGTTTACCTCCTGGTATGGGCAGCTGTTGTTGCTGAAAATCAATCAGGCGGTCAGTTGACATGTTACTCTTCAATGACAAACAGCTGGGCTCGGGAGAAACTATTTTACGTCCTGGTTGTTTCAGACGTCTTTTGCTACATAAAGAGAGGACAAAATTAATCATCTGTTACAGCAGAAAGAGCATCACAACAAAGCCACGTAGTTTGAAACAGTACTGTTTAAACATAATTCGGTGTCATATGACTGTTAAAAGTTACTTACGCCCCCAAAAAAGGGACTCATCTTCTTTAAAGTCAATAAAGCAATTAATACATTTTGGAAAATCTGTTAAAAATAATGTCCAAACGGACAAAACGCAATGCAAATGTCCTGTAAAACAATGAATACAGTGATTGAAAGACAGGAGTTACTGCTGGTTGGCCTTCCTGAACTCTGGGTCTCCCTTTATCACAGTGGCTCTCAACCCCAAGCCTGGTTACAATCAAGGACACCATTATTCAATAAGTGAACCAGATTTATACTGGTTGACTCTACACGGGCATGTACGGTGCCACTGTAAGAACTACATACTTCTGTGCCACCATGTCTGTGTCACTTTGCAGTACTTCACCTAAGTGCTGCTTGATAATGCAACATAAATATCCATCATGTCAGCAGTTTCCATGGTGACTGAATCCAAATGTAATATGTTTAACTTGGAGCTGACACATGTCGTGCAGCTGGTGCAATTATTACAAGATAAACACTGAAGGACATGCTCTGTGGCTGCAAAGGCAGAGGAAGGCCGAGGGCAGTGATATTGGAAATGTCCAATTCCAAGGGAAACAATCCAAGGGCTTGCAGTTAGCCTTTTTTCAACGATGTGTACAATAGACTGTGTGTGAAGACTGTGTGTGAAGGGTACAGAGCTACCTGGATGTACGTGAGCTGTGGTTTCAGTCTAATGCACAGGTAAAAACAAGGTTTGAGGCCTCCCACAAGTATTCTGGTTTAGAAATTAAGGGGTCCTGAAGAAACCAAGTGGACTTTACATGTACATTTAAATACAAAGTTAAAATACAATATTTTTTCACAATGATTTTTGTATTTTTTTCCGATGGAACACTGTGTATAAAGGACAATATGGTGGTAAATCTAGTCAGGTGAATGTGTGTATCTATTGATCTATGTCTCTATATAATTTTATATATGTTTTTACATATATGTGCATAAATTTGCAGCCAGGCTCAATTAAACAAACGACTAAAACAAGTAATGTTCAACCACAAGAATAGCTTACCTCCGTGCAGACAAAGGGTGTTGTCCTTTAAAGTCAATTAAGCGGTCAGTTGACATGTCACTCTTCAATGACAAACAGCTGAGTTCTGCATCAAATTGTCTTTTCGAGAAACCTTCTACAGGTAGTGCAAGACAAGGAGAGACAAAAGAAAGGAAATTTCACCCTTTAGTCCCAGGCTACAGAGGATGTTGATGACAAATTACCTGTCAACAAGACAGGAGTACTCAACAAAATTTTATTCACTCTTACATGTTTAAGACAGTTTACCTCTTTCCCTGAGCAGCCGTTGTTGTCGCTTAAAATCAATCAGGCGGTCAGTTGACATGTCACTCTTCAATGACAAACAGCTGGGCTCAGGAGAAACTACTTTACATCTTGGAGTTTTCCGAAGACTTTCGCAACACAAAGAGAGGACAAAGTTAATCATCTGTTACAGCAGAAAAAGCAACACAACAAAGCCAAGTAGTTTGAAACAGTACTGTTTAAATATAACTCAGTGTCCTGACTGTTAAAAGTTACTTACAGCCTAAAAAAAGACTTATCTTCTTCATCTTCAGATCCAGATCCAGATCCAGATTCAGATTCTGCCAACCTTGGTGCATGTGGCTGCTTTGAGCTTTAACAAAACACAGAGCTTTAGGTGAGAGTGTTATTCCGGTGGTGGCAGTTCAGTTCTAGTCCATGATACTACAAGTAATACACACTTGGTGAGACACAATTTGAGAAATTTGTATCTACCAGGAGTATACCACCAGAAATCCTACCAGAAAGACAACTATGAGAGGCATGGCAGTAGGATTAATGCTAACTGCTGCTTTCTTAAAACTCTGCTTCTTCATTCAAAAAGGCCAAGTTTGTCCAAATATGAATTCTCACACACCCTCAGAGACATTTCTGTTCTATTCAGGCTCTCTATCCAGCTCTGGGTTATTTTTTCTCTACCTTGCACACACTTTCTGGGGAGACCAGGGTTAGCTATCTCAGAAAAAACACTGGAGTAAAATGGCACTTTGTGATTTTTATGAGGTCTACTTTTTTTTAGAAAAATTATTTTCTATTGACGCTTTCAGGAGATTAGTCTTTAAAATCTTTGCTGAGAAAGTCAGCCAGGGCTGATTGTCACACACCTGCTCATGTGAAGCTACTTGTTGAGAAAATTTGAACATTATAATTAGGCTACTATCAGGGTCATCCCTGTAACCCCAAAACTTCTTGTAATTGTCTTTTTTTTAATTTCTCTTTTTTTTTTGGTGCAGAAAGAAAGTTGGTACAGCAAACACCTGCCACAGTCTCTTCTGTCTCAAAAGTTTTTCTGATAAAATGCAAACATAAATTCTTTATCCCCACATCTCTCACACACACTGACAAATTTAGACTTTTATACTGCAATCTTTACTATTTTGTAACAGTAAACAAATTCCTTTCAAGGTGATAATTCAAACACAGAAAAGTGTTATGGAGTTGTTACTTTTCTTAGAAACTAATTTGGTGACAAGCTCTAAAAGCTAGAACTGAATTACATTGAAAACTACACTAACAACAACCATGTACACAGTGGCACCTAAACCCCTGATGGAGGGGGTTGTCACTTTGTTGTTGAGGTGTCTTTGAGGGTTAATAGTTAATCAATTAAGCTGCAAAGATAAGACAAAATGACTTTCTGTAAGACATATCAGGAGTAATTCACTCACGAGTACAGAATGTCACAACCAACCCCGGTCTCCCCTATTGCACAGTTCTGTTAATACACTCAATCCCACTTTTTCGTATTTCTTAACAGACAAACTTGCACATTCGGTGTTGATTAAAATGTGTTAAATCTCTTTGGATGTGGGAAAGTTGTGTTATTCCCTTACATTCACGTTCATTACGTGTCTCATCTAATAAAGTTACAGACTCCTACTTTAATGCATTTATCCTGTAAAGTGGTCTGAAAATCGATGGGTACTCATAATACAGCAGTTACAGCCCGTACGGCACGGTTTTACCACTGTGGAGCACAGACTCGATGAAAACAAACGAAACCTTTGTAAAAACGTACTTGTTGTTTTGGGACATGGTTGCTAACCGTTAGCGTTAGCTAGGCCTCTCCCCGTTCACGCGGACCGTAGCGAACTTCGACGACCTACTTACAAACTGTGAGTAAAACGTAAACACGAACACAAAAACACACAATCCACTCGTTATCGAGACAAAAAGTCGATTTTCGGCATTTCATGGTGACGCAGATATATCCTTCCACAGCTAAGATGGGGACGACGAAACCGAAAGTAAAAAGTCAGGAGGGCGTACACAGACTTCTAGACTCGATACCCCGCTCTGTAATGTACACTGCAAGACCTCGACGTTATCAAGAAGAAGAATACGCAGCAGCTTAACTAATTAAAGCGAATTTTCTAGTTAAAGTCAGCGAGTCTACATCAATAATGTTCTGACGGGGTGGTGACAGGACAAAAATACTCTCACATCATTACTACATTCAAACTAACTACTCTAGGGGAGAGTGGGGTAAGTTGAGCCACCCCCTGTTCCTTGGAAGTGGTAAAATAAATTGATCAGGTGGCCAAATATTTAGGAGATGGGCATCAATTCATGGAGTCTGTGAAGGTTAGAAGCACATGGGTGAAGGGGTTAGACATTTATTAAAAAAAAAAAAAAAACATTTTTCACTCTTGAAAGTGAATTTAGTCTGTCATAAGTTCTATTAGAATTGTGTTCAGACCAAAACAGATCATTTTTAATTTGTTTTATACATCAATTGTGGTATCTATGAGCTACAACATGAGGTCAAAAACCTAGCATAGAAGTCCACCATTTTAGCTTAGAGGACTAATAAAGTCACAATAGTAGTTCTGGGGTAAGTTAAGCCAGTGGTTCAACTGAGAAAGTAAAGAAGTCTGATGAGAGGATCAGAGTTTCAGTTCAGATTGTTGAAATGTTTTACTTTTTCTTTTCAAAATTACAGCTGTGAATGTTCTGAATCACTTAAAGGCATTCTCATGTTAAAATGGATTTTTACAAATCAGCTTTTTAGCACTTATATGCAATAATAATAATAAAAAGAATTATTGTACCAGTTGAATAGCGTCTAATAGATAAAAATACACATGAATGTCAAGAAGTGACTGTTATTTAGGGAGAGAAAAGGTGAGGAAGGGCTAGGGTGGACAGTGAGGGCATGGTAGGGATACGGCTCAACTTACCCTGCTCCTATGGTCAACTTACCCCATGCTATCTTATCAAGACAGTTATGTTTACACTCATACTGTTGGTTTGCAGGGATGCATAACATCTTGAAATATATACAGATACACTAGTTCGAGACCAAACTATGATTGCTTTAATGCAGTGACCGAAATATAAAAAATGGCTCATACCCCACTCTCCCCTACACCACATATGAAAATAATATTGTTAAAACTATAGTGGTGTAAACATTGCTTGTACCACTCTTGATTAGTTCAAATGCAATAAAGTAAGAACCAAGCCTATTTTTTTCCGATTTCTATACGTTTCAAATCCTCATTAGAACTTACTGATACACAAAGTTATGCTTGCTAAACTATGTACATTCAACTACATTATTTCTTCCATGTCTGATTTATCAGTCTCTGGATAGACCACCCTATCCCTTCAAACTCAGGGTAAAAAGTTTGAGTGACAGCTAGAAATCCCAGTACCAAGGTTGATATGAATTGATTGTAAATAGACAGAGAAAGGACGCAGCGTTAGGATATGACAATATCAAAATGAGTTATTATTGCTACTCAGTAAAACATAGCAGTCAGCCATTGCAGAAAGAGGAGTCATTGTATTGGTATGTGAGACATGTTCCTGCACCACCACCTAGTGTACAGATAAAATAACTTCATCTGGAAAAGCAGCTGAGAAATCAAATGCACTCTGTTCTGATGAGAAGCAGCCGATTATTTGATACTGTATGAAGGTACTGAGGCTTATTTCCATCATCATCATCATCATCATCATCATCATCACAAATTGCATCGTACCAAACTGTAAGGAAAAAAGGAAAAAAGGTATCTAGTACAGCAGCTTGTATCTTCAATAATATCCTTAAAAATTTGATAACTCTTTGTAAACATTTAAAAGTAAAACTAGAAGAGCACAAAAGCACACACTAAGAAATAATGTCACTCAAAATAAGCTTCTTTCAAACAACAGTAGCAAGAGAGATGCCTAACTACCTAATACTAAACCAAATACAAACACTATTAACCAAAAGTACAATCGTTAAAATGGGTAAACTCTAACACCTCCAGGAAAATCACTCCCTTTCCACTGAATGTAAGCCTGTCATGGCATCTAATATGTGAAAGTTCCAACAACTTTAAAGTAAAAAGCCCAATGATGACACCCAGAAGGCTTTGTCCTACACTTATATGGATTTTAATTAAACCAAGTGGTATTAAACCATTAGGAATGCCTAATGGCATGATGCTGTCTTGATGTTCAAGCTTTACATGTAGGCTGAACTTAAAGACTGTACAAGCTGGAGAAATTCAGTAAAGCAGCTGTCACACACTATCAGCCTGTGTTAAAGTGCGGTCACCTGAAAATACTGCTAAAAATACTGTATATCATAAGGAAAAATAAAAAGCTTCTCCTGGTGTCTGATTAGAATCAGCAGTGGTATTCAGATGGACTAGCACAACACAACACACTAATACAAGATTCAAATGAATTCCATAAATATTAACCTTTATATAAAAGCAGAGCTTGAAGAGCTTACCATTAAGAATATGAAAAGCTTAATTGTCCGCTAGGTGGCACTAGAGTATAGGTGGTCCAGTCAGACCAACAGATATGCAAATCCTTAACACCAAAAATAACTCATTCTCATTTCAGTATACCACAGTTAAACCACAGTAAACCGCAGCACACATTACATAGTGTTTAAACTGAAACTAAATGATGACAGAGTACAAGTTTGGTTAAGAAAGAGAGAAACTCAGGAGGATTAGTGGGAGGAGATTAATGACACATGCTAAGATGTTGCTGGTGTAAAATTCATGTCACATTATTTTCTTGAGTGACTTTGTGATTTTTTTTTTTTTAGAGGAATATAGTCCAGAATGAACTGATATTACCGACCATCAGACCTGCTTTACTGACTCCAAAATATTAGTAATATGCAGTAAGGAAACACATTTTGTCAAGAAAATACCTGTAGGGTCAAATTAAGGTATATTTTTTCAATACCGTTGGCACTGTGGTTTGGAAAGCTACAAAGCCATTGTCTTATCCTGTAGTTGAGTCAGTAACTCACTCATGATGTGATTTTTCCAATTATTTAAAATCATGGATTTGTTCAGTAAGGGATAATGTAAAATAAACGGGCAGTAAATACAAATTAGAATCAAGACAGGGTGAGTAGGACCCCGATGCAGATCGAAGGAGTCTTGTGTCCCCTTTCGTAGCGACCACCAAATTTAGAGATGCTCTCACTATCACTACTGCCATTGCCTGGATTACGGGACAAGATTTTTTACACTTTTCCATATCAGAGATGGTTTGGGCCCGGTAGATCCTCAGGCTCCTAAATAACATATTTACAGCCTTAGACAAAAGCTAAGCAGCAAGATGCATCAGTCAGCATTGGATCGATCAAGGGAGACAGGGAGTCAGACACCAAAACAACATGAATATATTTCCAAAATAAAACAGTCAGTGCTGGCACAAGACTTTACTGATCTCCATCAACAGACCATCATTAGTCATTTATGTTTCACAAACCAGTCTTACAATAACTACATGTCAACATCCCAACCAAGAGGGAGAAATTTTTATATTCTGTGGAGGAGGTGGGGTTTATGACCTAAACTGCAACCAGTCACCAGGGGGTGCTGTTCTCGAGGAAGCTTCACCCAGCGAGGAGGCGGATGACGTCCATTCTATATACAGTCTATGATTCAGGCTGATAGGTAATGTGTCAACCGTGGAAAGACCATAGAATGTAGTAACAAGCTAAAAGGGAGCACGGCACCACCTACAGTCACAGGGGTGGACATGCATCTGTCAATAAATTGATTCTTGCCCAGTGCTTGTAAAATGGGCGGTATCATGGAGGTAACAAAGTCTGTATTTAATGCAGGAAATCTGCAGCTGGAAATGTAGCTGGTTGGCGATGACGGCCTAGGGTGCATGGAGTCAAACTGGATCAAAGTGAAGACGGTTCAAACACAGATCTGGTATATTTCCAACATTAGACACTAACGATACAAATTTCCACCTCTTCATGTTTTCAAACTTATTTAGATTTAAAAATGGGTTGACTTACTTTTTTAAATCTTCAGGTTTTTTTTTATTTTACCTGTTTAATGTAAATTTATAACTCATTAAACTTTGACCATGTTTTTTCACAAACCACAGAACAAGAGCTTGACCTGAAGAGTGTTTTCGTTCAAAGCGAAAAGTTGTGTTAGTTAAGTAATCTAATGTCTAAGATGCTTTCCACCGCCGACAGCGACAGTGTGACAAACACTGCTGCATGGAAAATTAAGCGGCAGTGTGGTGGTGTGGTCAGAGTGAGGTGTGAATCCACAGGAGGTTGTTTTTGCTGGTCTAGCTATGAGTTTCAGAGCATGTAACCACTGCGTAATAAGGCCCTTTCTCACACAGAGAAACACACGTTATAACCCCACTACTTTTTATTTGCCAAGAGCAGCTTGAAGAAGTATAAACATTTACTTTACTGAGTCCATTATCTCTAGTGCAGTAGTCAGGGGGATGTGCTTCTCTCTTTGCAAAGAAGAGAAAGTATGACTCAGTCTGTGATACCACCTATACTGTATGTAACTAATGCTGAAACTGTCTATTTTATGCTCACTGTAATAATTGTTTTTATTATACAGAGCCCACCAATATAAAAAAGTTAACCCTTTAAGCCTATTATGTCTGAATTATCTTTAAACGCTTGATATCTTCAATACTCTTTTAACATCAACATAAAGGTTTTTTGAGTCATTAAACTCACCGAAAAAAGGGGCCCTCCTGCTTTTATAAATTTAATACTCAGTCTACTTGAGATGTCCGTCATGAACAAAAGATGTAAATTAAAACCAAACATCTGGTTTGATTGGCTTGAAGATTGGGTTTCACAGTGGCTACTGAGGAAGTAGGCTTGTTTTTAGCTAGTTGGTGGTTTTTTATCTGCTAAACCGCACTCAAGACAAAATGTCTGCAAAACCGACGATAAAGCTAATATCACTGTGTCCTATCACATCTGTTTACAATTTGCTGTCTCAATCATGGACGTAGCCACAATTGCTGTGACATCATTATGGTGGTAGTCAAGGAGGTAGTCTGTTCAGAGGAGGCCCTCAGGGGGGTTAAAGGTTTAACTTGTATGTTTGCACAAAATGTACCACTGTGTTCAGCAATGTGAAGTTTTCATGCAGATGTGCAGCTCTTTCCAGTGGCATCTATTATCAACATCCAACCGTCCTATCCGCCTTGGCTGGTCAGTTTTTGTGTCAAATAGAAGACACTTTTCAATCAAATCAGCACCCCCAAAGTTTTCTTTAAATGTGTGATTTTGACCTATTAAGGAAGACAGCAGATAAAAGGTGAGGCTGCTAGACAAGCCCACCACTGAGTGACTGGTTTCACTTTGTATCCAGCGTGCTTTGTGCACGTAAGTTGTTGCTCGCCTCTTCGATCACCATCTATTGAAAAACCACAACAAAGTAAAATACCTCTCAATGCTTTTTACACAAATGCATTGAGCATACTGGTGCAAAAAAGTATTAAAGTGCATCACATGCACCAAATTTTACAGCAAACCTTAAATGTGACAATGCATATCATGATTATGTTTTTGATCCTAACCTTGATTAAAAGGATTGACTAAATGCAAAGTGAGGTCATGAAACATATCCGTGATCTTGTGTTTACATGAAAGTGATTTAGCTCTCAAATGTTGACTTAAAAAAGTGCTCATCCAGGAAACAAGCACTCAAAATTCACAGGTAAACAGATTTTGCTATATTTAGCTTGCTCAGGTGGATGTACCGTAGCTTCATATCCTGTTGATGCCCAGTTTCTTGCACACTTTCAGTAAACATGCTTGGTAGTCTGGTAAAAGCAGAGAAATGGCAAGCCACAGCCTGCAGCTCACGACTCAGCTGCTGCATGTGGGTTTGCTCGTTGTTTCACAAGCATTGATGTGCAAATACCACAGAGCTGTGAAAACACTGATGCATAGTTAATCTAGACCAACTTTTTTTTAAGCTGTCACAAATGGAACCTTTAGTGAAACATTTGTTATCAACTTTGGAGGCTTTAGTCCTCTCTATTCAGAAATAAGTATGAAACACGGATTCATCATTAATGAACAGGTGATGAGCATATAGGCGTGTATGAAAAATGTCAGCCAGATCTTCTAAAAATACAAACTAAAATGGGTGACTTTAGCTGCACTCTATTTTTGTAACATGTAACAAGTAGTCGGTGTCTCACCTATCTCATATTTCTTGAGATAAAAACATGACATGCCGGCTCTGAAGTGGTTAGGCCTAGGACAGATGTGTACAAAGTAAACTTTTATCATCGAAGCACAACGTTAGCTGCCTGACGTGCTTTGAGGTGTGAAACATCGCTGTTTGTTCTTTCAAGCTTCCTGTTCTTAAAGGGATAGTTCAGTTTGTTTTTGAAGTTTGTTAAGTAAGTGTATGAGTCATAAGGGCCCCTTTTTTGACAAACAGATGTGTCGTGTCTGAAAAAAGCGCAAAAGAAATGTACAATGGTGAGAAATTTCCAAATAGAGTATACACCTAAACTGAGAACGGTGCTTTGGTTGGAGTTTGTTAAGGGCTAGAGCTGACCTGTCTGTAGTGGTTGAGCCCTTTCCTGTATGTGCAGACACAGCCGACCTCTTTAAGCACGAGTGAAACTTGTGTCCTTGTACTTTTTTTTCTTTGTGAGGTCAATATTTCAATTCACAGTTAGGAATAGTGAGGGAAATTGAATAAAGTAGCTCCACACAAGGTAGACAGTGTCCGAATTCTCACCATCATGACATTGGTTCTCAATATCATTTCCACAAAATTTAATAGTTAGTAAACTCAGTTTTAGAGGTTTTTTTTTAATGACTGCATAACTTAACTATGTTTAATATGCACTGTATGTTAGATGCATACTTCAAAATTGCTCTATTGGTGCAAGGAAAGAGGGACTCGCAAACCTTGACATAGTTGTAGATGTAAGGCACGTGCTCTTCAACACTGCACATGCAACTATGTCATAGGAACCTCAGTGAGAGGGATCTGTTGAAGTATGGAGATAAATCACCTTCTTCAACATCTGGTGTTCTCTTTCATCATATGCGTGCTGCTTACGGTAATTTCTCCTCAAAATGTCTCACTGTGTTCATAAATGGGCTGGCCACCCCTTGTGGGAATTTTGCATGGCGAGCCTGCACTCATGCAGCCCATTACAACAATTTTGTGAAGTTTTGGGGTTTTTTTTGCATCAAGTAATGCAGCCTGAGAGAAAAAAAGACACATTTTCCCATCAGTAACCCTTTGTTGCATATTGCTTTAACTTAAATGCAGCACTGGTCTGCAGCAGAAAGCCTCTTTTATGACACCTTGTGTCTTCTGGGTACATTTTTGTCCTCCAATACTTTTCACACCTTTCAAAAGCTGACAAACATGTGGCCTCTTTTTAAAAAGAAAATGACTGCCTTTAAAGGTCACAAACCCGTTAGGTATGAAACCCACCTGGTATTCTGCTGATGATGTTTGATGTGTGCGTAGGTCACAGGATGGTGTCAGACATCTACATCCTGGACCAAGTGGTAACTGTTGATTTGCCTCTCTGAAAAGAACGGTATAACAGTTTCACATCACTTTCTTATTCCTAAAAGCTTCTTGATCACTTTGGTATCATCATCTTATTCACAGAGCAGAAGAGACTGCCATTAGTCGAGCTTGAAGAGGTAAGAAATAAATTTAACACCACTCTAAACCACTACCTTATTGAAGTACAGCAAGGGCGTTTAGTAATGGTGCACTTCAGGGCTTTTACACCTTTAATCAGAGGGGATAGGACATTGGATGAAACCAGGACTTGGATTCAAACCCTAGCAATGTGCTTGAGGACTACTGCACTGATAAATCTGAGATCTATATAAGTTCTATTATTGGCAATTTCTATGGCAATTCACAGGCTCTAAAATAGTTCTTGCAGTACCAGTACGCTGAGCTCCTGGATGGTCGCTAAAAGGCTAAGTACTTTTGGTGATATTTTAGCTACGTTTAACACAAATTGCACTCCACTTTTGACTTGTCAGCTGAGACATTTAGGAGGTTTTTAAAGTGAAACGCCCCATTTCAGAAGTGCAGTGGTGGTATTACTTAAGCAGCAGGAAGCAGGAAGACACACTGAACTACTCTGTGGTTAAAGGGTCAAAATAACATGCTTTAAAGAAACACAAAGGAAACAAACGCCAACATTATATACTCAACTCTTAAAGCTTCATCATCTCGCATTTAATGCTGAAAACAAGATTTACCTGACAGAAATCTGACACTTGAAGACTCAGATGCAGACATGACATGATGGGGGACTCATAAAGAGCTTTGCGTCAATTCAAGGGTAGCCTCCACTAAAGCACCAAGCCTTTGCTTTTAAATGTCCAGACTATTTAAACTCAGCTTTAGTAAGACAGGCCTAAGGAGTCACCACCAATCACCTGCTTTCCCTGTTGATGCCCCTCTTGTCATGATTCCCATCCCCTGTTGCTCGGAGAAGCCTCAAATGCTGCTCCAGATCCAGCCAACGTGACGTCTAGTTATTTATTTATTGACAAAGTGCTTTACATAGACAAGATATACAGGAGCTGCAGGTAAGAGCAACAGTGTGAAACACATTCCCAGATTATAATAATACATTTTATTTAAAAGCGCCTTTCTGGACACCCAAGGACACTGTACAGGGCATTAAAAACACAATTAAAACATTGTTAAAATAAATAAAAACAACATACAGGTATGAAGATGGACAGTTAAAGAGAATATGCAATTTGGAACAGATGTGTTTTGAGTTTTGATTTGAAGTGGGGTAGTGAGTCCATGTTTCTGAGATCCGGGGGGAGATTATCTTATAATTAATGCTTAAAGCTCCCGTGAGCAACTTTTGGTTTGTGTCATTTCATGGTACCTTATGCTTAATAAATGTGTCACCAGCTGTTGCATTAAGTTCGAACCAACAACAGACATCTAAAAGTGTAGTTTCTTAAGATTATTGCTTCAGAGTTTGCCATCTTATTTAACTTGGTGTTTAATGAGTTACAGGCTACCTAGTTTGGGAAAGATGGACATCTTCTTCGAGCCTTCGAATATTCAACACTACGTCTCATCATGAGACTGAATTTAACAAACTTTTGATCTGTCCTTGATTTCATATTTATCAGTGTGCCTGTTTTTACTGCCTTTTAAGATTTTTTTTATAGATATATACCATTATTTTATGCAGGTTATAGCCCAAGGCAAGTGTAAGTGAAATAAAATGTCTTCAACTTTTTTTCATTTTCCCAGTTTTACTTCAGACTCAGTCTGAATCATACAGTCCTTTCTGAGCTTTTTAAAGCATCACAGATTTTATATTGGTTTCATTTTGTCTCTGTGTATAACTGGACATAAATTGCCATAATGTCTTTATTATGACTTTAGATTATTGCTCTGAAAAAAAAAAAAACCCTGACAGCTTTATGTCTTTAACACACTGTGTTTTCATCACACGCTCACTAGAAATGGGTCATTACACAGGAAGTGCATGGATGTTTCAGCCAATCAGTATGATCCGCTCTTTGAAAACCTTGATCACACCGTGACTTAATCTTCCATCTGAGTGGGAGACTTCAGTTGTGCAAGAAGGGGCTTCTGTACCACAATGAACTGGAGGCTGGCTGCTTTGATTCTTCTCGGTACAGCGTGTAAGTTCAACTTGTGTAAACTTCTTTATTTTAGTTTAAACACAGAAAGACCATTAATGTGCCAGATTTTGTGTTATTATTCTCCTGTAACTGTCATGTGTGGTCTCTTTGTTTTAAGGTCAAACCATGCCTCACCAGATCTCTATGACTGTGGTTCAGCCTGGTGGTGATTTTTCTCTGTCATGTTCTGTTGGTATGAATAAAGCCGGGCTGTTTTATTGGTACAAGCTCAAGTTTGGATATTCAGTCCAAAAAGTTGCTGGAGGAAGTTTTCAAACCCTAAAACTTGAAGAACAATTTGAAAACTCTCGAGTTGAAGTCTCACAGAAGGATACTGTGTATTTCCTCAACATCAGAAATGTAAGTAAAGAAGACGAAGCTACATACTTTTGCCAGGCTGGAACAGCATATGAAATGATCGCTCTTAATGGGAGTCTGTTAGCTGTGAATGGTAATGTATGCTTTTTTCCCATTTTTCATTTTTTGGCATTGATACCCCTAAAACCACGGACTAACACCTGCTTTATTGTTAATTCCACAGATCATCAGAATCATCAGAAATCAGTCTACGTGAAACAAAGACCAGAGACTCAGTCTGTCCAGGCGGGAGACTCAGTGAGTCTTCAGTGTTCACTTCTCTTCAAGTACAAAGAAACCAGAGTGCAGTGTCCACATGAACACAATGTATACTGGTTCAGAGCTGGATCAGGAGAATCTCCTCTTGGGGTTGTTTACACTCACAAAAGCAGGAGCTTTAAAGAAGAGGAGAGGGGTTGTGTCTACAGTCTGTCTAAAACCATCCAGAACTCCTCTGATGCTGGGACTTACTACTGCGCCGTGGTCACATGTGGAGAAATCCTGTTTGGAGAAGGAACTACTGTGCAGACAAGTATGTTTCATATTCTCATATAAGCCATAATTACGCAGTGTTAGTTTCAGTTTTCATTTAGGGTACAGTATTGATTTTTGGGCTTTTTCCCAATAAATACAGATTTTTTAAAATCTCTTCAGGCCTGTAGATGTTCTCAAAGTGTCCACAGTTGTAAAAACTATGTTGCTTTTGACACAGTGGACAGTGAGCTTACTTCACATTTCAAAGTGCCACAAGCCATAAAGGTCAGGAGCTGCTGTCTATATCTATAAAGACAATAGATCAGTGTTTTGAAATGGAAACACTCACAGTACTTATAACTTGTGAGTACAGTACTTTAGGAGTGAGCTTCGGCTTCCTTCTCTGCCTTTCCTCCCTATAATTTTGTCTCTGAACTTCTATGTGTGTGATTTCCATCCATTTACTGCACCACTCTTTGTCCCTTTAAGGCCTGACCCTTTCTACTTATCCATTATTTAGTAGTCTATGTGATATGTGTTTATTTTCAAGTTTTGTGGATTGGCCATCAAAAATTAGGCTGTGCGGGAACAAGGACTGTTGCAATATACCGGATTTGACGGTAACCATCTAAAGAAAAACGTAGCTGCAAATAAAAAATAGCTATGTTATTTAACTTTCTGAGGAACAAAAATGAGCTATGTTGCTTGAAATGAAAAAAGATATTTAAAGTTGAGAAAAAGAAAAAAAACCCAACATCATCTACATAAAATGACAACAAAACAAGAAGTCGACTTTACTACAGCCACCACCTCAGCGGTGCTCTGGGCCACATCATTTTCGCCGGCACTTCCTTGCATGCATCACAGATGGTTTTGCAGATATTTACTTTAAACAAAGTCTGGGATCAAATAAATGTATAAATTGATGATAATGCTATTAAGACTACAATAAAGCAGAAATTCTACATGAATTATGCCGACACATAACAAAAAATGTTCAATTTACAAAGAATTATAAGGAAAAATCTGCTTGAATGACAGATGGACTGTTAATTTGGCTAAATAGATATTTATCAGCTGGATTTTCGCTGATGCAGTGGAGCAGCCGAAGCCTGTAACACTCATGATTTGACCTCCAGGTTTTCTGAAATAAAGAAACACTGTCTGTAAAAAACTTACTGAAGGATGCACTCAGTTTTGTCTTAGCTGGCCTCTATTTTAACATATTGATTATATACAAGTAATGTAAGATTTCACTAGATTTTTTTTCTACTTTCAGGAGATACATCCTTACTTTATATTGCACTCGGGGTCCTGCTGCCCTACTGTGTGTTTGTGACTGCTGCTCTGATCATCTCCAGAAACCAAAAGCCAGTTTGTGGACAGTGCAAAGGTAACCTTAGATTGTTCCTTTCATTTTCCAAGCAAGAAGCCAACACCATTTTGATTTTAAGATATCTTTTATATCAAACTCATCCCAATTGTTGACATTGTTTATTATTTTTATTTACAGGTGAAATAACCGCCTCCAGTCAAGGTGAACATTACAGATCAGCAGAGGCTCACCAAAACTATCAGGTGACATAATCCACATTCCATTTTGATGTGTCCGGAGATTTACTTTCATCATTTTTCTATTCTGGAGGGACTAACTAGCAACAAACCGTTGTAGAAAAAATCGTCTTGAGTGCCACATATTTTGAATTTGCTGCAGAAAATATTAAGACTGACCGCAACAGCATCACTGAAACTAAACCAAGTTTGGACTGCAGATGTTTCCTTCTATGTTTGATTATCATCATTGATTCATATGTAAATTCTTGAGTTTACCCTCTTAAAAGGATAAATTTCAGAGTTTTATAAGTTATTGTTTTTTTAACAGGCATCCCATTATCTTCTTGATTGACTTTATCGGTATCTGTTCTATGGTTGTCTAAACCTCTGTACCATTCTAGGGGACTCCTCTACAGTGTTTTTGGAGGATTTTAAAATTGAAATTATGATGATGATTGATTTTTTTTTTTAAAGCTGTGAGCCAGAATTAAGAAAAATAATGTGATTGACTGCAACATGTGACATGTGATTTAGATGGAGGGCATGTCTTTGTAATGTACCACCCTTGAAAAATTGTTCTGACTCTGAAAAGCAAAGAAAAACTAGAATGTTGACATAGTTATGAATGATTCTTTTTGTCTATAAATAGTCTGTGTGTCCAACAGGCGGGTATAGCTAAGTATCATCTGCATAAAAGTGCAACAACACGCTTTGCTTGTTAATGATGTGCTTTTGGGGGGGGGGGGGGGGTGAAAGTGATACTGATACTTTTTTTTAAAGATTTTGTTATTGTTCAGAACAGTTAAAGTTGGAATATCTATGTTGAGTCTTCCCATTTAGCCTTTTCTCTTCTTTGAGTTTTGAGGTAAAAGCACCTTTAAAAAGGACTTAATTTTTTTTCAACATTGTTGTTGTTATGACTATCTTCCATGGTTGTAATTGCTTTGTATGCAGATTGATTTCGAATGATGTGCGATCACTTCACTACTAAGAATTGATGGAGTTTTGACCAGGGAATAAAAGGCAGGTAGTAAAAAGTTATAAACTCTGTTAGTCCATACTAGAATAACAAATACATTACCTAATCTTATACCCTTATTGACAGAACAGTGTTGCAGTTTAAAATAGTACTATTTTTGACACAGCTGTGGTTTAGGGTTTCTCCAGAACTCAAACTACCTTACCGGGGCTGGAAAACATTGTGGTTTGGTTTAAAAGGAAACGCTTCCTTTAGCTCTGTAGACTGTTGTTGTCAGGGTTACTATGACAAACACTAAGCTGAGGTTACGGAACATTTTGGTCAGACTGAAAGAAGAGAAAAACACACGTACATTAAAATGAACAACACTTTTGACCACCATAACTTCCTACTTCGGTCTTGAGAGAAAGTTTGAATGTTGAGTGGTACAACTGATTAGCATTTTCCTCAAGATCAACAACTGCGTGAGATGACTAAAAATCCAAAGGATCGTTAGAAGCAAATCATAAACAATTAACTTTGAGACTTAGTATTGACACAGTTTTTATATAAATGGTTGCAGTGTTACAGCTCTTATATTTTACTGTCATGACTGTCATTTGCAGGATAGTGAAGAAGCGGCTCTGAACTATGTGGCGCTGGATTTTGCAAGGAGAAAAACTCAAAGGTGGACGAAGACCAGGGAGCTGCAGCAGGACTGTACATATTCTGGTGTAGGGGAATGTCTGTGAGGGGGTGTTCCTGTAAAAATGAACACTGTTTGAGCTTATCGTGGTTCAAGACAGAGACAAACTCTTATTTCCAGATGTTGCCTGGGTAATCAAGAATTATTATTTATTTGTATATTTTTCGTGTGATTATTTTCATCGTATATAAGATTTATCTTGAATTATCATGTAACATTTAATTGTTATTTGAATGTATGATTTTAATTATTTAAAAAACAAAATCACACAGATGGTCTCTGTTTATTATATGTGGTTTATCATGATGTTGGATATTTTGTAAGTATTCATTTATTAATGTGTCTGATAAGAATATTTCAGGAAAAGTATAATACAGTACAGTGATTTATAGCATAGTATAGTATAGTACTGTATAGTATAGTACAGTTTAGTTTTAATTTAGACTAGTATAAAATAGTTAAATATAGTATTGTACTGTAAACCATAGTAAAAATTGTCTCTTTTCTTGTACTTTTGTTTTGTCTTTTTGTAATCTCCTTAAGAGTTCATCTGAAACAGTTTAAAACCAGTGATTAATTCATTTTTATAATACATTTACAAACATGCTGACCTCTCACTTTAACGTCACTGTCGAAAACCTTGCAGAGTTTTTTAAGACTGAAGCCAAGCACCCAGCAGGCCTACCTGGACGGCCCACTCAGGTATCACCCAAGTGTTGGACACATTACAGGGACTTATCCTTTAACCTTCCAGCAGAGCCTGTGACATCTTTCTTTAAAGTGGCCTCCTAAACAACTGTGAGTTTTGCTAAATGTGTGTGTGTTGGAACACAATGAAACAAAAGTAAGTTTGTGTACACATAACCCACACCCACTCGCATATGTATACTCTATTGTATATACATTTTTGTACATGGTTTATCTGTCCATAAGTCACCAATGTGTCACTCATAGAGCCATTTAAACCAGCAGGATTTGTACAGGTTCATAAAAAAGTGTATGAAAACTCAACAACAAACAAATATTTATTTATTTCTTATATGAAACCACAACTTGTTAATTGCAGTGAGTTATAACTAACTTCAGATTTAGGTAAGGAGGTTTTTTTTAAAGTACAGTTGTAACAGAAATGACAGAACAAAATATATCATTGCTTTGACTACCTTTATATTTTCTCAATAACTGGATGCAGGGTTCAGATTTACTTGCTATCAACAGGATCAATGTTCTACTTGAGCGTACACACCGTCCTCAACAAACTCTCTCTTCTTTCTGCCTCGTGTCTTTTTTGTTGAAAAATTCGGAGCAGCGTAGTTCAGTTCATCCTCAGCGTCAGTCTGTGCAGAAATATAAAAGAGTTTTACAAACACAGTGATGTAAATATGACGTGTCTGTAAAAAATATTTGGACTGATTTGCTGTGATCACTTGCAGTGTTACATACTTGTCCACATGCACTGTTAAATTGTGCTTCTGAGATGGTGCTTCCCAATCCTGTAAATAAATGACATTAGAAATGTTTTTTTAAATCTGATAATTAAAACTTAATTTGACCATTTAAATAAAAAAGTAATGTCTAATTTTATTTTGGATTGGTTGTTTTTTTTTTCTCTCTGGAAGTTAAAGAATAAAATTTACAAAAACAATTTTTATCTTTTGAATGTAACACATTAGTTTAAGCTTTAGTAACAGTTTTTATAGTGAGCAGCACTTACCTTTGTGATGTTTTTGTTTGTGTAAGAGGACAACATTTCCAACAACAGAAATGACCAGGCAGACTGCTAATATCCCAATGGCAATAAATTCCAATTGTGTTTTTTGCTCTAAAAAAATCAAGCAAAGAAACTTATCAGTCATGGTAACATCAACAAATCAAGAATATTTCCTCCATTTTTGTTTGTCTTGTTGTACCGATGTCCACTCGAGCTCCGTCTCCAAACAGAATCCGTCCACATGTGGCCACAGCGCAGTAGTAAGTCCCATTATCAGAGGAGCTGATGCTCTTAGAGAAGTGATAAACACAGCTTTTCTGAGGGTCAGATCTCTGGTCACATTCATCTTGTTTGTTTCCATCTGTGTAGATGAGGTCTGGATGAGATCTATCTGATCCAGCTCTGAACCAGAACACACGGTGACCTCCTGAACACGTTTGATTCTCAGAGTCAGAGAGGACTGAACACTGCAGAGACAGCGAGTCTCCTGGATGGACTGGATCAGAGACTGACTGAGACTGAACCACAGTCAAGTCTGATGTCTTCTTAGTGTTTCCTGTAAAAACAAACATGTAAAACACAGAATAAAAGTAGTTTCTTGTTAGATCTTATGAGTTATAAAGCATTTTTCATTTGAGAATCCTTTTAACAATTGTTTGGAAACACACAGTTGGAAAGTTTCTCTGAAGACATTTTAGAAAGTACAAATAAACTCAGAGTTAAATGTCACTGTATAATGAAGATCTCATATTCACCTGTTACTCTTAAATAAGTTGCGCTCCAGGTTGTCTTAAAAATCCTCTCTGATACTCCACAGTGATACATCCCCTCATCCTCTTCAGTCGTCTTCAAAATAATCAGATTGCTTGTATTCTTGTTTATGTTCACATCAAATGGGGTGAAAAATTCTGGATCATCCACAAAGTGTACACGTGTGTACAGCGTCACAAGTAATTCCAGAGCTCCTCCGGTACGCTGTTTGTACCAGATTGTTTGGCCTGACATATCAGGGAAAACACACGTCAAGGTCGCGGGTTCACCAACTTGGGCTGTCTTCATCGGAACCAGTGCATCTAGATCAGATTAGAGGGAACAATGAAACAAAAGAAAACAATGATTATCAGACGAACATCATTGTTAGCAGATATAAAAGGTTTGTAGTCATGTAAACTAAACGATGTATTACTTACACGCCTCATGAAGAAGGAGCAGTGTAGTCCATAACATGATCATCTTGACACTGTCTCATGTAAGGTGACTTCTTTGATATGTTGTCTCTGAACATGGTGACGTAGACTTAAACGTCACTCTCTCAGATGTACCTGATTGGTTATCTCCAGAATCGTAGTTCATTTCCTTTCACACTCCTCTGTGGTTGTTCAAAAAGCATCAAACTGCAGTCAATTGAGAGGGAGGATCATTGTTGTTTTAATGTGCAAACCTGTTTCCTCCTCTCACACAGCTTCAGTAACAACAAACTAAGTGGTAAATAGACTAAAAGGGACATTGTTGGGATGGTTGTGTTGTTGTTTGTCTCGCTTCTCCTTTATCAGTCATGTTGCAGATGTAAAATGAACTTTTTATTCATGAATTTATCTAAATGTAGGTGTTGTTTTGTCCATGTTATCTCTGTGTTTTAGGATTAAATACCACTAATGATTATTTAGTGTATTAATTAATTGCAGATACACTGACTTCAGTGCAAAGGACAACCTTTATCCATCCATTCACACAATGATGTGTAAATGATTATCTACTGGTATGAGCAGAGCAGTTGGTCTTGTTTTGGGTTTTGAGCTTGAGACAGACAACTTTGCTTGTTAAAAAATGAGGCTGATGCAGATGTGCAAAATATATATATATATATAAATAACAATAATAATAGATAAAAAAAACTGCACTTCTTGGTGTGTCCACTTGAGGCAGTCTGCTCAGGAATCTTGATTTTAGAGTGTTGCCTGCAAACTGGAGCCTCCCATCTCATGCCCGCCTCAGCCACACCTTCTAAACTTCTCATCTCCATAATAAAAGCTCATATCTCATTTTTTCTTTAATTCATTTGAATTAAACACTAACTGCAGTCTTGTTACATCTAAACTCATAAAAGCATGAACAACTGAGGAAATCACCATGTTTCACAAGAGGGAGAAGTTCTCAGTGAAGAAACCCATCCCATTACACCCTCTACTGGTAAGATCCATAGCCTGTCATTGCTCTTTGTATCTTCCACAGTCAGAGATAGATGGGAAAGTTGGGCAGTGGGAGTCAGTACATCACCAGGGTCATTAAAAGGGAACCTTCCTTTACAGTGCTTCATCAAGTTAGGCCTCAGACCTTCAGAGAGTCTAACAGTGGAGGTGTCAGATGTCACACAGAGTCTTTCCCTCCACACCAGCTTCCACCATTCATACAGCATTGCCATGTTCAGTGGACCTAAGATCTGTAAATGGAGGTTTCTCCATTACAAAGCCCATAGTAAACCCTACAACCCAGAACACATCCTAGAGAAGTAAGATGTTGGAGGGGAGACACGGCTCGGCTGGACGCTCTACCTAAACCCACTGCCCCATTTTTAGGAAGGAACTATCAAGCAAACAAATCATCAATGAATAGATAACAGGAGATGGATTAGTCTTGACTTGTAACCACTTTTCATTTGCTTAAGTTGATGTAAAGTGAGAATAGGTCAGATTCAGGTGGGTGATGGTACAGAGACTGTGTCCATGTTTTGAACAGTCATTGTATCCTGGCATATTAACCAAAACTTAATGAAAAGTCTACATCATGGTGCTGTAGTTAATGCTGTTGCCTCACAGCAAGAAGGTTCCTGGTTCAAATCCTTGGGTGGGTGGCGGCCTCTCTATGTGGAGTTTACATGTCAGACCCATGCTTGTCTGATTGACTGGTTACTCTACCTGTAGGTGCCAACGGTTGTTTGTCTCTATGTGTTAGTGCATATGCTGACAACTCGTCTTCTGTTTCTTGCCCAATGACAGTCAGAGTCCCCAAAGGACCCCATGACCCCAAAAAGGATAAGGACTTAAGTTTATAGATAAAATAATAGATTTTTCAAAACAGAATGATCACACTGTCAACAAATAAGTGACGTTTTTTTTAATTAATATTTTATTGATTTATATACAGAATGTAAGCTCAATATAATCTGAATTAAAAAAAAACCTCAGCAACCTTGACGATTAAAATAAACAAATAAACTGCACAGTTTCCTATTGCAGTAAAAACACATACTGAAGAACTGAGAGTGTCTGTAGGTCCAGACCAAAGATGTATTACATCCAACACAGTGAGACTTAAAGCAAAGTTTCAGAGCACAACCTCACCTCTTCTGGCTCCCCTATAAATTTAGATCTGACCACTTCCTCCTCTTTTGTTCTTGTTCTTCACACCCTTCTCTCCCTCCCTCCGACCCCTTTTTCTGTCTGCTCTTCATTTCTGTTCTTTGCTGTTAAAGAGTTTCCACTGAACTGAATACAAAGAAATTAAAATTCAGCGTAAATAAGCCAAAATTTATTAACTGAGTAAAACTCTAAACAGCATCTTTTTAATCGATGGTGTGGTTTTAGCAAGGTGATAACATGTTAAAGCAAAATAAGATCCTCTAACTCCCTGCTCTCTTACACAGAGTCAGTGTAGATGAGGTCTGGATGAGATCTATCTGATCCAGCTCTGAACCAGAACACACGGTGACCTCCTGAACACGTTTGATTCTCAGAGTCAGAGAGGACTGAACACTGCAGAGACAGCGAGTCTCCTGGATGGACTGGATCAGAGACTCTCTGAGACTGAACCACAGTCAAGTCTGACCTTGCAGAGTTTTTTAAGACTGAAGCCAAGCACCAGCAGGCCTACCTGGACGGCCCACTCAGGTATCACCCAAGTGTGGGACACATTACAGGGACTTACCCCTTAACCTTCCAGCAGAGCCTGTGACATCTTTCTTTACAGTGGCCTCCTAAACAACTGTGAGTGTTGCTAAATGTGTGTGTGTTGGAACACAATGAAACAAAAGTAAGTTTGTGTACACATAACCCACACCTTCTCGCATATGTATACTCTATTGTATATACATTTTCGTACATGGTTAATCTGTCCAAAAGTCACCAATGTGTCACTCATAGAGCTATTTAAAGCAGCAGGATTTGTGCAGGTTCATAAAAAAAGTGTATGAAAACTCAAGATCAACAATATTTATTTATTTCTTATATGAAACCACAAACTATTTATTGCAGTGATCTATAACTAACTTCAGATTAAGGTAAGGAGTTTTTTTGTAAGTACAGTTGTAACAGAAATGACAGAACAAAATATATCATTGCTTTGACTACCTTTATATTTTCTCAATAACTGGATGCAGGGTTCAGATTTAAGCGCTATCAACAGGATCAATGTTTAACTTGAGCGTACACACCGTCCTCAACAAACTCTCTCTTCTTTCTGCCTCGTGTCTTTTTTGTTGAAAAGTTCAGAGCAGCGTAGTTCAGTTCATCCTCAGCGTCAGTCTGTGCAGAAATATAAAAGAGTTTTACAAACACAGTGATGTAAATATGACGTGTCTGTAAAAAATATTTGGACTGATTTGCTGTGATCACTTGCAGTGTTACATACTTGTCCACATGCACTGTTAAATTGTGCTTCTGAGATGGTGCTTCCCAATCCTGTAAATAAATGACATTAGAAATGTTTTTTTAAATCTGATAATTAAAACTTAATTTGACCATTTAAATAAAAAAGTAATGTCTAATTTTATTTTGGATGGTTGTTTTTTCTCTCTGGAAGTTAAAGAATAAAATTTACAAAAAACAAACAAAAATATGTTTAAATTTTGATACATGATGGAGCTTTTCTTCATATTTAAAATGTCTTTTTTTCATTTCAAACAACAAAGCTTATTGTTGTTCCTAAAAAAGTCTAATAACATAACTCATCTGCAAATATTCTTCATCAGGACAGTACCAGCACGCAAAAGGATCTGTTCAGGTTTGCCAATTCATGAGCATAAAAGGGATTAATAATTTTTATCTTTTAAATGTAACACGTTAGTTTAAGCTTTAATAACAGTTTTTATAGTGAGCAGCACTTACCTTTGTGATGTTTTTGTTTGTGTAAGAGGACAACATTTCCAACAACAGAAATGACCAGGCAGACTGCTAATATCCCAATGGCAATAAATTCCAATTGTGTTTTTTGCTCTAAAAAAATCAAGCAAAGAAACTTATCAGTCATGGTAACATCAACAAATCAAGAATATTTCCTCCATTTTTGTTTGTCTTGTTGTACCGATGTCCACTCGAGCTCCGTCTCCAAACAGAATCCGTCCACATGTGGCCACAGCGCAGTAGTAAGTCCCATTATCAGAGGAGCTGATGTTCTTAGAGAAGTGATAAACACAGCTTTTCTGAGGGTCAGATCTCCGGTCACAGTCATCTTGTTTGTTTCCATCAGTGTAGATGAGGTCTGGATGAGATCTATCTGATCCAGCTCTGAACCAGAACACACGGTGACCTCCTGAACACGTTTGATTCCTGGAGTCAGAGAGGACTGAACACTGCAGAGACAGCAAGTCTCCTGGATGGACTGGATCAGAGACTGTCTGAGACTGAACCACAGTCAAGTCTGATGTCTTCTTAGTCTTTCCTGCAAAATTTTACAGAACAAGAGTTTAATCAGGAGACATTATATCATGTTGAAATTCTTGTTCTGAGGGCTCTGAGCTGAGACACTGCTGGCTTGTTTGCAGGTTTTCAGCTTGTTCTTAAACAGCAGATCTTCTCTGGCACTAAAGGCGCCGGTACTAAACCCTGCGCCTTCTTAGTGGTGGGTAACAGGGCTGAAGGAATGGATGATTTTAATTCATGATTCAGATCAAATATTACTTTTGTGCTGAAATGAAAACATTTTAGAGGTAAAATTAAGTTTTTGGTTAATTTTTTGGACGAAACATGTAATCCTGTCAGAAACTACCACACTGATCACTTAGACATATTTGAAACAAACTGAATACTAAATGAAGAATTTCATTGAAAAAATAACTTCAAGTAAAAGCACTGAATAAAGCTGCTTTAAATTGTTCAGATACGTTAGCACAGGGTCACTTTAGGGGATGAAGTGAATCAGAGATTATATATTTACCTGTAACTGACAAATAGGTTGCACTCCAGGTAATCTCAAATACCAACTCTGATACTCCACAGTGATAGATCCCCTCATCCTCTGGAGTTATGTTTGAAATGATCAGACTGCTTGTATTTCCATTAATGTTTACATCAAATCTTGAAGCAGAAAACTCTCGTCCATACACAGGCCATGTATTTTTGTGCAGTCTCAGGATTTGTTTCAGAGTTTCCCCAGCACTCTGTTTGTACCAGCAGACTGTTTTTTCTTTTATATCGGGGAAGAAACATGTAAAAGTCACAAGTTCACCAACTGGAACCGTTTCCACTGGGATCAGTGCATCTAGATAAAAATAAAAAGAACAATAAGTTCAAATGAAAAAGGTTGTTCAGATTACGTTAACTTCAGACAAAATGAACATTTTGACAGGGAAATATTCTTACTTACACGCCTGCTGAAGGAGAAGCAGTGTAACCCACATCACGATCATCTTGACAATGTGTCATGTAAGGTGACTTCTTTGATATGTTGTCTCTGAACATGGTGGCGTAGACTTAAACGTCACTCTCTCAGATGTACCTGATTGGTTATCTCCAGAATCGTAGTTCATTTCCTTTCACACTCCTTTGTGGTTGTTCAAAAAGCATCAAACAGCGGTCAATTGAGAGGGAGGATCATTGTTGTTTTAATGTGCAGACCTGTTTCCTCCTCTCACACAGCTTCAGTAACAACAAACTAAGTGGTAGATAGACTAAAAGGGACATTGTTGGGATGGTTGTGTTGTTGTTTGTCTAGCTTCTCCTTTATCAGTCATGTTGCAGAAGTAAAATGAACTTTTTATTCATGAATTTATCTAAATGTAGGTGTTGTTTTGTCCATGTTATCTCTGTGTTTTAGGATTAGATACCACTAATGATTATTTAGTGTATTCATTAATTGCAGATACACTGACTTCAGTGCAAAGGACAACCTTTATCCATCCATCCACACAATGATGTGTAAGTGATTATCTCCTGGTACGAGCAGAGCAGTTGGTCTTGTTTTGGGTTTTGATCTTAATACAGACAACTTTGCTTGTTGAAATATGAGGCTGATGCAGATGTGCAATAAATAAATAAATAAAGAAAGAAAGAAAGAAAAAGAAAAAGAAAAAGAAAGAAAGAAAGAAAAAGAAAAAAAAAAGAAAAAAAAAACTGCACTTCTTGGTGTGTCCACTTGAGGCAGTCTGCTCAGGAATCTTGATTTTAGAGTGTTGGCTGCAAACTGGAGCCTCCCATCTCATTCCTTCCCCAGCCACACCCTCTAAACTTCTCATTTCCAAAATAAAAGCTCATATCTCATTTTTTCTTTAATTTATTTGAATTAAACACTAACTGCAGTTTTGTTACATCTAAACTCATAAAAGCATGAACAACTGAGGAAATCACCATGTTTCACAAGAGGGAGGAGTTCTCAGTGAAGAAACCTATCCCATTACACCCTCTACTGGTAAGATCCATAGCCGGTCATTGCTCTTTGTATCTTCCACAGTCAGAGATAGATGGGAAAGTTGGACAGTGAGAGTCAGTACATCACCAGGGTTAGTAAAAGGGAACCTTCCTTTACAGTGCTTCATCAAGTTAGGCCTCAGACCTTCAGAGAGCCTAACAGTGGAGATGTCAAATGTCACACAGAGTCTTTTCCTCCACACCAGCTTCCACCATTCATACAGTATTGCCATGTTCAGTGGACCTAAGATCTGTAAATGGAGGTTTCTCCATTACAAAGCCCATAGTAAACCCTACAATGTTGGAGGGGGAGACACGGCTCGGCTGGACGCTCTACATAAACCCACTGCCCCATTTTTAGGAAGGAACCAACAAGCAAACAAATCAATCAATAAATAGATAAATAACAGGAGATGGATTAGTCTTGACTTGTAACCACTTTTCATTTGCTTGAATTGGTGTAAATATAGATTTAGGTCAGATTTAGGTGGATGATGGTACAGAGACTGTGTCCATGTTTTGAACAGTCATTGTATCCTGGCATATTAACCAAAACTTAATGAAAAGTCTACATCATGGTGCTGTAGTTAATGCTGTTGCCTCACAGCAAGAAGGTTCCTGGTTCAAATCCTTGGGTGGGTGGCGGCCTCTCTATGTGGAGTTTACATGTCAGACCCATGCTTGTCTGATTGACTGGTTACTCTACCTGTAGGTGCCAACGGTTGTTTGTCTCTATGTGTTAGTGCATATGCTGACAACTCGTCTTCTGTTTCTTGCCCAATGACAGTCAGAGTCCCCAAAGGACCCCATGACCCCAAAAAGGATAAGGACTTAAGTTTATAGATAAAATAATAGATTTTTCAAAACAGAATGATCACACTGTCAACAAATAAGTGATGTTTTTTTAAATTAATATTTTATTGATTTATATACAGAATGTAAGCTCAATATAATCTGAATTAAAAAAAAACCTCAGTAAGCTTGACGATTAAAATAAACAAATAAACTGCACAGTTTCCTATTGCAGTAAAAACACATACTGAAGAACTGAGAGTGATCTGTAGGTCCAGACGAAAGATATAATACATCCAACACAGTGAGACTTAAAGCAAAGTTTCAGAGCACAACCTCACCTCTTCTGGCTCCCCTATAAATTGAGACCCGACCACTTCCTCCTCTTTTGTTCTTGTTCTTCACACCCTTCTCTCCCTCCCTCCGACCCCTTTTTCTGTCTGCTCTTCATTTCTGTTCTTTGCCCCTAAAGAGTTTCCACTGAACTGAATACAAAGAAATTAAAATTCAGCGTAAATAAGCCAAAATTTATTAACTGAGTAAAACTCTAAACAGCATCTTTTTAATCGATGGTGTGGTTTTAGCAAGGTGATTACATGTTAAAGCAAAATAAGATCCTCTAACTCCCTGCTCTCTTACACAGAGTCAGTGTAGATGAGGTCTGGATGAGATCTATCTGATCCAGCTCTGAACCAGAACACACGGTGACCTCCTGGACACGTTTGATTCTCAGAGTCAGAGAGGACTGAACACTGCAGAGACAGCGAGTCTCCTGGATGGACTGGATCAGAGACTCTCTGAGACTGAACCACAGTCAAGTCTGACCTTGCAGAGTTTTTTAAGACTGAAGCCAAGCACCAGCAGGCCTACCTGGACGGCCCACTCAGGTATCACCCAAGTGTTGGACACATTACGGGGACTTACCCTTTAACCTTTCAGCAGAGCCTGTGACATTTTTTTTATAGTGGCCTCCTAAACAACTGTAGGTGTTGCTAAATGTGTGTGTGTTGGAACACAATGAAACAAAAGTAAGTTTGTGTACACATAACCCACACCTTCTCACATATGTATACTCTATTATATACATTTTCGTACATGGTTTATCTGTCCAAAAGTCAACAATGTGTCACTCATAGAGCCATTTGAACCAGAAGGATTTGTGCATGTTCATAAAAAAGGGTAAAAAAAACTCAAGATCAACAATATTTATTTATTTCTTATATGAAACCACAAACTGTTTATTGCAGTGATCTATAACTAACATCAGATTTAGGTAAGGAGTTTTTTTTTTTTTTAAGTAAAGTTAAAACAGAAATGACAGAACAAAATATACTATTGCTTTGACTACCTTTATATTTTCTCAATAACTGGATGCAGGGTTCAGATTTACTCGCTATCAACAGGATCAATGTTTTACTTGAGCGTACACACCGTCCTCAACAAACTCTCTCTTCTTTCTGCCTCGTGTCTTTTTTGTTGAAAAGTTCAGAGCAGCGTAGTTCAGTTCATCCTCAGCGTCAGTCTGTGCAGAAATATAAAAGAGTTTTACAAACACAGTGATGTAAATATGACGTGTCTGTAAAAAATATTTGGACTGATTTGCTGTGATCACTTGCAGTGTTACATACTTGTCCACATGCACTGTTAATTTGTGCTTCTGAGATGGTGCTTCCCAATCCTGTAAATAAATGACATTAGAAATGTTTTTTTAAATCTGATAATTAAAACTTAATTTGACCATTTAAATAAAAAAGTAATGTCTAATTTTATTTTGGATGGTTGTTTTTTCTCTCTGGAAGTTAAAGAATAAAATTTACAAAAACAATTTTTATCTTTTGAATGTAACACATTAGTTTAAGCTTTAATAACAGTTTTTATAGTGAGCAGCACTTACCTATGTGATGTCTTTGTTTGTGTAAGAGGACAACATTTCCAACAACAGAAATGACCAGGCAGACTGCTAATATCCCAATGGCAATAAATTCCAATTGTGTTTTTTGCTCTAAAAAAATCAAGCAAAGAAACTTATCAGTCATGGTAACATCAACAAATCAAGAATATTTCCTCCGTTTTTGTTTGTCTTGTTGTACCGATGTCCACTCGAGCTCCGTCTCCAAACAGAATCCGTCCACATGTGGCCACAGCGCAGTAGTAAGTCCCAGCATCAGAGGAGCTGACGCTCTTAGAGAAGTGATAAACACAGCTTTTCTGAGGGTCAGATCTCTGGTCACAGTCAGCTTGTTTGTTTCCATCAGTGTAGATGAGGTCTGGATGAGATCTATCTGATCCAGCTCTGAACCAGAACACACGGTGACCTCCTGAACACGTTTGATTCTCAGAGTCAGAGAGGACTGAACACTGCAGAGACAGCGAGTCTCCTGGATGGACTGGATCAGAGACTGACTGAGACTGAACCACAGTCAAGTCTGATGTCTTCTTAGTGTTTCCTGCAAAATTTGACAGAACAAGAGTTTAATCAGGAGACATTATATCATGTTGAAAATCTGGTTCTGAGGGCTCTGAGCTGAGACACTGCTGGCTTGTTTGCAGGTTTTCAGCTTGTTCTTAAACAGCAGATCTCCTCTGGTTTCATATTCGGCTAAGTTTTACAGAGAGCACAATTAAACACAGAAGTCCTCTCTAAGACAACACAAGCCAGTAAAAACAGTTTATAACAGAGATATTTGAAATAAACTGAATACTAAATTAAGAATTTCTCTAAAAAATGACTCCAAACAAAGACACTGAAAAAAGCTGCTTTAAATTGTTCAGATACGTTAGCACAGTGTCACTTAAGTAGATGAAGTGAATCAGATCTTATATTCACCTGTTACTGACAAATAGGTTGCATTCCAGGTAGTCTTATATACCAACTCTGATACTCCACAGTGATAGATCCCCTCATCCTCTGGAGTTATGTTTGAAATGATCAGACTGCTTGTATTTCCATTGATGTTTACATTAAATCTTGGAGCAGAAAACTCTTGTCCATACACAGGCTTTGTATTTTTGTTCAGTCTCAGGATTTCTTTCAGAGTTTCTCCAGCACTCTGTTTGTACCAGCAGACTGTTTGGTCTAACATGTCAGGGAAGAAACATGTAAAAGTCACACGTTCACCAACTGGAACTGTTTTCACTGGGATCAGTGCATCTAGATAAAAATAAAAAGAACAATGAATTCAAATGAGAAAGGTTGTTCACATTATGTAAACTTCAGACAAAATGAACATTTTGACAGTGAAATATTCTTACTTACACGCCTGCTGAAGGAGAAGCAGTGTAACCCACAACACGATCATCTTGACAATGTGTCATGTAAGGTGACTTCTTTGATATGTTGTCTCTGAACATGGTGACGTAGACTTAAACGTCACTCTCTCAGATGTACCTGATTGGTTATCTCCAGAATCGTAGTTCATTTCCTTTCACACTCCTTTGTGGTTGTTCAAAAAGCATCAAACAGCGGTCAATTGAGAGGGAGGATCATTGTTGTTTTAATGTGCAGACCTGTTTCCTCCTCTCACACAGCTTCAGTAACAACAAAACAAGTGGTAAAAACACTAAAAGGGCCATTGTTGGGATGGTTGTGTTGTGGTTTGTCTTTATTCTTCTTTATCAGTCATGTTGCAGAAATAAAAGGAACTTTTTATTCATGAATTTATCTAAATGTAGGTGTTGTTTTGTCCATGTTAACTCTGTGTTTTAGGATGAAATACCACTAATGATTATTTAGTGTATTAATTAATTGCAGATACACTGACTTCAGTGCAAAGAACAACCTTTATCCATCCATCCACACAATGATGTGTAAGTGATTATCTACTGGTATGAGCAGAGGGGTTGGTCCTGTTTTGGGTTTTGATCTTAATACAGACAACTTTGCTTGTTAAAAAATGAGGCTGATGCAGATGTGAAAAATATATATATATGTAAATAACAATAATGATTGATTTAAAAAAAAAAACTGCACTTCTTGGTGTGTCCACTTGAGGCAGTCTGCTCAGGAATCTTGATTTTAGAGTGTTGGCTGCAAACTGGAGCCTCCCATCTCATGCCCGCCCCAGCCACACTCTCTAAACTTCTCATTTCCAGAATAAAAGCTCATATCTCATTTTTTCTTTAATCTATTTGAATTAAACACTAACTGCAGTCTTGTTACATCTAAACTCATAAAAGAATGAACAACTGAGGAAATCACCATGCACTAATGTTTTCACAAGAGGGAGGAGTTCTCAGTGAAGAAACCTATCCCATTACACCCTCTACTGGTAAGATCCATAGCCTGTCATTGCTCTTTGTATCTTCCACAGTCAGAGATAGATGGGAAAGTTGGGCAGTGAGAGTCAGTACATCACCAGGGTTATTAAATGGGAACCTGCCTTTACAGTGCTTCATCAAGTTAGGCCTCAGACCTTCAGAGAGCCTAACAGTGGAGGTGTCAGATGTCACACAGAGTCTTTCCCTCCACACCAGCTTCCACCATTCATACAGTATTGCCATGTTCAGTGGACCCAAGATCTGTAAATGGAGGTTTCTCCATTACAAAGCCCATAGTAAACCCTACAACCCAGAACACATCCTAGAGAAGGAAAATGTTGGAGGGAAGACACGGCTCGGCTGGACGCTCTACCTAAACCCACTGCCCCATTTTTATGAAGAAACCAACAAGCAAACAAATCAATGAATGAATAGATAACAGGAGATGGATTAGTCTTGACTTGTAACCACTTTTCATTTGCTTAAGTTGATGTAAATATAGATTCAGGTCAGATTTAGGTGGATGATGGTACAGAGACTGTGTCCATGTTTTGAACAGTCATTGTATCCTGGCATATTAACCAAAACTTAATGAAAAGTCTACATCATGGTGCTGTAGTTAATGCTGTTGCCTCACAGCAAGAAGGTTCCTGGTTCAAATCCTTGGGTGGGTGGCGGCCTCTCTATGTGGAGTTTACATGTCAGACCCATGCTTGTCTGATTGACTGGTTACTCTACCTGTAGGTGCCAATGGTTGTTTGTCTCTATGTGTTAGTGCATATGCTGACAACTCGTCTTCTGTTTCTTGCCCAATGACAGTCAGAGTCCCCAAAGGACCCCATGACCCCAAAGAGGATAAGGACTTAAGATTACAGATAAAATAATAGATTTTTCAAAACAGAATGATCACACTGTCAACAAACAAGTGAAGATTTTTTTATTAATGTTTTATTGATTTATATACAGAATGTAAGCTCAATATAATCTGAAATAACAAATAAACTGCACAGTTTCCTATTGCAGTAAAAACACATACTGAAGAACTGAGTGTCTGTAGGTCCAGACCAAAGATATAATACATCCAACACAGTGAGACTTAAAGAAAAGTTTCAGAGCACAACCTCACCTCTTCTGGCTCCCCTATAAATTGAGATCCGACCACTTCCTCCTCTTTTGTTCTTGTTCTTCACACCCTTCTCTCCCTCCCTCCCTCCCTCCCTCCGGCCCCTTTTTCTATCTGCTCTTTATTTCTGCCATTCGCCGTCTAAAGAGTTTTCTCTGAACTGAATACAAAGAAATTTAAAATTCAGCGTAAATAAGCCAAAATTTATTGAATGAATAAAACTCTAAACAGCATCTTTTTAATCGATAGTTCGGTCTTAGCAAGTGGATTACATGTTAAAGCAAAATAAGATCCTCTAACTCCCTGCTCTCTTATACAGAGTGGGTTAAGATTACATTTTATCACAATAATATCAAACTAAACATTGATGACACACGTCTTACTGACTGACGGCTAATCCACTACTCAAAACCAAAAGCCCTCACAGCGGCGTAGATCCTCTCTTTCTCTGCTGTTCTTGCCCTCTTCACCGTTCCTCTCTCTGAGCTCATCACGGTGAAGACAGCGGCTGAATAAACCTCTTCTCTCTGAGGAAACATGTATATGAGACAAGAGATTTCACCATGTTCACATTCAGTTTTAAAAATGACTCAGTCCTACCGTTAAACTCTCCAGCAGCTGACTTCTCCAACCATCGCAGTTGTTTTGCATGACAAGAGAAGCTGAAATAACATAAAAGTAAATAAACATGATATAATAAACATAGAATAAAATAAGAGATATAGAGAAAAAGCAGAGCTATTATTACCGTTACAATAGTCATTCTTCTTTTTCTTCTTGATGGAATGAATGAGGAAAGTTATGACGATCAGACTTAGAGCCAAAACAGCACTCAACAGAAAAATAACCACATTGGCCTCAGGAGGAAATTTTCCTGAAACAGAATTGAAAAGCAAAAACTGTAAAAAAAAAATACTTGAAACATAATTCTACAATTTCCTCAGTAACAATATATTTTGTTGTTACCTTTAATGTCCACTCGAGCTCCGTCTCCAAACAGAATCCGTCCACATGTGGCCACAGCGCAGTAGTAAGTCCCATTATCAGAGGAGCTGACGCTCTTAGAGAAGTGATAAACACAGCTTTTCTGAGGCTCAGATCTCTGGTCACATTCAGCTTGTTTGTTTCCATCAGTGTAGATGAGGTCTGGATGAGATCTATCTGATCCAGCTCTGAACCAGAACACACGGTGACCTCCTGAACACGTTTGATTCTCAGAGTCAGAGAGGACTGAACACTGCAGAGACAGCGAGTCTCCTGGATGGACTGGATCAGAGACTGTCTGAGACTGAACCACAGTCAAGTCTGATGTCTTCTTAGTGTTTCCTGCAAGTTTGACGGAACAAGAGTTTAAACAGGAGACATTATATCATGTTGAAAATCTGGTTCTGAGGGCTCTGAGCTGAGACACTGCTGGTTTGTTTGCAGGTTTTCAGCTTGTTCTTAAACAGCAGATCTCTAAGACAACACAAGTCAGTAAAAACAGTTTATAACAGAGATATTTGAAATAAACTGAATACTAAATTAAGAATTTCTCTAAAAAATGACTCCAAACAAAGACACTGAAAAAAGCTGCTTTAAATTGTTCAGATATGTTAGCACAGTGTCACTTAAGTAGATGAAGTGAATCAGATCTTATATTCACCTGTTACTGACAAATAGGTTGCATTCCATGTAGTCATATATACCAACTCTGATACTCCACAGTGATAGATCCCCTCATCCTCTGGAGTTATGTTTGAAATGATCAGATTGGTTGTATTTTTGTTAATGTTCACATTAAATCTTGAAGCAGAAAACTCTCGTCCATACACAGGCTTTGTATTTTTGTTCAGTCTCAGGATTTCTTTCAGAGTTTCTCCAGCACTCTGTTTGTACCAGCAGACTGTTTTGTCTGTCATATCAGAGAAACATGTAAAAGTCACACGTTCACCAACTGGAACCGTTTTCACTGGGATCAGTGCATCTAGATAAAAATAAAAAGAACAATGAATTCAAATGAGAAAGGTTGTTCACATTATGTAAACTTCAGACAAAATGAACATTTTGACAGGGAAATATTCTTACTTACATGCCTGATGAAGGAGAAGCAGTGTAACCCACAACACGATCATCTTGACAATGTGTCATGTAAGGTGACTTCTTTGATATGTTGTCTCTGAACATGGTGACGTAGACTTAAACGTCACTCTCTCAGATGTACCTGATTGGTTATCTCCTGAATCGTAGTTCATTTCCTTTCACACTCCTCTGTGGTTGTTCAAAAAGCATCAAACAGCGGTCAATTGAGAGGGAGGATCAATGTTGTTTTAATGTGCAGACCTGTTTCCTCCTCTCACACAGCTTCAGTAACAACAAACTAAGCTGTAAATGCACAAAAAGGGACATTGTTGGGATGGTTGTGTTGTGGTTCGTCTTGCTTCTTCTTTATCAGTCATGTTGCAGAAATAAAAGGAACTTTTTATTCATGTATTTATCTAAATGTAGGTGTTGTTTTGTCCATGTTATCTCTGTGTTTTAGGATTAAACACCACTAATGATTATTTAGTGTATTAATTAATTGCAGATACACTGACTTCAGTGCAAAGGACAACCTTTATCCATCCATCCACACAATGATGTGTAAGTGATTATCTACTGGTATGAGCAGAGCAGTTGGTCTTGTTTTGGGTTTTGAGCTTGAGACAGACAACTTTGCTTGTTAAAAAATGAGGCTGATGCAGATGTGAAAAATATATATATATGTAAATAACAATAATGATTGATTTAAAAAAAAAAACTGCACTTCTTGGTGTGTCCACTTGAGGCAGTCTGCTCAGGAATCTTGATTTTAGAGTGTTGGCTGCAAACTGGAGCCTCCCATCTCATGCCCGCCTCAGCCACACCCTCTAAACTTCTCATTTCCAAAATAAAAGCTCATATCTCATTTTTTCTTTAATTTATTTGAATTAAACACTAACTGCAGTCTTGTAACATCTAAACTCATAAAAGAATGAACAACTGAGGAAATCACCATGTTTCACAAGAGGGAGGAGTTCTCAGTGAAGAAACTCATCTCATTACACCCTCTACTGGTATGATCCATAGCCTGTCATTGCTCTTTGTATCTTCCACAGTCAGAGATAGATGGGAAAGTTGGGCAGTGAGAGTCAGTACATCACCAGGGTTAGTAAAAGGGAACCTGCCTTTACAGTGCTTCATCAAGGTAGGCCTCAGACCTTCAGAGAGCCTAACAGTGGAGATGTCAGATGTCACACAGAGTCTTTCCCTCCACTCCAGCTTCCACCATTCATACAGCATTGCCATGTTCAGTGGACCTAAGATCTGTAAATGGAGGTTTCTCCATTACAAAGCCCATAATAAACCCTACAACCCAGAACACACCCTAAAGAAGTAAAATGTTGGAGGGGAGACACGGCTCGGCTGGACACTCTACCTAAACCCACTGCCCCATTTTTATGAAGGAACCAACAAGCAAACAAATCAATGAATGAATAGATAACAGGAGATGGATTAGTCTTGACTTATAACCACTTTGCCTTTGCTTAAGTTGATATAAAGTGAGATTCAGGTCAGATTTAGGTGGATGATGGTACAGAGACTGTGTCCATGTTTTGAACAGTCATTGTATCCTGGCATATTTACCAAAACTTAATGAAAAGTCTACATCATGGTGCTGTAGTTAATGCTGTTGCCTCACAGCAAGAAGGTTCCTGGTTCAAATCCTTGGGTGGGTGGAGGCCTCTCTATGTGGAGTTTACATGTCAGACCCATGCTTGTCTGATTGACTGGTTACTCTACCTGTAGGTGCCAATGGTTGTTTGTCTCTATGTTTTAGTGCATATGCTGACAACTTGTCTTCTCTTTCTTGCCCGAAGACAGTCAGAGTCCCCAAAGGACCCCATGACCCCAAAGAGGATAAGGATTTAAGATTACAGATAAAATAATAGATTTTTCAAAACAGAATGATCACACTGTCAACAAACAAGTGAAGATTTTTATTAATATTTTATTGATTTATATACAGAATCTAGGCTCAATATAATCTGAATTTTAGAAAAAACTCAGTAACCTTGAATATTAAAATAAACAAATAAACTGCACAGTTTCCTACTGCAGTAAAAACACATACTGAAAAACTGAGAGTGTCTGTAGGTCCAGACCAAAGATATAATACATCCAACACAGTGAGACTTAAAGCAAAGTTTCAGAGCACAACCTCACCTCTTCTGGCTCCCCTATAAATTGAGATCTGACCACTTCCTCCTCTTTTCTTCTTGTTCTTCACACCCTTCTCTCCCTCCCTCCGGCCCCTTCTTCTATCTGCTCTTTATTTCCACCATCCGCCGTCTAAAGAGTTTCCTCTGAACTGAATACAAAGAAATTAAAATTTAGCGTAAATAAGCCAAAATTTATTAAATGAATAAAACTCTAAGCAGCATCTTTTTAATCGGTGGTGTGGTCTTAGCAAGTGGATTACATGTTAGAGCAAAATAAGATCCTCTAACTCCCTGCTCTCTTATACAGAGTGGGTTTAGATTACATTTCATCACAATAATATCAAACTAAACATTGATGACACACGTCTGACTGACTGACGGCTAACCCACTACTCAAAACCAAAAGCCCTCACAGCGGCGTAGATCCTCTCTTTCTCTGCTGCTCTTGCCCTCTTCACCGTTCCTCTCTCTGAGCTCATCACGGTGAAGACAGCGGCTGAATAAACCTCTTCTCTCTGAGGAAACATGTATATGAGACAAGAGATTTCACCATGTTCACAGTCAGTTTTAAAAATGACTCAGTCCTACCTTTAAACTCTCCAGCAGCTGACTTCTCCAACCATCGCAGTTGTTTTGCATGACAAGAGAAGCTGAAATTACATAAAAGTAAATAAACATGATATAATAAACATAGAATAAAATAAGAGATATAGAGAAAAAGCAGAGCTATTATTACCGTTACAATAGTTATTCTTCTTTTTCTTCTTGATGCAATAAATGAGGGAAGTTATGACGATCAGACTTAGAGCCAAAACAGCACTCAACAGAAAAATAACCGGGTAGGAAGAAGGTGAAGAGTTTCCTAATACTGAATTAAAAAGGAAAAACTGTAAAAAAAAAAATACTTGAAACATAATTCTACAATTTCCTCAGTAACAAAATGTTTTGTTGTTACCTTTAATGTCCACTCGAGCTCCGTCTCCAAACAGAATCCGTCCACATGTGGCCACAGCGCAGTAGTAAGTCCCATTATCAGAGGAGCTGACGCTCTTAGAGAAGTGATAAACACAGCTTTTCTGAGGGTCAGATCTCTGGTCACAGTCATCTTGTTTGTTTCCATCAGTGTAGATGAGGTCTGGATGAGATCTATCTGATCCAGCTCTGAACCAGAACACACGGTGACTTCCTGAACACGTTTGATTCTCAGAGTCAGAGAGGACTGAACACTGCAGAGACAGCGAGTCTCCTGGATGGACTGGATCAGAGACTGTCTGAGACTGAACCACAGTCAAGTCTGATGTCTTCTTAGTGTTTCCTTTATATAAGCAAAGGTAAAAGACAAGGTTTACATTACATTCCTGAAGGAAACTTTCACATTGAAGAAAAGTGATTATGCATTGTTTGTTTTTCACTGACTCAAATCCTCTTTTCTTCACAGTCAGTGACAGATACAATCACAGTGCAGTTCAGAGTTATTTGATAGTCTATAATAATTTTACTTACAAGCTGTTCAGGTTGTTTTTTTGGTTGCAATTCTCTTTAGTTCCCTGAATCACACTGTTGTTGCTAAGTCACACACAAAGAGTGTCTTGCTCTCCAATAAAGAAGTTTATGGTAAAACTAGGGCAGACAGTTGAGCTGCTGCAGCTTTGACTCATGTCCTTTATTTCAAATGTATCATTCAAATAAAATATAATATATGATATTACTAAAATACTTGAGTATGAATAAAGTTCGGTCAAAGCTGCTTGTCTAAAAGGTGCATAAATGATTTGAATCTTATATTTACCTGTTACGGACAAATAGGTTGCACTCCATGAAGTCTCAATATTCCACTCTGATATCCTGCAGTGATACATCCCCTCATCCTCTGAAGTTATGTTTGAAATGATAAGATTGCTTGTATTTTTGTTCATGTTTACATTAAATTTTAGTGCAGGAAACTCTTGTTCATATTCAGGCTTCATATTTTTGTGCAGCCTCACAATCAATTTCAGAGTTTCCCCGGCACGCTGCTTGTACCAGCAGATTGTTTCACGCAACATGTCAGGGAAAACACACATAAAGGTCACGGATTCACCAACTGGAACTGTTTCCACCGGGATCAGCGCATCTAAAATAAAAAGGACAATCAATTCAAATTCAGCAATGATATAAAGGGGGTTTATTGTAATAATCACTTAACATCAGATATGAAAAAAAATTTGAGTCATGAAAACAAAAACTTTCATCACTTACACGCCTGATGGAGGAGAAGCAGTGTTACCCACAAAACGATCATCTTGACACTGTGTCTTGTAAGAAGTCGTCTTGGGTGTGTTGTAACCGAACATGGTGACAAAGACTTCAAAGTCGCTCTCTCAGATGCATCTGATTGGTCAACTCAAGAATCAAAGTTCATTTCCTACCACACTGCCTTGTGGTTGTAAGAAACAAGGCAGCGAGCACATACCTGCTCCCATTAACATTTCACACAAAAATAACTTCAATTATGACGCAGTCCCATCATAGAATGACTGATTCTTTAACAGCTTTTTTTGTACATTTTCTTAACCTTTCTCCACCTTAATTTGGTGATTAAATATCTATTTTAGTTACCTTTAACACATGACTCTCACCACCTGCATGAACACATTCGCTGCCCCAGTAAACACTGTTCATGTACACTCTAAAAAGTGTATGTAGTTGTAACGTTGCACCTTCGACCCTCTTACTTTATCCCTCTGTGCCTTATGAGATTATTCCTTCTCATGCTTTGTAGCTGTCTTACATTAAGGTTGCTTTATTTCCTGCATTGTGAAATGACTCTTTTATTTTGAAATATACCACTTCCTGTGGGGGTTACTGTTTTCACTGCATTGGTAAATTATGCTTTTATTTTGAAATGTACTACCTCTAGCTGATTGTGAGTTATGGAACAGCATGAAAACGGTTCAAGAAGAGTATGAAAGTAAAAATGTGAAAAGGATCAGTAATGCTAAGAGGCACAGGCTCAAATGTTGAATTTACAGTAAATCTTGGAGTGTCAGTTTTTAAAGGGGCTTAAGCAGAAATCAGAACAACACAGATATGACTTTATTTTCAAAAAAGCAAAACCACAACATATTTTCTTGCAGCAATTCACAAATAATTAACATGAAGGCAAGGAGTTGGTCAAGATGTACAGATTTTTTTCTAATGTTAAATGAAAAAAAAAATGCATCAACATAAACTCAGCTTTGATGGGCTTAATATTAGCTTTATAAGGAGATGCATGGTTCGGATTTATATATTATTAACAGGATCAACTTTTTACTTGAGCGTAGACACCGTCCTCGACAAACTCTCTCTTCTTTCTGCCTCGTGTTTTTTTTGCAGCGAAATTCAGAGCAGCATAGTTCAGTTCATCTTCAGTGTCAGTCTGTGCAGAAAAATAGAACATTTAAAAGATGTAGTTATAAAGTTTTTGTATAATTTTTTTTTAACATTTATTCAGCATTATCATTTTGAGTACCACATACTTGTCTGCATGCGTTGACAACTTGCGCTTCTGAAAAAGTCCTTTCTAAAAAAAAATTTCAAGAGACTGATTATAACATGGGTAAATATGCTAAATTTCACATTTTTAATAATGTCATTAGATAAAATTTTGGATGGAAACTCTTGTCTTTGTCCTCAACCATTGGAATAGGCTGAGTTTCTGAGACCATCATGTTTAAATTTTAACTCCACGATGCTGCTTCTGTTCATCAGGACAGTTTCAGTACGCAAAAGCATTTATAGAGGTTTGCGAGTTCATGTGCATAAAATGATAAGAAATATAAATCTTTTGAAAGTCAAACAAGGATTTTAGTTTTTGCTCCAGATTTCACTGTTAGCAGCTCTTACCTTCATGATGTCTGAGTGCTTTTTGTTTGTGTAAGAGGACAACATTTCCAACAACAGAAATGACCAGGCAGACTGCTAATATCCCGATGGCAATAAACTCTGAGTATGGTATCGGGACTGAAAGACAAACAAAGTAATCCATCAGTCGTGATGTTGTCAATGGATTTTGAATATGTACTCCATTTTTTGATGCCAGATCATACCGATGTCCACTTTAGCTCCGTCTCCAAACAGAATCCGTCCACATGTGGCCACAGCGCAGTAGTAAGTCCCAGCATCAGAGGAGCTGATGTTCTTAGAGAAGTGATAAACACAGCTTTTCTGAGGGTCAGATCTCTGGTCACAGTCATCTTGTTTGTTTCCATCAGCGTAGATGAGGTCTGGATGAGATCTATCTGATCCAGCTCTGAACCAGAACACACGGTGACCTCCTGAACACGTTTGATTCTCAGAGTCAGAGAGGACTGAACACTGCAGAGACAGCGAGTCTCCTGGATGGACTGGATCAGAGACTGACTGAACCACAGTCAAGTCTGATGTCTTCTTAGTGTTTCCTGTAAAAACAAACATGTAAAACACAGAATAAAAGTAGTTTCTTGTTAGATCTTATGAGTTATAAAGCATTTTTCATTTGAGAATCCTTTTAACAATTGTTTGGAAACACACAGTTGGACAGTTTTCTCTGACATTTTAGAAAGTACAAATAAACTCAGAGTTCAGTGTAACTGTATAATGAAGATCTCATATTCACCTGTTACTGACAAATAAGTTGCGCTCCAGGTTGTCTCAAAATTCCACTCTGATACTCTGCAGTGATACATCCCCTCATCCTTTTCATTCGTCTTTAGAATAATCAGATTGCTTGTATTCTTGTTTATGTTTACATCAAATCTTGAAGTGGAAAATTCTGGATCATACGCAGAATCTTCACTTGTCTTCAGCCTCACGATTAATTTCAGAGTCTCCCCGGCACGCTGCTTGTACCAGTAGAGTACTTTTCCTAACATAGTCGGGGAAACGCACGTAAAGGTCACGGGTTCACCAACTTGGGCTGTTTTCATCGGAACCAGTGCATCTAGATCAGATTAGAGGGAACAATGAAACAAAAGAAAACAATGATTATCAGAAGAACATCATTGTTAGCAGATATAAAAGGTTTGTAGTCATGTAAACTAAACGATGTATTACTTACACGCTTCATGAAGAAGGAGCAGTGTAGTCCATAACACGATCATCTTGACACTGTCTCATGTAAGGAGACTTCTTTGGTATTTTGTCACTGAACACGGTGACACAGACTTCAAAGTCACTCCTTCAGCACACCTGATTGGTCTCAACATTGAAAGAGCATTTCCTACCACACTGGTTGTTCCTTTTTACATATAAAAAAAATGATTTCCCTTTTTACTTCCTTGAATATTTAATTTGAAAACTTCTACTTTTCTTACCACTTTTGAGGAACCCTTGCAATCCAAACATGGATTGGTTTTTATCTGTTGCATCATATTAAACTTTTCTCCTCCTGGATTTGTTGTTAAGAATGTGTTATTTGTTTTGTGCACTTAACAATAACACAAACATACTAGCTGTTGAACATGCCAGTGTTGTTCATCTACACTATAAAAAGTGTGCTTGGTTATAGCAGCTCTCTGCACCAACAGCTGCTCATGTTTTATTAGTTATAGTACGAAGTGAAAATTTGAATCTGACCACGAAAAGACTAGCAGCTCTGCTGGGTCTTTGTAGTGATCACATGCAGGGACTCTTTGGACACTGAAGACTTGTTGTGCTCAGACTCCTTATTCAAGAGTCGATGAAAGTGACTAAGCTAAAAGATGAACTCTTATTTACTTAAAGAACTCCAAACTAAAACTGGCGTGAAGCTGAACTTTCTGCAAAAAGATAGCTGACATGCTGCAATTTACTTAGGTCTTCATCAGTCCCCAGTGTCGAGGCCAAAGATTGAATATAGAATGGAGAGTGTCTGCCTCCTCGCTGGGTGAAGCTACTCTGAGAACAGCACCCTCTGGTGACGGGCTGCAGTATAGGTCATAAATCCCGCCTTCTCCAGCAAAACTTATGGAGCTGTGGACAAACTTTAGAAATTTATTACACAGAATGTACATTTTCCTCCCCCCTGCTTGCGATATTGACATGTAGTTATTGTAAGACTGGTTTGTGCTCAAGTCCTCTTGTTTCTGTACAACTCTATTTTTAAAAGTTATTAGGGGGGTTCATGTTTTCTATGATTGACACTTGATACAGCCTATAGGCGTACATAGATTGCGCAGCTCACCTGGGGGATACGCTATTTGAGCCGAGCGTCATCACAGCGACTCTCCCGCCGAATGCGTACAACGCTTCTGTGCAATGTTGGTTTCAGGAAGTGGAGAAAAAACGCAGAATTACCGAGAGCTCTTCGGCTTCAAATCCGTGTACTGGCGGGAGGCGGAACCAAGTTGCCCATAGTATATACAGTCTATGATCAATGGTCCATGTTCCTAAATGAGTCCAACTGAAACTAGACTTTTGAAATACATGTAAACATGTTAGTCAGACTGCCATTGCGCTACTTTACACCTGGATAATTCAGTTGGGGATCCAATGTAAACTGCTTAATTGAACTGAATCATGACTGAGTGTTCTGCACATGCTCCAGAGTTCGCACACCAAACTTTTTAGAAAAACAAAACCCCTACAAAGAAAGGATATAAAAAGGACGAAAACTTTCCAATCATTCGAACAAACAGTACAGAGCTGTAAAAACTGTCAGTGTTTTCATTGTTTGTTTGTTTGTTGTATATCCTCTTAGCCTCTTGCTAATGCTTTGATACATAACACATCAACCAGGATGTGACCACGTAGTGAAGCGATGAAGGGGGGCATGTCGTCATCCGCTATACCGTAGGCAGACATGTTTCTGTCAGAGATTATGTTCATGCCCAATGCTTGTAAATAAAAACAAGAATCCAGTGAAATAGCCTAATTGAGCCTCAAAATGACCATAGCTTCACTTAACTGTGTGTGTAAACAAAGTAAAAGAAGAGATGCAATAAAGATGAAGCTGTTATATTTTACATACTAAATGTACAGAGGTGTAAAGTTGACAGTTTTTTCATTGTTCTTACTCATTTGGCGATTGTTTTGACACAGTAGCTCCACTGGGAGGTGACCAGTTGAGCCAGATCATATATCCTTGAGTCATGCAGTCAGTTTGTGGTAAACAGTAGCCGTGGTGATGTGTGTGCAAAGTGTGTTTATGCTGTAGTTTCAATCTGGTATATTTCTAACTGAATCCATGTCAGACTACCGCACAGGGGGAGACCCCCGAGATACAACCCAGCTACCAGTATCTTGCACGCTGCATATGACCTTTGTTTTGGAAGGCGGATGAATCATGGTTTGAGTTAGATTTTTGCAAAACTCTGCTCACCTCTGGTAAAAATGATGACACAAAACACAATTTTTTGTTCATGTTTCATTCATTTTTATTCACACTGCACACTTAAAGCAAATTCAGGGAGTGAGTAAAGTTGATAACTCTATCGTGTGTCCAGTTTGGGAAAGCAGATGTTGGATTTTAAAGAGTCTGTGCTCTGATTTTTTGGGGGGGTTGATCCTCAAAGTTTCGCAGCAGATCTTATTTTTGACAAACTCTCTTTATCGTCTAAGAAGACTGTGAGTAAATGCCCATGCTGAAATGGCCAACTCTCAGTTTTCTCAGTTCACCTCAGCAACCCTGACTTGAGCGTAGATGCTTTCTTCTGTCTCTGGTATTACACCCTTTAGTCCAGCTTTGACAGATTTCCTACGAGTGAATGTCGGTGCAGAATAAATCAGCGAGTCCTCATCTGCCTGATGTGATAAAAATAAAAACACTGGTTAATGACAGCAGAGATCAACATTCACACAACTGCAGAAGAAAACATGTCTTATGATTATCATGTCAAGTTTTTAACTGCACCTCTTTTGTTCCTTGCCGATTTTGCCGATCACTGCCGGCCGTCTCAGTTTGACTCTGCAGAGGAACCTCAGCTGTAAAATTACAATAAAAACTGCTTTAATTTTCAAAAACTTTCGCCTTCTCTTGTTTTATAGGTTGTTGCATATATGACTTTGCTTACCGTTGTCACGAGGATGAGCTTGTCTCCCCAGTTTTATTATTGAATGAACAAGAAAGGCTATAATAATGAAGCTGACAGCCAGAGCAGCGGCCAGCAGATTCAGGACTGTGTTGTTCACTGGAGAACCCATGGTCATAGCTGATAAAGATGTATCCAAAAATTAACATGAACAACTTATTTTAATAAAGTTATTTTACATTTATTAAAGTGATGCAGAAGAAAAGTTGATAACACCCAAATCAGAGACACAAAAGTGTGTTATTCATCACAAAAAAAGGAAATATTTACCTTCATTTGTTTGGTTTGAGTTATTTCCTGATTTTATCTCCTCACATGTGTCCAAAGCACAGATATATGCTGCAGCTTCACAGCAGCTGCTGTTCCTGAAGAAACGGCAGGTGCATCTCTTAGCTAAGAATCCAGCACTGACATTAAATCCTTCAGTGAAATTAAATCCTGAGAGAGACGGACGTGAGTTGTTGCTGAAACAGCACACAGCGGGTTCTCCAGGACAGGGTTTCTTCTCAGACTCCGTTGGATGGACTGGAGTTGGCTTGAGGGTTGTAGTTACAGCAGACTGTGCTGCTATGAAGTAAAATAATTTTTTTAAATGAATATTATAAAAGCAAGTGTTTGACTTGTAAATGAATACAGCATGAGTAGACCTTGTCATGTTCAAGTCTGGTAGAAAATTACAGCGTACTCACCCTCAACTGTCAGGTTTGTTCTTTTCAGAAACGTCAAGTTCCACTGGTTTGTTTGTAGACAGTAGTAAAGTCCTGTATCTTCTAACTTTGCCTTGGTAATACTCAGGACAAATACTCCAGTCTCATATGTGGTCTTCATATGAGAATCAAAACTTGTGAGACTATAAGATTTTCCCAAATAGTCAGGAAATTGTCCAGAACGATGCCTGATCCAAAACAGGCTTCCTGCACCCCTGTTTCTACATGTCATCTTCACATCAGTTCCAGCTTTAACTGTCTGTTCATCATGATCTTTCACACATCCTGGAAAGACATAATTTACATATATTTCAGGTAAATCTACACTCACACAACTTCTCCAACAGCTACCAGAGGATAAAAGTTCTTTAGATGTAAATTTGAAGTCTGACTCACGGTTTATACTTACGTGCCACTTTGAGGATCACCAGGAAGTAAAACACAAGCAGCATTTTCAGGTTAATCCGCCAAAGACATCTGTTAATTTGACTGCACAATAAAACGCTTCACAGTGGTGATATCATTTCATGTGGGAGGGATCTGTTTCACAGTGATCTGATTGGCTTCTGATTACGTTGGTGTCTACCACAGCTGTGGAAATATCTACAATCTTTCCGACCTAAACATGTAAAACAAAACTAGACCAAGCTTTAGTTTGATGTCTCAGAGGGGGTTTTCTACAGCTGACAACAAAGTAGAAATACAGACAGATACCTTATTTTACCTCTGTATGAAACACGAGTGTGCTGTGTGTCTCTGTTTGTATTTACTGGGTTTGGATGCAGCAGGATTTAGAGTTTTTAGTGGTTATGGGTAAAAAAACAACACAACAAACTTGATGTAGGTCAGGAGGTGACTGTGAGAGGCGTTAAACTTGTGGCTATATTTTAACATACTGATTTGCTTTAGCAATAATAAAACATAAAATAACAGAAGTACAGTTGTGGAATCACCTGGACGGAGGTGTGAACTTCATGATTGGTGAATACCCTGAAAAATGATGAATGATAAGACTTAGAGAAGACCTATTGTGCTGATCTGTACTTAAAGACACACACCTTATGGTACTTAGTATAGATGTCGATATCAAACTACAGATGAGATACACGGTTTAACCCTCTGTGGGGCTTTTGGGCCTTTCGTTTCAAGACATTTCTTAAGATTAATATTCAACAATAATCAATAATCTAAAATTATGACATTTATGCACTGGTTGAAAGGGACACCACTATCCTTGCATGGTGGGAAAAAGAAAGAAGACAAAGTTTAATTTAGAAATCAAACATTGACTCGATTTTAAATAGATTTAAATCAATCTCACATCTAAAGTCGAAATTCTCATTTCAGGAACTCCCCTCCTGAAAGAACTCTAACAGACAAGAACTCAAAACCTGACATCAAGTTATGTCGTCCTATCAGGACACTGCTGAAGGACAAGCCTGCCTAGCAGCTCTGTCTAAGACACGCCCACCAGGAAGGTGAAAAAGGTCAGAATGAGCTGGATAACTGTGACAGAAACCTGAGGCTGCTCTTGACCTATAAATGAAAGCTCAAAACCACATGCTGTTAGTAACAGTAAAAATGCTGCTAACACAATCACACTCATCATACACTGACATGGCTAAATGGAGGGATAAATGTTAGTTAGAAGCTGGCATCAGACACTTCCTGTTCATCCGTATGAACTATTGTTGTTGTTCCTGTTTGTCTTTGTCCATCTCTCTCTTTCTGCATCTCCCTCTTTCTCCTCTCTAAACCCACTGCAGTAGCAGCAGATGACTGTCTAACAAGAGTCTGGTTCTGCATAAGGTTTCTGCCTGTTAAAATAAGTTGTTAGAGACATGCACTAAACGTTAAATTAAAAACTCTTTACTTCAAAAAGTAAAATAAAGTATATCTGAGCTCATTAAAACCACAATCTTAGCTTACTCATATTTGAGTAATACTAAAATTAGTGACTCTGCCTGACCTACAGAGTCAAACAAAACCATCAGGGGGAGGACTCTCTGATATTTTAACACCTTTCGTCGCTTTGATGTACCTTCATTTACATTCATCTTAAAGAAAACCACTTATGCATATTCAGGACAGACTCAGAGGTGAGACGAGGGTTCACGGCGTTACCAAGACTGACACAAAATGAAAGTTTCTTGCAGTAGCTTTGACTCATTTTAACATGCTTTGGCTTGCTGTTAACATGAAGGATGAACAAGGACTGATGCAGCAAGATAAGTGCATGTGATTGGAGCAAGCTACATCATTTATTCAATATGCATAATGACACTTCACCAACTGTGTCAGCCATTTGTTGCAGTGCACGAGTCAAACACAAACACATTAGCTGAAAACTCACCAATTTGTAAAGAGTTTATAGGTTTTGTACATGTTGTGTTGTAAAGGAAGTAAACCTGAACCTGGGGTCTTGATGCGTGGGAGTGTAACACAGTCCAATTCAGCACCACGAACAACTTTCTTCGATTTGTTTAGAGGCTAAAAGTGAAAATAACCTCCTATTTGTAACGGTTAAACCTGCAAACAATCAGGCCAGTGCATCGTGGTTTGTGGCCTTAAAGGGGTCAACATGATTCTGACCATGAGCCGAGCTCTTGTGAATGCCATAGATGCACATTGTTGTTTCAGTGGTGCAAAGCTTTTGCATGCAAACACACAAAAGGATGCATGAGACATGCACTCATGGTCACCACGTCAGACAAACAAGTCAAGGATGGAAACTTTAGGTTCTATTGTGGTTTGGCTTCATGCTGAGGTGTGAACACAGAGGGGGCTTTTGTTGCTTCCTCACTCTCAGTATGAGACCATGATAGCCCCTCTACACTTCAGTATAGCTTTACTGAGAAACAAGTGAAATGACTCCACAGTGTTTTGTATTTATCACTCTTTAAAAACACAAAATCTTACACAAGAAAGAATACAGTCTTGAAAAATGTGGTAAACAAAGGTGTCATCAGTCATTTGTTCCTCCCTTTTCTTCATTTAGACTAGCAGGATGTTGAACCATGATCTGAATCATGCAGATTATCAGAGCAGATAATGTTTAACAGCCAGCTTGTGCAATTAATAAATAAAATAGTGTTCTTCTGCAATATGAGGTTTCACAGATCATGTTGATTTTGATCCATTTTTACTAACAGAACAGTCAGAGCTTGTATAAAGACAATGGAAATATACAAGCAAGAAAACCTCAATCTACACTCTTTGTTTCGCGTCGATAATCCTCCTGAAACTTCATGCATCTTTACCCCCCGTATATCATACTGAAGGTCACTTCAGCTCTGCTCTGACTAAACAGCCTCGCAAGTTGGTCAAAGGGTGGAGAAAACAGCCAACTGCAGCCTGTGTGTTTCTGTGAAGGTGATGCATATGCAGGAAAGGGTGTTAGTTTCGAAGAGGGTGGGCTGTCTGAATCAGTCTACATAAGGACAAGAGTCTGAGAGAGAAAAGCTGATGTTTATCACAGTGGTGATTTCGCACGCTGAGGGGGAAGTCATAAGCACAGAGTTTGCTTAGAGAGATGTTACCGTCGCGCTGACTAGACAGGCCACAAATCAGCTACACACACAGACTGAGTCATGGTCTCAAATAAGTCACATATAGACAGGCTCCTGGTGGAACTACAGCAAGTCTTAATCATAAATACTTTAATTTAAAAACAGACTACAGCTCAGTTTTCAAACAAATGTGACAAACTTCCATCAATTTACTCTCATATCCAACTCTTTCTCTCTCTCTCTTGATCCTGCAGATTAATTTGTAATCACACGTTATAGCTAGTATGCTCATTATGTCTTCCTGCTAAGGGAACAAACATGATTTCAGATCTGCCCACATCTATCGACATAAACTAAAAACAGTCAAATTAGGAAAAATGACCAAAAGTTACTTCATGCATTGACAACATTGTTTTTCTGTTCCTTTTTAAAGTAGTTTTTAAACAGTAATGGATATAAAATAGTGAGATGAAGAAATAATGGCCTGCACCGCCCACATCACAGAGTTTACATGCAAAATATCTACATTTGGTGAACAGAGAAGAAGTACCAGACACTGCTGGGAGATCAGGAATGATCAGGTCACCCTCTCCTGACATACAAATTCAGCCGTTTTTTGAAGGCCTCCACAGGGTCCATGTTTGGCATCTTTATACTAAAACACTGAATGTCCCCCCCATCATTTTGAAATATCTGTTTTATCCAGTTTAAGTTAAATAGTCTGTAAATTCCTGCAAAGTTATCAACATATTGTATTACATTATGTGCTCTCTGACATTGTGTCGGGCATACGGTTTGTCTGTGCTGTCATTTAGCTGTTACACCACGAGTGAAATAGTGTGCACTGATGGGGATAAATCAGATATTGTCAGCAACAACTCGTACTTCATAATCCAAAACCTTCCAGTGCATTTCTGTTAAGCGTTAGCCTCACACTCTGATGTATATTTGACACAGAAGTTCACATGTTTATTATCACTTCAAAATAAGGCAAAGCAAGTTTAATTATACAGGACATTTAAGAGGCAAGACAAGAGTGGAGCATCAGGTATCTTTGTCCTTAAATGCAATTAACCTAAACACCATCCAAATCTAAAGATGTTCACATTCATGATTTATCCACATCACCAGCTCTGTGACTGGAATGTCTTTGAGGAGGCTGTCGCTCTCTAGTCCTTTGAGGTTGCTTTATTACCTGCAGTGTAAAACTATCCTTTTATTTTGAAGTTGTCCTTATGGTAGATTATATTTTCTGGAAAACTGAATGAAAACAGGTTAGAGAACCGTCAAAATGTATAAATGCTTGATAACAAATCTGAAGACATACCAGCTCTGATTTTGTTTTTGGGTTCATCGTGAATCTCGGAGCGTCAGTTTTTAAAAAGGCGCCTAATCATTTCACAGCGTGCTGCTAAAGCTAGTGTGCTAGCACCACCACTTTTAACCCAAGGTTCAAGAAAATATGCTCATTTTTAGCAACATACCAATTTTTCAAAGAGATTTATACAGTATATTATCAACTTTTAAAAAGACAGTTATTGTGAATACCTGTGTAAGTCCATCTTATATTCACTATTCAATGATGATTAATCAGTACTGAAAAACAAAATTCAAAACAGACCTGCACACCACACCAATAACAACTAGATCAAACTGCTCTTTCACAGACCTGCTAACTCTCTAGTTCAACCCAAAAGCCTTCAAAGTGTCGCACATCCTCCTCTTCCTCTCTGCTTTTGCACTCTTCACTGCACCGCTGTCAGCTTTCCCCATGCTGAAGACAACAGCAGAGTACACCTGAGTGTCCTCGTTAATCTGAGAATACACAGAGATGACAGTGTGAAACCAAAAATGATGTTTTAGTTGAAGTTTAACCTGCCTCTGAAATACTTTACCTGTTCCTTTATTTGAACACCACTGTTCAGATACAGATTGACAGCAGCTGGAAACAGAAAATATAACATGTATTACATTTGAGGATGAAGTAATTCACACATTTAGATTTGAAGTGAAGTTCTTGGAGGGGTCAAAACTCTCACCTTTCAATTGTTCTGATTCTGCTCTCGGATTTTGGCGGCAGATGAAGACGGTATTAACAACCAGAGAAACACCCAAGCAGACCAGAGCTATGATCAGTGAAATCAATTCAGTACTGGTTTGTTCTGGAAAACAAAAGGATAGTGCCGCAAAAGAAAAAGTTGATTACACCCAAATAAATTCACAAACAAAAGTGTGTCATTCATCAGAAACAAAGGAATTATTTACCTTCATTTGTTTGGTTCCAGTTATTTATTGAATTTATCTCCTCACATGTGTCTAAAGCACAGAAATATGCAGCAGCTTCACAGCAGCATTTCTCAGCTGAGAATCCAGCACTGACATTAAATCCTCCAGTAAAATTAAATCCTGAGAGAGACGGACGTGAGTTGTTGCTGAAACAGCACACATCGGGTTCTCTAGGACAGGGTTTCTTCTCAGACTCTGCTGGATGGACTGGAGTCGGCTTGGGGGTTGTAGGTACAGCAGACTGTGCTGCTATGAAGTGAAATAATTTTTTTAAATAAATATTATATTTCACAGGAAAGCAAGTGTTTGACTTGTAAATGAATACAGCATGAGTAGACCTTGTCATGTTCAAGTTTGGTAAAAAATTACAGCGTACTCACCCTCAACTGTCAGGTTTGTTCTTTTCAGAAACGTCAAGTAATGCTGGTTTGTTTGTAGACAGTAGTAAAGTCCTGTATCTTCTAACTTTGCCTTGGTAATAATCAGGACAAATACTCCATACTTGGATGTGGTCTCCATACGAGAATCAAAACTTGTGAGACTATAAGATTTTCCCAAATAGTCAGGAAATCGTCCAGAACAATGCCTGATCCAAAACAAGCTTCCTGCACCCCTGTTTCTACATGTCATCTTCACATCAGCCCCAGCTTTAACTCTCTGCTCATCATGATCTTTCACACATCCTGGAAAGACATAATTTACATATATTTCAGGTAAATCTACACTCACACAATGTCTCCAACCGCTATCAGAGGATAAAAGTTCTTGAGGTGTAAATTTGAAGTCTGACTCATGGTTTATACTTACGTGCCGCTTTGAGGATCACCAGGAAGTAAAACACAAGCAGCATTTTCAGGTTAATCCACCAAAGACATCTGTTAATTTGACTGCACAATAAAACACTTCACAGAAATGGAATCATTTCAGATGGGAGGGACCTGTTTCGCAGTGATCTGATTGGCCTGATTGATAGTGTTGATGAAAACCACAGCTCACAACCCAACTTTTTTTTCACACACCACAGCTTACATAAAAAAATGCCACCAGAAGAGCTTCACATAAAAACAGTCCCTGTGGATAAACTAAAAGAACAGAAAGAAACCACGAAAAACACGATTAAAAAAATAATAAAACACAACAACATGTTAATCATGCAATCCAAAATTGAAGATTTTTCTCAGTGAGGTAATTCTGTCACTTCAACACATGCAGTAAAGCTGGGGCAGGGCTTTGTGTTTCCTGATAACGCTCTGATTTACAGTGCTTTTGAATGGCAATTTTAATTTCTAATCTTCTACATAGCTTGGTTGACAATTTTAAAGTTGCATTTACAACTTTGTATGGAGGTGCCAACACTGAGCTTAGCATACATGTGCAGCTAATCAGACTGATGTCAGCAGAGCAACTGTTTTGGATTGTCCAAATCACAACACGTAGGCTTGTACATAGAACTACAATGAATACGTTCACCACAGAGCTGCACAGTGAGTACATGCAGTCCTGCACATTTGCATTTGCTGTCCTATGCTTTTGTCTGAAAGGTGGAGTTCATGACCTTGAAATAGATTCAACCCTCAGACCTTGAGTCAGGGTTAAAGTTCAGATAAACACCACAAACAAGTCCACTGAGTTATTTACAAAATGAAAATAGAGATCAGCTAACTTATAGGCTTCAGTCTGCAGTGAATAACACCAATGCTTTATGCTCTGTGGTCTCTGCCAGAATCAACATCATTCGGACCCTGCACCAAAAATAACTCTTTGGCCAGACAGTTTTTCTGAGTGTTGCTGACGTCTTCTGCAAGTTCTTGTGTTCACAGAGTTTTTGTATGAGTGTTGGACTCGCACAGACACAGACGTGTTTATTATCACCTCTGACACACAAATGATATACACACACTTAAGGCTGTGTTGTGGTTGTGGTTTCCTTTGTCTTCTCTTTCTGAGATCTATGATAGTCGGCCTGCACTGCTCAATACTGTTTGATAAAGAGCAGCAGGGGTTTGTTACTTATTATTCTTTCACATGAAAAAAGTATATTCTGACAATTTAATGCCTGCTTTTTATCACATTTTGGTGCTAATTACTTGTTGTTCTTATGAGGTGGTTACAATTCACCCCCCATACAGACACTTATGACCAAAACAGGACGCTACACTGTGATCTTAGAGATAAAATACGTAGAGATGTGACAACAGTCCACATTTAAAACATTGCAGTGTTGTCTCCCCCTCCCCCTGAACTTATTCTTAGCAAAGTACAGACTAGTTCCTGTCCATTTTTAAAACCTGTCACCATTAGCTGAACGCGGAGCTGGGCATGATCAACTTTCATCACATAGGTTTATTTTAAAATGTATCTATAATACAAAAATCTCAAATGTTTTCTCTGACATCCTAATCTTTTTGTTTAGCTGGCTTCCCTGCAGGGTCACAACACTGGCTACAGACATACACCGAGGGAGGGGGCAGATCACAAACGACTCTGCTCTAAAAATCCAGCTGTTAAATACAAATGATTCCATTCAGGAGCCAAATGAGTCGTTTTTTGCTGGGTCAAATAACTTGGATCGCTAAAATGAGCTGAAATTCCCATCACAAAGAGGAAGAGGAAGTTATCAAACTCTCTGACATGAACCACAAACGAAATGATCAGGAGCAAACAGTCTGAGTAGAAAGACTGTTGGAGTAATCCGTGGGTCTTTGTAGATCTAATGTGTGTGGGAGAAATGATTTACTGGACCTGGATCTCAGGGATCTCAGCTGCTGCTGCAGGAGGAGGGTCTGTCTTTAACAGGTATCAGTTTTAACTTGTTAACTTCTGTTAATTTTCAATTGATCCGAATTAGAGAACTTTTGCTAACAGATAAAGGTTAAAGGTTGTTAAAGTTTGATGAACTATGTGTACCTCTGTTTGAATATGTGGTTTTGTTAAAAGTAGATAAATCAGCATGTTACACTGGAAAAACACCCAGTGCTCTGATAACATACCCACTTTGGGGTGACTAACTATCAGCCTTTGTACTTTCTAAATCCTCTTAACCTAGAGCTAGTTTCAACAGCTAACATGTAAATCATGTTTTAGCTTGCTAGCGATTAGCAGGTTAGCTTGTGCTAGGATGGCAAGCTCTCTGTGGCTCTGCCAGCTTTGTGTTGTTAAATAATGTACCTGTTAGCTTGATATGCTATCACCTCTCGAAAAGCAACGTTCAGTTAAAAATAAGGTCGATTTTTGCTTACTTGTCATCCGGTGACAATTAATCAGCTCTGCATTAGTCTTGAAACCCTCATGTGCTCTTTTATTCATCAAAAACATCCTCTATATTTACCTAAATTTTAACAGTGACGAATTGATCACATTTTCTTTTTTCTTCCTTTTTTTTTTACACAACAGTCAATGCAAGTTAGTGTTTTTAGATTGATATGTGTGCATGTTGCATAGGGGGTTTGACAGCAGTATGTAGTAAGTGTTTTTGAATACAGCCTAGTCTCCTCTGTACACATCCTGTTAAAGGACGTATTTGTGACGTTCTGTAGTTAAACAAACGAAAAGAAAACCCAAATACAGGAAAAAAAAGGGTTTATTTAAAAAAAAAGAACTAAGTAAGAAGCAACAAAAACTTACTTGTAATGTCCGACTCAAAAATCCCAAAGGCAAAATCAACAATATACATATATATATATATATATATATATATGTATGTGTGTGTGTGTGTGTGTGTATGTGTGTGTGTGTGTTTATATTTTGGATGCATTCTTAAGTGGAAACCTTTCTTTTGCTGTTGCAGCACCACGCAGTGCATCCCACCTTGAATGAAACGCCACAAACTTCAGATTCAGGAAAAGTTCAGCGGCAGAGTGGATGTATCCTGTTTAGTTGCCAAAACCCCAAACCTGACAGAGCTCAACGGTAAGTGTGAATCAGCATGGCTGTTCTTTTCTTTATGAAGTACTATTTAAGCCTGTTATCGTAATTCTAATATTTTATTATTATTTTTATTATTATTTAGAAGATAAAAAAACAGACCAGAGTGAAGTTCAAGCTGCTTTTATCAAAGAAATTTAAACATTAGGCAAAAACCAATTCAATTGCAACACATACTGGTGGTGGTATCAGCTTGATACCAACAATGTCCACATCAATATGTAAACATACCATTTAAACAGTCTCTCTTGATCATTACTTTATATCACTCATAATAACCTTGCTGTGTATTACAGAATAATTTGGAGTAATTTCAAATATTACACACATTACAGAGAAAGTTGTATGAAAAAAATGCAACAAAGTCCTCCTGACCTACTTAAACATATATAATTTCACGGTTAGCTATCCAACATTAGCTATCAAACAAGTTTTAACACTGTTATTTTATGTTTTCAGGAATATAAAAACCTCTAATTTCGAATCTAGCAAACAAAATTCAAGTAACCCATGTAAGTCTTTACTCACAGTTGAGCTCTTGTCACACCAATAACAACTAGATCAAACTGCTCTTTCACAGACCTGCTAACTCTCTAGTTCAACCCAAAAGCCTTCAAAGCGTCGTAAATCTTCCTCTTCCTCTCTGCTTTTGCACTCTTCACTGCACCGCTGTCAGCTTTCCCCATGCTGAAGACAACAGCAGAGTACACCTGAGTGTCCTCGTTAATCTGAGAATACACAGAGATGACAGTGTGAAAACAAATATGATGTTTAAGTTGAAGTTTAACCTGCCTCTGAAATACTTTACCTGTTGCTTTATTTGAACACCACTGTTCAGATACAGATTGACAGCAGCTGGAAACAGAAAATATAACATGTATTACATTTGAGGATGAAGTAATTCACACATTTAGATTTGAAGTGAAGTTCTTGGAGGGGTCAAAACTCTCACCTTTCAATTGTTCTGATTCTGCGCTTGGATTTTGGTGGCAGATGAAGACGGTATTAACAACCAGAGAAACACCCAAGCAGACCAGAGCTATGATCAGTGAAATCAATTCAGTACTCGCTGTTTGTTCTGGAAAACAAAGCAGTGAATAAACAACAATGTAATGATGGTGATGTTGGAATATCACAAATACCATTCCCGGTTCTGTTCACAATCATACCGATGTCCACTCGAGCTCCGTCTCCAAACAGAATCCTTCCACATGTGGCCACAGCGCAGTAGTAAGTCCCATCATCGGAGGAGTTGACGCTCTTCGAGAAGTGATAAACACAGCTTTTCTGAGGGTCAGATCTCTGGTCACATTCAGCTTGTTTGTCTCCATCAGTGTAGATGAGGTCTGGATGAGATCTATCTGATCCAGCTTTGAACCAGAACACACGGTGACCTCCTGGGCACGTTTGATTCTCAGAGTCAGAGAGGACTGAACACTGCAGAGACAGCGAGTCTCCTGGACGGATCGGATCAGAGACTGTTGGCCTTTGGACAACTTGTAAGTTTGACATCCTCTGAGTGTTTCCTGCAAAAAGAAACGATCTTCTCAGTTAAAACAGGTAGAGAGCACTGTCATGGTAAAAATACTTTTTCTTCCATTTGGAGGAAAACTAGAGGACAGGCTGTGAGCCGAGCTGCAGCCTGCTTTTGCTCGCGTTGAGGATGAGAGTCCTCTGAGTTTCATGGTTTCCAAAGATTTTACCTGGCTCCTCCAGACCATGATCAGGTTGCTTATAACAAGCTAAGGACTAGCAGGCTAGATGACAATATAAAGGCTGTTATATAAAAGCCTAAAAAGGACCATTCAAGAGTATTTAAGAATCTTGCACCCTGTTTACGACCCTGTTTTAGGGGCAGAAATCAGATTTCAGGAAGTTTAGCATTAACTCAAGGCAAGGTTATTTCTACAACACATTTCAGCAACATGGGAATTCAAAGTCCTAAACACGGACATTAGAAGAATCATTACTGAGGTCAGAAAAACATATTAAAGAAAAACATTTAAAAGGCAAAAAAACAGAAAGTTGAAGAAAATATGACAGTTGATAAAAGCACAAAATGTATATATATATATATATATATATATATATATATATATATATAGATAGATAGATAGATAGATAGATAGATACTCTTTTAATCCCAGTGGGAAATTCAAAGATGTTGATTTGTTAATACTGAATGTCTTCTCTTGGAACAACCTTAGCACTTGCCATTCTAAATTTATGCCATGAGCTAAAGCCCGAGGTCACCACCAAGCATGCAAGAGACATCCTGACTAGGAAAACGTTTAGGCTGTCGTCAGCATGGTTGAACTGTGTTTTAAGCATGTTGACAGGTAGTGTACAGGTGGCCTTCTCATGGAAACCAGCAACTTGGACAGCCTCATCTCCTGATTTGACTCAGATTGCTGAGTTCTTAATCAAAGGTTCTACACTTAGACTTAGACAAGGTACAACAACGCTAGTGGTGTCTAGTGTAGAGCTTGGCAGCAGGGAAGTTCCCCGGCGGGACAGCTACTGCAGTCATCACCTAGAAGATTGAGACATGTCACTACCTGCTGTAGGTGATCCATTCTGTGCGCGATGCAGATTTTACCGCCTAACGCAGATTCACAAACTGTTTTTTCTTTTAAAAATCCAAATACATTCAACATGTAATCAGCCCAGAGCATGTTACTGGAAATTAAAACTCACAGACTGATTTTTCTTCTGTGCCAAGTCACAGCCTGAAGCTGGCTCAGACGTTATGACTCCCCAACAGGATGTCCTTTTTAACGCTGTTTAATCCCACATTAAATCACATTTACCCTACTGTCGAGATACAACTGAGTTCAAAATGCTTAAAATGATTTTTTAAAAGCCACTGAAAATCAAAGCAAGAAAAAATGAAATAAAAACTGTAAGAAAAGATCAAAATCTATCAGACTACCTCTGTTTTATTTTTTCAACTGATCAAAATTCAAACTTCAGTTATTTTCGAGGAGATTAACTCTTATCCCAGTTTATGTCTTCGTTAACGACTTACTTTTAAATAAAATTAATATTGATAAACTGCACCAACGCTGGAATAAATGGCCGGATTAACAACTTTTTAGTCAAACTTAGAAAACTTTCATGCAGGATTAAACCCGAGTCGGCTAGCACACCGTTTGAATGGCTTATTCCTAAATACATCACCACTTCAAAAGTCCTCTGAGCTGTCATTTTAAGTTAGAAAGATTTACCTTTCAACGACAAATACACCCCACTCCAAACAACATTGATCCACTCCGAGACGGCGCAATGATACATCCCCTCGTCTTCTTGACTCGTCCTCAAAATGGTCAGATTGCCCATCGTCTTGTTATTATTCACAACAAATCTGGAAGGTGAAAATCCTGCTCCATACACAGGCTCTATATGTGTCTGCAGCCTCACGATCAATGCCAGAGTTTCCCCTGCATTCTGCTTGTACCAGAAAAGTCTGCTGCTAAATATGTCAGGATGAACGCATGTCAAAGTAACCGCTTCACCCAGTTGGACTGTGGTCACTTGAGGCTTTGCGTCTGTAAAACACAATACATACAAATTAGACGGTAAGTATAACATGCTCAAAAAGGAAGTAAAATAACATCACATTTCTAGACTGCATTCAGATTCTCTAATAGGGAAATATTTCGCTGTTGCACTTACATCCCTGTTGAACGAGAAGCAGTGTGAGCCATAAAATCTCCATTTTGACGCTGTCTTCGTCAGAAAACACCTTTTTCAGTGCGGGTGTTGTCCTGTTTCACAAGTCACACAAATTGTGCCGCTCATTGGTTATTACCGACTGAAGAGGATTTCCTGCCCCACATTGTCTTTAGCCTTGCTATGCACTCTCTCTCTCTCTCTCTCTCTAAAACACCTGGTCTGAAGTTTTTTTTTCACCTTTATAAGCCAAAATCTACGATGACTGACAGAAAACTCCTCTAGACAGTTTGAATTTAAAAAAGGCCTTAAAGTGTACAAGCATACCTCCTACCGGCAGCTTTGATTTTAATATAAGTGTAGCTTTTCTGTTAGTTATCAACTAACTAAATATACACAAAAAAAACAGTCTGATTTTAAATACACAAGACATGATTGCAAGATTTGATTTTAATAAAAGGATAATAACTTTAATAATAATAACTTTATCCTTACAGCAAAACAGAAGTTTACAAAGTGCACAGAACATCAGCGCATGAAGATAAAAACAAAAGCTCAGTTAAAACAAGGCCTCCGAATTGAAGGCCATTTTCATTTGTCATAAGAAACCCAGACAATACAAGAACCCTACAACATAAAATGAGACCATGAGGACTAAAATAAAAACATAAAATAGGTAAGAAGAAGAAATGTAATAGAAAAGGGGGTAGAAAGCAGGAAACAGGATAGTAAATATAAAAGAGAATATTAATAATGATAATACAACAATAATGATGGTAATATTAATGATAAAATGGAATAATAAAAATGAGCAGAAAAAAAAAAATCAATAAAGGGCCTAAAAGGTAAAATAAGAAAAGATTATAGGTAAAACAAAGGTTAAAAGGACAGTAAGTCGAAATAAGATGGAGGTAAAAGAGATAAAAGAGAAAAGAAAAAAAGGGAAAAGACGGCATCACATAAAAGGAAGTCTGTAATTGTGAGTTTTTAAATTTGACTTTAAAGAAGCGACTGTCTCTGCTCGCCTTATCTCCTCTGGCAGGTCATTCCAAAGTCGAGGAGCTCTGATGGAGAAAGATCTATCACCTTTAGTTTTGAGCCTCAACTTTGGAACGACCAGGAGGCCTTCGCCAGAGGATCTGAGGCTGCGAGTTGGCTCATAAGGTATTAAAAGCTCTGAAATGTAGCTTGGAGCAAGTCCTTTGAGCGCTTTGAAAATAATTAATAAAATCTTGAACTAGTTGGAGGTGGGAGGATGAAATGCTGATCCAAAAACACAATTTTCATTTAATAATAATGATGATTAATAACAAGACACACTTAAAGTTGACACCTCTGAAACAGACAAAACTTACAAATACAAAACCTTTCTTTTTTATAAAAGCACAGTTAGACAAACACATCAATATGAAAACGTTCAAAAATCAAGGAAAAAAGTGACCGATTTAAGAGGCAAAGAGCTTTGGGACATCACTGCAAAAAAACTGAAATGATGTCTGTTCACTCTATGTTCACTCTAAGAACTGCAAAGAAAGTACACAAAAATATTAAAGGTGCACAGCTTTATTACAACAAGGCTAGAAAAGTATCATTCTGTTCCATAAAGTCGCCTGAATGTAAATCTATTATTTGGATGATTTGGCCACAGCAGCTCTGACTCCAGAGTAAACGATTTCTTCTTCCGCTCTCTTTTTGTTCCTCCTCTCACCTTTGCAGGGTTTCTTCTTAGAAAATGTGGGTGCAGCATAAACCAGTGAGTTGTCATCTCTCTGAGAATACACACAGAAAAAAATGTAACATGACCGCTGTTTATTTTGAGGAATAGAGAAATATTTTCAGCCTCTGTGTGTTTCTTACCTGACGACTTTGCCGATCGGCGCTGGCCTTCGCAGCATTTCTACGCTCATCATCAGCTGCTGTGATAAAGTCAAACCAAAAACATGATCTGTTATTTAACAAAGAGCTGTGATTTTCACTGTATGATTGATTGTTATTGGAGAAAGTGTTATTACTGTTGCAGGGAGCTCTTGTCTTGATGGTATAAATCAGGAAAGCTATAACAATCAGACATGTGACCACAGCAGCTGAGAGCAGATACAGAGCGATGTAAAGTAGCTCATCATTTCCTGGAACAAACAAGAATGAGAATTTAAAAAATTAAAGTGCTTTAGATAAATTTAAGATTAATTTCTAATCCTGACCTGCACAAAGAACAAACGTCTTTAAGCTCACTCTATCAAATGGCAACATTTTTGTTTAAAACTGCGCATTGTTCTTTTAAAATAGATTAATAAGGTAACGTTTCACAACATGGATCACATCAGATAGGAAATAAATGCTAATGGATCATATGAAATGTTCTGTACTTACCTTCAGAGGTGAGCTTTTTTCCATTTCCAAACAGTATCTCTCCACATGCGACCACAGCACAGTAGACAGTCTCATCATCAGAGGAGCTGACGGTCTTAGAAAAGCTGTAGACACATCTCTGCAGAGAGGGAGTCTCTGGACTCTCCTCACATCCATCACTTTTGTTTCCATGAGTGTAAATGACACTGGGACGGGAATCATCTGATCCAGATCTGAACCAGAACGCTCTGGGTTTATCTGGACAGGTTTTGCTGCTCTTGTCACTGAGGACTGAACACTGCAGAATCTTTGAGTCCCATGGACGGGCTGGATTAGATAAAATATCTTGAACAACTGAGATGATATCAGGTCCTGGTCCTTTATTTTTAGACAAAGAGAAAGTTTTTTAATGGACTTTTTTCTAGATTCATGAAAAAACTTCTACTCTCACATCTTTATTTATGAGGAACATTGAAAATGCTGATGGTAGTTTGATTACATTGTTAAGCAGCCATAAAAAAAAGGTCTAAGTATACTTCATTTACCTTTAATCCTCAGAAATGTTCTCTTCAAAAGATTAACATTTAATTGGTCTTGTCTTATACAAAAGTAAAGTCCAGTATCTTTGAGCTGTGTTTTGTTGATGATCAGGACAAATGTTCCAGGTTCTTTTTTTACAGTGAAGTGAGGGGTTTTGTGAACAACTTCATAGTCAAAGTCATATGTTCCTCCCAAAAATTCAGTTAAATCTCCAGAAAAGGAAGTATTTCAACTAAAGTTCAAAGTTAAAGTCAGAGTATATAAATGGAAGTTATGAGATTTATTCTTACATCTCATTTCATGTGGAACATTATATCTGCTGATATCACTCAGGGTTGATTCTAACTTTAAGGAAGTAAAAAGTCTGTGAAGTGTATTTTATTTACCTTTTATCCTCAGAAACGTTCTCTTCAAAAAAGTCACGTCAAGTTGTGTTTGTTTTACACAAAAGTAAAGTCCAGTATCATTGAGCCGTGTTTCATTGATGGTCAGGACAAACTTTTTAGGTTCTTGTTTTGCTGTGAAGTGAGGGGTTTCGGTAACTTCGTCATAGGGAAAAGTAGAGGTTCCTCCCAAAAATTCAGGCGTGCCTCCAGAAACCATCCTGAACCAGAATAACTGTGTTGACAACCAAGAGGTATCCCGAGGACACGACAAAGTCACACCATCTTTCACACTGACTGTTATTGTCTCGTAGTTCTCATCAGCTGTGCAGCCTGAACAAAATGAGGAAATATCAGTGTTGAACAAAAGCGAAAGATAGTTTTTTTTCCCCTTTTAGTGAATAATTTAAAGTATCAAACTCAAAAATACAAATCTGATTCACTTTAGAAAATGTTACTTACGACTCAGTCTGAGCGCCAGGAGTAATAAAAATGCAGTCAGCATGTCCTTGTCAGTCCAGTTACGACAGCACTAAACTGAGCTTGAAAAAGAAGATGATTCCTCTTGATATAATCACATAAAGTGGGAGGAGACAGTAACAGGCCGACCTGATTGGCTTGTTATTATGATGTTACTTACACTGTTCGACCACAATGGAAAAAAACAACCGTCTTTCAAACCAGAGCACATAAAATGTGACCAGCAGCAAGCTTTTCTTTCCTGTTTCACAGTTGTTTTCAACAAATAACCCTGAATGGAAACGCCCATACACCAGCTTCATTCTGTATATCTATAGACTGTGTGATATAGTTCATGCAGAAAGAGCTAAGTTAGTTAGCTTCTTTGTGAAGCTTGCTATTTAGCATTTTAGCAACACTGTGTTTTTTTTTGTCTGTTTTGTTTCATCAACATTTGATCAATACAAGTGATACACATCAGCCCCTTTCACACATGAACCACAACACTGAAAATTTCTGGGCATTTTCAGGGTTGAGCTGCGGGTGCTAACACAGATCTGGATATTTAGTCTGGAAATTAACTTATTCTAGTTTGCAGATAAAATTTTCAGCATTTTAAGGATTTGATTATAAAGGGACCTTGGTTTGATATGAGAAATGAAAGTGAAATAATCACTGTGTAGCATGTGAATTCTCAACCCAATCAATAAAGATGTTGTATATTATCATAGAATTTACCCCATGATGCATAATTAAAAAAATACCTAGGGTTAGGGTTTGACCCATAGACTGTATATAGAATGGACAGTGTCTGCCTCCTCGCTGGGTGAAGCCACTTCGAGAACAGCACCCTCTGGTGATGGGCTGCAGTATAGGTCATAAATCCCACCTACCCCAGCAAAGGTTATGGGGCTTTGGACAAACTTTTTAAACAAACACACACACACACACACACACACACACACACACACACACACACACACACACACACACACACACACACACACACACACACACACAGTTGCGTTGTTGACATGTAGTTATTGTAAGACTGGTTTGTGCTCAAGTCCTCTTTTTTCTGTACAGCTCCATTTTTAAAAGTTATTAGGGGGTTCATGTTTTCTATGATTGACGCGTGATACAGCCTATGGGCGTACGAAGATTGCGTAGCTCACCTGGGGGATACACTGTTTAAACTGAGTGTCATCACAGTGACTCTCCTGCCAAATGCGTACAACGCTACTTTGCAATGTTGGTTTCAGGAAGTGGAGAAAAAAACGCGGAATTACCAAGAGCTCTTCGGCTTATAATCAGTATACTGGCTGAGGGCGGAACAAAGTTGTCCATAGTATATACAGTCTATGGTTAGACCCCAGGTCTTCTTTATTTTCATCCTCCAGCCATCTGTGATCATGTGACCTCTGACTTAAAACACAAACGAATATGTCACTAGTTTGTCCATTCTGTGTTACAGTAGAAACATGGCAGTGTAAGATGGTGACCTTGTGTGTCGATATAAAAGGCTCATTCTAAACAAGCAAAAACAAAAAACTAACACTTTATTTGAAGGGTTGACATAACACTGACAATACGCTGTCATAATCATGACATGACACCTGTCATTAACATGAATAAGGCTTAATTAGGTTGTCACTCAGTGTCACTATGACACCTTTGGTGCTATGATGATGACAGGGCCTTCTCAAACAATGTCAACATAGACCAAAGGTGTCAAAGTTTACTGAATGATACAGACCACCCATACAGGAAGTGACAGAACAGGCTACTTCCTGAGGAGGCTGTGGTGTTTTAACATCTGCAGGAAACTCCTGTGGATGCTGTATCAGTCCATGGGTGCCAGTGTCCTTTTTTATACACTCCAGTGTGCAGCAGCCCAGCAGAGCAATGACATATTTCATACACATATAGTTGCTGTGTGTGGCCTAAATAGAGCAATGAGCTCTGTGACATTCAAGGTAAGAAATATGACCTTTGCTGGTCTTAAACATCTTGACTTGACCTTCCAATGTTCACTAGACCTGGACATGAGTTCAACTCTGCTTACAGCTTTAATTATTTTTCAGTGTTTTTCTTCTGGGTATATTTTCATTGTGTTGCTTGCTGGCTGATCATGTCTAGAGTTGCTGCAACATCTGAATTTCTCCTCTTCAGAACAATAGTCTTATCTCATCTTGTTGAAGAAACAGGATTTTATCTCTGTAAAAACTTCCCTAACAGCTTTTTTTATTCAACATCTCAATAAAAACAGTTTTTTCTTATGATTGGAAGCAACAAAAACCACCATCTTAATTTCAATCATCCTTTTACTTTTGAGAAACAAACATGTAAAGCTGACAGCATACAAACTACATTCAAGAGAAAACAGGCAGATGGGATTTCAAATAAAAAAATTTTAAAAAAGACTCAAAAACAGAGAAACAGCTGATGTGACTCTGGTTCAAAGTGCAGGACATTACTTAAAGCTCCTGATAGTAAATTCCTTTTTCATAAAATAACAGAAGCAAATACAACTACTGCAAACATGTCAACATATAATGTCAGAGACCACAGTCTTCTTAATATGTCAAATAAGATGAACAGATAAACAGTTTCCACTGTCAGTCTGTCGCAGCAGTTCTGACGCCGCTGTAGATAATCTGGTCCTCTGCTGGTTTTACATTTCTTCTCGGTCCTTTGTCAGTTTTCCTCTTCTTAGAAAACGCTGGTGCGGCATAAACCAGTGAGCTCTCATCTCTCTGAGGATATACACCAGGAAATGTAATGATAAGGCTGATATTAAAATTAACGGAAACAAAGACTTTCAGTATTTTAACATTTCTGTCAATCTCTCACCTGCAGACTTTGCTGATCTGTGCTGGAGGTCGCAGCATTTCCACACGGATCAACAGCCGCTGTGTTAAAACCAAATCAAATATAAAGTCTATCAATTGAAACAGAGCTGTAATATTAACTCTTTGGTTGATAAATGATGTTAGAAAATTTCCATTACCATTGCAAGAAATTGTCCTGATTGTACAAACCAGAAAAACTATAACAAACAGACAAAGAACCAAAGCAGCTGAAAGCAGATAGAGAGCTATGTTGGTCTTCGAATGCTGCATGTTGTTTCCTGAAATAAAGCAAATACTTGAGGTTCACAATTATTTCAGTAAAAAATTACAGTTGATTTAAAATTTTACAACAATCACTTTTGTGGAAAAACTTTTCAAATTCTGGATAAATGTTTGCACAACATATCAAATGACAACATTTTTGTTTAAAACTGCACATTATTCCTTTAAAATAGATGAATAGGTTAACTTTTCCAAACATGGATCAGATCAGATATGAAATAAATGCTAATGGTTCATATGAAATGAACTGTACTTACCTTCAGAGGTGAGTTTTGTTCCATTTCCAATCAGTATCTCTCCACATGCGACCACAGCACAGTAATAAGTCCCATCATCAGAGGAGCTGACGGTCTTAGAAAAGCTGTAGACACATCTCTGCAGAGAGGGAGTCTCTGGACTCTCCTCACATCCATCACTTTTGTTTCCATGAGTGTAAATGACACTGGGACGGGAATCATCTGATCCAGATCTGAACCAGAACACTCTGGGTTTATCTGGACAGGTTTTGCTGCTCTTGTCTCTGAGGACTGAACACTGCAGAGTCTTTGAGTCTTCTGGATCAGGTGAAATGTCTTGAGCGATTGCAGTGATATCAGGTCCTGGTCATTATAGATTTTAAAGAGAAAAACAGAGATTTTGCTCAAGGAAGTATTTCAAGTAAAGTTCAAAGTTAAAGTCAGGGTATGTAAATGGAAGTTATGAGATTTATTCTTACATCTATTTTCATGTGGAACATTATATCTGCTGATATCACTTAGGGTTGATATAATTTAAGGAAGTAAAAAGTCTGTGAAGTGTATTTTATTTACCTTTTATCCTCAGAAACGTTCTCTTCAAAAAAGTCACGTTAAGTTGGCACAGTTTTACACAAAAGTAAAGTCCAGTATCATTGAGCCGTGTTTCTTTGATGGTCAGGACAAACTTTTCAGGTTCTTGTTTTACTGTGAAGTGAGAAGTTTCAGTAACTTCTTCATAGTCAAAGCTCGGGGTTCCTCCCAAAAATTCAGGCGTGCCTCCAGAAACCATCCTGAACCAGAATAAATTTGTTTCCAACCAAGAGGTATCCCGAGGACACGACAAAGTCACACCATCTTTCATGCTGACTGTCTTTGTCTCGTAGTTCTCATCAGCTGTGCAACCTGAACAAAATGAGGAAATATCAGTGTTAAACAAAAGCGAAAGATAATAAGTGAATAATTTAAAGTATCAAACTCAAAAATACAAATCTGATTCACTTTAGAAAATGTTACTTACGACTCAGTCTGAGCACCAGGAGTAATAAAAATGCAGTCAGCATGTCCTTGTCAGTCCAGTTACGACAGCACTAAACTGAGCTTGAAAAAGAAGATGATTCCTCTTGATATAATCACATAAAGTGGGAGGAGACAGTAACAGGCCGACCTGATTGGCTTGTTATTATGATGGTACTTACACTGTTCGACCACAATGGAAAAAAACAACCGTCTTTCAAACCAGAGCACATAAAATGTGACCAGCAGCAAGCTTTTCTTTCCTGTTTCACAGTTGTTTTCAACAAATAACCCTGAATGGAAACACCCATCCACCAGCTTCATTCTGTATATCTATAGACTTTGTGATATAGTTAAATGCAGACAGAGCTAAGTTAGTTAGCTTCTTTGTGAAGCTTGCTATTTAGCATTTTAGCAACACTGTGTTTTTGTCTGTTTTGTTTTATCCATGTAGGATTAATGTCTGAAGTGATAACATCACTTTCACACATGAACCACAACACTGAAAATTTCTCAGCATTTTCAGGGGAGAAGTGCTAACACAGATCTGGATATTTAGTCTGGAAATTAACTTATTCTAGTTGCAGATAAAATTTTCAGCATTTTAAGGATTTGATTATAAAGGGACCTTGGTTTGATATGAGAAATGAAAGTGAAATAATCACTGTGTAGCATGTGAAACTCAACCCAAATAAAGTCCCAAGACATCATATCATGATCATAGAATGGACAGGATCTGCCTCCTCGCTGGGTGAAACCACTTCGAGAACAGCAACCTCTGGTGACAGGCTGCAGTATAGGTCATAAATCCTGCCTCCACCAGCAAAGGCTTGTGGGGATGTTGGTCTCAGTTATTCTCTCACTGTGGACAACAGAGGAGAAGAGCTGAGCTTAAGAGCGTAGGTGGTCTCTAAAGACCTGAGTCTTGAGCTTTTTCTTAAAGGTAGAAAGGGACTCTGTGGATCTGATAGAGTTTGGTCATTTATTCCACCATCACCAAAGGCTAACAGAGGAGAAGATTCTGGGGAGTGACGAAAGGCCTTTTGTGATGGGAGCACCAGACACAGTCCAGTGGCAGAGCATTACATGTGGGAGAGAGTTTAGACCTGCATGAGGGACGACAAGGTTGGCAGGAGCTGATTGAAGGCAGGAAGTAGGGCCTTATATTTCATGACAGCTGCTACTGGAAACCAGTGGAGAGAGATGAACAGTAAAGTGATGAGCTGATTCAGGTTGGTGAAAAACTGGACAGGCTGCTTCATTTTGGTTCATCTCCAGAGGTTTGACTGTCCTACAGGGAGGCCTGCCAGTGAGGAGATGCAGTTGTCAATGTGTTTACAGTAGAAACATGGCAGTGTGAGATGGTGACCTTGTGTGTCGATATAAAAGGCTCATTCTAAATAAGCAAAAACAAAAAAGTAACACTTTATTTGAAGGGTTGACATAACACTGACAATACGCTGTCATAATCATGACATAACCCCTGTCATCAACATGAATATGGCTTAATTAGGTTATCAATAAGTGTCACTATGACACCTTTAGTGCTATTATAATGACAGTGCCTTTTCAAACAATGTCAACATAGACCAAAGGTGTCAAAGTTTACTGAATGATACAGACCACCCATACAGGAAGTGACAGAACAGGCTACTTCCTTAGGAGGCTGTGGTCTTTTAACATCTTCAAGAGACTCCTGTGGATGCTGTATCAGTCTGTGGGTGCCATACTCTCTTTGCTTTTCAGCTCTGGAGGTTGTGACTTGTTATTGAGGGGTTTGCAAACTCCAAATTAATAAACCTTTACAGAGGACACCCTTGGCTTTTTTAACTTTCAGGCCCATTTCCTTGTTACCTGACACTGGACTCTCTGGTGACGGTGGAGGAGAACTGAGGACAAACTACTGGAGATTATGGATGATGCCAGTCATCCTCTGCACACCATCATCATCAACTTAAGTGACAGTCCGCTCCTTCCTGTTGGAGGTGAGAAAACACATTTTGTACTACGTTTATGTCATTTCCTCGTTCTCTTCCTGCTGGTCTAATGTGCAAAGAAGGAGCATGCATCAAAACACTGAGACGAAACATGAGTGACTGGTGCTTTTCTTAGTCACTTTTTAAGTCACTGCGAGATAAAATGATCAATAACATTTTATTAGATCTTTAATCTTTATATATAGTGCTTTTTATTTCTTACTTATTTAAACATTATGTTTTGTTTGTAAATACTGATGCTGCTGGAATTTTAATTTCGATGGATGAACCTTCCCAAAAGGATCAATGAAGTCTATCTGCAAAAAAAGCACAATAAAACACAGCACTTAGCACCCTTTATGCACTCATGTAAGGTGTTATGTTCCTACTTTCTTTAAATAACTCAGTCTTTTTGTATTTTAAGAAAGTAAAACAAAAGTGAAGTTTAACTTCTTGGGATTCAGAGAGTGTCAAATTAGAAAATAGCTCTGTTTTCTCACCTCAGTGTGTGAGGCCAAACCACACAAAGAGAACAGAAGTTTACACCCTACACTCACCATACCCCACTCACCATCAAACAGGAAGTAGTCTTTTGAAGGGCTTGAAATACTTGTAGAGTCACTAAATGAGGTACACAGGAGCCCAGCAGAGCAATGACATATTTCATACACATAAAGTTGCTGTGTGTGGCCTAAAGAGAGCAATTAGCCCTGTGACCTTCAAGGTTCAGAAATACGACCTTTGCTGGTCTTAAACATCTTTACTTGACCTTCCAATGTGCACCAGACCAGGACAGGAGTTCAGTTCTGCTTACAGCTTTAATTATTTTTCTGTGTTTTTCTTCTGGGTATATTTTTATTGTGTTGCTTGCTGGCTGATCATGTCTAGAGTTGCTGCAACATCTGAATTTCTCCTTGAAATTCTCCTGAATTTCTGTTGAAGAAACAGGATTTTATCTCTGTTAAAACTTTCCTAACAGCTTTTTTAATTCAATATCTTAAAAAAAAACAAAGTTTTCCTTTTATGAAAGGAAGCAACAAAAACCACCATCTTAATTTCAATCATTCTTTTACTTTTGAGAAACAAACATGTAAAACTGACAGCATACAAACTACATTCAAGAGAAAACAGGCAGATGGGATTTAGAAAAAAAAAAAAAAACAGTTTAAAAAAGACTCAAAAACTGAGAAACAGCTGATGTGAATCTGTTCAAAGTGCAGGACATTACTTAAAGATCCTGATAGTAAATTCCTTTTTCATAAAATAACAGAAGCAAATACAGCTACTGCAAACATGTCAACATATAATGTCAGAGACCACAGTCTTCTTAATATGTCAAATAAAATGAACAGATGAACAGTTTCCATTGTCAGTCTGTCGCAGCAGTTCTGACGCCGCTGTAGATAATCTGGTCCTCTGCTGGTTTTACATTTCTTCTCGGTCCTTTGTCAGTTTTCCTCTTCTTAGAAAACGCTGGTGCGGCATAAACCAGTGAGCTTTCATCTCTCTGAGGATATACACCAGGAAATGTAATGATAAGGCTGATACAAAAATTGACGGAAACAAAGACTTTCAGTATTTTAACATTTCTGTCAATCTCTCACCTGCAGACTTTGCTGATCTGTGCTGGAGGTCGCAGCATTTCCACACGGATCAACAGCCGCTGTGTTAAAACCAAATCAAATAAAAGTCTATCAATTCACACAGAGCTGTAATATTAACTCTTTGTTGAGGATAGAAAATTTCCATTACCGTTGCAAGAAATTGTCCTGACTTTATAAACCAGAAAAACTATAACAATCAGACAAAGAACCAAAGCAGCTGAAAGCAGATAGAGAGCTATGTTGGTCTTCGAATGCTGCATGTTGTTTCCTGAAATAAAGCAAATACTTAAAGTTCATAATTATTTCAGTAAAAAATTACAGTTGATTTTGAAAAATTTACAACAATCACTTTTGTGGAAAAACTTTTCAAATTCTGGATAAATGTTTGCACAACATATCAAATGACAACATTTTTGTTTAAAACTATTCCTTTAAAATAGATTAATAAGAAAACCTTTCCAAACATGGATCAGATCGGATAGGAAATAAATGCTAATAGTTCATATGAAATGTTCTGTACTTACCTTCAGAGGTGAGTTTTGTTCCATTTCCACACAGTATCTCTCCACATGCGACCACAGCACAGTAGACAGTCCCATCATCAGAGGAGCTCACGGTCTCAGAAAAGCTGTAGACACATCTCTGCAGAGAGGGAGTCTCTGGACTCTCCTCACATCCATCACTTTTGTTTCCATGAGTGTAAATGACACTGGGACGGGACTCATCTGATCCAGATCTGAACCAGAACACTCTGGGTTTATCTGGACAGGTTTTGCTGCTCTTGTCACGGAGGACTGAACACTGCAGAGTCTCTGAGTCTTCTGGATCAGGTGAAATGTCTTGAGCGATTGCAGTGATATCAGGTCCTGGTCCTTATTTTTATTTTTTTTTAGACAAAAAGAGAAAGTTTTTTTAATGGACATTTTTCTAGATTCATGAAACAACTTCTTCTCTCATTTCTATATTCATGAGGAACAATGAAACTGCTGATGGCAGTGTGATTACATTTTTAACAGGCCATGAAAAAGTTCTAAGTATATTTCATTTACCTTTAATCCTCAGAAATATTCCCTTCAAAATAGTAATGTTAAATTGTTCTTGTCTTATACAAAAGTAAAGTCCAGTATCTCTGAGCTGTGTTTTGTTGATAATCAGGACAAATGTTCCAGGTTCTTGTTTTGTGGTGAAGTGAGGGGTTTTGTTAACAACTTCATAGTCAAAGTCATACATTCCTCTAAAAAATTCAGGTAAATCTCCAGAAACTAGCCTGAACCAGAATAATTGTGCTGTAGACCGAGAGGTCTTGCGAGGACACGTCAAAGTCACATCATCTCCAACTCTGACTGTCTTTGTCTCATAGCGCTCATCACCTGTACAACCTGAAGAAAATTAAGAAATAATGTCAGTATAAAAAAAAGGATCATTTGGGCTCTGTGCTTAAAAATACTGAGTATGAAAAGACAACATATAAATATAAAGGACTTAGAAAGCATTTTGTGTACTTACGACTCAGTCTGAGCATCAGAAGTGAAAGAAATACGATCAGCAGCATTTTCATGTAAATCCACTTACGACTGCACCAAGACTAGCTCATAAAAGAAGAAGTTGATTCTCCTAAATATAATCACATAAAGTGGGAGGAGACTACCGTGGCTCATTCTGATTGGCTTGTCCTTATGATGACTTTACTCTGTTATACCACAGTGAAAAAAACACATCAACCATCTTTGAAGTCAAAGCTGTATGAGGAGGGTGATCTTTTGTTTCAAGATTCAAGCTTGGTTTCTATTATTGACCCGAGGAGGAGATACAAGTACAGACAACAGTTTTCTGTTGTGTTTTTAATAGAGTTTGAATGAAAAGTTGTAAATAAAGAGCTTTTAAGAGGGATTTTAGCTGCAGCAATTACAAGACATGTTACAATGATCCAGTTTGATTTACCAGAGGCTTTTGTCTGAAGAAACGCACTTTTGAGAACAAAAACAACACAAGCATGATCTAGGTAGAAGGAAACGACATGAGTGAGTTCAAAAAACTGATTTAAGTGCAAGTGGTCATAATGAGGTCATGAAGTAAATGGGGCAATGCATTATTTTTAAAGTAACCACCAATCACCATCAACCAAAGTGAAACACCAACCAGATAAAGTCCCAATGACACTGTCATCATCATCATCATCATCATCATCATCATCATCATCATCATCATCATCATCACCAGGTGCAGAAATGTTCACTAAGAGCTGGGCAAAGTGTCTCAGAGTAGAGGAGGATGTTGGTCTCAGTTATTCTCTCACTGTGGACAACAGAGGAGAAGAGCTGAGCTTAAGAGCGTAGGTGGTCTCTAAAGACCTGAGTCTTGAGCTTTTTCTTAAAGGTACAAAGGGACTCTGTGGATCTGATAGAGTTTGGTCATTTATTCCACCACCACCAAAGACAACAGAGGAGAAGATTCTGGGGAGTGACTAAGGGCCTTGTTGTGATAGGAGCACCAGACACAGTCCAGTGGCAGAGCATTACATGTGGGAGAGAGTTTAGACCTGCATGAGGGACAACAGGTTGGCAGGAGCTGATTGAAGGCAGGAAGTAGGGCCTTATATTTCATGACAGCTGCTACTGGAAACCAGTGGAGAGAGATGAACAGCAAAGTGATGTGCTGATTCAGGTCGGTGAAAAACTGGACAGGCTGCTTCATTTGGGATCATCTCCAGAGGTTTAACTGTGCTACAGGGAGGCCTGCCAGAGAGGAGATGCAGTTGACAGTGTGTGATAATACAAGGTTCTGTAATATCTCCTCCTGGTCTCTGCAAAATCATCAGTTCTATTTTGTCCCAGCGGGTCATCAGCCACTAACACAACCAGTGTCAGGACTTTATGGTGACAATGTTTTTGTTGCTGTGCATTCTAGACATCCTGCTATTTCAAAATCTCCCCGTTGAGTCCAACTGCCAAAGCCTTTCTCTCTCAAGCAACATTTTAACAATCATCAAAATAAATAAGTTTCTCTACTTCCATGTTGGCTTTGCTTTTAAACTCTGGAGGTTGTGACTTGTTATTGAGGGGTTTGCAAACTCCAAATCATTAAACCTTTACAGAGGACACCCTTGGCTTTTTAACTTTCAGGCCCATTTCCTTGTTATCTGACATGTTTCCTAAAAAAAGGAAATCTATAAACCTTTTTGTTCCAGTATTATAAATGTTGTTAGTTGTACTTTTCTACTGTGTCATGACCACTTCAAACTGTGAGAATGAGAGAAGAAGTGTGCAGCCAGCCTGTCAGTAGGTGGGCTGTCATGTTGGAGGTGAGAAAACACATTTTGAACTACGTTTATGTAATTTCCTCGTTCTCTTCCTGCTGGTCTAATGTGCAAAGAAGGAGCATGCATCAAAACACAGACGAAACATGAGTGACTGGTGCTTTTCTTAGTCACTTTTTAGGTCATTGCGAGATAAAATGATCAATTACTCAAGAAAATTATGTTACAGATAGTGATATTCATTGAAAAAGACTTAAGCAAGGATGTGAAACCTGCTCTAGGATCTTGTGAGACAAAAACTTCAAACTCATGTTCAAGCTGAAAGGAGGAGCTGAATGTGAAGAACCTCCCCTCTCTGACAGCATTGATGTTCAGGAGCTCAAACATGCAAAAAAGCACGATAAAACACAGCACTTAGCACCCTTTATGCACACATGTAAGGTGTTGTGTTCCTACTTTCTTGAAATAACTCAGTCTTTTTGTATTTTAAGAAAGTAAAACAAAAGTGAAGTTTAACTTCTTGGGATTCAGAGCGTGTCAGATTAGAAAATAGCTATGTTTTCTCACCTCAGTGTGTGAGGCCAAACCACAACAGCAGCACTGAAGTTTCCATGCACGGTTTGGTTGTGTGGTGTGCATGCATGCGTGCATGTGTGTGTGTGTGCGTGTGTGTGTGTGTGTGCGTGCGTGTGTGTGTGTGGTCAAGTAGTTGACAACATGCACACTTAAAAACTCAAAAACAACACAACACACGGACATGGTGGACTGAATAAAGAACTGCCACACATGGTTTCAAACAAAGGGACGTACTTTCTTTTACTGATCGACTTTGTGCTTCTTTAATCTCTCTCTCTCTCTCTCTCTCTCTCTCTCTCTCTCTCTCTCTTCTTGCACACACTCACAGTTTGCGTTCAGTCTGGCCTGTTGTTGCTGTCAGAGAGGGGAGGTGTTTGATGGTCACTGGTTTGTAGCTGCTCTTTTAGGCCTGAACCACAGTTTACAGAGTGAGTTTGTCTGTCAAACAGATTTAGGGCTCTATTTTGGTGCCTCGCCGGAGACGTGCCGCAAGCGCAGCGTCAGTCAGATCCGCCGCGCTGACAAGGCGTTCCCAAGCACATTTTGGTATTTTGGTGAGCTGCGCAGCCCGGCGTAAGTATCCCCCCTCCCTAACTCAGCTCCTCCTAGCAGCATAAGTCGTAGACGGGGAGGAGAGAGGGCGTATAGGGGGTTTAACACAGCCGAGACCTGTTTTCACCAATCACATAGGCTCCTCTCCTTGCCTTTAAATCCGCCACCGGCGAGGCGTATTACTATTTTCATGAAGTAGTCAAAGAGATCAAGAGATGTCTTAAGACAGTAATGCCACAAGATGGCGACAGAGGGCAGCTCCTCAACAAGTGTCCTCCACACTCTCTCATATGAGCACAGATGGATTTAGTGTGCGTAATGTTGGACCCACTGGTAAGACAAACACCCTTTTCCACAAATAAAGACACTCACATAAAGTTGCTCGTATTCAAACCTCACGTAACAAAGGTGGGTTGATCGCACAGATCACAACATAAACTCCAAAAAGGCATTAAAATCGGAACCATCTGTGCGTAAATGACGCATCGCGCTCCGTGGCCTGGCTCTTTCTTTCATAGATGTTGGCATATAAAATAAATTTGACTCACAAAACTGAATATTATAATATCCGTATGTCGGCTTAAAGTAGATAACGCATCTGAGCACTGAAACAAATCATCTGTTCAGCTGCAGCAGCAGCAAGACGGACAGAGGACACAGAGACATGTCCAGGTCGAGCTGTGCGAGAAATAAGAGGAAGAGGAAGAAAGAAAAGGAGGGAGACGAATTACATATCTTGTTAACTTCATCATGTGTGTTTATTTACTAGATATTTAATTTAATTTGATGCGGTTTCAGCTGTGTTGATTCGGTCAGGTTGTGTGTCCAAACGCGTGCCAAACGCGCTCATCAGATAAGATATAGATCAGAATATATCTATATAGATCTAAATGTATGTGCTGACTCAGATTAATAGTTGATGATGATTATTTATTGCACTGAAATCTGCCTGACACTGTGGAAACCTGCCGGTGAGGCATCAGTGACGTATGTCGATACGCCGCCGGTCTACCAAAATACTACTGGACCAGCTGCGTTCCGCCTTGCGCTGAAAGCTGACCAGGTTTGAATCGGCAAGCTTTCAGCGCACTTTACACGCCGTTGGCGAGCACGAAAATGTCACTGCGCCTGCTGATTCTGTTGACACCTCCCCCTGCCACGCCACCACGCCCAGCTTGGCGGATCTCGGCTCGCCTCCGTGCGGCTCAGTCCACGAAAATACCAAATTGGCCTTACGCTGGGCTCCGCCAGACGAAAATACAACTGCGCGGGGCTCGCCGCCCTCCGCCGCCTCACCGGCGCGCACGAAAATAGAGCCCTTAGTCTGCTCTATTATCCAAAACAAGGATTCACATCTTTGCTGAAGGCTGTCTGATTGTGCATCAGTTTGTTTTACATTTATAACCATCACTCATTCATGTTCTCAAGAAGAGAATAAAAACAAAAACCATGAGCAACCAGCAGTTAGTTTTCTATATATTTGAAATCACAACTGACGAGTTTATTTTAAGTAAAACAAAGGCTAAAAGGATAGCAAGTCGAAATAAGAGAGAAAAGATAAAAGGAAAAAGGGAAAAGACGGCATCATATGAAAGGGAGCCTGTAAATGTGAGTTTTTAAATTTGACTTAAAAGAAGTGACTGTCTCTGCACGCCTTATCTCCTCTGGCAGGTCGTTCCAAAGTCGAGGATCTCTGATGGAGAAAGATCTATCACCTTTAGTTTTGAGCCTCGACTTTGGAATGACCAGGAGGCCTTCGCCAGAGGATCTGAGGCTGCGAGTTGGCTCATAAGGTATTAAAAGCTCTGAAATGTAGCTTGGAGCAAGTCCTTTGAGCGCTTTAAAAGTAATCACATCAATCACAAACACATCAATATGAAAATGTTCAAAAATCAAGGAAAAAAGTGACGGATTTAAGAGGCAAAGAGCTTTGGGACATCAGTGTAAAAAAACTGTGAAATTATATTCTTGTGTTATGTCCGTTCACTCTATGTTCACTCTAAGAACTGCAAAGAAAGTACTCAAAAATATTAAAGGTACACAGCTTTATTACAACAAGGCTAGAAAAGTATCATTCTGTTCCATAAAGTTGCCTAAATGTAAATCTATTATTTGGATGATTTGGCCACAGCAGCTCTGACTCCAGAGTAAACGATTTCTTCTTCCGCTCTCTTTTTGTTTCTCCTCTCACCTTTGCAGGGTTTCTTCTTGGAAAATGTGGGTGCAGCATAAACCAGTGAGCTGTCATCTCTCTGAGAATACACACAGAAAAAAATGTAACATGACCGCTGTTTATTTTGACGAATAGAGAAAGATTTTCAGCCTCTGTGTGTTTCTTACCTGACGACTTTGCCGATCGGCGCTGGCCTTCGCAGCATTTCTACGCTCATCGTCAGCTGCTGTGATGAAGTCAAACCAAAAACACGATCTGTTATTTAACAAAGAGCTGTGATTTTCACTGTATGATTGATTGTTATTGGAGAAAGTTTTATTACTGTTGCAGGGAGCTCTTGTCTTGATGGTATAAATCAGGAAAGCTATAACAATCATACATGTGGCCACAGCAGCTGAGAGCAGATACAGAGCGATGTAAAGTAGCTCATCATTTCCTGGAACAAACAAGAATGAGAATTTAAAAAGTTATAGTGCTTTAGATAAATTTAAGATTAATTTCTAATCCTGACCTGCACAAAGAAAAAATGTCTTTAAGCCCGCTCTATCAAATGGCAACATTTTTGTTTAAAACTGCGCATTATTCCTTTAAAATAGATTAATAAGGAAACCTTTCCCAACATGGATCAGATCAGATATGAAATAAATGCTAATGGTTCATATGAAATGTTCTGTACTTACCTTCAGAGGTGAGCTTTGTTCCATTTCCACACAGTATCTCTCCACATGCGACCACAGCACAGTAATAAGTCTCATCATCAGAGGAGCTGACGGTCTTAGAAAAGCTGTAGACACATCTCTGCAGAGAGGGAGTCTCTGGACTCTCCTCACATCCATCACTTTTGTTTCCATGAGTGTAAAAGACACTGGGACGGGAATCATCTGATCCAGATCTGAACCAGAACACTCTGGGTTTATCTGGACAGGTTTTGCTGCTCTTGTCTCTGAGGACTGAACACTGCAGAGTCTTTGAGTCTTCCGGATCAGGTGAAATGGCTTGAATGATTGATGTGATATTTGGTCCTGGTCCTCATAAATTTAAGACAGAAAATGAACATTTTTAATGCACATTTTGTAGATTAATAAAAAAAAAAAAACTTTTCTCATATCTACCGTATATTCATGAGGAACACTGAAACTGCTGATGATAGTTTGATTACATTTTTAAGCAGCCATAAAAAAGGTTAGTATATTTCATTTACCTTTAATCCTCAGAAATGTTCCTTTTAAAAGAATGACCTTAAGTTCGACTTGTCTTGTACAAAAGTAAAGTCCAGTATCTCTGAGCTGTGCTTTGTTAATAATCAGGACAAATGTTCCAGGTTCTTGTTTCGTGGTGAAGTGAGGGGTTTTGTTAACAATTTCATTGTCAAAACTATTTGTTCCTCCCAAAAATTCAGGTAAACCTTCAGAAACTAGCCTGAGCCAGAATAATTTTGCTATACTCTGAGAGGTCTTACGAGGACACGTCAAAGTCACTTCATCTCCAACACTGACAGTTTTAGTTTCATAGCCCTTGTCACCTGTACAACCTGAAGAAAATGAAGAAACAATGTCAGTATTTAAAAAAAGGATCATTTGGGCTCTATGCTGAATGATACTGAGTATGAAAAGACAACATATAAATATAAAGTAATTTAGAAAGCATTTTGTGTACTCACGACTCAGTCTGAGCATCAGAAGTGAAAGAAATACGATCAGCAGCATTTTCTTGTAAATCCACTTACGACTGCACCAAGACTAGCTCATAAAAGAAGCTGATTCCTCTTGATATAATCACATAAAGTGGGAGGAGACAGTAACAGGCCGACCTGATTGGCTTGTTATTATGATGGTACTTACTTTGTTCGACCACAATGGAAAAAAACAACCGTCTTTCAAACCAGGGCACATAAAATGTGACCAGCAGCAAGCTTTTCTTTCCTGTTTCACAGTTGTTTTCAACAAATAACCCTGAATGGAAACACCCATATACCAGCTTCATTCTGTATATCTATAGACTGTGTGATATAGTTCATGCAGAAAGAGCTAAGTTAGTTAGCTTCTTTGTGAAGCTTGCTATTTAGCAAGTAACACTGTGTTTTTCTGTCTGTTTTGTTTTATCTACGTTAGATTAATACAAGTGATACACATCAGCCCCTTTCACACATGAACCACAACACTGAAAATTTCTCAGCATTTTCAGGGTTGAGCTGCGGGCGCTAACACAGATCTGGATATATAGTCTAGAAATTAACTTACTCTAGTTTGCAGATTAAATTTTCAGAACATTTCAGGATTTGATTATTAAGGGACCTTGGTTTGATATGAGAAATGAAAGTGGAATAATTGCTGTGTCGCATGTGAATTCTCAACCTAATCAATAAAGATGTCGTAAATTATCATAATTTGTCACATGATGCATAATTAAAAAAATACCGAGGGATAGGGTTTGACCCCAGGTCTTCTTTATTTTCATCCTCCAACCTTCTGTGATCATGTGTATTTGTGATCATCTGTGATCATTTCTGTATGTTGTCATGACGTCATTTCCAAACGTCCAGGAGACGTCTTCACCTACTGCACCATGTGACATCGAAATGACGTGTATTTTACGTAATCTTTTAATGTCTAGATCAGGTTTCCTGAAGGTGCAGAATGACAGGTTTTTTTACATCTTTTTGACGTCCAATTCTGACGTCTTGCAGACCTCCAAATCAGACGTCGACATGTCCAACTTTGGTCAAAATCGGCCGTCAAAATCAGGTCCTCTGGAGGTGCAGAATGAAAGTTTATTTTACTTCAACCACGTCCATTTAGATTCATTCATTCATTCATCTTTTATACGGCTTATCCCTTTTGGAGTTACGGTTGGTCTGAAGCCTATCCCAGCTGTCATCGGGCGAGAGGCGGTGTACACCCTGAATTGGTCGCCAGTCTATTGCAGGGCCACATAGAGAGACAGACAATCATTCACGCTCACACTCATACCTAAGGACTTTAGGTATTTAGAGTCACCAATTAACCTAGTGAGCATGTTTTTGGTCTGTGGGAGGAAGCCAGACTGCCTGGAGAGAACATGCAAACTTCACACAGAAAGGCCCTGCCCGACCCAGGGTTTAAACTGGTGACCTTCTTGCTGAGAGGCACGCGCACTACCTGCTGCACGACCATGCACCCTGGCCATGTAGATGTTTAGCTTTTTGTTGTGTTTGAATAGCCTTTACCTTTTACCTTTCATCAAATTGGGTTCCAACCTGAAAAGAGGGCTATAGTATAGTTATGTATACAATTACAACTTAAGCCTCCTTTCTTTGTTCTGTCTCTTCAATTAACTTCAAAAACAAACAGGAATAAAAAGTGGAATAACAATTGGCCAAGTCGGATATTGAATCACTTCTGCAATTATAACTTCGAAACTGTACAACACCTACAACCACCTTATTGAAATACTTGGTAATAACTCTGGACAATAAACTCACCAACCTGCACACCTCGGACATTCAAAACTCTCAGCCATCCAAAAACCTAAAGGACTATACGTTGCATCCCACCTCCTGCTGCTACTTTATCAATGTATCATCCAGCCAATCCTCCTGTAGTGCTCCACATGTTTCTTCACCATGCTTTTTGTCACCAACCGGGCCAAACTTGCACGTATCACAAACACAGCTGCTAAAATCATTGGTCTTCCATAAGTCAATCACCCGACTGGCACACAACATAGAACAGGACTTCACTCACCCACTGCACCAATATCTCGTCCCACTCCCCTCATGGTGCAGATACAGAAGTATGAAGTTGAAATGGGCTCACCTGGGGAAAAGCCTGATCCCCTTAGCAATAGCCACCCTGAACAGCAGGCCCCACTAATCGGAGTATACTACCGTTATGTCCTCTTCATATGTTGTAAATGTTGTCTGTCCCATGATGTGAAATGTCTGTCCTTTGTATATGTAGTCAGGAAGGACAAATTTCCCCCTACAGGGACCAATAAATCTAAATCTCAATGTGTCAATATAACAAAACCAATATGATGGTCATTAAACATGTTTTATTGAATTTGTTGTCAACTCCATTAACCACACTCATCCAAATATGATTTTGACATCTGAAACATGTCCATTTAAATCTTGGACCTATTTTGCACGTTGCTTCAAAGTCTAGATTCAGTGGAGGACATAACGTCCAGATTACATGATAATGTGAACGTCAGTTCAATGTCTAAAAGAAGTCCAATAATGACGTCTAAATCTTGGCTCTATTTTGCACATCGCACTGACAACTAGATTTGGTCTTCAGATGAAGTCCAAATGCTGAACGTCATTATGACGTCTAAAAGAGGTCCAATTTAGACGTCTAAATCTCTAACCTATTTTGCACATCTCTATGACATCTACGACGGACTGACCCAATACTGGCGTGATCTGCACGTCTCTCTGACGTCAATTGGTTGGTGGGACAACTGATGCAAATTTGAAGTGCATTAGAATCAAGGTCAAAGTCCTTAAGGTCGTCAGGTCACTTAAATGGAATTTTTGGTGTGCTTTAGGCCTAGAAATGACGTGATATATACGTTGATAATATGGTCTGTCTCAACATCTATCCTTGACTAGTTCTGGCTATCTGCAGATGTCCAGAATTTGGCCAGGCTGAACAACATTATATATGAACTAAATACAAACCTTATAAAGATGTCCAGATAGTGGCACGTGCTAATGTCTATCTTTGACTAGTTCTGGTTGTCTAATAACATCCAGAATTTGGCCAGACTGAACCTCTCGTCTCAAAGTCATTAATCGACTAATGCTGGAGTCACATAGATGTTCAGATTGTGGCCTGTCTCGACATCTATTCTTGACTAGTTCTGTCTGTCTGTAGACGTCCAGATTTGGACCAGGTTAAACAACATCATTTCATGTCGTGTTTCAACTGAATATGAACGTTGTATGGATGCTCAGATTACGTTCTGAATGGACTAATGTGATATCTACTTCTTTTGGATGTCCATGGACATCGCTTATTCAGAGGGATGGCAGTTTGAGATGGTGACCTTGTGTGTAGATATAAAAGGCTCTTTCTAAATAAACATAAAACTATTCTCATATTCAGGTAGTTTTACAATAAATAAATATAAAGGTAACACTTTATTTGAAGGGGTTTATGTAACACTGACATTATGCTGTCATAACCATTTAATAACACCTGTCACTAACATGAATATGGCTTATTAAGGTTGTCACTAAGAGTCATTATGACACCTTTGGTGCTATGATGATGACAATGCCTTCTCAAACAATGTCAACATAGTACCAAAGGTGTCATAATTTACTGAATGACACAGACCACCCATACAGGAGGCTACTTCCCGAGGAGGCTGTGGTCTTTTAACATGAGCGACTGGTGCTTTACTCATTGTCACTTGTTTGGTCACTGCTGAATAAAATGATCAATAACTCAAGAAAATGATGTTACAGATAGTGATATTCATTGAAAAAGACTTCTGCAAGGATGTGAAACCTGCTCTAGGATCTTGTGAGACAAAAATTTCAAACTCATGTTCAAGCTGAAAGGAGGAGCTAAATGTGAAGAACCTCCCACCTATGACAGCATTGATGTTCAGGAGCACAAACATGCAAACAAACCAAAAAAAAACACAATAAAACACAGCTCATAGCACCCTTTATGCACTCATGTAAGGTGTTGTGTTCCAATTATCTTTAAATAACTCAGTCTTTTTGTATTTTAAAAAAGTAAAACAAAAGTGAAGTTTAACTTCTTGGAATTCAGAGAGTGTCAAATTAGAAAATAGCTCTGTTTTCTCACCTCAGTGTGTGAGGCCAAACCACAACAGCAGCACTGAAGTTTCCATGCACGGTTTGGTTGTCTGGTGTGCATATGTGTGTTTGTATGTGTGCATGTGTGTGTGTGTGTGCGCGTGGTCAAATAGTTGACCACATGCAAACTTCGAAACTTAAACAACACGACACATGGAGACAGTGGACTTATCAAAGAACTGACACACGTGGTTTCAAACAAAGGGACGTACTTTCTTTTACTGATCTACTTTGTGTTTCTTTAATCTCTCTCTCTCTCTCTGTCTCTCTCTCTCTCTCTCTCTCTCTCTCTCTCTCTCTCTCTCTTCTTGCACACACACTCACAGTTTGCGTTCAGTCTAGCCTGTAGTTGCTGTCAGAGAGGGAAGGTGTTGGACGGTGACTGGTTTGTAGCTGCTCTTTTAGGCCTGAACCACAGTTTACAGAGTGAGTTTGTCTGTTAAACAGATTTAGTCTGCTCTATTATCCAAAACAAGGATTCACATCTTTGCTGAAGTCAAACAAAAACCATGAGAAACCAGCAGTCAGCTGTCTGTCAACTTAGCAGAGGATATATATTTGAAATCACAACTGAAGAGTCACTTATATTGATTTATTCAAAGAAATCAACTTTAATATTTGTACACAAATACATGAAAGCATGGCGCTGGTTCAGGTCTGTGACAAGATTTGGTGCATGTCATCCGTCAGACTCTCAATAAAGCATTTTTTCTACTAAAGGCTTAAAGTTCAAAAAAACATCTTTAAAAAAGCATCAAATAAGCTGAAACAGAAAAAAACAGTCATTATAAACTGTTTTTGAGTACAATGTGAGATTGCCATTACAACTTCATATCACCAAACTGTCTTTGGTTTTATAAAAATCAGTGATCCATCCAGACTGTATCGGCTGATAGAAAGCAGATAACTCTCTAGTCCAACCCAAACGCCTTCAGAGCGGCGTTGATCCTCCCTCTCTCCACTGCAGCGCTGTCGGCTCTCCTCATGGTGAAGACAGCAGCAGAGTAAACCCGTGTGTCCTCATCTACCTGAGGAAATGTGGAGGACAATGTGAGAGAAAATGTTTTTATACCATTAAATCTGAAGTTAAAGCTGCCTTTGAATAATTTACCTGTTGATCTTTCTGACAAACACGGTTTCTTTGCAGGGAAACAGCAGCTGGAGTTTAAAATACAAACTACATCAGTTACAGTCAGGATAAAGTCACTTTAACTCAGAACTGTTGAATATATTTTCAGTTCTCCTTATACTTCTTGAAATAAACATTTATGAGGACGTTAAATATAAGATTTATACTTTGAGGGAAAAGTATGCTCTTCTGGGTTCTTATGGCTCCTTAAACATTTTGTTTTCAGACAAAGTCATCACCACTTACTTTTGTGTTGTTCACTTTTTGCTCTTGTGGTGTTGTAACAGATGAAAGCAAAATTGACAATCACAGAAAACACCAAACAGAGAACTGCTATCACCAGCCCCGTTGATTTAGAAGTTTCATCTAAGTACAAAAAACAGACAAAAATTAGATGTTAATGTTAATAACATCATGAACATTGACTCGTACAAAGTTTGGTTCTTGTCTTTCCACAAATAAGATCTCCACATATATTTTTTGATTTAAATAAGATACTGTGCCGTTACCTTCAGAGGTGAGTTTTGTTCCATTTCCAAACAGTATCTCTCCACATGTGACCACACCACAGTAGACAGTCTCATCATCAGAGGAGCTGACGGTCTTAGAAAAGCTGTAGACACATCTCTGCAGAGAGGGATTCTCTGGACTCTCCTCACATCCATCACTTTTGTTTCCATGAGTGTAAATGACACTGGGACGGGAATCATCTGATCCAGATCTGAACCAGAACGCTCTGGGTTTATCTGGACAGGTGTTACTGCTCTTGTCACTGAGGACTGAACACTGCAGAGTCTTTGAGTCCCATGGACGGGCTGGATTAGATAAAATGTCTTGAACAACTGAGATGATATCAGGTCCTGGTCCTTTATTTTTAGACAAAGAGAAAGTTTTTAATGGACATTTTTCTAGATTCACGAAAAAACTTATACTCTCACATCTTTATTCATGAGGAACACTGAAATTGCTGATGGTAGTTTGATTACATTGTTAAGCAGCCATAAAAAAGAGGTTAGTATATTTCATTTACCTTTAATCCTCAGGAATGTTCTCTTCAAAAGAGTAACATTTAAACGTTCTTGTCTTATACAAAAGTAAAGTCCAGTATCTTTGAGCTGTGTTTTGTTGATGATCAGGACAAATGTTCCAGGATCTTTTTTTACAGTGAAGTGAGGGGTTTTGTTAACAACTTCATAGTCAGAGTCATATGTTCCTCCCAAAAATTCAGTTAAATCTCCAGAAAAGGAAGTATTTCAAGTAAAGTTCAAAGTTAAAGTCAGAGTATGTAAATGGAAGTTATGAGATTTATTCTTACATCTCATTTCATGTGGAACATTATATCTGCTGACATCACTCAGGGTTGATTCTAACTTTAAGGAAGTTAAAAGTCTGTGAAGTGTATTTTATTTACCTTTTATCCTCAGAAACGTTCTCTTCAAAAACGTCACGTCAAGCTGTGTTTGTTTTACACAAAAGTAAAGTCCAGTATCATTGAGCCGTGTTTCTTTGATGGTCAGGACAAACTTTTTAGGTTCTTGTTTTGCTGTGAAGTGAGGAGTTTCAGTAACTTCGTCATAGTTAAAAGTAGAGGTTCCTCCCAAATATTCAGGCGTGCCTCCAGAAACCATCCTGAACCAGAATAACTGTGTTGACAACCAAGAGGTATCCCGAGGACACGACAAAGTCACACCATCTTTCACTCTGACTGTCTTTGTCTCGTAGTTCTCATCAGCTGTGCAACCTGAACAAAATGAGGAAATATCAGTGTTAAACAAAAGCGAAAGATAGATTTTTTTCCCTTTTAGTGAAAAATTTAAAGTATCAAACTCCAAAACACAAATCTGATTCACTTTAGAAAATGTTACTTACGACTCAGTCTGAGCGCCAGGAGTAATAAAAATGCAGTCAGCATGTCCTTGTCAGTCCAGTTACGACAGCACTAAACTGAGCTTGAAAAAGAAGATGATTCCTCTTGATATAATCACATAAAGTGGGAGGAGACAGTAACAGGCCAACCTGATTGGCTTGTTATTATGATGGTACTTACACTGTTCGACCACAATGGAAAAAAACAACCGTCTTTCAAACCAGAGCACATAAAATGTGACCAGCAGCAAGCTTTTCTTTCCTGTTTCACAGTTGTTTTCAACAAATAACCCTGAATGGAAACACCCATACACCAGCTTCATTCTGTATATCTATAGACTGTGGGATATAGTTCATGCAGAAAGAGCTAAGTTACTTAGCTTCTTTGTGAAGCTTGCTGTTTAGCATTTTAGCAACACTGTGTTTTTTTGTCTGTTTTGTTTTGTCCACGTTAGATTAATACAAGTGATACACATCAGCCCCTTTCACACATGAACCACAACAATGAAAATTTCTCAGCATTCTCAGCTGCGGGTGCTAACACAGATCTGGATATTTAGTCTGGAAATTAACTTATTCTAGTTTGTAGATAAAATTTTCAGCATTTTAAGGATTTGATTATAAAGGGACCTTGGTTTGATATGAGAAATGAAAGCAAAATAATCACTGTGTAGCATGTGAATTCTCAACCCAATCAATAAAGACGTCATATATGATCATAATCTGTCACATGATACATAATTAAAAAAATACCTAGGGTTAGGGTTTGACCCATAGACTGTATATAGAATAGACAATGTCCTCCTCCTCTCTGGGTGAAGCAACTTCGAGAACAGCACCCTCTGGTGACGGGCTGCAGTATAGGTCAAAAATCCCGCCTACCCCAGCAAAGGTTATGGGGCTTTGGACAAACTTTTTAAACACACACACACACACACACACACACACACACACACACACACACACACACACACACACACACACACACACACACACACACACTTGCGATGTTGACATGCAGTTAATGAGCTCAGTGACCTACAAGATTTCAGAAATATGATCTTTGCTGGTCTTAAACATCTTGACTTGACCTTCCATTGGGCACCAAACCTGGACAGGAGTTCAGTTCTGCTTACAGCTTTAATTATTTTTCTGTGTTTTTCTTCTGGGTATATTTTTATTGTGTTGCTTGGTGGCTGATCATGTCTAGAGTTGCCGCAACATCTGAATTTCTCCTCTCCAGAACAATAGTCTTATCTCATCTTGTTGAAGAAACAGGATTTTATCTCTGTACAAACTTTCCTAACAGCTTTTTTTATTCAACATCTCAATAAAACCAAAGTTTTCCTCTTATGATGGGAAGCAAGAAAAACCACCATCTTAATTTCAATCATTCTTTTACCTTTGAGAAACAAACATGTAAAGCTGACAGCATACAAACTACATTCAAGAGAAAATAGGCAGATGGGATTTCAACAAAAACAATTTAAAAAAGGCTCAAAAATAGAGAAACAGCTGATGTGAATCTGGTTCAAAGTGCAGGACATTACTTAAAGCTCCTGATGGTAAATTCCTTTTTCATAAAATAAAAGAAGCAAACACAGCTACTGCAAACATGTCAACATATAATGTCAGAGACCACAGTCTTCTTAATATGTCAAATAAAATGAACAGATGAACAGTTTCCATTGTCAGTCTGTCGCAGCAGTTCTGACGCCGCTGTAGATAATCTGGTCCTCTGCTGGATTTACATTTCTTCTCGGTCCTTTGTCAGTTTTCCTCTTCTTAGAAAACGCTGGTGCGGCATAAACCAGTGAGCTCTCATCTCTCTGAGGATATACACCAGGAAATGTCATGATGAGGCTGATATTAAAATTGACGGAAACAAAGACTTTCAGTATTTTAACATTTCTGTCAATCTCTCACCTGCAGACTTTGCTGATCTGTGCTGGAGGTCGCAGCATTTCCACACGGATCAACAGCCGCTGTGTTAAAACCAAATCAAATAAAAGGTCTATCAATTGAAACAGAGCAGTAACAATGATAATAATAATAATAATAATATTAATAATAATTATAGCAGTTATAACAACTGTTTGGTTTATTAATGAGAATAGAAAATTTCCATTACCTTTGTAAGAAATTTCCCAGATTTTATAAACCAGAAAAACTATAACAATCAGACAAAGAACCAAAGCAGCTGAAAGCAGGAACTGAGCTGTGTTGTTTCCTAAAATAAAAATAATACTTTAAGTTCACAATTATTTCAGGAAAAAAATTACAGTTTATTTAAAATTTTACTGCAATTACTTTTGTGGAAAACTGTTTTCAAATTCTGGATAAATGTTTCTAAATGCTGCGTATAAGATATTGTACCGTTACCTTCAGAGGTGAGTTTTGTTCCATTTCCAAACAGTATCTCTCCACATGCGACCACAGCACAGTAGACAGTCCCATCATCAGAGGAGCTGACGGTCTTAGAAAAGCTGTAGACACATCTCTGCAGAGAGGGATTCTCTGGACTCTCCTCACATCCATCACTTTTGTTTCCATGAGTGTAAATGACACTGGGACGGGAATCATCTGATCCAGATCTGAACCAGAATGCTCTGGGTTTATCTGGACAGGTTTTGCTGCTCTTGTCTCTGAGGACTGAACACTGCAGAATCTTTGAGTCTTCTGGATCAGGTGAAATGTCTTGAACAACTGAGATGATATCAGGTCCTGGTCCTTATTTTTATTTTTTTTTAGACAAAAAGAGAAAGTTTTTTTAATGGACATTTTTCTAGATTCATGGTAAAACATCTACTCTCATTTCTATATTCATGAGGAACAATGAAACTGCTGATGGCAGTGTGATTACATTTTTAACAGGCCATGAAAAAGTTCTAAGTATATTTCATTTACCTTTAATCCTCAGAAATATTCCCTTCAAAATAGTAATGTTAAATTGTTCTTGTCTTATACAAAAGTAAAGTCCAGTATCTCTGAGCTGTGTTTTGTTGATAATCAGGACAAATGTTCCAGGTTCTTGTTTTGTGGTGAAGTGAGGGGTTTTGTTAACAACTTCATAGTCAAAGTCATACATTCCTCTAAAAAATTCAGGTAAATCTCCAGAAACTAGCCTGAACCAGAATAATTGTGCTGTAGACCGAGAGGTCTTGCGAGGACACTTCAAAGTCACATCATCTCCAACTCTGACTGTCTTTGTCTCATAGCGCTCATCAACTGTACAACCTGAAGAAAAAGAAATAATGTCAGTATAAAAAAAAGGATCATTTGGGCTCTGTGGTGAATAATACTCAGTTTGAAAATACAACATATAAATATAAAGGACTTAAGAAAGCATTTTGTGTACTCACGACTCAGTCTGAGCATCAGAAGTGAAAGAAATACGATCAGCAGCATTTTCATGTAAATCCACTTACGACTGCACCAAGACTAGCTCATAAAAGAAGTTGATTCTTCTAAATATAATCACATAAAGTGGGAGGAGACTACTGTGGCTCATTCTGATTGGCTTGTCCTTGTGATGGTTTTACTCTGTTATACCACAGTGGAAAAAAACATCAACCATCTTTGAAGTCAAAGCTGTACGAGGAGGGTGATCTTTTGTTTCAAGGTTCAAGCTTGGTTTCTATTATTGACCCGAGGAGGAGGTACAAGTACAGACAACAGTTTTCTGTTGTGTTTTTAATAGAGTTTGAATGAAAAGTTTAAATAAAGAGCTTTTAAGAGGGATTTTAGCTTCAGCAATTACAATAAATGTTTCAATGATCCAGTTTGATTTACCGGAGGCTTTTGTCTGAAGAAACATACTTTTGAGAACAAAAACAACACAAGCATGATCTAGGTAGAAGGAAACAACATGAGTGAGTTCAAAAAACTGATTTAAGTGCAAGTGGTCATAATGAGGTCATGAAGTAAATGGGGCAATGCATTATTTTTAAAGTAACCACCAATCACCATCAACCAAAGTGAAACAACAACCAAATAAAGTCCCAACGACATCATCATCATCATCATCATCATCATCATCATCATCATCATCATCATCATCATCACCAGGTGCAGAAATGTTCACTGAGAGCTGGGCAAAGTGTCTCACAGTAGAGGCGGACATTGGTCTCAGTAATTCTCTCACTGTGGACAACAGAGGAGAAGAGCTGAGCTTAAGAGCGTAGGTGGTCTCTAAAGACCTGAGTCTTGAGCTTTTTCTTAAAGGTAGAAAGGGACTCTGTGGATCTGATAGAGTTTGGTCATTTATTCCACCATCACCAAAGGCTAACAGAGGAGAAGATTCTGGGGAGTGACGAAAGGCCTTTTTGTGATGGGAGCACCAGACACAGTCCAGTGGCAGAGCATTACATGTGGGAGAGAGTTTAGACCTGCATGAGGGACGACAGGTTGGCAGGAGCTGATTGAAGGCAGGAAGTAGGGCCTTATATTTCATGACAGCTGCTACTGGAAACCAGTGGAGAGAGATGAACAGTAAAGTGATGAGCTGATTCAGGTTGGTGAAAAACTGGACAGGCTGCTTCATTTTGGTTCATCTCCAGAGGTTTGACTGTGCTACAGGGAGGCCTGCCAGTGAGGAGATGCAGTTGACAGTGTGTGATAATACAAGGTTCTGTAATATCTCCTCCTGGTCTCTGCAAAATCATCAGTTCTATTTTGTCCCAGCGGGTCATCAGCCACCAACACAACCAGTGTCAGGACTTTATGGTGACAATGTTTTTGCCGCTGTGCATTCTAGACATCCTGCTATTTCAAAATCTCCCCGTTGAGTCCAACCATCAAAGCCTTTCTCTCTCAAGCAACATTTTAACAATCATCAAAATAAATAAGTTTCTCTACTTCCATGTTGGCTTTGCTTTTAAACTCTGGAGGTTGTGACTCGTTATTGAGGGGTTTGCAAACTCCAATTTATTAAACCTTTACAGAGGACACCCTTGGCTTTTTAACTTTCAGGCCCATTTCCTTGTTATCTGACATGTTTCCTAAAAAAAGGAAATCTATAAACCTTTTTGTTCCAGTATTATAAATGTTGTTAGTTGTACTTTTCTACTGTGTCATGACCACTTCAAACTGTGAGAATGAGAGAAGTGTGCAGCCAGCCTGTCAGTAGGTGGGCTGTCATGTTGGAGGTGAGAAGACACATTTTGAACTACGTTTATGTCATTTCCTCGTTCTCTTCCTGCTGGTCTAATGTGCAAAGAAGGAGCATGCATCAAAACATAGACGAAACATGAGTGACTGGTGCTTTTCTTAGTCACTTTTTAGGTCACTGCGAGATAAAATGATCAATAACTCAAGAAAATGATGTTACAGATAGTGATATTCATTGAAAAAGACTTTAGCAAGGATGTGAAACCTGCTCTAGGATCTTGTGAGACAAAAACTTCAAACTCATGTTCAAGCTGAAAGGAGGAGCTAAATGTGAAGAACCTCCCCTCTCTGACAGCATTGATGTTCAGGAGCTCAAACATGCAAAAAAGCACAATAAAACACAGCACTTAGCACCCTTTATGCACACATGTAAGGTATTGTGTTCCTACTTTCTTGAAATAACTCAGTCTTTTTGTATTTTAAGAAAGTAAAACAAAAGTGAAGTTTAACTTCTTGGGATTCAGAGCGTGTCAGATTAGAAAATAGCTCTGTTTTCTCACCTCAGTGTGTGAGGCCAAACCACAACAGCAGCACTGAAGTTTCCATGCACGGTTTGGTTGTGTGGTGTGCATGCATGCATGCGTGCATGTGTGTGTGTGTGCGTGTGTGTGTGTGTGTGCGTGCGTGTGTGTGTGTGGTCAAGTAGTTGACAACATGCACACTTAAAAACTCAAAAACAACACAACACACGGACATGGTGGACTGAATAAAGAACTGCCACACATGATTTCAAACAAAGGGACGTACTTTCTTTTACTGATCGACTTTGTGCTTCTTTAATCTCTCTCTCTCTCTCTCTCTCTCTCTCTCTCTCTCTTCTTGCACACACTCACAGTTTGCATTCAGTCTGGCCTGTTGTTGCTGTCAGAGAGGGGAGGTGTTTGATGGTCACTGGTTTGTAGCTGCTCTTTTAGGCCTGAACCACAGTTTACAGAGTGAGTTTGTCTGTCAAACAGATTTAGGGCTCTATTTTGGTGCCTCGCCGGAGACGTGCTGCAAGCGCAGCGTCAGTCAGATCCGCCGCGCTGACAAGGCGTTCCCAAGCACATTTTGGTATTTTGGTGAGCTGCGCAGCCCGGCGTAAGTATCCCCCCTCCCTAACTCAGCTCCTCCTAGCAGCATAAGTCGTAGACGGGGAGGAGAAAGGGCGTGTAGTGGGTTTAACACAGCCAAGACCTGTTTTCACCAATCACATAGGCTCCTTGCCTTTAAATCCGCCACAGGCGAGGCGTATTACTATTTTCATGAAGTAGTCAAAGAGATCAAGAGATGTCTTAAGACAGTAATGCCACAAGATGGCGACAGAGGGCAGCTCCTCAACAAGTGTCCTCCACACTCTCTCATATGAGCACAGATGGATTTAGTGTGCGTAATGTTGGACCCACTGGTAAGACAAACACCCTTTTCCACAAATAAAGACACTCACATAAAGTTGCTCGTATTCAAACCTCACGTAACAAAGGTGGGTTGATCGCACAGATCACAACATAAACTCCGAAAATGGCATTAAAATCGGAACCATCTGTGTCTGACGCATCGCGCTCCGTGGCCTGGCTCTTTCTTTCATAGATGTTGGCATATAAAATAAATTTGGCCCACAAAACTGAATATTATAATATCCGTATGTCGGCTTAAAGTAGATAACGCATCTGAGCACTGAAACAAATCATCTGTTCAGCTGCAGCAGCAGCAAGACGGACAGAGGACACAGAGACATGTCCAGGTCGAGCTGTGCGAGAAATAAGAGGAAGAGGAAGAAAGAAAAGGAGGGAGACGAATTACATATCTTGTTAACTTCATCATGTGTGTTTATTTACTAGATATTTAATTTAATTTGATGCGGTTTCAGCTGTGTTGATTCGGTCAGGTTGTGTGTCCAAACGCGTGCCAAACGCGCTCATCAGATAAGATATAGATCAGAATATATCTATATAGATCTAAATGTATGTGCTGACTCAGATTAATAGTTGATGATGATTATTTATTGCACTGAAATCTGCCTGACACTGTGGAAACCTGCCGGTGAGGCATCAGTGACGTATGTCGATACGCCGCCGGTCTACCAAAATACTACTGGACCAGCTGCGTTCCGCCTTGCGCTGAAAGCTGACCAGGTTTGAATCGGCAAGCTTTCAGTGCACTTTACACGCCGTTGGCGAGCACGAAAATGTCACTGCGCCTGCTGATTCTGTTGACACCTCCCCCTGCCACGCCACCACGCCCAGCTTGGCGGATCTCGGCTCGCCTCCGTGCGGCTCAGTCCACGAAAATACCAAATTGGCCTTACGCTGGGCTCCGCCAGACGAAAATACAACTGCGCGGGGCTCGCCGCCCTCCGCCGCCTCACCGGCGCGCACGAAAATAGAGCCCTTAGTCTGCTCTATTATCCAAAACAAGGATTCACATCTTTGCTGAAGGCTGTCTGATTGTGCATCAGTTTGTTTTACATTTATAACCATCACTCATTCATGTTCTCAAGAAGAGAATAAAAACAAAAACCATGAGCAACCAGCAGTTAGTTTTCTATATATTTGAAATCACAACTGACGAGTTGATTTTAAGTAAAACAAAGGCTAAAAGGATAGCAAGTCGAAATAAGAGAGAAAAGATAAAAGGAAAAAGGGAAAAGACAGCATCATATGAAAGGGAGCCTGTAAATGTGAGTTTTTAAATTTGACTTAAAAGAAGTGACTGTCTCTGCACGCCTTATCTCCTCTGGCAGGTTGTTCCAAAGTCGAGGATCTCTGATGGAGAAAGATCTATCACCTTTAGTTTTGAGCCTCGACTTTGGAATGACCAGGAGGCCTTCGCCAGAGGATCTGAGGCTGCGAGTTGGCTCATAAGGTATTAAAAGCTCTGAAATGTAGCTTGGAGCAAGTCCTTTGAGCGCTTTAAAAGTAATCACATCAATCACAAACACATCAATATGAAAATGTTCAAAAATCAAGGAAAAAAGTGACGGATTTAAGAGGCAAAGAGCTTTGGGACATCAGTGTAAAAAAACTGTGAAATTATATTCTTGTGTTATGTCCGTTCACTCTATGTTCACTTTAAGAACTGCAAAGAAAGTACACAAAACTATTAAAAGTGCACAGCTTTATTACAACAAGGCTAGAAAAGTATCATTCTGTTCCATAAAGTTGCCTAAATGTAAATCTATTATTTGGATGATTTGGCCACAGCAGCTCTGACTCCAGAGTAAACGATTTCTTCTTCCGCTCTCTTTTTGTTCCTCCTCTCACCTTTGCAGGGTTTCTTCTTGGAAAATGTGGGTGCAGCATAAACCAGTGAGCTGTCATCTCTCTGAGAATACACACAGAAAAAAATGTAACATGACCGCTGTTTATTTTGACGAATAGAGAAAGATTTTCAGCCTCTGTGTGTTTCTTACCTGACGACTTTGCCGATCGGCGCTGGCCTTCGCAGCACTTCTACGCTCATCATCAGCTGCTGTGATGAAGTCAAACCAAAAACACGATCTGTTATTTAACAAAGAGCTGTGATTTTCACTGTATGATTGATTGTTATTGGAGAAAGTTTTATTACTGTTGCAGGGAGCTCTTGTCTTGATGGTATAAATCAGGAAAGCTATAACAATCAGACATGTGACCACAGCAGCTGAGAGCAGATACAGAGTGATGTAAAGTAGCTCATCATTTCCTGGAACAAACAAGAATGAGAATTTAAAAAGTTATAGTGCTTTAGATAAATTTAAGATTAATTTCTAATCCTGACCTGCACAAAGAAAAAATGTCTTTAAGCCCGCTCTATCAAATGGCAACTTTTTCGTTTAAAACTGCGCATTATTCCTTTAAAATAGATTAATAAGGAAACCTTTCCCAACATGGATCAGATCAGATATGAAATAAATGCTAATGGTTCATATGAAATGTTCTGTACTTAGCTTCAGAGGTGAGCTTTTTTCCATTTCCACACAGTATCTCTCCACATGCGACCACAGCACAGTAGACAGTCTCATCATCAGAGGAGCTGACGGTCTTAGAAAAGCTGTAGACACATCTCTGCAGAGAGGGAGTCTCTGGACTCTCCTCACATCCATCACTTGTGTTTCCATGAGTGTAAAAGACACTGGGACGGGAATCATCTGATCCAGATCTGAACCAGAACACTCTGGGTTTATCTGGACAGGTTTTGCTGCTCTTGTCTCTGAGGACTGAACACTGCAGAGTCTTTGAGTCTTCTGGATCAGGTGAAATGGCTTGAATGATTGATGTGATATTTGGTCCTGGTCCTCATAAATTTAAGACAGAAAGTGAACGTTTTTAATGCACATTTTGTAGATTAATAAAAGAAACCTTTTCTCATATCTACAGTATATTCATGAGGAACACTGAAACTGCTGATGATAATTTGATTACATTTTTAAGCAGCCATAAAAAAGGTTAGTATATTTCAATTACCTTTAATCCTCAGAAATGTTCCTTTTGAAGAATTGCCTTGAAGTTCGACTTGTTTTATACAAAAGTAAAGTCCAGTATCATTGAGCTGTGCTTTGTTAATAATTAGGACAAATGTTCCAGGTTCTTGTTTTGTGGTGAAGTGAGGGGTTTTGTTAACAATTTCATTGTCATAACTATTTGTTCTTCCCAAAAATTCAGGTAAACCTTTAGAAACTAGCCTGAGCCAGAATAATTTTCCTAAACTCTGAGAGGTCTTACGAGGACACGTCAAAGTCACTTCATCTCCAACACTGACAGTTTTAGTTTCATAGCCCTTGTCACCTGTACAACCTGAAGAAAATGAAGAAACAATGTCAGTATTTAAAAAAGGATCATTTGGGCTCTATGCTGAATGATACTGAGTATGAAAAGACAACATATAAATATAAAGTAATTTAGAAAGCATTTTGTGTACTCACGACTCAGTCTGAGCATCAGAAGTGAAAGAAATACGATCAGCAGCATTTTCTTGTAAATCCACTTACGACTGCACCAAGACTAGCTCATAAAAGAAGCTGATTCCTCTTGATATAATCACATAAAGTGGGAGGAGACAGTAACAGGCCACCATGATTGGCTTGTTATTATGATGGTACTTACTTTGTTCGACCACAATGGAAAAAAACAACCGTCTTTCAAACCAGGGCACATAAAATGTGACCAGCAGCAAGCTTTTCTTTCCTGTTTCACAGTTGTTTTCAACAAATAACCCTGAATGGAAACACCCATACACCAGCTTCATTCTGTATATCTATAGACTGTGTGATATAGTTCATGCAGAAAGAGCTAAGTTAGTTAGCTTCTTTGTGAAGCTTGCTATTTAGCAAGTAACACTGTGTTTTTCTGTCTGTTTTGTTTTATCTACGTTAGATTAATACAAGTGATACACATCAGCCCCTTTCACACATGAACCACAACACTGAAAATTTCTCAGCATTTTCAGGGTTGAGCTGCGGGCGCTAACACAGATCTGGATATATAGTCTAGAAATTAACTTACTCTAGTTTGCAGATTAAATTTTCAGAACATTTCAGGATTTGATTATTAAGGGACCTTGGTTTGATATGAGAAATGAAAGCGGAATAATTGCTGTGTAGCATGTGAATTCTCAACCAAATCAATAAAGATGTTGTATATTATCATAATCTGTCACATGATGCATAATTTAAAAAATACTTGGGGTTAAGGTTTGACCCCAGGTCTTCTTTATTTTCATCCTCCAGCCATCTGTGATCATGTGTATCTGTGATCATCTGTGATCATTTCTGTATGCTGTCATGATGTCATTTCCAAACCTCCAGGAGACGTCTTCACCTACTGCACCATGTGACATCGAAATGACGTGTATTTTACGTAATCTTTTAATGTCTAGATTAGGTTTCCTGAAGGTGCAGAATGACAGTTTTTTATACATCTTTTTCAGACGTCTTATTGACATCCAAGTCTGATGTCTTGCAGACCTCCAAATCAGACGTCAACATGTCCAACTTTGGTCAAAATCGGCCGTCAAAATCAGGTCCTCTGGAGGTGGAATAACAATTGGCCAAGTCGGATATTGAATCACTTCTGCAATTATAACTTCGAAACTGTACAACACCTACAACCACCTTATTGAAATACTTGGTAATAACTCTGGACAATAAACTCACCAACCTGCACACCTCGGACATTCAAAACTCTCAGCCATCCAAAAACCTAAAGGACTATACGTTGCATCCCACCTCCTGCTGCTACTTTATCAATGTATCATCCAGCCAATCCTCCTGTAGTGCTCCACATGTTTCTTCACCATGCTTTTTGTCACCAACCGGGCCAAACTTGCACGTATCACAAACACAGCTGCTAAAATCATTGGTCTTCCATAAGTCAATCACCCGACTGGCACACAACATAGAACAGGACTTCACTCACCCACTGCACCAATATCTCGTCCCACTCCCCTCATGGTGCAGATACAGAAGTATGAAGTTGAAAAGGGCTCACCTGGGGAAAAGCCTGATCCCCTTAGCAATAGCCACCCTGAACAGCAGGCCCCACTAATCGGAGTATACTACCGTTATGTCCTCTTCATATGTTGTAAATGTTGTCTGTCCCATGATGTGAAATGTCTGTCCTTTGTATATGTAGTCAGGAAGGACAAATTTCCCCCTACAGGGACCAATAAATCTAAATCTCAATGTGTCAATATAACAAAACCAATATGATGGTCATTAAACATGTTTTATTGAATTTGTTGTCAACTCCATTAACCACACTCATCCAAATATGATTTTGACATCTGAAACATGTCCATTTAAATCTTGGACCTATTTTGCACGTTGCTTCAAAGTCTAGATTCAGTGGAGGACATAACGTCCAGATTACATGATAATGTGAACGTCAGTTCAATGTCTAAAAGAAGTCCAATAATGACGTCTAAATCTTGGCTCTATTTTGCACATCGCACTGACAACTAGATTTGGTCTTCAGATGAAGTCCAAATGCTGAACGTCATTATGACGTCTAAAAGAGGTCCAATTTAGACATCTAAATCTCTAACCTATTTTGCACATCTCTATGACATCTACGACGGACTGACCCAATACTGGCGTGATCTGCACGTCTCTCTGACGTCAATTGGTTGGTGGGACAACTGATGCAAATTTGAAGTGCATTAGAATCAAGGTCAAAGTCCTTAAGGTCGTCAGGCCACTTAAATGGAATTTTTGGTGTGCTTTAGGCCTAGAAATGACGTGATATATACGTTGATAATATGGTCTGTCTCAACATCTATCCTTGACTAGTTCTGGCTATCTGCAGATGTCCAGAATTTGGCCAGGCTGAACAACATTATATATGAACTAAATACAAACCTTATAAAGATGTCCAGATAGTGGCACGTGCTAATGTCTATCTTTGACTAGTTCTGGTTGTCTAATAACATCCAGAATTTGGCCAGACTGAACCTCTCGTCTCAAAGTCATTAATCGACTAATGCTGGAGTCACATAGATGTTCAGATTGTGGCCTGTCTCGACATCTATTCTTGACTAGTTCTGGCTGTCTGTAGACGTCCAGATTTGGACCAGGTTAAACAACATCATTTCATGTCGTGTTTCAACTGAATATGAACGTTGTATGGATGCTCAGATTACGTTCTGAATGGACCAATGTGATATCTACTTCTTTTGGATGTCCATGGACATCGCTTATTCAGAGGGATGGCAGTTTGAGATGGTGACCTTGTGTGTAGATATAAAAGGCTCTTTCTAAATAAACATAAAACTATTCTCATATTCAGGTAGTTTTACAATAAATAAATATAAAGGTAACACTTTATTTGAAGGGGTTTATATAACACTGACATTATGCTGTCATAACCATTTAATAACACCTGTCACTAACATGAATATGGCTTATTAAGGTTGTCACTAAGAGTCATTATGACACCTTTGGTGCTATGATGATGACAATGCCTTCTCAAACAATGTCAACATAGTACCAAAGGTGTCATAATTTACTGAATGACACAGACCACCCATACAGGAGGCTACTTCCCGAGGAGGCTGTGGTCTTTTAACATGAGCGACTGGTGCTTTACTCATTGTCACTTGTTTGGTCACTGCTGAATAAAATGATCAATAACTCAAGAAAATGATGTTACAGATAGTGATATTCATTGAAAAAGACTTCTGCAAGGATGTGAAACCTGCTCTAGGATCTTGTGAGACAAAAATTTCAAACTCATGTTCAAGCTGAAAGGAGGAGCTAAATGTGAAGAACCTCCCACCTATGACAGCATTGATGTTCAGGAGCACAAACATGCAAACAAACCAAAAAAAAAAACACAATAAAACACAGCTCATAGCACCCTTTATGCATTCATGTAAGGTGTTGTGTTCCAATTATCTTTAAATAACTCAGTCTTTTTGTATTTTAAGAAAGTAAAACAAAAGTGAAGTTTAACTTCTTGGAATTCAGAGAGTGTCAAATTAGAAAATAGCTCTGTTTTCTCACCTCAGTGTGTGAGGCCAAACCACAACAGCAGCACTGAAGTTTCCATGCACGGTTTGGTTGTCTGGTGTGCATATGTGTGTTTGTATGTGTGCATGTGTGTGTGTGTGTGCGCGTGGTCAAATAGTTGACCACATGCAAACTTCGAAACTTAAACAACACGACACATGGAGACGGTGGACTCAACAAAGAACTGCCACACGTGGTTTCAAACAAAGGGACGTACTTTCTTTTACTGATCTACTTTGTGTTTCTTTAATCTCTCTCTCTCTCTCTCTCTCTCTCTCTTCTTGCACACACACCCACAGTTTGCGTTCAGTCTAGCCTGTAGTTGCTGTCAGAGAGGGAAGGTGTTGGACGGTGACTGGTTTGTAGCTGCTCTTTTAGGCCTGAACCACAGTTTACAGAGTGAGTTTGTCTGTTAAACAGATTTAGTCTGCTCTATTATCCAAAACAAGGATTCACATCTTTGCTGAAGTCAAACAAAAACCATGAGAAACCAGCAGTCAGCTGTCTGTCAACTTAGCAGAGGATATATATTTGAAATCACAACTGAAGAGTCACTTATATTGATTTATTCAAAGAAATCAACTTTAATATTTGTACACAAATACATGAAAGCATGGCGCTGGTTCAGGTCTGTGACAAGATTTGGTGCATGTCATCCGTCAGACTCTCAATAAAGCATTTTTTCTACTAAAGGCTTAAAGTTCAAAAAAACATCTTTAAAAAAGCATCAAATAAGCTGAAACAGAAAAAAACAGTCATTATAAACTGTTTTTGAGTACAATGTGAGATTGCCATTACAACTTCATATCACCAAACTGTCTTTGGTTTTATAAAAATCAGTGATCCATCCAGACTGTATCGGCTGATAGAAAGCAGATAACTCTCTAGTCCAACCCAAACGCCTTCAGAGCGGCGTTGATCCTCCCTCTCTCCACTGCAGCGCTGTCGGCTCTCCTCATGGTGAAGACAGCAGCAGAGTAAACCCGTGTGTCCTCATCTACCTGAGGAAATGTGGAGAACAATGTGAGAGAAAATGTTTTTATACCATTAAATCTGAAGTTAAAGCTGCCTTTGAATAATTTACCTGTTGATCTTTCTGACAAACACGCTTTCTTTGCAGGGAAACAGCAGCTGGAGTTTAAAATACAAACTACATCAGTTACAGTCAGGATAAAGTCACTTTAACTCAGAACTGTTGAATATATTTTCAGTTCTCCTTATACTTCTTGAAATAAACATTTATGAGGACGTTAAATATAAGATTTATACTCTAAGGGAAAAGTATGCTCTTCTGGGTTCTTATGGCTCCTGAAACATTTTGTTTTCAGACAAAGTCATCACCACTTACTTTTGTGTTGTTCACTTTTTGCTCTTGTGGTGTTGTAACAGATGAAAGCAAAATTGACAATCACAGAAAACACCAAACAGAGAACTGCTATCACCAGCCCCGTTGATTTAGAAGTTTCATCTAAGTACAAAAAACAGACAAAAATTAGATGTTAATGTTAATAACATCATGAACATTGACTCGTACAAAGTTTGGTTCTTGTCTTTCCACAAATAAGATCTCCACATATATTTTTTGATTTAAATAAGATACTGTGCCGTTACCTTCAGAGGTGAGCTTTGTTCCATTTCCAAACAGTATCTCTCCACATGTGACCACACCACAGTAGACAGTCTCATCATCAGAGGAGCTGACGGTCTTAGAAAAGCTGTAGACACATCTCTGCAGAGAGGGAGTCTCTGGACTCTCCTCACATCCATCACTTTTGTTTCCATGAGTGTAAATGACACTGGGACGGGAATCATCTGATCCAGATCTGAACCAGAACACTCTGGGTTTATCTGGACAGGTTTTGCTGCTCTTGTCTCTGAGGACTGAACACTGCAGAGTCTTTGAGTCTTCTGGATCAGGTGAAATGGCTTGACTGATTTCAGGTCCTGGTTGTCATAAATTTAAGACAGAAAGTGCAGCTTTTGATTTTGCTCAAAGAAGTAAAATAAGTTCAAATGAAGTTCAAAGTTAAAGTTAAAATATATAAATGGAAGTTATGAGATTTATTCTTACATCTCTTTTCATGTGGAACATTATATCTGCTGACATCACTCAGGGTTGATTCTAACTTTAAGGAAGTTAAAAGTCTGTGAAGTGTATTTTATTTACCTTTTATCCTCAGAAACGTTCTCTTCAAAAAAGTCACGTTAAGTTGGCACAGTTTTACACAAAAGTAAAGTCCAGTATCATTGAGCCGTGTTTCTTTGATGGTCAGGACAAACTTTTCAGGTTCTTGTTTTACTGTGAAATGAGGAGTTTTGGTAACTTCTTCATAGTCAAAGCTCGGGGTTCCTCCCAAAAATTCAGGCGTGCCTCCAGAAACCATCCTGAACCAGAAAAAATTTGTTGACAACCAAGAGGTATCCCGAGGACACGACAAAGTCACACCATCTTTCACACTGACTGTCTTTGTCTCGTAGTTCTCATCAGCTGTGCAACCTGAACAAAATGAGGAAATATCAGTGTTAAACAAAAGCGAAAGATAGATTTTTTTTCCCTTTTAGTAAAAAATTTAAAGTATCAAAATCAAAAATACAAATCTGATTCACTTTAGAAAATGTTACTTACGACTCAGTCTGAGCGCCAGGAGTAATAAAAATGCAGTCAGCATGTCCTTGTCAGTCCAGTTACGACAGCACTAAACTGAGCTTGAAAAAGAAGATGATTCCTCTTGATATAATCACATAAAGTGGGAGGAGACAGTAACAGGCCGACCTGATTGGCTTGTTATTATGATGGTACTTACACTGTTCGACCACAATGGAAAAAAACAACCGTCTTTCAAACCAGAGCACATAAAATGTGACCAGCAGCCAGCTTTTCTTTCCTGTTTCACAGTTGTTTTCAACAAATAACCCTGAATGGAAACACCCATACACCAGCTTCATTCTGTATATCTATAGACTGTGTGATATAGTTCATGCAGAAAGAGCTAAGTTAGTTAGCTTCTTTGTGAAGCTTGCTATTTAGCATTTTAGCAACACTGTGTTTTTGTCTGTTTTGTTTTATCCATGTAAGATTAATACAAGTGATACACATCAGCCCCTTTCACACATGAACCACAACACTGAAAATTTCTCAGCATTTTCAGGGTTGAGCTGCGGGTGCTAACACAGATCTGGATATTTAGTCTGGAAATTAACTCGTTCTAGTTTGCAGATAAAATTTTCAGCATTTTCAGGATTTGATTATAAAGGGACCTTGGTTTGATATGAGAAATGAAAGTGGAATAAATGATCAGAATTTACCACATGATGAATAATTTAAAAAATACACACACACACACACACACACACACACACACACACACACACACACACACACACACTTGCGATGTTGACATGTAGTTAATGAGCTCAGTGACCTACAAGATTTCAGAAATATGACCTTTGCTGGTCTTAAACATCTTGACTTGACCTTCCAATGTGCACCAAACCAGGACAGGAGTTCAACTCTGCTTACAGCTTTAATTATTTTTCTGTGTTTTTCTTCTGGGTATATTTTTATTGTGTTGCTTGCTGGCTGATCATGTCTAGAGTTGCTGCAACATCTGAATTTCTCCTCTTCAGAACAATAGTCTTATCTCATCTTGTTGAAGAAACAGGATTTTATCTCTGTAAAAACTTCCCCAACAGCTTTTTTTATTCAACATCTCAAAGTTTTTTCTTATGATTGGAAGCAACAAAAACCACCATCTTAATTTCAATCATCTTTTTACTTTTGAGAAACAAACATGTAAAGCTGACAGCATACAAACTGCATTCAAGAGAAAATAGGCGGATGGGATTTAGAAAAAAAAAAACAATTTAAAAAAGACTCAAAAATAGAGAAACAGCTGATGTGAATCTGGTTCAAAGTGCAGGACATTACTTAAAGCTCCTGATAGTAAATTCCTTTTTCATAAAATAACAGAAGCAAATACAACTACTGCAAACATGTCTACATATAATGTCAGAGACCACAGTCTTCTCAATATGTCAGATGAAATGAACAGATAAACAGTTTCCACTGTCAGTCTGTTGCAGCAGTTCTGACGCCGCTGTAGATAATCTGGTCCTCTGCTGGTTTTACATTTCTTCTCGGTCCTTTGTCAGTTTTCCTCTTCTTAGAAAATGCTGGTGCGGCATAAACCAGTGAGCTCTCATCTCTCTGAGGATATACACCAGGAAATGTAATGATAAGGCTGATATTAAAATTGACGGAAACAAAGACTTTCAACAGCCGCTGTGTTAAAACCAAATCAAATAAAAGGTCTATCAATTGAAACAGAGCAGTAACAACAACAACAACAACAACAACAACAATAATAATAATAATAATAATAATAATAATAATAATAATAATAACAACTGTTTGGTTTATTTATGAGGATAGAAAATTTCCATTACCGTTGCAAGATATTGTCCTGATTTTATAAACCAGAAAAACTATAACAATCAGACAAAGAACCAAAGCAGCTGAAAGCAGATAGAGAGCTATGTTGGTCTTCAAATGCTGCATGTTGTTTCCTGAAATAAAGCAAATACTTTAAGTTCACAATTATTTCAGTAAAAAAATACAGTTGATTTAAAAGTTTACTACAATCACTTTTGTGGAAAAACTGTTTTCAAATTCTGGATAAATGTTTCTAAATGCTTCGTATAAGATATTGTACCATTACCTTCAGAGATGAGTTTTGTTCCATTTCCAAACAGTATCTCTCCACATGCGACCACAGCACAGTAGACAGTCTCATCATCAGAGGAGCTGACGGTCTTAGAAAAGCTGTAGACACATCTCTGCAGAGAGGGATTCTCTGGACTTTCCTCACATCCATCACTTTTGTTTCCATGAGTGTAAACGACACTGGGACGGGACTCATCTGATCCAGATCTGAACCAGAACGCTCTGGGTTTATCTGGACAGGTTTTGCTGCTCTTGTCACTGAGGACTGAACACTGTAGAGTCTTTGAGTCCCATGGACGGGCTGGATTAGATAAAATGTCTTGAACAACTGAGATGATATCAGGTCCTGGTCCTTTATTTTTAGACAAAGAGAAAGTTTTTAATAGACATTTTTCTAGATTCACGAAAAAATTCTACTCTCACATCTTTTTTCATGAGGAACAATGAAACTGCTGATCGTAGTTTGATTACATTGTTAAGCAGCCATCAAAAAAAGGTTAGTATATTTCATTTACCTTTAATCCTCAGGAATGTTCCCTTCAAAAGAATAACATTTAATAGTTCTTGTCTTATACAAAAGTAAAGTCCAGTATCTCTGAGCTGTGTTTTGTTGATAATCAGGACAAATGTTTCAGGTTCTTGTTTTGTGGTGAAGTGAGGGGTTTTGTTAACAACTTCATAGTCAAAGTCATACGTTCCTCCCAATAATTCAGGTAAATCTCCAGAAACTACCCTGAACCAGAATAACTGTCCTGAATTTAGTAGAGGGTTCTTGCGAGGACACGTCAAAGTCACATCATCTCCAACACTGACAGTTTTTGTCTCATAGTGCTCATCATCTGTACAACCTGAAGAAAATGAAGAAATAATGTCAGTATTTATAAAAAAGGATCATTTGGGCTCTGTGGTGAATGATACTCAGTATGAAAATACAACATATAAATATAAAGTAATTTAGAAAGCATTTTGTGTACTTACGACTCAGTCTGAGCATCAGAAGTGAAAGAAATACGATCAGCAGCATTTTCATGTAAGTCCACTTACGACTGCACCAAGACTAGCTCATAAAAGAAGAAGTTGATTCTCCTAAATATAATCACATAAAGTGGGAGGAGACTACCCTGGCTCAATCTGATTGGCTTGTCCTTATGATGGTTTTACTCTGTTATACCACAGTGGAAAAAAACATCAACCATCTTTGAAGTCAAAGCTGTACGAGGCAGGTGATCTTTTGTTTCAAGGTTCAAGCTTGGTTTCTATTATTGACCCGAGAAGGAGGTACAAGTACAGACAACAGTTTTCTGTTGTGTTTTTAATAGAGTTTGAATGAAAAGTTGTAAATAAAGAGCTTTTAAGAGGGATTTTAGCTGCAGCAATCACAAGACATGTTACAATGATCCAGTTTGATTTACCGGAGGCTTTTGTCTGATGAAACGTACTTTTGAGAACAAAAACAACACAAGCATGATCTAGGTAGAAGGAAACAACATGAGTGAGTTCAAAAAACTGATTTAAGTGCAAGTGATCATAATGAGGTCATGAGGTAAATGGGGCAATGCATTATTTTCAAAGTAACCACCAACCACCATCAACCAAAGTGAAACAACAACCAAATAAAGTCCCAATGACACTGTCATCATCATCATCATCGTCATCATCATCGTCATCACCAGGTGCAGAAATGTTTACTAAGAGCTGGGCAAAGTGTCTCAAAGTAGAGGCGGACATTGGTCTCAGTAATTCTCTCACTGTGGACAACAGAGGAGAAGAGCTGAGCTTAAGAGCATAGGTGGTCTCTAAAGACCTGAGTCTCGAGCTTTTTCTTAAAGGTAGAAAGGGACTCTGTGGATCTGATAGAGTTTGGTCATTTATTCCACCATCACCAAAGACAACAGAGGAGAAGATTCTGGGGAGTGACGAAGGGCCTTTTTGTGATGGGAGCACCAGACACAGTCCAGTGGCAGAGCATTACATGTGGGAGAGAGTTTAGACCTGCATGAGGGACGACAGGTTGGCAGGAGCTGATTGAAGGCAGGAAGTAGGGCCTTATATTTCATGAGAGCTGCTACTGGAAACCAGTGGAGATAGATGAACAGCAAAGTGATGAGCTGGTTCAGGTTGGTGAAAAACTGGACAGGCTGCTTCATTTGGGATCATCTCCAGAGGTTTGACTGTGCTACAGGGAGGCCTGCCAGTGAGGAGTTGCAGTTGACAGTGTGTGATAATACAAGGTTCTGTAATATCTCCTCCTGGTCTCTGCAAAATCATCAGTTCCATCTTGTCCCAGCGGGTCATCAGCCACCAACACAACCAGTGTCAGGACTTTATGGTGACAATGTTCTTGCCGCTGTGCATTCTAGACATCCTGTGATTTCAAAATCTCCCCATTGAGTCCAAACGCCAAAGCCTTTCTCTCTCAAGCAACATTTTAACAATCATAAAATAAATAAGTTTTCATTCTTGAACTTTTCTCTCCTGATTAAATAATTCAAATTAGCAACAGTCACCAAAACTGTCTTCTGAACCAGGCTGCATACATGTTTAACTTTGCTGTAAAAATGGACGTCCGGCATGGGTGTTAAAGGGGATTCTTCAGCCTCTGCAGCCTGCCTCAAGTGGACACTAGAGGAACTGCAGTTTTCATTACTTCCATACTCTCTTTGCTTTTCAGCTCTGGAGGTTGTGACTTGTTATTGAGGGGTTTGCAAACTCCAAATTAATAAACCTTTACAGAGGACACCCTTGGCTTTTTTAACTTTCAGGCCCATTTCCTTGTTACCTGACATGTTTCCTAAAGAAAGGAAATCTATAAACCTTTTTGTTCCAGTATTATAAATGTTGTTAGTTGTACTTTTCTACTGTGTCACAACGACTTCAAACTGTGAGAATGAGAGAAGAAGTGTGCAGCCAGCCTTTCATTAGGTGGGCTGTACTGTTGGAGGTGAGAAAACACATTTTGTACTACGTTTATGTCATTTCCTCGTTCTCTTCCTGCTGGTCTAATGTGCAAAGAAGGAGCATGCATCAAAACACTGAGACGAAACATGAGTGACTGGTGCTTTTCTTAGTCACTTTTTAAGTCACTGCGAGATAAAATGATCAATAACTCAAGAAAATTATGTTACAGATAGTGATATTCATTGAAAAAGACTTCAGCAAGGATGTGAAACCTGCTCTAGGATCTTGTGAGACAAAAACTTCAAACTCATGTTCAAGCTGAAAGGAGGAGCTGAATGTGAAGAACCTCCCCTCTATGACAGCATTGACGTTCAGGAGCACAAACATGCAAAAAGCACGATAAAACACAACACATAGCACCTTATATGCACACATGTAAGGTGTTATGTTCCTACTTTCTTTAAATAACTCAGTCTTTTTGTATTTTAAGAAAGTAAAACAAAAGTGAAGTTTAACTTCTTGGGATTCAGAGAGTGTCAAATTAGAAAATAGCTCTGTTTTCTCACCTCAGTGTGTGAGGCCAAACCACAACAGCAGCACTGAAGTTTCCATGCATGGTTTGGTTGTCTGGTGTGCATGCGTGCATGTGTGTGTGTGTGTGTGTGTGTGTGTGTGTGTGTGTGTGTGTGTGTGTGTGTGTGTGTGTGTGTGTGAGATCAAATAGTTGACCACATGCAAAATTTGAAACTAAAACAACACAACATACAGACATGGTGGACCGAATAAACAACTGCCACACGTGGTTTCAAACTAAGGTCTTGGTGGACGTACTTTCTTTTACTGATTGACTTTGTGTTTCTTTAATCTCTCTCTCTCTCCCTCTCTCTCTCTTTCTCTCTCTTTCTCTCTCTTCTTGCACACACACTCACAGTTTGCGTTCAGTCTGGCCTGTTGTTGCTGTCAGAGAAGGAAGGTGTTTGATGGTCACTGGTTTGCAGCTGCTCTTTTAGGCCTGAACCACAGTTTACAGAGTGAGTTTGTCTGTTCAACAGATTTAGTCTGCTCTATTATCCAAAACAAGGATTCACATCTTTGCTGAAGTCTGTCTGATTGTGCATCAGTTTGTTTTACTTTCACAACCATCACTCGTTCATGTTAGCAAGAAAAGAATAAAACCAAAAACCCTGAGCAACCAGCAGTCAGCTGTCTGCCAACTTAGCAGAGGTTATATATTTGAAATCACAACTCAAGAGTGAATTTTATTGATTTATTCAAAGAAATCAAGTTCAATATTTGTACACAAATACATGAAAGCATGGGGCTGGTTCAGGTCAGTTTTTAGAGCAGGAATCCGTGTCCAGAGTCCACAGTCCTGACAAGATTTGGTGCATGTCATCCGTCAGACTCTCAATAAAGCGTCTTTTCTAATAAAGGCTTAAAGTTGAAAAATAGATCTTAAAAAAGCATCAAATTAGCTGCTGTGAAACAGAAAAAAAACAGTCATTATAAACTGTTATTGTGTACAATGTGAGATTGCCAATACAACTTCATATAACCAAACTGTCTTTGGTTTGATTCATCCAGATTGTATTGGCTGATAGAAAGCAGATAACTCTCTAGTCCAACCCAAACGCCTTCAGAGCGGCGTTGATCCTCCCTCTCTTCACTGCAGCGCTGTCGGCTCTCCTCATGGTGAAGACAGCAGCAGAGTAAACCCGTGTGTCCTCATCTACCTGAGGAAATGTGGAGGACAATGTGAGAGAAAATGTTTTTATAACATTAAATCTGAAGTGAAAGCTGCCTTTGAATAATTTACCTGTTGATCTTTCTGACAAACACGGTTTCTTTGCAGGGAAACAGCAGCTGGAGTTTAAAATACAAACTACATCAGTTACAGTCAGGATAAAGTCACTTTAACTCAGAACTGTTGAATATATTTTCAGTTCTCCTTATACTTCTTAAAATAAACATTTATGAGGACGTTAAATATAAGATTTATACTCTGAGGGAAAAGTATGCTCTTCTGGGTTCTTATGGCTCCTTAAACTTTTTGTTTTCAGACAAAGTCATCACCACTTACTTTTGTGTTGTTCACTTTTTGCTCTTGTGGTGTTGTAACAGATGAAAGCAAAATTGACAATCACAGAAAACACCAAACAGAGAACTGCTATCACCAGCCCCGTTGATTTAGAAGTTTCATCTAAGTACAAAAAACAGACAAAAATTAGATGTTAATGTTAATAACATCATGAACATTGACTCGTACAAAGTTTGGTTCTTTTCTTTCTACAAATAATATCTCCACATATATTTTATTAATTTAAATAAGATACTGTACCGTTACCTTCAGAGGTGAGCTTTGTTCCATTTCCAAACAGTATCTCTCCACATGCGACCACAGCACAGTAGACAGTCCCATCATCAGAGGAGCTCACGGTCTTAGAAAAGCTGTAGACACATCTCTGCAGAGAGGGAGTCTCTGGACTCTCCTCACATCCATCACTTTTGTTTCCATGAGTGTAAATGACACTGGGACGGGACTCATCTGATCCAGATCTGAACCAGAACACTCTGGGTTTATCTGGACAGGTTTTGCTGCTCTTGTCACGGAGGACTGAACACTGCAGAGTCTCTGAGTCTTCTGGATCAGGTGAAATGTCTTGAGCGATTGCAGTGATATCAGGTCCTGGTCCTTATTTTTATTTTTTTTTAGACAAAAAGAGAAAGTTTTTTTAATGGACATTTTTCTAGATTCATGGTAAAACATCTACTCTCATTTCTATATTCATGAGGAACAATGAAACTGCTGATGGCAGTGTGATTACATTTTTAACAGGCCATGAAAAAGTTCTAAGTATATTTCATTTACCTTTAATCCTCAGAAATATTCCCTTCAAAAGATTAACATTTAATTGTTCTTGTCTTATACAAAAGTAAAGTCCAGTATCTCTGAGCTGTGTTTTGTTGATAATCAGGACAAATGTTCCAGGTTCTTGTTTTGTGGTGAAGTGAGGGGTTTTGTTAACAACTTCATAGTCAAAGTCATACATTCCTCTAAAAAATTCAGGTAAATCTCCAGAAACTAGCCTGAACCAGAATAATTGTGCTGTAGACCGAGAGGTCTTGCGAGGACACTTCAAAGTCACATCATCTCCAACTCTGACTGTCTTTGTCTCATAGCGCTCATCAACTGTACAACCTGAAGAAAAAGAAATAATGTCAGTATAAAAAAAAGGATCATTTGGGCTCTGTGGTGAATAATACTCAGTTTGAAAATACAACATATAAATATAAAGGACTTAAGAAAGCATTTTGTGTACTCACGACTCAGTCTGAGCATCAGAAGTGAAAGAAATACGATCAGCAGCATTTTCATGTAAGTCCACTTACGACTGCACCAAGACTAGCTCATAAAAGAAGTTGATTCTTCTAAATATAATCACATAAAGTGGGAGGAGACTACTGTGGCTCAATCTGATTGGCTTGTCCTTATGATGGTTTTACTCTGTTATACCACAGTGGAAAAAAACATCAGCCATCTTTGAAGTCAAAGCTGTACGAGGAGGGTGATCTTTTGTTTCAAGGTTCAAGCTTGGTTTCTATTATTGACCCGAGGAGGAAAGTTCAAGTACAGACAACAGTTTTCTTCTGCGTTTTTTAATAGAGTTTGAATGAAAAATTGTAAATAAAGAGCTTTTAAGAGGGATCTAAGCTGCAGCAATTACAAGACATGTTTCTAGTGATCCAGTATCATTTGGCAGCTACTTTTGTCTGAAGAAACGTAAATTTGAGAACAAAAACAACACAAGCATGATCTAGGTAGAAGGAAACAACATGAGTGAGTTAAAAAAACTGATTTAAGTGCAAGTGATCATAATGAGGTCATGAAGTAAATGGGGCAATGCATTATTTTTTAAAGTAACCACCAACCACCATCAACCAAAGTGAAACAACAACCAAATAAAGTCCTAATGACAGTGTCATCATCATCATCATCATCACCAGGTGCAGAAATGTTCACTAAGAGCTGGGCAAAGTGTCTCAGAGTAGAGGAGGATGTTGGTCTCAGTAATTCTCTCACTGTGGACAACAGAGGAGAAGAGCTGAGCTTAAGAGCATAGGTGGTCTCTAAAGACCTGAGTCTTGAGCTTTTTCTTAAAGGTACAAAGGGACTCTGTGGATCTGATAGAGTTTGGTCATTTATTCCACCATCACCAAAGACAACAGAGGAGAAGATTCTGGGGAGTGACGAAGTGCCTTGTTGTGATAGGAGCACCAGACACAGTCCAGTGGCAGAGCATTAAATGTGGGAGAGAGTTTAGACCTGCATGAGGGACGACAGGTTGGCAGGAGCTGATTGAAGGCAGGAAGTAGGGCCTTATATTTCATGAGAGCTGCTACTGGAAACCAGTGGAGAGAGATGAACAGCAAAGTGATGTGCTGATTCAGGTTGGTGAAAAACCAGATGGGCTGCTTCATTTTGGTTCATCTCCAGAGGTTTGACTGTGCTACAGGGAGGCCTGCCAGTAAGGAGATGCAGTTGACAGTGTGTGATAATACAAGGTTCTGTAATATCTCCTCCTGGTCTCTGCAAAATCATCAGTTCCATCTTGTCCCAGCGGGTCATCAGCCACCAACACAACCAGTGTCAGGACTTTATGGTGACAATGTTCTTGCTGCTGTGCATTCTAGACATCCTGCTATTTCAAAATCTCCCCATTGAGTCAAACCGCCAAAGCCTTTCTCTCTCAAGCAACATTTTAACAATCATCAAAATAAATAAGTTTTCATTCTTGAACTTCTCTCTCCTGATTAAATAATTCAAATTAGCAACAGTCACCAAAACTGTCTTCTGAACCAGGCTGCATACATGTTCAACTTTCCTGTAAAAATGGACATCCAGCATGGGTGTTAATGGGGATTCTTTAGCTTCTGCAGCCTGCCTCAAGTGGACACTAGAGGAACTGCAGTTTTCTTTACTTTCATGTTGGCTTTGCTTTTAAACTCTGGAGGTTGTGACTTGTTATTGAGGGGTTTGCGAAACTCCAAATTATTAAACCTTTACAGACAACACCCTTGGCTTTTTTAACTTTCAGGCCCATTTCCTTGTTATCTGACATGTTTCCTAAAGAAAGGAAATCTATAAACCTTTTTGTGTCAGTATTATAAATGTTGTTAGTTGTACTTTTCAACTGTGTCACGACGACTTCAAACTGTGAGAATGAGAGAAGAAGTGTGCAGCCAGCCTGTCAGTAGGTGGGCTGTCATGTTGGAGGTGAGAAGACACATTTTGTACTATGTTTATGTCATTTCCTCGTTCTCTTCCTGCTGGTCTAATGTGCAAAGAAGGAGCATGCATCAAAACACAGACGAAACATGAGCGACTGGTGCTTTTCTCGTCATCACTTTTTAGGTCACTGCGAGATAAAATGATCAATAACTCAAGAAAATTATGTTACAGATAGTGATATTCATTGAAAAAGACTTCAGCAAGGATGTGAAACCTGCTCTAGGATCTTGTGAAACAAAAACTTCAAACTCCTCTTCAAGCTGAAAGGAGGAGCTGAATGTGAAGAACCTCCCCTCTATGACAGCATTGACGTTCAGGAGCACAAACATGCAAAAAAGCATGATAAAACACAACACATAGCACCTTATATGCACACATGTAAGGTGTTGCGTTTCTTCTTTCTATAAATAACTCAGTCTTTTTGTATTTTAAAAAAGTAAAACAAAAGTGAAGTTTAACTTCTTGGGATTCAGAGAGTGTCAAATTAGAAAATAGCTCTGTTTTCTCACCTCAGTGTGTGAGGCCAAACCACAACAGCAGCACTGAAGTTTCCATGCATGGTTTGGTTGTTTGGTGTGCTTGTGCATACGTCTGTGCATGTGCGTGTGTTCATGTGTGTGGTCAAATAGTTGACCACATGCACACTTAAAAACTTAAACAACACATGGACATGGTGGACTCAACAAGGAACTGCCACACGTGGTTTCAAACAAAGGTCTTGGTGGACGTACTTTCTCTTACTGATCGACTTTGTGTTTCTTTAACTCTCTTTTTCACTCTCTCTCTCTCTCTCTTTCTCTCTCTCTCTCTCTCTCTCTCTCCGTTGCACACACTTACAGTATGCACTCAGACTTGCCTGTTGTTGTTGACAGAGAGGGAAGGTCTTTGATGGTCGCTGGTTTGCTCTTTTAGGCCTGAACCACAGTTTACAGTGTGAGAGTTTGTCTGTTAAACAGATTTAGTCATTCATCACCATCACCCATTTATTATAGCAAGAAAAGATGAATAAAACCCAGGTTTAATGAGCTTTTATTGTGAAGGGCGAGTTTGGCCAGTGAACTCTATTTCCTGTCTATGTCTATAACACAGCTTGACGGTGTACAAAACTTCCTTTTAAACAAGGACCAACCACTAAAAAGTTTGGAAACAAACAAATCTTTAAAAGTATCTGAAAACCACAGTAGGACCTCCTGCAACGACCTTCCTCTCATTGAAGAGGACCGAGGACCGAGGACTATCCCTGTTGTATCAAGGTTTGACAAACAATTAAGAAGGTACCCCTTCTTACTAGCGCAGATTGCTAATGCTAGGGCTCATGCTAATGTTAGCTTTGTTAGCTGCAGTTGTTGTCACACTTTAGCAAACCCCATTCATTTAGCCGCAGATGTTAGCAGAACTAGCTTATATAAAACTCAAACAGAGTCACATGTAGAATTAACCAGTGTGTGTAACACTATCCACATTTATTTTTGCGCTGACTGAACTGTTTTGCCTGCTTGAAGGCCTGAAGATTGCAGTCTTCTGTCTTAGTTTTGGTGCCTTGTTCCTTTGTGCAAAGTCTTGGCAAAGTAGGGATGAGGGTAGATGTGAACACATATACCACTTGTACTGTATTATACTTTTTATCTATGGTATTTTTTTGTACTTTTACTCTATTTTCTGTATTTTTGTACTGTGAGTTGGAAAGAAACATCCTTTTCAGTTCCTCAATATGTACTCTCATACATTGACAGTAAAAAAGCAGGAATCTTGAATTTAGCTAAATGTCCTACACATACTTTTCTTTTTGAGAGGTATTCATCGTATAAAAATGTGAATTGTTACAGGAAATGAATACTGTCATAAAGAATTTGAACTAATAATGCAGACCACACACACACACACACAGACACACACAGACCATGAAATGGTTTACTCAGATATTAAAAGAGATAATGACAATGGGTTTGCTTTTGAAACATAGTAAAACAAATATATAATTAGCAGAGTTTATCTGTTTTCTCTGTTCTTTAATTTGTGCCACTTTTCTGCGTCTCTCGGCATGCAATTGACCAAGAAGAGGGAAGTGACCGACTGTCCCTTCATGATTTACACACATCAAAAACCAGTCAAAAATTAAGCAGTATTTCCTCAATATATACAGAGTTTTTCCTGATGTAGTTACATAGACCATTTAAGTATTTAAATGCAATAAAATGTATATGTAAAGCTTACCATATAAACTTTACAGGACACCTCATGGGACAGTCCACGAGACATATCACAGAAAAAATCTAGTTTTACAGACAAATTTGCACGTTATATTTCACAAACATTAGAAATAACATCAAATATAACAGCCCTCGATATAATAAGCTGAATATAATGCAGGATGAGACTCAGAAACTGGCATCAGCAAAGGAAACAGATATTATGCATGAGTGCAGTTAGTTATTTGGCAATGCTTAAGTTCTAATTAGGAAAAAACGGTTTGAATAAATCATTTTCAATAACTGGAAAATAGCAGTAACTCAACAGTTACTGTAAACAGGTAAAAGAAAATACAGTGTAAAAAAATAAGACATTTTTAAGAAATGGAATATTACCCATGAAAGCTTGTTGTTAGTTTTTCTCAACCTTCCTGACATCAGTGTAGATGGTGTCCTCCTCTGCTGGTTTTGCATTTCTTCTCCTTTCTTTGTTGGGTTTCCTCTTAGAAAACTTTGGTGCTGCATAAACCAAAGAGTCTTCGCCTCTCTGAAGATATTCACTATAAAAATTTAAGGAAATTATTGACATAGAAAGAAGAAAGAAAATGATTGCTTAAACTTCTCTAGGGTTGTTTTTTCTCTGTCTTACCTGCTGAATTTGCTGATCAGGAACAACAGCTGTAACGTAAAGTAGGAACAGAGATGTGGTTGATTAATTTGAATGGAGCTGTAATGTAAACTGTTTGATTGATGTTGGTGGATGAATGTTTTATTACCTTTACAAAAAGATTTTGTCTTGATGGTATAAATCAGGGAGACAATAACGATCAGACATATAACCAAAGCAGCTGAGAGAACAAACAGAGCTGTGTTGTTCCACGCTGAAAATAATATGCAGAGCAAATACAAAGAAACAACTGTTATTATTGAAAGATGTTAATGATAAGAGATGTGACATGATTGTTTTATAAGACATCAACCCAACGGACTTACCCTCAGAGGTGAGCTTTGCTCCATTTCCAAACAGTATCTCTCCACATGCGACCACAGCACAGTAATAAGTCCCATCATCAGAGGAGCTGACGGTCTTAGAAAAGCTGTAGACACATCTCTGCAGAGAGGGAGTCTCTGGACTCTCCTCACATCCATCACTTTTGTTTCCTTGAGTGTAAATGACACTGGGACGGGAATCATCTGATCCAGTTCTGAACCAGAACACTCTGGGTTTATCTGGACAGGTGTTACTGCTCTTGTCACGGAGGACTGAACACTGCAGAGTCTTTGAGTCTTCTGGATCAGGTGGAATGTCTTGAATGATTGCAGTGATATCGGGTCCTGGTCCTCATAAATTTAAGACAGAAATTGAATGTTTTTAATGGATTAATAAAAAAAATTAAATTCCAACTCTCATTTCTATTTTCACGAGGAACACTGAAACTTCTGATAGGTTTGATAACATTTTATTTTATTTTTTTAATGCCCAGTGTATTTTATTTACCTTTCATTGTTAGAAATGTTCCCTTTAAAAGCCTGACTTCAAGTAGGTCTTGTTTTACACAAAAGTAAAGTCCAGTATCGCTGAGCTCTGTTTTGTTGATGATCAGGACAAATGTTTCAGGCTTTTTTTTTACAGTGAAATTAGGGATATCGGTAATACTTCCATGGTTTAAACTATATGTTCCTCCCAAAAATTCAGGTAAATCTCCAGAAACTAGCCTGAACCAGAATAAATTTGCTTTTATCTCAGAGGTCTCGCGAGGACACTCCAAAGTCACATCATCTCCAACACTGACTGTCTTTGTCTCATAGCGCTCATCAACTGTACAACCTGAAGAAAATAAAGAAATAATGTCAGTATAAAAAAGGATCATTTGGGCTCTGTGCTGAATAATACTAAGTATGAAAAAACAAAATATAGAAAATAAAGTAATTTAGAAAGCATTTTGTGTACTTACAACTCAGTCTGAGCATCAGAAGTGAAAGAAATACGATCAGCAGCATTTTCATGTAAGTCCACTTACGACTGCACCAAGACTAGCTCATAAAAGAAGCTGATTCCTCTTGATATAATCACATAAAGTGGGAGGAGACTACCCTGGCTCAATCTGATTGGCTTGTCTTTATGATGGTTTTACTCTGTTAGACCACAATGGAAAAAAACATCAGCCATCTTTGAAGTCAAAGCTGAACGAGGAGGGTGATCTTTTGTTTCAAGATTCAAGCTTGGTTTCAATTATTGACCCGAGGAGGAGGTACAAGTACAGACAACAGTTTTCTGTTGTGTTTTTAATAGAGTTTGAATGAAAAGTTGTAAATAAAGAGCTTTTAAGAGGGATTTTAGCTGCAGCAATTACAATAAATGTTTCAATGATCCAGTTTGATTTACCGGAGGCTTTTGTCTGAAGAAACATACTTTTGAGAACAAAAACAACACAAGCATGATCTAGGTAGAAGGAAACAACATGAGTGAGTTCAAAAAACTGATTTAAGTGCAAGTGATCATAATGAGGTCATGAGGTAAATGGGGCAATGCATTATTTTCAAAGTAACCACCAATCACCATCAACCAAAGTGAAACAACAACCAAATAAATTCCCAATGACACTGTCATCATCATCATCATCATCATCATCATCACCAGGTGCAGAAATGTTCACTAAGAGCTGGGCAAAGTGTCTCACAGTAGAGGCGGACATTGGTCTCAGTAATTCTCTCACTGTGGACAACAGAGGAGAAGAGCTGAGCTTAAGAGCAAAGGTGGTCTCTAAAGACCTGAGTCTCGAGCTTTTTCTTAAAGGTAGAAAGGGACTCTGTGGATCTGATAGAGTTTGGTCGTTTATTCCACCACCACCAAAGGACAACAGAGGACAAGATTCTGGGGAGTGACGAAGGGCCTTGTTGTGATAGGAGCACCAGACACAGTCCAGTGGCAGAGCATTACATGTGGGAGAGAGTTTAGACCTGCATGAGGGACGACAGGTTGGCAGGAGCTGATTGAAGGCAGGAAGTAGGGCCTTATATTTCATGAGAGCTGCTACTGGAAACCAGTGGAGAGAGATGAACAGCAAAGTGATGAGCTGATTCAGGTTGGTGAAAAACTGGACAGGCTGCTTCATTTGGGATCATCTCCAGAGGTTTGACTGTCCTACAGGGAGGCCTGCCAGTGAGGAGTTGCAGTTGACAGTGTGTGATAATACAAGGTTCTGTAATATCTCCTCCTGGTCTCTGCAAAATCATCAGTTCCATTTTGTCCCAGCAGGTCATCAGCCACCACCACAACCAGTGTCAGGACTTTATAGTGACAATGTTCTTGCTGCTGTGCATTCTAGACATCCTGTGATTTCAAAATCTCCCCATTGAGTCCAACCACCAAAGCCTTTCTCTCTCAAGCAACATTTTAAAAATCATCAAAATAAATAAGTTTTCATTCTTGAACTTTTCTCTCCTGATTAAATAATTCAAATTAGCAACAGTCACCAAAACTGTCTTCTGAACCAGGCTGCATACATGTTCAACTTTGCTGTAAAAATGGACGTCCAGCATGGGTGTTAATGGGATTCTTTAGCTTCTGCAGCCTGCCTCAAGTGGACACTAGAGGAACTGCATTTTTCTTTACTTCCATGTTGGCTTTGCTTTTAAACTCTGGAGGTTGTGACTTGTTATTGAGGGGTTTGCGAACTCCAAATTATTAAACCTTTACAGAGGACACCCTTGGCTTTTTTAACTTTCAGGCCCATTTCCTTGTTACCTGCCATGTTTCCTAAAGAAAGGAAATCTATGAACCTTTTTGTTCCAGTATTATAAATGTTGTGAGCTGTACTTTTCAACTGTGTCACGACGACTTCAAACTGTGAGAATGAGAGAAGAAGTGTGCAGCCAGCCTGTCAGTAGGTGGGCTGTCATGTTGGAGGTGAGAAGACACATTTTGTACTATGTTTATGTCATTTCCTCATTCTCTTCCTGCTGGTCTAATGTGCAAAGAAGGAGCATGCATCAAAACACAGACGAAACATGAGCGACTGGTGCTTTTCTCGTCATCACTTTTTAGGTCACTGCGAGATAAAATGATCAATAACTCAAGAAAATTATGTTACAGATAGTGATATTCATTGAAAAAGACTTCAGCAAGGATGTGAAACCTGCTCTAGGATCTTGTGAAACAAAAACTTCAAACTCCTCTTCAAGCTGAAAGGAGGAGCTGAATGTGAAGAACCTCCCCTCTATGACAGCATTGACGTTCAGGAGCACAAACATGCAAAAAAGCACGATAAAACACAACACATAGCACCTTATATGCACACATGTAAGGTGTTGCGTTTCTTCTTTCTATAAATAACTCAGTCTTTTTGTATTTTAAAAAAGTAAAACAAAAGTGAAGTTTAACTTCTTGGGATTCAGAGAGTGTCAAATTAGAAAATAGCTCTGTTTTCTCACCTCAGTGTGTGAGGCCAAACCACAACAGCAGCACTGAAGTTTCCATGCATGGTTTGGTTGTTTGGTGTGCTTGTGCATACGTCTGTGCATGTGCGTGTGTTCATGTGTGTGGTCAAATAGTTGACCACATGCACACTTAAAAACTTAAACAACACATGGACATGGTGGACTCAACAAGGAACTGCCACACGTGGTTTCAAACAAAGGTCTTGGTGGACGTACTTTCTCTAACTGATCGACTTTGTATTTCTTTAACTCTCTTCTTCACTCTCTCTGTCTCTCTCTCTCTCTCTCTCTCTCTCTCTCTCTCTCTCTCTCTCTCCGTTGCACACACTTACAGTATGCACTCTGACTTGCCTGTTGTTGCTGACAGAGAGGGAAGGTGTTTGATGGTCACTGGTTTGCTCTTTTAGGCCTGAACCACAGTTTGCAGTGAAGTTGTTGCATGAAACTTTGCTCACAACAGAGCTTGAGAACATCTGGTCAGGTATAGAGAGGTGTTACCTGTTACTGCAGATGTCCCCATAATGTTTTGGTGAGATTCAATCCATTGATTAAAGTGTGTCCACCTCCACTACAGTAGCTGACGACTGGCCTTCTCTCAACTTATAAACGGTGTGTCTGTCTCCAAGTTAACCTTTTATGTCATGTACTGAAACAATCAGCAGATGCAAAAGACTACGATGTAAACAGACCCCTTTACAGCTCTGTACCTTTCAAACAAACAATAAAACACCTATGTCTTTCATAAAAACAACGTCCCAGTTACAGTTGGTGTTAATGTTTTCCCTCAGACTGCCTTAACAACAGCAGATGACCACATAAAGTCAACCATGAAAGGCAAGAAAGTTTGTTAAGTATCTCTAAGAGACGCAGCCGTGGCTGCAAAACTGTTACAGTTACCTCCACCCTGTTTGTCGTCAGCTCTGGATCATTTTTGGGAGCGCACTGGTGTTTCTGTTATTTATTTATTTATTTTTTGGTGTTTTTTAGCTTCTGCATTTGTCTGAACCTGTATCCCTTTGACAACCAACTTATTATCACAGCATCCATGTCCACTCTCATCAGTTAATGGATAATTGAGTGATAAAAGTAGAATCTAAGAGACCTCGGAGCTTCCAGAAGTTTGATTCTTAAGGTGTTTTGCAACGGAGTTAACAGCCTTTTTCAAAACAAGGTTGTGAACAGCTATAAATATCATCCCTCAAGTCCTTTGAAAAGTGCAGAAGTTACCTTCTTTGATGAGACACCTCTCACCAAATCAAAAGGATCACATGATTGCTGAATTCAGGGGGAGGGTCATATTGAATATGCTCCAACCAATCTCTGTCATAACCCAGCAACAAAACCTCCATTTAGGTAGAGCGACATCAGCAGTGCGAGAGAAAGGTGCTTTACCACAATGATTATACAACTGGCTGCTTTGACTCTACTGTGGACTGTGTGTAAGTACGAATACTGCTGTGAGAGAATTTACTATTTTATATCAAAAAGAGCAGTGTGGTTATTTGCAGTGAGCAATGTTAAACTTGATGTTCGTTATTGTTGCTGTGTTGTACCTCTGTAAATGTTTGTCTCTTTTCTTCAGCTCTGGTTCGAACCGGGGAAGTTCCTCACACCATCCCTGTCAAAATGGTTGATGTTGGCGGCAATTTTACCCTGGAATGTCCAGTCTCTCAGGGGAGCAAATTTCTTTACTGGCATAAGCAGCGCTTTGGATACATAGCTCAAACTATTGCTTCACGAGCACAGGGTAAGATAAGCTTAAATGCACCATTTACAGGCTCCCGTTTTAACCTAACAGAAAAGGGAGATCATCTTTTGCTCACCATTAGAAATGTCAGCAAAGAGGATGAAGCGACTTACTTTTGTCAAGATGGATCAGCATTTGCATCCAATTTCACGAACGCTGTCTTCCTTGCTGTCAACGGTAAATATCTTTTTCTCTTCGTTTGTGCTGAGCTCAAAAATCACTAATGTTTCAAATCACATGAATCTTTCAATTTATGGAAAGCTTGTGACACATTTTTTTAACTGATCTGCACAGATACTCATCCAGAGAAGTCCCTCAATGTGCTTAATCTGGCAGACTTAGTCAGACTCCGGTCTTCATGTCCCCTTTGTAACAAAGAAAATGGAGTGAAGTGTCCTGGTGAAAATGGTGGGTACTCGTTCAGAGGTGGATTAGCAGGGTTATGTCCAGGATTCATTCACACTCATGAGAACAGGAGTGTTAAACAAGCAGAGAAGTTTTAAAGATGCATATTTGTGTTAATCCAGATTACTTATACTGTTTTCACAAATGTTCATGAATGACTTGATGCCTGTTTCTTTTAGGACCTGACTTTTGGGAATCGAAGATGGGCCTTGTTATCCTTGTGCTGGGAGTACTGTTGACCTTCTGCGTGACTGTGATCGCTGTCCTTATTTTCCATGTTAAACAAAGAGGAGTTTGTGAACAAAGCAAAGGTATGTTCTCAGAATTTCCTTATTTTCTTTACTTCCTCCTCTTCTGGTGAGTGTGGCAGGTTAGCGTCCGCATGACTGTGCTGTTGCACGTTGTCCCAGTCCGGTAGTGAAGCAGACATAGCCTACATACAATTTATCTTCATCTGATAGATCGAAAATATTGGCAAACTTAGTAGTGCTACAAGAAGCCACTCTTCATCTGTGCTTGTTTACTTCCAGGTGGTAGAGGATCAATTTTTTATTTGATTATATATGAGAAACTATTTGATGGATGAGAGACGAGGGTTAAATTCAAAGGAAACATGACAAAGAGACGCACAGAGGCAAATAGATGGTGAGCTATGGCAACAATCTACCACAGCTAGACATGTCGATCGTCTGATTCAAGAAGTTATGGGTATAAAATTTCATTTTAATGAAGTGTCAAGTTGTGTTTTAACAGACTGTATCGTGGACTAGTCTCAGCACCCACAGAGTGGCTCTGAAGCCCAAGAGTGGCAGTTGTCCGATTGAAAATAAAAATAATAATAATAATAACTGAAAACAGAGGTTTACAAAGTGCTTTGACAGAGAGTGAAAGCAGAAAACGGGATAGCAGATATAAAAAAGATATTAATAATAATAAAATAATAATAACAGAAACAAAACAGTCATGGTAATAATAGTAATGATCAGATAGAATAACAGAAATGAGAAAGAGATAAAACAATAAATAAAACATTAAAAGCCTAAGAGGATATCAAAGAAAAGATAAAAGGTGTAACAAAAGCTAAAATAGACAGTAAAGCCGAATTGGAAGAGATAAAAGAGAAACTGATAAAAGATAAAAGACGGCATCACATAAAAACGAGTCCGTAAAAGTGAGCTTTTAAAAATGACGTAAAAGAAACAACTGAATCTGCACGCCTTATCTCCTCTGACAGGTGGGTTGATGCAAATATCATGTTGGTAGTTTTTACATAAAAAAAAAAAAGAAAACACACAATTCAGTAATTCAAACAGCAGGTAAAAAAAACACAAGCTACATGAACCTTTCCTCAAACTGTGAGAAAGACTTAGCTTTTGGATCTCTGTCCAGCCATCTGCTATTATAAAAACAGAAATGTATTATTCCATGCATGTAACAATATTATATAAAGTTGATCAGATCAATAAATAGGTCTTTCAACCAACCTTTAAACAGGCAAAGCAGACAGCGGCCATGTCTGGTGTCGATCACACAAGTCAGCCATGTCCATGTTGAAGCAAAACTGGTAATCTTGAAAAAAAAATAAAACACTCCATCCTACAGTGTGTATAAATACAGTTGTGGGCTGTTTTAACCAGGCGGTAAACATTTTCATCTCTGTTGTAAAAAATCTATTTCAATAAAGATGTTCCTGAGGTTTCAAGCTCAAGCGGTTACTCAACGTTTCTGCATTTCCACTTCAGCTCCATCCTTCAGCACAGGGCGTTGATGCTCTTTATCCCTCTTTTCAAAGCTGTAGAGAAGTTAAACTGGGGTTTTTGGAAGAATGTTAATCCTGTTTAAGGCAAACCAGACTGAGCGAGTCTGGCAGAGACAAATGGGACTGAAACGTTCAGTTAATTCATCATTTGTTTCCTTTTTCAACAGAGCATGTGAGAACCTCCCATCATCCTGGACATGACCCATCAAATGTGGATCAACCAAATAATAGGGTAAAAATGTTTCTGTCCAATAGATGTGGTTGTTGTAGGAACAGTCCTTGCTTTCATTATCTTCCCTTTGTCATAAACTGAAAAAAATTATTTCTCTTTTCATAATGGTGTATCACAGGAGATGACCTACGCATCACTAGATTTTGGCCAAAAAAGGGTTAAAAGAGGGGCTGCTAAAAAGAAGGACACACCACAGGAGTGCGTGTACTCAGCTGTGGTCACATGACCTGCATCTCTGGAGCCAAACTAACTGCAGAGTTCATCGACTTTGTGAGAGACTGCTCGTGTTTGATTCCCAACTAAAGCCTAAAGCAATATATTTCAATCATAGCGTACCAAAATGTTGTTGCAACATCCTCTGTTCGCAGGGTTACATTCTTATCTGACTTCTTTATAAAACCAGCAGTCTCCCCCTGCTGGACATCAAACAAAATGCAAGTATGGTCACTTCCTCATTGGCTTCATTCTGGACCTGGAAATCCACGCCCACCTCTTACTTGCATATTTGGTAAAAACCTTCACGGTTATTTGTGACTGTGAGACTCTGAGACACCACTTCAGGTGCTCCTCCAAACCAGTAGTGAGCCGGCCCCTCCTCTGTTAGGTGTGAAAACCTCAGCAGAAAGATCACAGTGTATAATGAAGTTGCTGCTGCTGCTGCTGCTACTGCTCACTTTAACTGAGTGCTGTCTTTGCATGCATATGCTAGAGGGTGGAGGAGGAGGAGCATCTCTCTTTTTTCCGGGATTTGATAGAAAGTCATTCACCCATGCGTTTGCATTTCCTATTTTTTTCACATAATGAATATTTGGCCAGTAAATTGATTCATAAATAAACAAATAATCGATTCCTTTGTCTACAGTCTCTTGTCTGACAATGACGTATGGAAAGTTTTGCAATGTTGTAGTTGGGCTGTAAAACTCAGGTGTGACTCAGTGGGTCCTTTTTCATCTCCTCTTGTTGGGCCTCTTAGCTGCAGGCGTGCTGCTAATGTTCAAGGGGAGTTCAGGACTGCTACACCATTACCACCTCTCAATAACACCATGGGGCCTCACAGGAGCAGGTCAACACCCACGCCCTTATGGTCACACGTTGTCATGTTTGTTTGCTCGGGCTATATTTACCTGCTATACTCACAATCTAACAACTCTACCTCACTTGGAGTGACTGAAAAACTGCTTTGGCTTACTCTTTGTGAAATGGAGGTGATGCATTAAATCTCTTAAAAGTCCAAACTGGGGAAAGTAACCTGCAAACATTTTCAACAAACTCATATCACAACTCAACGTTTCCTTCTTGGTCAACGAAAACCTCAAAGGTTAGTGCTTTGAGCTAAACCACAGATGCACATGTGCAGATGCAGATAGGCGACCTTGAGTTTATTGTGCAAAATATTCCCAGGATTTATTAATCATCTCAGAGATACAGATCAGTCACATTCAAATATTTTTATAACAAATCTTTAAGTTTCTGTAAGTCAATCAGTTAACAGACTTGAGCTGCCCTCCTCTGTCTTTTTTACACCGTTTCCTCTTCTCGGGTCTTTCACTTCACCACATATCCTGTTGAAGTAGGTCTATTCTGAGTAAACAACCACAGTAGCTGGTCAAAGAGCTGAAAAAATAGCCCGCCACCGCCTTCACGTGTTTGTGAAGATGTTGCATGAGGCAAGTTGCAGATGAGCTGATTTCCTGCACAGTGGTCAGAACTACAAAAAATAAAAACTTTATCTATAGATACTTTATTTATCAACTTTGGCAATCTTTCTTTTGCTTGAGTATTCATACTGTTTCTAGTGTTTATAACGTTTCTAGTTTCACATGCACCTGTGAAAGAAGCTCATATTTCCAGTCATAAAGGCAGTAAAGATGAAACATTTTCTGGACCCAAAGACTTTTCTTTCATGAAATTTCAAATGTAATCATGACAATTATAACACAACCCTAGGATAGGGTTAAAAACAGTATTCCAATGTTCTGAGCTGCACCTGATCACAGCTGTCTGCGACACTTTTTTAGCCTTGTGTCCATCTCCTTGTGAGTGAAATACAAAAGCTCACAGATGAAACTCCTGCCTCAACTCCTGCTTCTCACATGCACTGTAAGACTTTTATGTAAGACTTTGTTAAACACTGCAAATTAAAGCTGAACGTGTTAAAAAGTTTTGCTTGTCTACATTCAGCAGGTGTGTAAAAGTATCTTCAATTTGCACGCATATTTCTGGCTATATAAAAGAAATGTTAGCCCTATAACCCTCTCTTTAAACCCTCCATTTTAAGACATCTACCAGCTCTCAGAGTTATTTCAGAGGATCCATCAAGCTCACAAAGGATATCCAACCAAAGTAGATGTACCATGCAAGACAAGTTTGTGTACACGCTACTTCAAAGAACATATAAAAATAAAGTAAAATACAGGTCAGGTCACACTCAAACCTCACAGCTCATCCTGTTGAAACCCATAGTCAGGCCTCTTCTGAGTCAGAAGCGTCAGTGGTCGGCTAAAGGAAAAGGCTAACCACATGCTCTCTGTCAGTGTAGCTCTTGCACGTGGCTTTGCTCATTGTTTTCAGTGCAGGCTGCATTTTCAAAGTGCTGATAAACTGAACAGATAAACCTGTTGTAGATGGTGATAGCATTAATCAGTCTCAGAATAATAAACATTGTGAATTTATGATCTTTAATTGTGATGTTCTCTATTGGCGATTATCCTGGTGATAACTCAGCAGAGGAGGAAGCATGCATTGTACTACCTGCAAACACACTTCCTCCTCTAGCTTACAGGTCAGCTGACTCTAATGTTTCCGTGCTTTTGCATACAGGCTACAGGCATCAATCCTTACAGCTGTTTCTGTGATAGCATTGCCACTGCTGATTCTGTTTACTGATCCAAGTTTTAATCGATTCCTGTGAATTTTATGTGGGTTAAAGGGCCATTCAGGTTTTCCACAGAACGTTGGTTTTGTTACAAGTTGTGTTACTTTCACTGGTCTGCTGAGACATGAAAACCTGGGCGTTAGAGATCGGTCTGTGCAGCATCAGTAGCTTACAAGCGCTGAATTAACTAAATCTCAACAGTTTGCAAAGATGATGGAGATTTTGATTGATTGATTGGACAGCTGACCTATTGTTATGAGCTTTGGTTACTGACCATAAAAGGGGGGTCAAGGACATATTTGACCCAGGGAAAGGAGCTCTTCTGATATGTAACTCGCTATTTATGTGCTTCAAGAGTATCTCAGTTACACAGGTATCCTTATTTTCATCCAAGAACTTATCTTTCAGTCAAGATGGACATGAATACAAGAGGAAATTTTATTACGAAGAGTCTGGTTATGATCTAAGCTTTATGGAGGTCTGTAAAAATAACTTACAATAACAGCCAATAATAGATAAATCTCGGTCAATCATAAAGGCCAAAGTACCAAAGGTGTAAGGATCCTTGTGTACCAAACCAAGGACCACTGCGAGGTGCACTACGGCCCCTGCTCATGGGCATACTTAAGTCACTTGGCCAAAGGGTGCCCCAAATATAAAACCTCATTATTGTATACACATAAACCAAATAAAGACTTCAAGGATCTGTATGAGTTTGACCCAAATGTGCATGTTACATAAATAACTGAATTACTTTAAAATAATTGTGCAGCAAATGTTGTATGCTGTGTATAGATCATCGTTGTAGTGTTGCACAGTCATAAAGCGGCGAAGGAAGAGTAGCTGAGATAAACTAAAACCGCGCTGCACTGAATTAAGTCTTACACAAACAGAACGGAAACATCCTATCCTCATTAAAAATGGGACATGATCATTGGTTTAGGAAATTGGGGTCATGTGCATTGTTTGTGTGAAAACCAATCACCATGACCTTTCTAAACCTTGATAAAACCTACCAGTTCGCTGATGGGGAACTTCAGTTGTGCAAGAGACAGGTGCTTCACCACAATGATCGGAAGACTGGCTGCTTTGGTTCTTCTCAGTACAGTGTGTAAGTGCAGCTTTTGTGTTAAATAGTGTAACTAAAACACACTTAAAGACATCGGTCAATGTTTGTATTTTGAATAAATCATAAAGACTTTAAACAGACTAGCCGACACATGTTTTTAATGCTCTCTTCCTTTTGTCATCTGCTTTTTCTTTGTCCAGGTCAAACCAAAGACATGCCTCACCCGTTCTCTCTAACTGTAGTTGAACCTGGAGGTAACGCCACTTTGTTATGTTCGGGTGCTAAGGCTGAAGCCGGCTTGTTTAACTGGTATAGGCTGGTGTCTGGATACATGGTGCAGACAATTACAGCAGGAAGTTTTGCCAAAATCACCCTTGAAGAGCAATTCAGTAACCCGAGGTTCGAGATCAAAAAAGAGGGCACCCTGTTCCTTCTTATCATCAGAAATGTCAGCAAAGAGGACGAGGCAACATATTTCTGTCAAGCTGGATCTCCGTACACAATGAAAGTTGTAAACAGCACATTTTTGACTGTGAATGGTAAAGTATGCTCATTTCTGTTTTCATTGTTTCTACTTGATTTATAAAGTGACATCTACCTTTATGTTATTTACACAGACCATAAGAACCATCTCAGTTTCGTCTATGTGAAACAAAGACCAGAGACTCAGTCTGTTCAGGCGGGAGACTCAGTGAGTCTCCAGTGTTCACTTCTCTTCAAGGACAAAGAAACCAGAGAGCAGTGTCCACGTGAACACGATGTGTACTGGTTCAGAGCTGGATCAGGAGAAGCTCTTCCTGGTGTTATTTACATTAAAAACCCAAAAAGTGATGAAGACGAGGAGAGGCGGTGTGTCTACAGTCTTTCTAAAACCATCCAGAACTCCTCTGATGCTGGGACTTACTACTGCGCTGTGGTCACATGTGGAGAAATCCTGTTTGGAGAAGGAACTACTGTGGAGACAAGTAAGCCTTTATGATTATATTTTATTAGTGACTTTTAAATAAGTACCATGAAAATAAAAAAAGCTCAACAACTGTTTACAGTAACTGCAGTTTCATTTATCAGTACTACCTGGTACTTACCACTGGAACTGCTACCATTTTGAGATGTTGAAGCGTTACTGAGATTGGTCAAAAAGACCTATAAATGCAACTGTAATCTGATTTTGAAGGTTTATTTCAAGTCCCATTTTGATTAAATGAATCTGGATAAAAACAGATCATGTGACAAAAAAATTAAAAGTAAGGGTGTTCAGTTGGTGGAGCAGGCATCCCCAAATTGTAGGATGAAATACCTGTGCTGACAGGATTTGATGCATAATATAAGTTTTAAGTTCTAATAAATTCTATGGTTATGGGCAGTAAGTTACTGGTGTATGTTTTGGATGCTTTCTCTTACATGAATGATCGTGGATTTAGTTCACTATGACACTCCTCTGCACAACATCCTCTAGCTTGTGCGTTTTCTAATTTTTCCCCCCACCTTCTTCATGGATATGGAAAAACTAAGGGTAAAGCAAAGATTTAACCTTCTTCTGTCTTGTTTTCCTGAAGTGTTTTCAGGACAAGAATGGAGCCCAGTTGTCATCACCCTGGGAGCACTGTTGGTCCTCTGTTTGATTGTCATCGCCGTTCTTATCTTCTCAAGAGACTGAAGGTAACTTTAAAGGTCTCTTAAAATCTCTAATCAACATGTGAGCAGGCTTACAGGTAGAAGACACTCAACAATGAAAAAATAATCAGGCCACTTACATAAGCAGGCCCTCGAATGTAGGCGTTTTATCATTAAACAGGAAGTAGTTTTTTTCTCCAATCAGACCCAAACTCAGGAGGTCAAGACCTGAACATATTCATGTGGTAATATTCTATCTCAGTTATAGCTCTCACTTGATGCACCATTGAACATATCTGCACATTTGTTTTCTGATCAAGATGTTGATCATGGTGTGCGCCAAAAACTGATTTATTGTCGGAGAATTTTGACATAAAAATAATCAAACCGCTCTGGCTCAGCCCTACATAAATACATCTGCACGATATTTCCTGTGATTCCCAAATCCATCTCTGAAAAATTTCCAAGTGACACCTTCCAGCAACAAGAAGCGACCTTGTCTATTTAAACACTTTAATTTTGTAACTGCTTCCTAAATACTCTAATGTTACATCCTCAGACCGCCCCCCATCTCTTCCAACACGTAATTCCCAGCCAAACCCTGTTGCCATGGTGTCACTGCAAATGCCATCAAACAGGAAGTAATAATTTGAAGGGCTAAATATCTGTGTGCAGTCACAAACCCTGGTAGACAGGTGCCCAGTGGGGCAGAGACACATTTATACATGTATAGTTGGTTGGGATGATGTCAATGAAGTCATTTTCTACACCCACAATTTTAGCTTGTGTAAGCTCGAGATGTACTTCACTGGGCTTTTGCATCACCAAACCTCAACATTTGCCAAACTTAAGGTCCTTACACGCCGGGACCGTTTTTGTCGTACAATTATTTCGGACGTCAATATTTTTTCTCCGAATCCGTATCCTGTCAATACAAGCGTTCACATCAGCAATGTTTTCCTGTCCTGCTTTATTGCAGCATTTATAATTTTCGGATCATGGTCGATTTTTCTGAAGTTTCGCATACTGTGTGTCCACTTCTGACCAATCAGATTGCGTGTTGTTGCGATGTCTGATTCACTGGTATATCCAACATGGCCGACCGGCTGATTGTTTACGTGTCGGAGAACAGAGTGCTTTTTGACAAAAAACACAAACATTATAAAGATAACGACTTGAAGGACAACATAGCGTTGGATCTCTCATATGACGATGGTTTGTGTGCTTTAACAGTTTACTAAATGCCTTTGTTTCATCTTTCATCTGTGCTAACGTAAGCTAACAGTTGTTTCCATAGTTTCATGTGCTTATCTTATCGCCTCTGATTGGCTATAAGTGCTGACTGTTTGGCTTGATCGTGTGATGACGATTCCAGCTTTTCTAGCCAATCAGAGGTGAAGGAGGCGGGACTTTCCCCGGGAAAAGTCTTCCCCATGATGCGGGGAGAAATGACATGCAACATGCCTCGACATGTGCAAAAGTGCCAGGGCCCTCTTACTGTTGCAGCTTTCATTTCATCTGAGCGCCATAGTTTCATGTAAAAGTTTGTTTTTGGTGTGTTTGGTTGACATCTATGTACAAGGAATAAATCCTGTTTCTATTATCACTCACAAGGTCTGTAGTTTGTCAGCATTTGTTTAGCTATGATTTAAATCAGCCTTTTTTAGTCGTTAACCTTTTTTGGTCCTGATGTCATTTCTAGGAAGGAGGCACAGATGCATTGAACAATGGAACCGCTGGTTTCCTCTACTATGGAAAGCAACAAGGAAGAGGGACAAGAAACAACTGCACTTAACCTGTCAAACAGACGGTTGTCAAAAAAATGTAAAAATGTCCATCAGCTGGATATACCTTCACAAAAGATGCATAAATGTGTCGACTGATAGTAAATACAATAAATAAATAAATTCAGTCATTTTTTCCATTTCTATGAAGACTGCTTTGCTATATTCTCCACACTGTACCTTTAATGATAGGGTTTCAATTATTTGCAGACCATTAAAAATTTATGTTTATCAGAAGTTTTTACAACGTCCCAAACTGTTTTTGTTGTTAATTGGGGTTGTACAGTCTCACTCTGAAGACCCCACACTGGACAACTCCTTGCTTCTTGCCCCCTCGCCACAATTTTGAACTTCTGGTTTAATTTAACTAGTTATGGTTTGAAGTCAAAGAAAACCTGCACTTTACCTCAGTAAGAACGAGATCCTTCCTTTGGTAAGTTTTGGGCCATTTGCGTACTCTGTGTCTCAGCCAATCATCGTGACTTCTGCTATCTAACCTCATCACACAGAGGGGAAATCTTTCATTTTGCTCAGGACCCCAGCTAAGCAACATAAGAGAGCTAAACCACAATGATCAAACAACTGCCCGCTTTGGCTCTTCTCTGTGCATTGTGTAAGTACAACTTTCGTCTTTTGAGGGGTTAGTACTCCGACAATTATCACATTGAATATGATACTAATAAAGACATTTTTAATATCACTTGAAGAATTTGTCGCACACTTTGATTTTTTTTTCTTGTGTTATGTTGGAGTAATGTTTTTTTTTTTTTTTTTTTTTTCTGTTTTCTTCAGCTCAGACTGCCGTACCTCACCAGATCTCTATGACTGTGGTTCAACCTGGTGGTGATTTTTCTCTGTCATGTTCTGTCAATGTTTATAAAGCTGGGCTGTTCTATTGGTACAAACTGAAGTTTGGATACACAGTCCAAAAAGTTGCTGGAGGAAGTTTTCAAACCCTAAAACTTGAAGAAGAATTTGAAAACTCTCGAGTTGAAGTCTCACAGAGGGATACTGTGTATTTCCTCAACATCAGAAATGTAAGTAAAGAAGACGAAGCAACATACTTCTGCCAGGCTGGAACAGCTTATGAATTGATCATCCTTAATGGAAGTCTGTTAGCTGTGAATGGTAATGTATGCTCATTTTATAATTTTTATTTGTTTTTGGCATTGATATTCATAAAACCACGGACCAACTCCTACTTTATTGTAAATCCCATAGATCATAAGAATCATCAGAGATCAGTCTACGTGAAACAAAGACCAGAGACTCAGTCTGTCGAGGTGGGAGACTCAGTGAGTCTTCAGTGTTCACTTCTCTTCAAGTACAAAGAAACCAGAGTGCAGTGTCCAGGTGAACACGATGTGTACTGGTTCAGAGCTGGATCAGGAGAATCTCCTCCAGGGCTTATTTACACTCACAAAAACAGGAGCTTTAAAGAAGAGGAGAGGGGTTGTGTCTACAGTCTGTCTAAAACCATCCAGAACTCCTCTGATGCTGGGACGTACTACTGCGCCGTGGTCACATGTGGAGAAATCCTGTTTGGAGAAGGAACAACTGTGGAGACAAGTAAGCCTTTATGATTATATTTTGATGTGTTTTTACAAAACTAACTCTTAAATGAATTATTCAATCTGACTGTGCAGGATAAAAATCAAAACCCATATGGTTGGCTGAGAGAATATACCATTTGTTAAATGGGATATTAAAAGTTAGAGGTGCCAGCAGAGGCAACAGTTCTTGTTATAGGATGGATTAATAGCACTGAAAGATTTGATGCATGTCATCTGTCACCCTCGTACATGACCTGTCTCTTCCTTTAGCTGAACAACATTAATCAAAGCTAGAAGATCCAACTTGTTCCAGTTAAAAAGAGAGAGACTACAGTAAACTACTGTAAAATCTGGAATATACGTTCCTTCGGCTGCTTTTATAGCAGTAAATTTAACAAGTATCACAGCAAACTTCTAATTATGAAAAGACGAAGGGCAAAGCAACAATTTAATTTCTTTTCACGTGTTTTTCAGGACAAGAATGGAACCCGGTTGTCATCACCCTGGGAACACTGTTGGCCCTCTGTGTGATTGTCATTGCCGTTCTTATCTTCTCAAGAGACTGAAGGTAACTATGGTAACACTGCAGAGATTGAAGACTTGCTTTTTTTAGGTCATTACAAACCTGGACAAAGATCAGTGACATCACACAGAAGTTGAGCCTAGATACCAAATGTACTTTTCAACCCATGAGCTGCGATTGCTGAATATGCACTTACATAAAATGAGACTCTTGGATAGCTTTTTTTTTCAACATATAAGCTTAACACCCTTTATATAGTTTGATTTGGTGGCATACGATTGGTATGGAAAAGGGGTAGTGCCACTGGAAAAAAAGACAAGGGTCCAATATTTTTTTTTTATCTTAAATTCTGAGTTTAAAGTCAGAATTCTGAGAAAAAAAGTCAGAATTCTAAGATTGAAGTCAGATTTCTGCCTTTAATCTCAGAATAATAATAAAAAATATATAGTGGACCTTGTTTTTTTTTTTTAGAATTCTGACTTTAATCCTAGAATTCTGAGATAAAAAGTCTGAATTCTGAGTTTAAAGTCAGAACTTGGAGATTAATCTTAGAATAATAATAAGAAAATATATATTGCACCTTTTTTTTTCCCAGTGGCCCTAATCTTCTTCTGAATATTTGTCTCAAACATAAATCTGGAATTACTACTGACCTTACACTTTTTATTATTTCAATTTTACCCCTCAGAGTTAGGCTAAGCTGAAACCCTGTCCCCATACTTGGCCTATGATTTCTTTAATTTACTTTCACATAAAACTGCAGCTTTTGGTGCATTAGGTTGACATCTATCGTAAGGGGTAGCTCATCTTTCCATTGTCACTCATGAAGTCTGTAATTTATCAGGTTTTGTTTGATTTAAATTAGCTTTTTTTAATCATTAGCTATCAGCCTCTTTGGTCCTGATCTCAAATATCTTTCTTTTTTTCAGAAGAGCAACACAGAGGCAATGAACAATGAATAGGAACAAGGAAGAGGAAAAAAGTCTACTACATTCATCCTGACAAACATATTGTTGTAGAAAAGTGAATGAACTGAATTCATCCCCATTAGAGCTTGAATTTTAAAGCAAGTAAACATATCGCAGTCACCTGGTGTAAAGATAAGACAACTCTCAGAAACAGTGAGAATGAAGGACAGTGTTTTGATGATAACTTTTCATGGTAGAAAACCATGTGGTGTGTTATTGAAAGACACTCTTCGATAATATAATGGATGGCTATGAAAAGCCTCTGATATTTGTGGCACTTTGTGATGTATTTTTTTGGACTGCCATTTTCTTCCACAAAACATGACAATAAAAACAATAAACACCCAACAAATGACATGTAAAATAAACCAAACAGCAATGATAGCTACAGCCTTTTGCTACATGAGTAAAACACACGACAGATGGTTAATAGGTTCTTGTAAATTTACCTGTTTCCTGGTTTCTTCATTTAGCTGAATTGTCTGTATATTTTCCCTGATGTTTCTGTTCCCCTGTGTTAATTTCAGTTATGTTCCTGATGTTTTTTCTTTTCACTGATTGTTTTTTTGGTTCAGTTTTCAGTGTTTCCTGTTGTATTTTGTAGCAGTCACTTCCTGTGTAGCAGGTCTGGTTTTACTTCCTCAGTTTTCCCTCATTTGTTGATGACTTCCAAGTCTTAACTGTGTTTTATCTGTCTGTATAAATTCTCGTCTTCCTCTCCTTCCTTGTTGGTTCATAGTTATTGTCTAAGCCTGTTGATACTATCCATACTTTTGCAACCCTACCTCATGTTTTCCCCTCTGGTCATTTTTTTAAACTAGGTTTTTGTTTCGCCTTGCCTTTTGCTAATAAAGGTTTTTGAGTTCTGCACGTTTAGTTTTTTTGTTTGACACGTGACATACACCACAACAAAACAGCAAACAAAGATCAACAATGAAGATTAGAGCTTGGCGATTAATTGAATTTCAATATGATAACGATTGTCAGCCCCCAGGATCAGGGGCGTCGTTTGGGTATGGCAAGGTATGGCACTTACCATACCTTGACTTGTGTGGAATGGACGGAGTATGCTACTGGCACTTCTAGATTTTAACCCCCTGGTGTACCGTGACTTTTTTGCAGTGTCGTGGTGACGATGTAACTCAGTCCTGTTCTTATTCTTTTGGACTGATTTGTGACGATGATCTCTTCTGCTGACGCCTCTCTGCTGCTCCTCTCCGTCTTGCTCGTGCTCAGCGCACTGCATGCAATACCTTTTGCCATAGGCTACCTTGTCTGAAACTGAAATGACGCCACTGACCAGAATCATAAAAAAATTAGGATGCAGACAATACAGCTCTAACTTTCCCTTCATCACAAGCAGCTCCGATCAATGCGAAACAAACTTGACTTTTTCACAAAAATGAAGCTCAGAACACCAGCACTAAAATGAGTACAAACCCCTCATGTGTCTCTAACAGATTCAGATGCATTACAACAAAAAGTCCATGTCGCCTCACAGTAGTCTGATTAAACAAACTTGTTTCACACAAACTCTCTTAGTTGTGCCTCGAGTTTTCACTGAGATATTCGCCTAAAAAAAAAAACCAAAAAAAAAAAACCCCACAGATAACACCTTACGATGCATTTCCTGCATTTCAGCCAATCAGAACATTTTCCCCTTTGTAGATGTCAGAGACCTTTTGACTAAACCTTCATTCAGTTTTGAGGACATCAGTTGTGCAAGACATGAGGTTTTTCTGCACAATGATCACCAGACTGGCAGCTTTGAGTCTTCTTTTTACTTTGGGTAAGTGCAGTTCAAGACAATGAATACCTTTACTGAACTGAAGAGCCTATCTGAAAGATGATTTATTGACTTTGTGTTAATACTGTGTTTGACTTATGTTATCTGGTTGCATCTCTGATCGTCAGCTTTGATTCAAGCAGCAAAAGTTCTTCAAAAGATCTCTCTGACTGTGGCTGAAGCTGGTGGGGATGTTACTCTGAAGTGTTCGGTGTCGGAGGGAAAGGGAACATTCTTCTACTGGTATAAGCAGCCTCTTGGATATATGGTCCAAACAGTTGCTACAGGAACTTATACTAAACAAACACTGGCTGCTTCATTTAAAAATGAACGGTTCACAGTCACAGAAGGGGAGGACCACTATTTCCTCTCAATAAGAAACGTCAGCAAAGACGATGAAGCAACATACTTCTGTCACAGTGGAACTGCGTACTCTCAGAGTTTTGTAAATGGGATCTTTCTAGCAGTGAAAGGTAAAGTTTGAAACTTTTAGCAACCATCAGTGCATTCCTACATCATATAAACTGTCCATTACTTCTTCAATTTCTTCTTTAATGCCTCACACAGATAGAAATCAGGAGAAATCTGTCATCGTAGAACAAACTCCAGAGACGGCATCAGTCCAGCCGGGCCACTCCGTCATGTTCCGATGTTCACTTCCCTTCACGGACAGAAAAACCAGAGTGCAGTGTCCAGGTGAACACGATGTGTACTGGTTCAGAGCTGGATCAGGAGAATCTCTTCCAGGGGTTATTTACACTCACAAAAACAGGAGCTTTAGAGAAGAGGAGAGGGGTTGTGTCTACAGTCTGTCTAAAACCATCCAGAACTCCTCTGATGCTGGGATGTACTACTGCGCCGTGGTCACATGTGGAGAAATCCTGTTTGGAGAAGGAACTACTGTGGAGACAAGTATGTTTATACTTAAGTTAACACCTGCTTACCTGTCGAGCTGCTAACCTAAATTGCTAACCTTAATATACTATCCTTGTCACGTAAAGCTAGAGTGAGAATGTCTTGACATTACTTAAGACGGTTGGTGAATGCAACAGGTTTATATATGACGATTTTCAGAGATGTCATTAGCACCTTTTTCCACCACCAGGATCAGAGCTGTATCCAGTCGTCATTGCACTTGGAGTTCTGCTGGCCTGCTGTGTGACTCTGAATGCTGTCCTTCTTTTCCGTGGGAATCGTAACCAGGCTTGTGAACATTGCAAAGGTAAGTTCCTAGTTAATGCAAATATTAATATTTTTTAATGCATTTATATTACGTTCATTTTGAAAAGCATGCTGCATGATCTCTTCTTGGAGATGATAGTCTTGTCATTTTTTGGTCCAAGTATGACTGAGGAGTGATCTGTTTGAGTCTGTATCAAGAAAATCACAAGCGTATGATGAAATAGTTGACAGTGTCTTAAGCACTGATGTAGTACCATGTGATTTGAGGATATTTATTTGTGCTACCTCATACAAACATTGGAAACATTGTTGTTTAAAGATGACTTCAATAACTTTTGAGGCCACACTTTTAACTTAATCCAAATGTGCTGGAATTGGAGTAGTTTTACGAGCTCCCCATACAGCATATTACATGTAATTCAGGATCAGACCAAATGACTAGAGAACTGTGTATAAGAAATGACACATATATGTAAGTGCTGTCCATGCTCTCTGAAAGTTCACTTTCCTTTTGCAGGAGGATCAAAAAGTATTTCTCACAATCCTGGACATGAAAAGTCAACAGTCCAGCAGTCAACTAACCCGGTAAATTGAAGTTCTACCTGTCCATTTGTCTACTATTTTAAAAATTACTTTTTTCTATTAAAGGTTTTTTGGCTTCTCAGTCATGTAGAGCCAACCTTACATTTCTGGGTCACTTTATGTTAATGCAAGGTGTCTGCATTTTTTGATACATGGACACATCTAGGCATGTACTTTTGGGGATTTGGGCTTGTATTAAAAACAGATCTTCTCTTTAACCAAAGCTGTCAAGTTAACTGACTAAAGGTAATCAAACATGTTTGTAGTTCTGAGTGTTTTTCATCACATGTCCACTGCTAAATGTCATCTTTCAAAAATAATCAAGTTAGTATCGAATGGCACATGTTCAGATACTGTCCCAATACTTTTTAAGACTGTAACTTTCACACCCTATAAAATGTTAACTAATGGCAACTGTTATTTGCAGGATGGGGGAACAGAGGCAGAAAACTATGCAGCGCTGACTTTCTCTGCAAGAGAAGTTAGGAGTGTGAGAAAACTCAGAGAATCACCCCAAGAATGTGTGTACTCGACTGTACGGGTGGACCACCACACTCCACATCACACGTCTTTATAGAGGAGCGTGGACTCTTCCTCACTGTGCTGGTCTGAAAAAGCAAAGACGGGTTGATTGTTGGATGATTTTTTTTTCTGCATTTAAGTGGTCATAAAGCACTCACTAAAGAGTGTTCAACAGGAAGGGTCTGAAGTAAGCAGGATATACTGGGTTTCTGGGGAACCTGTAATCATAGTCACAATTACATAAGTCGCCATTACTAGGAGAAAGCTGAAGTTTCCTGGTAATGAACTATTTAGTGCAGTCGTCCATGTTGCTTGTCAAGTAGGTTTCTATGATTGAAGACAGCTTCATCATGTACTTCCCCGAGTCTGAGTAATGTAGCTGTAGTAACACTTGGATATATACTATAATAAACAGGTTGTGGAAACCTGCTGGAGTGTACCTGTCGCCATAGAGGAGAGGCTAATCTTCACTGATTACTGACAAATCTGATTGTATCTCATATCAAACTCAGAAACACACTCACTTGTGTTGAACACAAGGGGCATCATATGTATTCTCATCTTTGAACATCAGTCATAAATGTTAGTGGAAATAAGGTATGAAGCTTTTATACAGTTCTAACTTTTGGTTTGTGATTTGGCGCCCCCTGTGGACACAACAGAACCCCTCGTTTGTTTGCTGGTCATTTGTCTGCATATGCATGTTGTGTTTTTCGAGTTGTGTTCTTATTACTGGGCTTTGATGCCTTTATTCAGATACAACAGGACAGCACCCATTTAAGGATTATAGTCTCCAAACATGGGGTTTGTGACGAGGGCAAGCGGACTAGCTGTACGGCACTGATATGAGTGTAGATTTTCTAGTTGTATTGTTATGTTCAACACAGAAAAGTACGCATTTACTTCAGATTTAACATTTTTACAGTGAAAACTAAACACGTCAAAGTCTCTAAACAAACTTTGGTAAAAAATAACGCAACCAAACCATAAATTTATGTTGAAATTAGAAGTAGTCTGCTGAGACGATAAATCACACTACATGAACAAAAGAGGAAAGACTCGTGTGAACAGACACCTGAAACCTGTTTTTGTAGAAAGACCAAGACTTCCTGTGGTCTCTGTTCCTAGAAGAAGATGGTTGACTGCTGATGCAACAGGCCCGTTACAAACTAGGTTTACGACTCTCTTTGAATACACTGATATCTCCTGTTACGTATTTCACTATCCAACACTGTCACTGCATTAAAAAAATGATCCAGACATCTTCCCAGATAAATAAATTCAGAAGGATCTTCCTTAACAGAACCCTGGGGTGTCTTTCTTTATGAAATGAACTACCTGGCTTTTATTCTGATTTATTGCCGCCCTTTACCTGTTACACCAACCCCTTAACAAATGTAGCAAATATTGTAAATCATCTTCTGATTCCACCTGCAGAGCGATATCATCTGCACATAACAAAATACCCAAAGAGAAATCTCTAAAAGATGCCCTACACCAGAGCTTTTAATTTCCTGAGGTGGGACATAAAACATCCTCTTTTTTCAACATCGAACAGGGTTTGAAACCACTCAGTCTCACCTGTACATGAGCAAAAGAGCAATAACAAAGGCACGAAACATAGAAAAGTAGATTTATTGTCTGACATCCTTGTTCTAACAATTGTTGAGATTGAGTGAATATGGTCAATGCAGGTTTGATTGCACAGAGGTTTGATACTTGTGCCTACTATCCTCCATTTCTACTACGTCTATACAGCCTAGCATCACTAAAAACTACACACTGAACCTTTAAATTAAATCAAAGGATACAGCTCTGTCCTATCCACATACATTGCCAACTTTTCATTTAATTGGAGAAGCAATAGCGATTACAAAACAGTTTGTTAGTCGTGGATGTCAAGCGCTTGATTTGATAAGCTAATCAAACTAAAAAGCCTTGACAGCAGTATAGATCCTCCCTCTGATTTCTCATCTCATTCCACCACCGCTGGTTTTCTTCATGGTAAAGATGACAGTTGAGTAAATCCATGTGTCTCCATCTCTCTGCTGAAGTGTACAGAAATTGTTAGCAGTATGAAATACTGGTAAAGTGTCTCATAGCTATGTAAACCAGGAGGTCATACCTGTGAATAATTTTCAGCATTTTCTTGCAGGGAAACAGCAGCTACAAAAGCAAACATGACTGATTGAGAAATATGCAGTAGAAGAAGATGTAAGAGTTAAAACCAAAAGAAATGTTTGATACTATCAATGTAAATGTTAGCTACATAGTGTTGGACGTACTGAGGTAACCGTTCTTACCTTTATCACTGCAGTAATCACATTTGCCTTTGTTGATGCCACAGAGAAGGAGGACCATTATAACCACACAAATAACCGAGACGCCACAAAGCAGGAGCAGAGTCAAAGTGACCTCCTTTAAAATGAAAGGTGAGGAGGTGGGTCCTGGATCATGACGAGAAACAAAATCAGTGAAAGCTCAAACAGACAGAACACAGATGTAAGTGTGAGTCAGTGTTAATTTACAGATTTAAACCTACTATGAGATTACACTGAAGTTTGATCTATACTTGAGTCACTTTGGCTCATCTAGGATGTGGTAAACATGGAAAGATATTAGGAGACTTGAAATGAAGAGATCGGTGCGCACCTGAACCTGTGGCTGAAGTATGATACACGCAAAAACAGATCAGTTTCACAAAGTCTGGCAGTCTTATCTGGACTACTTTAGACTCCCTTAGACCTGACTTTACTGTTATTATTTAAAAAGACTCCTGATTCTGATTTGTAGTTTGTCAATATTTTGTACTGTGGGCAACTTCCTGTAACCTTCTGTGCAACTTTGTTGTTTTTGTATCTATTCTGTCAATCATTTTGTTATAGTTACTTTGTTTTCTTTTCTCATAAAAAAAGACAAAATTCATCAAATATGTTGGAAAGAATTGAATCTTTTTTTTTTTTTTTACTAGCCTATTAAAAACTGGCATCATGTTTGAATTAAGTATCTTTATCTGTAAAGAGGCGTTTTACTTGCGTAGTATCAGGACAGGATCTCATCATGAAAAAAAAAAAGCTGTTGATGAACATTATCCTCATAACTTTTGATTATAATATTAATACTGTTGGTTGCAGGAGATGAAGATGGATCATTTGTTGCTATGGTTACCTTTGATGTCCTGATTTGTTCCATTTCCTGATAAAATCTCCCCACATGTGGCCACAGCACAGTAATAAGTTCCAGTATCGGAGGAGCCGACGTCCTCAGAGAAGCGATAAATGCAGCTCTTTGGAGCTGAGAGCACATCAGACATCTTGTCACATTCATCCTGTTTGTTTTCATCAGTGTAGATGATGTTTGGATTTGATCTGACTCCAAACAAACGCACACTGTGTTCACTTGGACACAAAGTCTTCTTGGGGTCAGGGAGAAGGGAACACTGGAGACTCATTGAGTTTCTCAGGTGCTCTTGATGAGAAACTGTCGGCCACTGAACAACTGTGAAATTTGATGTCCTCTGACTGTTTCCTGGAAATACCAAGGATAGTATCAATCAATTAATCAAGCACTTTTCATAAGCCTTTGAACCGATGATCAGTACTTCTGTTTTGTCCTGGTTGAGCTGTAAAAAGTTTTGTGACATCCAGGCCCAATAGCAGCAGGAGTCACAGCCATGTAGATCTGAGTGTCATCAGCATAGCTGTGGACACAGACACTATGTCTGCTGAGGACACAGCCCAGTGGGTACCATATAGACGGGTTTCTTGTGTACAAACAATAGTCAGTGCATGCACAACCATGGGGCAAAAGCCTACTTCGGAGTGAACTAATATCAATGAAGATGCTGTATTGTTTGCAAGTTCTTCCTGACACAATTGCAGGAAAATGTCATTTCATTGAAAGATCGCTTTGTCTTTTATTGCATCAAAATCAGAAAAAGATTTGCTGAAATGTCCATGAATTTCACTCAATTTAGCAGGTTTTGATGTTGTTTTAGATGTTTCTAATATCAGGAGCAGGGTCGTAATGTTTGCCGATTGTTTGTTTTGCCGATTCGTGCAGTTTACAGCGCAACAGCTCCTCATCATTTTCTTTCTCTGTTGACTCCACTAGTGAACAAATAAGAAATGTCCCGTTCTCTGCACCCTGGCTGCGTGCACATGATGATGATGATGCACAGAAACCTGTCTATACAAATGAAAAAGTAACGGTCCTAAAACTGATCCTTGTGGTACCCCACAGGTTACTTCATAGACAGTATAAGGAGGGGTGATCATTTGTGGATAAGAAAGACTTTCTTTCACTAAGATCTGAGGTAAACCATTTTAACACATATCCAGACAGACCACTGTGCTTATTTAACCATAATTTGTTGAGTCAACAGTCTCAAAAGCAGCACATTCATCATAGTAAAGGGTAAAGTTATCTGAGGTGTGTGGTGGACAGAGCAGAGATCGAGCATCTAAATGAAAATTTCAAATAGATGTTGAAACTTAAAAAGTACCGTGACACCAAAACAGATTGCTGTTTCTACTAGAAACAAAGAGACGTGCTTTACCTTCAAAAGTCAAATACACGCCGCTCCAATGATCCTCAGTCCAGGTGGTGATGGCACAGTGATACACAGCCTCATCCTCTGGGACTGTCTTTAAAATCGTCAGAGTGCTCATGGTTGAAGTATAGTTCGCGTGGAAGCGCGATGAAGAAAATCCTTTTTCAAATGTAGGGCTCGCTGTGGCTTTCATCAGAGTGGTGATTAACACCAGGGTGTCACCAAGGCTCTGTTTGTACCACTTTATTCGTATGTTGCTGTACTCTAAATTAGGCAAGAGGCACGTTAAGGTCCCGGGTTCGCCCAGTTGAACTTTGGTCTCTGAGATCAGTGCAGCTGGAGTAAAAGACAGTTAAGAGGGAACAGTTAAGAAATCTGTTCAGCAAGCTGGTCTGGATTCATCATAGAGTATAGTCACAACTGAAGAACCACTTAGAGCTTATCAAAAATAATATAACTGCAAGCATGAAATAATCAAGTCACTGAGAAAAGTGGTCCATCATTTCTAACTACCTTTACAAAAATACACATATATATCTTTAATAAAGTACTAAAACTACTTCCATAAACTACTTAAAGAAATGAATAATTTAAAGGACAAATATCACCTACATCCAGGATGGAGAAGAAACAGAGAGACGGCCAAAAAGCTGAACATGATGTTGTCTCTGATCAGGATTTTTGTTGATATGAAACAGCTTTAAAAGATGACAGGCTTCACATACTGCATTTCCTGTCATGCTCTTCTCAGACACCTGACTTTAGAGGTTTTGTGGTAAGTAAGAATGGAAGACAGTCTAACCAGACTTTTTTTTTTATCACAATAGATGAGAAGTTAAGTATGAAAGTTATTTTGTTGAGCAGTTCAATGTTGGATATGTTGTGTTTTATGATGGTAAGATTTTATTTTATTTTTCCCACTGCAGGTTCCTCAGTGATTTACTAGACAAACCAGGAAGTCAAAGCCTGGTTTAGACTTTGCATAGGTAGCCTGATGTGCCCCCTCTAAAGTGTCACCATGGGTCACAGTGACGCACACCTCAAGTTCTGTGATTGGTCCGCTTGTTGGTTGACATTTTCCATCACCTCCTATGTCTCTATTTTTTTTCTTTGAATTAAGGCGAATTTTGATTGGCTGTTTCGTCACCAATCACAACTATAGGGTGGAGCGAGAGCTAGCCAACTAGCTACCATAATGACTGGACCACCATCATGGCAGAATCAAATTACATAAACTGCTGCAATACCCCTCTGCACCTGGTGAACTATTGATCAATGGTTTCATAACTGGTTTTATAAGATCATATTATTGTTTGTGATGACTTTCATGTAGCCTACTTTTACCTGACCAGTCCAGAAAAATATTTGCTGGCAGGAAACCGAAGGTCTGCTCGGAAGAGTGACAGGAATAGTGCATGTAACCTATTTCTTCCAGCATCAGCAGCCAAATTGATAATGTAATGTAATAACAATCAGGCAATACATTAAACACTGATTGAAAACACTTTATGTAATGATTTAAATGGATATCCAGGCTTGAGGATGAGATGTACTATTATTACAAACAGAAACCAGGATAGAAGTGGACAAAAAAAAAAAATGTTGATTTTAGTTGAGATACAATCGGTAACTTGAAAGTGACAAATGAAGCCTCTTGTATCAAAGTGAAGTGAAAGGAAAAAGTGCAAACAGAAAAATGAGATGGTCTCTTTAACCACATCCTCTAAGGAAACGGCTGTACGTATGAAGTAGGACAAGCGTGCACTAAAAAACAATAGTGGGCTGAGCTGCTTTTCCTGTTTAAAAAAAACATTTAGGCACCACTCATGCTCATCTGTGTACACTTTACCATGGTAACCAAAAGTGTCAATCAAAGCAGTCGTGCCAACTGCACCAGGTTTAAAACTCCCCCATAAAACTATCTCTCAAATTTCCATTTTCAATCGGGCCAGTGAAAGGAGAGGTGATTTCTGTGGCTTTGATTTTGATTCTTAAATGATCATTTACAAGTAAAGGCACCAATGTAGTCATTTAGAAGATCTCCTTTAAATATCTGCAGTTAAAATGTAGAAGTATCATTGACATAAGCACTTCAAGTTTACAGGAAAAGTTTGAAATCACATGATGTTTACATATACGTTGGTCTTTCTGCTCTGTTTATTTTTGGCCATTTAGCCTTTGAGCTCTGGTGTTTCAGGGGTGGTCCCATCAGTTATAAGAGCTAGAACCTTTTATAAATAAAGTCAGGAGCTTGATATAAAGGTTTGTTGGTCAAAGTTCAGATTTCAGAACTCTTTGAACTGCAAACATTACTTTGGTTGCAACAGGATCAGACAACAAATAATGATGTTCTTTGCACTTTACTGGGGAGAGAACTGTTGAGACTAATGTACAATATTTCACTTAATTTTATCAATTCAAAAAAGGTAACACTGACCTAATGTGGATTTGGACAGACACTGTAAGCTGTCAGGTGTATTTTATTATTAAGAAACTGGCATACACAACTTTGACTTGGACTCAGTTTTCAAAATGTACAATGTCTCTTTCAAAGTGCACGGGCAAACCCGCTTCACATTTGATTGCGATCCTCCTGGTGCGAGCCTGACCGCGGTACTCACACCGAGGGTGCCTGGCTCCCTGGTTTCGCAGCGTGCAGACGACAATTGAGAAGGGTTGGAGGCTTTTGGTCATGTCACCATACGGCTCCCCTGCGCGCTCGCAGATGGATTTGATGGTGTTGGTGTTCGCTCGAATGAAGGTGTTGGTCTCCTTACACTCGTTGCTGTTGGTCTTGGAGATGCCTCTGCTCATAATTTCAGAGCTGCATCTGTTTTCACTCATATCTCCTTTGACATGATGGTTTATGAACTTTCTGTAACGTTCAGACACGGCATTTGTGCAGAGCACAGCAGTAGAAAGCAGCATGGACAAAGCAAATAGGATCCTCATAATTCTCTGTTGAAATAAGGTAGAAAAGATAAGGTAGAAGACCATAAATGAAAGCAGCGGTATTATTATTTTCTTTGTAACTTAAATTTGATTGTGTTACCTCTTGATAACTATCACAGCTCAATCAACAGAAAAAGCAGGCTGATGCGTACCTCTTTAGATTTTCTGCAACTATTATTTAGCAACAAACTCTTGAAAATAAATGGAAGTATAGAAACCCAAATATTTCACTACTGAGGCTATAAGAATTGAATTTGTCTTGGAGCTAAATTGTGACAACTACAAGAAAATCTGTTGAGAAGGTTAAACAAACCTTTTCAGTTTGAAGAAGAACAGCAACAACAACAACAACAACTACCTCCTCTTGCAGCTTTAAGGGTGAGAGATCCCACTGAATAGGTTTTTCATCCACAGGTAGCTTTTATTTTTTTTTCCCCCTGTAATACTGAATCATTTACAGAGCTTCATTTGAACTTTGACTCCTTGACCGGCAACACAGAGAGCGGGAATTCACATTTCATGTTTGTGTAAACACACACAGAACATCTGCAGGAAAAAAATCAAAGTTCTGTCTAAATGTTAGGCCATGTGGACACACAGGAGTATTCTGTTTGTTTTACTGTTTTACTGTCCTTTCTAGACACTAGACTTTAAAATTCACCTTGTCTCTGATAGGGATTGAACCTTTGGCTCAGGTCCATTCTACGTGGAGAGAAAAAAATGATATTGGGAGCAATGAGACGCCATTGTGTTTCTTGGTTTGTTTACAGCTCAGGCCGTGGCTGTTTTAGCAAAATCAGACAACTCTTCGCATGTTCAAATGCTTTTTATCTGGATAAAGCTTGGTGCATGTATTCAAACATCATGATCAGATTATTTGATTTTGCGTCCATATAAGCAGTGGATTCAGATTTTCCGATCTGTCAAATTTTAATCGGATCAAGACAAAGCTGTACAATACTGGGGTTGCACAAAGGTGATATTTATCTATGCAATTATGTGAGCGCACATGCAGAAAAGGTTATATCTCTCTGTTTTCTTACACAACAAACCTGCCGCTCGCCACCCAGTGGTCATCACAAATAAGAGGATGATACTACTGCGGTTGAACCTGAACCTGTAGGTTTGGTTTCGCAGCACATGTTCTTCAGGATAAAACACATTCTTTTAGGTGATAGGAAACAATAGTTGTACCTGTAAGTAGCTAGTTTAAGACACACACACACACACACACACACACACACATACACACACACACATTCTTGTACTTGCTGCTTTGTGAGGTCTATGACAAAAGACCCACAAAGCGAGGACTACCAGTTCTGTTTAACTTAGAAACATGAAAAACATCATTTAGGACACTGGAGGGCACCCTTGACCTATACATTCACTGAGTTTACATGAATTAGCAAGTTTTTCAAAAAAAGATTTTAGCTGACAGAGTGAGGACCGAACTTGGTCTCAGTCATATCAAACGAATTAATAAATACAGTGAATTTATTCTGATTAGGAAGGATAAGTGTGATTGATTTGTAGTTTTTAATATAAAAAAGTAATAATCCAAACTTTTGTAGACCATTTTTTTACCTCCCCAACTCTAGGAAGATGTTGGGGAAAAAAAAATCTAATTGAGCTCGTAACAGAAATGAAAATATTCCTTAACTTCCCCCTCAAAAAAATGAAGGAGAAGCTGTTTATAGTAAGATTAGATAACTTTGTTGAGAAACACCAACAGATCCATCTATGACACTGAAATAGCAGAAGGGCTCACAAACTGAATAAAAGACAGGAAGTGTAGAACAACTGAGAACTTTTATTTTTTTATAAATCTGTCAACTTCTTCCCTTATAACATAAAACCACAACCTCAAAACCATGAAGTGGACCTGAACCTTTCACACTTAAACAGATTTCGCTTTGCTGTTTTGATTTTACTGTAAACAGAGTACTTGATGTCTTGCCATGTCCGATTGCTGAGGGTTGGCGACTTCTTTCCAATGTGCTGCTGCAATTTGACTTTTGCAAGGACCCTCTTCAAAGCCACAAGTTTAGCCATGCTTCGGAGGACTGCAGCCTTCTCCTCCTTTGACCATGGTCTTTTAGTTCGTCCTTTTGAAGCACCTGTAAGACAGAGAACAAAGAAGCTGATCTGAGTACAGATTCACATATTTATAGAAACTAGGACTGGATTTGATTTATTTAAATTGATTCTTATTCTTCAATTCATTTAGTCCAGAGAGTGATCTTTTAATCTTCCTTTTCCTGACAATTACTCCTCTCACAAGTCAAAATTCTGCGCAACAAGATTTGCTTTCTATGCCCCAAATAAACATGGTGGAACCAGCAGCTGCGCTTTAGACATCTCAAACTTTACAACAGAGGTGTGGCTTTATTTTGGATTCATAAACTACAGAGACAGAGCAAAGCTAGACAGAAGGCTGGCACTCAGACTGCGGGAAAATCCTGAATGGATTTAAACGATGTCTAAAAGGAGCGACAATGTCTCACACCAACTATGGTCTCTTCAGCATGCACAGCTCTGGTGAATACATCAAGACAAATCCAAACATGTAAACACAAACATTTTGATAAATAGAATGTAAAATAATTGTGTTAATGGAAATACTGAAGTATTCATTTAACAGCTTTTTGATTTGGAGCATAAATTTAAAGGGGGGGTGTCGTGCAGTTTTTCTCAGATTCTATACTCCTTTTCTGATATCTCTTCAATAGTTTTACGTGATTTTCAGATCAAAAAGCCTAAAATTTCTCACTCTTGTGTATCTAGATATCGTTTTTTCAGCCTCTGTCTGAAACACTTCGTTTTGGAGTCAGGTCGTTCTGCTTCGCCTGAAGCTCCGATGAACAATAAAGACAGACTATAATGCTGACACAGGTATTTTAGTTAGTCTCACAGCTTCACGCAGGGTCCTGTTTGTGGAGCAGTTTACAACTATTTTCAAAGATTATGGCAAAATACATTTACCTTGTGATCTCAAATGTTTCATGCATCTAGTATGAACACCAAACTTTAACTGCATTTTCAGTGTAAATCCACTTAAAGGGTTTTACAAAGTTTGAAAGTTAAACCTTGCTGCTGTGTCCTGCAACTGTGTGTTTGTTTTTTCTGATCATAGCTCTATTATTTAATTTATTATTATGAGATAATCCACCATGTTTTATTGTGATTGTTCAGAGAGATGCTGCTGCTGAAGTTATTATGAAGGAGAGAATAGAAAAGAGTGACATATCTGCTTTAAGAGTTAGTCTGAACATTTGTGTATTTGTCTCTCGTCTCCTCGTCTGTGTCCAAGATTGTTTTAAAATGTGAAACTAAGATGTTCACTAACAGGAGGCAGTAAAATAGGCAGTGGGTCTTTAAACTCTTGCTTCTCCTGTACATGGATGTTTAAATTTATCGCTGCTTTGATGTTCTGAGCTGAGTGTGTTTTTTGCAACCGCTTAGCAGCCCTGTGTGGAAACTCAGAGCAGTATAGTAGTTCCACATGGGTGCTGACCATTTTCCTGAATGTGAGGAGGACAAATACTTCTGTACTGGTCAACAATTCTATATGAATAAGTAGACAATTATAGCACTAATGTCCACATGTAATAGTGCATCACTGCTCACTTTTTAGTTAAAAATGAACTTATTTCAATGTTTCCCTTTCACTTTAACACTATAATTAAATTAACATTTAATGGTCTGAAGAAAGGGAAATAACTGCTCATCTTGGTGGAAAATTCCTTTTGTTCTTCTTGCTACTAGCTTAAGTAAACTTGACATTAGAAACGTGGCTCCATGGCTGCAGAAATACAGGATGGACTGACAGTGCTCGGCAACACCACAGAACTTTAAAAAAACAAATCCAATGAACTCTTTTAGACCTGCTCAATAACATAGACAATAAGAAGAGAACTGACCCAAGTCAAGTTTGGTTTTTACTTCATAACCTACGTTTACAAAAGAAACTTGGACCTACCACATTCATCCTCACACTCACCTTCATCCCATGGCTTAGCCGCAGACTTCGGTGTCTTGTTAGATGGTCCTGTTCCAGTCAACCAATGTCCCTCTTCACATGAGAAAACAAAGGAGACACCTGAAATTAAAAGTACTGACTCTAAAAAAAGGCTTACTGGTGTTTCTAGGTCTGGACTTACTCCAATCATTTGCTCGTCTTTTTGCAAACTTCTGTCTCTTCTTCAAAGCTGGTCTTGCTGCACTCCTGGACTTCTCCTAAGAGAGACCGCAAAGGTGACTTTAGATGGACCTGTCACAGTTTCATATATATATATATATATATCTATACATATATATACAGCTAGAAGGTCTGAACTGGACATGTACGCATCCTGTGATTGGATAAGCACTCATTAGAACCTAAAAGGCAGTACTTCGCAAAACCTCGAACTAAACCAGAGATCTGTTAGCTACCAACAGCTATCGCTGTATTTCTCTGTATAGAAACATGACAGACAGCATAAGCCTCCGTGGCCACAGAAAAGGTCTTATCGATGGAACTGAAATGCACAGATAAACTGTACAACACAGCCAGTGAAGTCCTCTTAAGAAAAGAAAGGAGGACAGATTTTATTTTCAAATAAGCAGGCCCTGCGGAGGAGATCCGTACTGGTGAGTGCAAGCTTTATATCTTTAATGGTGACAATGAGCAATTTATTGGACAAACTTGTTTTAGCTCACATAGTGTACTTTTGGTGGCCCTTTGTTGACTTACATCTTAAAATCGCCTTTTATTTGTGAGTTTTGACAGTATCTGTGATCTTAGTTTCCTACTCTTAGCTGTGAATGTGTGTTTATTGGTTTTATATACTCTGGGAATTATGTGTTGCTTGACTAGCCCATATTTAGGTGATGCAGGGTTTAAGCGTGATTCTGATGGATTCTCATGCCATGATGTCAGATTAATGGTATTATTAAGTGTATTAATTAAGGTAGGACTAAGTGGAACGGCACTGAAGGCCTAGGTGTTAAATGCACGGCAAATGTTTCCAGAGTATGGACTTACCCACATCTTCCTCAGCCTTGCCATCAGCTTCATCATCATATCTCTAAGTTGACCCATTTTTTCGTTGGCAGTTGAGCGCCTCCTGTCTCGGCGTGGTACTGAGCCCAGGGTTGTGTTGGCTGTGGATCCTGAAGATAGAAAAATATAGAAATAAGTCAAAATGTTTACAAATTCTAGTGTATGGTTTTATTTAAATTATTAGATATGTTTTTAATACAATATTAACAAAGGGAACATTTTTGTCAGTTTTGGCACAGATATCAAAGAAAGAAAATCATCGGAGAAAATGATGATCATCTCCAATTCTTATCAGTCAACTTACCATCCTGTGAGTGTGTTTAATTACCTCAAGCGTCTAATAGTGCACATTTCTGTAGCTATCTAAGCATTTTAGCACTCACTACATTACCAAGTCTGGAGTGTTATACAAATTGTGTAAGCTGTATGTTAAGCAAACCATAATCTCAAGATGATTTATTAAATACAAACGTGTTATTTCATCCTTTCATGTTAATTACTTTTAACATTATTAACTATTACATAACTGGTTGATGTGCTGTGAACTGTGGTGGGGGAGGGGAGCAGAAATCTGCAGCTGGTAACTGACCAGACATAAAGAATGAGCATGAGCCTATGTAGAAAAAAAGTCATAGTGAGTTTGTATGATCAGAGCTGGAAGTTAAAGCTTATTCACGATCTACTGTTTATCTACAGAGGGAAATTAATGTGTGTTTGTATGTTACCATCAACTACTATTACTAACAATCACAAAGAATACTATTTTACTGCATTTAAAGAAACATATTAATCCATCAATAATGAACCGTAGCATTCCTGATATAAAACAGAAAATTCCTAATGATTGAACAATAAGATAATTCTAGACAACTAATTAAAAACAAACCAGACTATTCTAGATCGTTTATTATCAATAAACCAAATAATTTTAAATGATTTATTAGATATAAACCAGATAATTGTGGGTGATTCAGTAAATAGAAAACAGATAAATTATCAATAATAAACTGCTGATGATTTATCCTTAATAAACCAGACAATTCTAGATCATTTATTGATAATAAACCAGATAATTCTAGATCATTTATTGACAACAAACCAGATAATTCTAGATCATTTATTGACAACAAACCAGATAATTCTGGAGTATTCCTCTAAAAACAGGGAGATAAGCCCAGGGCTCATCTTCTCTCTGTTTAAGTAGCTGAAAAATTACTAAAAATTTATCTCTAACCGTTAGACATATAATGTAACTCATAATATGATATATATCTGATTTAACTTTACACTTATCTGAGGCTCAGATGAACACTTTGGAAACAATGTCTATCTGTCTGTCTGACTGTCTGTTTGACCGACTGACTGTCTGTCTGTCTGTCATCAGCCCATCTAAACTCTGGTCACACAGAAACGAAGATTTAAAAAAAAACAACTTCTCTCTTAATCATACCGTGCAAACGCCAAACTGAGTAGTGAACAAGAATGAGTGTGCACACACCGCAGCAGACGGCTAACGTTCATGCCAACAGCCAAGCTCGCTCTGTCTAACTACACTATAATAACGAGCTCAAAATAAGATCCACAGAGCTCAAAATATCTGACTTATTATTTAAAACAAGAAAAATTAGAGTAAAACAGCAGCTCATCAGTCTCAGAACCCCACAACTCAACCATGTTATTTAAACTATCTATATATAAAAAAAATTTACCCTTAAAAACATTTACTTAATTTTTATTTTACTTAAATAAAAAAAAATCGTTTCTTACCTGACTTTCCTGATGTATCCTTTCACTTTTATGGTGATTAATTCGAATCCAGCGTATCCTCTTCAGACTGTCACTGTCTGAAAAAGTTTCATGTTTTGGCCACACACCCCCTCACCGAGCGCTCTGATTGGATAATTGGTTGCCGCGCTGTAAACTGTGGTGGGGGAGGGGGAGAAGAAATCTGCAGCTGGTATCCGAACAGACATGAAAAGTGAGCATGAACTCGTGTAGAAAAAAAGTCGTAGTGAGGACTTTGAGTTATTACACAGTTGTGGGGGAGGGGAGCAGAAATCTGGAGCTGGTATCGAACAGACATGAAGAGTGAGCATGAAGCCATGTAGAAAAAAGTCCTAGTGAGGACTTTAAGTTTGTATGATCAGAGCTGGAAGTTTAAGCTTATTTATGATCTCCTGTTTATCCACAGAGGGAAATTAATGTGTATGTATGTTACCATCAACTACTGTTATTAACAATCACAAAGAATACTATTTTATTGCAATTGTAGACAAAAATTATATACAAAATGTACACAAAAATATATAAAGAGCAAATATTTGTTTTAAAATTGATTAGGGTTAATAATTTTCATTATTAAGTTAATAATTTATATTAAATGAGAGTAAATGAAACTAAACCCTGTGTCATTTCAATCACATGAAAAAAAAAACCTTTTCAGAGGTCAGCATGTTACCGCATAATTTTGGCCACACGAGTGAATTAGGAAATCTTATAGAAATCCAACCGTTCAATGCTTAAGTACACAAAAATATTCTGGAGGTCATAGGGGCAAACAGGAGCAAATCAGACTGTCAATTTATATACAAATAGCACCAAAAAGCATCAGGGTCAAAACAGGTAAGCTTCATAACTACAGGTAGCCCTCTCACAGTCATATAAGGCACCTAGACTCCTGAATAAATAACTGGGGGTTAATTTATAGCCCAAATAAACTATTTGAGACCTAATTTATCCTAAAAGCTATGTCCACACAACACCCGTTTGCTTTTATCTTCTCATTTAGCTCCTGAAGCAGATACAGATATGGAACTACACATGCATGTTCCTAAAAGGGTCCTGCATGTATGACAGAAATTTCAGCTCATTTGAAGCTATGATGACAGAGTTATGAGGCTTTGCCTGTAGCATTTATTAGCATTGGATTGAAAATGTTCGGGGTCCGTGGATGGGACAGGAGGCAGTCGGCAAGATTAAACCACAACAAAAATGATCCCTAAGATGAGCAGAACAACATACTAAAGTTTCAGCCTCCTCTGTGCAGGGGGTCCATTTAAGGCCCTCCTCTGAAACTAGAAAAAATGATGCTGTGTCATGCATTGACCCTGAGAGGGTTCGTCAAGTGAACATGGTTTTGGATCTAATTAAGGACTTGTGAATGTGCCACATTCACCAAATTTCACACACGTATTCTTAGGCCTCAGACGAGTCTATCCTGGTAGTTTCAGACCCCTGGGTTTTAAGAAACCCGAACAGGAGCTGATTAGACTGTCACTTTTTTTGCAACATTAAATGTCAAAAATCAGGTCAAAATAACTTCAAATGAGCTGAAATTTTCTGTGGGTATTCAGACTTTGGGAAGAAAAAATTATGTGCAATATCATGGCTCTACGCTCTTTTGTTGGCTACTTCCTGTTTGGGAGGAGCCACAGACTTGGTTCCACCGGAATATGATTCTATGACTTCCAAAGGTGTCATAGATCAATTTTTATATCTGTAGATGCATCAGAGGCCAAATGACACCAAAAAAGCAACAGGGTCAAAACAGGCAGGCTTCATCACTACAAGTAGGCCTCACACAGTCAAATGAGACCCCTAGAACACCAAATGAACAGTTGAAGGCATCAAAATCATCAGGAGTCACTCCTCACTCCATGCTAAGTGCTTTGAGAGCAGGCCTGGGGTCTAAAACACCTTAGAAAGGCTTATTTGAAACTATTTGAGACCTAATTTATGCTAAAAGCTAAGTCCACATACCTGTTTGCTTTTGTCTTCTCATTTAGCTCCTGAAGCAGATACAGATATGGAACTACACATGCATGTTCCTAACAGGGTCCTGCATGTATGACAGAAGTTTCAGCTCATTTGAAGCTATGATGACAGAGTTATGAGGCTTTGCCTGTAGCATATATTAGCATTGGATTGAAAATGTTCGGGGTCCGTGGATGGGACAGGAGGCAGTCAGGAAGATCAAACCACAACAAAAATGATCCCTAAGATGAGCAGAACAACATACTGAAGTTTCAGCCTCCTCAGTGCAGGGGGTCCATTTAAGGCCCTCCTCTTAAACTAGAAAAAATGATGCTGTGTCATGCATTGACCCTGAGAGGGTTCGTCAAGTGAACATGGTTTTGGATCTAATTAAGGACTTGTGAATGTGCCACATTCACCAAATTTCACACACGTATTCTTAGGCCTCAGACAAGTCTATCCTGGTAGTTTCAGACCCCTGGGTTTTAAGAAACCCGAACAGGAGCTGATTAGACTGTCACTTTTTTTGCAACATTAAATGTCAAAAATCAGGTCAAAATAACTTCAAATGAGCTGAAATTTTCTGTGGGTATTCAGACTTTGGGAAGAAAAAATTATGTGCAATATCATGGCTCTACGCTCTTTTGTTGGCTACTTCCTGTTTGGGAGGGGCCACAGACTTGGTTCCACCGGAATATGATTCTATGACTTCCAAAGGTGTCATAGATCAATTTTTATATCTGTAGATGCATCAGAGGCCAAATGACACCAAAAAAGCAACAGGGTCAAAACAGGCAGGCTTCATCACTACAAGTAGGCCTCACACAGTCAAATGAGACCCGTAGAACCCCAAATGCAGAGTTGAAGGCATCAAAATCATCAGGAGTCACTCCTCACTCCATGCTAAGTGCTTTGAGAGCAGGCCTGGGGTCTAAAACACCTTAGAAAGGCTTATTTGAAACTATTTGAGACCTAATTTATGCTAAAAGCTAAGTCCACGTACCTGTTTGCTATTGTCTTCTCATTTAGCTCCTGAAGCAGATACAGATATGGAACTACACATGCATGTTCCTAACAGGGTCCTGCATGTATGACAGAAATTTCAGCTCATTTGAAGCTATGATGACAGAGTTATGAGGCTTTGCCTGTAGCATTTATTAGCATTGGATTGAAAATGTTCGGGGTCCGTGGATGGGACAGGAGGCAGTCAGGAAGATCAAACCACAACAAAAATGATCCCTAAGATGAGCAGAACAACATACTGAAGTTTCAGCCTCCTCAGTGCAGGGGGTCCATTTAAGGCCCTCCTCTGAAACTAGAAAAAATGATGCTGTGTCATGCATTGACCCTGAGAGGGTTCGTCAAGTGAACATGGTTTTGGATCTAATTAAGGACTTGTGAATGTGCCACATTCACCAAATTTCACACACGTATTCTTAGGCCTCAGAAGAGTCTATCCTGGTAGTTTCAGACCCCTGGGTTTTAAGAGACCCGAACAGGAGCTGATTAGACTGTCAATTTTTTTGCAACATTAAATGTCAAAAATCAGGTCAAAATAACCTCAAATGAGCTGAAATTTTCTGTGGGTATTCAGACTTTGGGAAGAAAAAATTATGTGCAATATCATGGCTCTACGCTCTTTTGTTGGCTACTTCCTGTCTGGGAGGAGCCACAGACTTGGTTCCACCGGAATATGATTCTATGATTTCCAAAGGTGTCATAGATCAATTTTTATATCTGTAGATGCATCAGAGGCCAAATGACACCAAAAAAGCAACAGGGTCAAAACAGGCAGGCTTCATCACTACAAGTAGGCCTCACACAGTCAAATGAGACCCCTAGAACACCAAATGAACAGTTGAAGGCATCAAAATCATCAGGAGTCACTCCTCACTCCATGCTAAGTGCTTTGAGAGCAGGCCTGGGGTCTAAAACACCTTAGAAAGGCTTTTTTGAAACTATTTGAGACCTAATTTATGCTAAAAGCTAAGTCCACATACCTGTTTGCTTTTGTCTTCTCATTTAGCTCCTGAAGCAGATACAGATATGGAACTACACATGCATGTTCCTAGCAGAGTCCTGCATGTATGACAGAAACTTCAGCTCATTTGAAGCTATGATGACAGAGTTATGAGGCTTTGCCTGTAGCATATATTAGCATTGGATTGAAAATGTTCGGGGTCTGTGGATGGGACAGGAGGCAGTCAGGAAGATCAAACCACAACAAAAATGATCCCTAAGATGAGCAGAACAACATACTAAAGTTTCAGCCTCCTCTGTGCAGGGGGTCCATTTAAGGCCCTCCTCTGAAACTAGAAAAAATGATGCTGTGTCATGCATTGACCCTGAGAGGGTTCGTCAAGTGAACATGGTTTTGGATCTAATTAAGGACTTGTGAATGTGCCACATTCACCAAATTTCACACACGTATTCTTAGGCCTCAGACAAGTCTATCCTGGTAGTTTCAGACCCCTGGGTTTTAAGAAACCCGAACAGGAGCTGATTAGACTGTCACTTTTTTTGCAACATTAAATGTCAAAAATCAGGTCAAAATAACTTCAAATGAGCTGAAATTTTCTGTGGGTATTCAGACTTTGGGAAGAAAAAATTATGTGCAATATCATGGCTCTACGCTCTTTTGTTGGCTACTTCCTGTTTGGGAGGGGCCACAGACTTGGTTCCACCGGAATATGATTCTATGATTTCCAAAGGTGTCATAGATCAATTTTTATATCTGTAGATGCATCAGAGGCCAAATGACACCAAAAAAGCAACAGGGTCAAAACAGGCAGGCTTCATCACTACAAGTAGGCCTCACACAGTCAAATGAGACCCGTAGAACCCCAAATGCAGAGTTGAAGGCATCAAAATCATCAGGAGTCACTCCTCACTCCATGCTAAGTGCTTTGAGAGCAGGCCTGGGGTCTAAAACACCTTAGAAAGGCTTATTTGAAACTATTTGAGACCTAATTTATGCTAAAAGCTAAGTCCACGTACCTGTTTGCTATTGTCTTCTCATTTAGCTCCTGAAGCAGATACAGATATGGAACTACACATGCATGTTCCTAACAGGGTCCTGCATGTATGACAGAAGTTTCAGCTCATTTGAAGCTATGATGACAGAGTTCTGAGGCTTTGCCTGTAGCATTTATTAGCATTGGATTGAAAATGTTCGGGGTCTGTGGATGGGACAGGAGGCAGTCAGGGAGGTCAAACCAAAACAAAAATGATCCCTAAGATGAGCAGAACAACATACTAAAGTTTCAGCCTCCTCTGTGCAGGGGGTCCATTTAAGGCCCTCCTCTGACACTAAAATGTTCACTGAATTGCCAATTAACACATAGTTTGTCCCGGAAATTACGTATAATGAATGAATTATTATATAATAATGAATCATTGCATAAGAACTTTCATAGGAAATTGTAATATTTTAGTTCTTAAAGCAAGCATCCGCAGGTATGCTACTGTTAATAAAGACTTTCAGTAAACATTGCCTTGTTTCTCCAGAAAAAAGGATACCATGCATTTACTGTAAATACTTAATCATATCTGAATTTTTTCACTTTTTTATTTTCATTTAAACAAATAATACAGAGTTGTTGCATTATTTAACTTTAGTGTTTAAAACTTAATGAATGTGAGTCATATCTCTGATGTTTTTTATTTTTTAATCAGGCTGCTCTCATAAAATATTCTTATTACTGAATACTGGTAAATATGCACTTGTTATTACTCTTTATTTACAGTTTTAAATAACTTCTTATATCATGTGTTGAATAAAATGAAGTCTATTAAACTGCAGCACTCATGGAGAGGGTCTGCTTAGTAACTCCTATGTAATTAAGGTGCAGTACCGTATTCATACACCAGGGGAGCTCCGGAGTAAATCAGTGTGAAAATTTTTGTTGCAGTTCTGTAATCATACACCAGGGGAGCTCCGGAGCAAAATCAGTGTGAACGTTCCAGAGTAAAAACCATGAATTTGTACAAAAATGAGGACTGCTTTGAAACTGCTAGGGTAGCATCTATATGGTCTTGGGAGTTGATTTCAATCAACTCAAAGTGAGGACTAGCCTAAATGTCCTCACTTCCCAAAATAGACCTCACACTGTGGGTTAAAAACTGTAGCAAGTCCTCACTCAGCAGCAAGTACAAGAACACACACACACACACACACACACACACACACACACACACACACACACACACACACACACACACACACACACACACACACACTAATTTGCCTCTTGGTACTGCACAACGACTGTGTGTGTTCACCATTAGTGATAATGACCCCTCTGCCTCTGAGGTGTCCCTGCAATCAAAGGTGTTAAAAAAATACAAGCCACAAAACAACATCATGTCACATCAACTCATGATGCAACCATTGCTTTAGAGACCACTTATTCATCCAATCAAAACTGTTTGGAAAAGATTTGCTGCAGTTTGACTAAGATCAAGTCCGTCATGAACCTCTCAGTTGTGGAAAAAATTGTACATTTTGATTGGCATTTTTCAAAATCGGGGGCGATTTGATTATTATTATTAATATTTTTGCTGTGTTGGTATGTGAATAATAATAATAATAATAATAATAATAATAATAATAATAACTTTATTTTTATTGCACTTTTTGAAACAGAAGTTAACAAAGAGCTCTGACAAACAGTCGTAAAGCACAGCAAAACAGCACATGGAAATAAAAACTAATCAAAAACAAAAGCTCAGTTAAAAACAAGGCCTCCGCATTGAAGGCCAATTTCATTTGTCATAAGGAACCCAGACAATACAAGAACCCTACAACATAAAATGAGACCATGAGGACCAAAATAAAAATAGGTAAGAAAAAGAAATGTAATAAAAAAGGGGAGTAGAAAGCAGGAAACAGGATAGTAAATATAAAAAGACAATATTCAAAATGGTAATAAAATCATAACAAAATAATAATGATGATAATAGTAGTAATAAGATGGAATAACAAAAATAAGCAGGAAAAAACAATAAAATTAATAAAAGGCCTGGAAGTTAAAATAAAAAAAGATTAGAAGTAATACAAAGTCTAAAAAGACAGTAAGCCGAAATAAGTTAGAGGTAAAAGAGATAAAAGATTAAAGAAAAAAGAGAAAAGACGGCATCACACAAAAGCAAGTCTGTAAAAGTGAGTTTTTGAATTTGATGTAAAAGAAGTGACTGTCTCTGTACGCCTTATCTCCTCTGGCAGGTTGTTCCAAAGTCAAGGAGCTCTGATGGAGAAAGCTCCATCTCCTTTAGTTTTGAGCCTCGACTTTGGAACGACTAAATCCTGCAGATGCTAAAAAGTTGAATAAAGAAAGTAAAAAGAAGTTTCAAAGACTGAAGAAGGAATATAGCACTAATGAGTCTGATGTAAAGAGCTAGGGAATAGAAAGTTAGGTCCAAAGAGAGATACTCAAAGTTAGCAGAGGAGGGTGATGGGAGATGAGGAGATAAATCAGCTGTGTCACAGAGTGCTGGACAGAGAGGAGGCCTGAGCTCAGCAGCACCTCATCTCCTTTTCCTCCTCCTCCTCCTCTCTAATGATGGAGGCCCAGCAAGCTGCTGAACTCTGTTATCCCCAGCTCTTCAACACCTCCTGCAAGAAGCCTCCCCGTTATCACTCTGGAGTTATGATCTTCTACTTTTTGATCTTCATCTCTCTGGTCACTGCATCTCTCAACCTGCTGGTCATCATCTCCATCTCCCACTTCAGGCAGAGATACGCACTACAGAAATGTTTGAAACTTCTGTTAGAGCTGCATGGATAGAAAGACAGTGCAACCAGAGGGAGATAGATAGATAGATGCTTCATGTTTAGCCCTTTGATCAGTGTGTGAATCCACCAACCATCTGTGATTTTATCGCTCATTTCTGCTTGTTCTTATTGCTGCTGACATTCATTGTGATGATGTTTTCTCACTCCAGGCAGCTCCACACCACCACCAACCTCGCCCTGCTCTCTTTGGCTGTCTCAGACTTCCTCGTGGGCCTCTTGGTGATGCCAGGTGAACTATTCCAAACTGAGACCTGCTGGTTCTTGGATGACCTCTTGTGTGCTTTATATTTTCTAATAGCCTTCACCATTGTCTGTGCCTCAGTAGCAAGCGTGGTGCTAATATCAGTCGACCGCTATGTGGCTGTCTGCTACCCTCTGCATTACCCCACCAAAGTCACATTGAATAGAGTTCGATTCTTTGTGTGTGTGTGCTGGATTTACGCTTTTTTTGTAAGCGTTTCAATCTTATATGAAAACCTGAAAACACCAGGTAAGTATAACTCTTGCGATGGGGAATGTGTGGTGAACATATCAGGGGACTTGGACCTTGCTTTCAACTGTGTTATTCCCATATCTATTATCGTAGCTCTATATTTGAGGGTGTTTGCGGTGGCTGTCTCTCAGGCTCGGGCCATGCGCACACACATTGCAGCTGTCAGAGTGCAGCGCTCACAGACTGTCGTTGTAAAGAAGTTGGAGATGAAAGCAGCCAGGACTCTTGGGATTGTTGTAGTTGTGTTTCTGGTCTGTTACAGCCCATATTACTGTGTCCTTCTAATTACTAACAAAATATTAGTCGGCTCCACAGCTGAAATTCTCATGGCTTTTCTGTTGTATGTTAATTCCTGTCTAAACCCGTTGATTTATGCCTTTCTCTACCCGTGGTTTAGAAAAGCTGTTAAACTCATTGTCACATTACAGGTGGTGAAGCCTGGCTCCTGTGAGGCAAATATACTGTAAAGCAGAGGTGTCCAAGCTTTTTCTCTGCCATGCCCGCATATTGAGGATGAAAATCTTCTGTTTTGTCGCCCCTCCTCTTGTCATTTCAAAGATGCAAATAAAAAACCTTTCATCTCATCTCTGTCATACCAATTTCTTTCTGACACTTATCACTGGATTACTGCACTGTATGAAACTTTTACAAAATTTCACACTTACCTTACATAAAACCACCCATTTTAACAAAGCACTTTGTTACATTTGGTGTTTGATCCCTTTGTTGTTTCTGAAACCTCTATGCATGAAGGTTCATCTGCAGGGCTGCTCACTTAGGCTGTCAAATAAAATCCTCTCAAAAGCATCATGTCCAAAAAAAAAAAAAGCACATCCAAATGTTTTTATTATTATTATTATTATTATTATTATTATTATTATTATTATTATTATTATTATTATTATTATTATTATGATTAAGGGGATAAAATGAAATGCAATAAATTAGCATGTTTACAGTAAAAATTAATTTTAACCTTAACTGTAACTCATTATACAATACAAAGTCTATCATAATCAATTTTAACTATGTTTTAAATATCCTATTATATATTATTATATAAAGGTTCATCTGCAGGGCTGCTCACTTTTAGGCTGTCAAATTAAATCCTCTCAAAAGCATCATGTCTAAAAAGAAGAGGGGGCACATCCAAATGTATTTTTTTATTATTATAATTAATGGAATAAAAATGAAATGCAGTAAATATGATTTTTACTGTAAATTCATTTTTACCACAATTGTAATTCATTATACAATACATAGTCCATCCAATCCAATCCAATCCAATCTCTCACTATGTTTTAAATATCTCAAATCAGCTTGTTAAAAGGTTGGCACATTATCTTGATTTTGTGTGCTAAGGAGGGCTTTAGTTTGATTAGATTTTAAATTACAGAAATACTTCTGGTCCTGATGAAAGCCTAACTTATTGACCTTTTGTGGTTAAAATATGGAAAGTGAATTGTTCATTAAAAGCTAGAAAAAAGATGAACAGAGCAGCATTACACTAAAAGAAAAGGTTTTGACAGGCCGGATATTGAGATATGTGCTAAACATTCCCTGAAGTTTTTTGGTAACAGTTTTGGAAACAGATTTATCCTTTTTTTGACACTCCTGAAAAGGTTGTCAAACTTTGCGGTTAATTTGTGGATTCAATCGATGATTCAGAAGAAGAATTAAAACCTAAATAAATGACTGCACTCTTTTTATTTACCATATTTATATTCTTAATTAGTCTTAATTGGTTTCCTAAAAGTTGTGTGCGAACCAAAGCAGACTGTCTGAATGTTCTGTTTCCTTTTTTTCATTTTTTCTTTTCTCCTCAGATGCAGCTTCATAACAGAACTGGTGGACATAAGTGGGCCTATAGTACCTGGAATTTGCTACATTTTTATTTGTATTTTAATAGTTTTTTTCATTGTCTGATAATGGCTGCCTGTACAGAATAAGTGAACTGTCTTAAAATAAGTATAATGTGTTTGGTGTTTTTATATAAGAAATAATTAACGTTTCTACATGAATTTATCACTAACGTGTGAACTAAAATATTGGGAGGCTAGACTCCCTTTTTCAAACAGATTTAGCTTATAAAACAGGGAAATTGTTATTTAAAAAATATTTTTTAATGTTGGGAACTGAAGGGAAAGATGTTAAAAAATTTGAAATCTATGATTTTTTCCCGCCTGATTCTTAAGTCTCAATTAACAGCAAATTTAATCTTGAAGTTTCCAAACTAAAAGGAAGCTATTAAAAGGTAAAACTACTTTACTACTACTAAAGTCTCGATGCTATATCACCCGTGTCAACACCATAGATGGAAAAAAAAGTTTAAATAATATAAAACAGGGATTAGATGTCTATCATTAGAAACATTTCATCCAAATAATTTGTCAAGACTTGCTCTTTTAACTACATTGATGCAACGTTTCACTGAAAAAGTTGAAACAATGAAAAAGTTTTGAATAAAACTCGTAGATGAATCTCTGAGAAACTCAGACATAGAAGATTTTTATAGTTTCAATGGTAGTTTAATTTTAACATTCAACATATGTATCAATTATCATCACTCACATATTCGTGTTTTTTGTAACCATAGAGCAGAAAAAGGAAAATGACTGGCACTGTTATATTGGTTTTGTGGTCAATATTCAAATACGACTGAGGGGATGGATTATGTTCTCGATGAAGAAATAAAGCGAGGTGGGAGGTGGCCGAGGCAGGAGAAAGTGGGTAAATGAAGAAAAATGAACGAGACGAAGATGTGAGAATAAGAAATTGGTGGAAAAACAGGAAAAGCTTACCCATACAGACAAGAATAATAATACTGATAATGTCGAATGAATAGCTGTAAATAAAACTGTGAAAGTGTGACAAGTTTTTGCACCGGCTGTAAACAAAGCAATAACGTAAAA